TTCTGTATTTGCTTCGCTTTATAAATTTGCCGATAAAAATGCTTTTTTAATTATTCATTTAAAAGTGCACATGTGGTGTATGTGTGCGCGTTGCGTATGTGTGTCCCGTGCGTGCCCGTAAAAAACGCGGCTGCAGCCACAAATTGCGAAATAGATTGTGCAGCGATTTGAAAGGTTTGTGAATAATTTGGAGAATAACTTTATTAATTGTTTCTTAATTGTATATTCTATTAGCGTTTTTGTCGTTATTTGTTTACTTCCATTGTCAATGTTATTGTGGTTTTTTATTATTGTTTTTGTTGGTTATTAATTGATTACTAATTATTTTCATTATTATTGCATTTATCACTATTTGTTATCACTTATTATTTATCACTACCTATTTTTATTACTTATTGTTTAACAGAGGAATGGGCTTTCACTTCGAAGCACAAATGCTGCAATTCTGCGGCTACCTTCCGGAATTCCACGGTCGAGTGGCAAATTTGCCCGGTCGGGCAAAGCCAGCGGACCGCGCCTAACCAAAGGTGATGGCTCTTAGAACAAATAAATTGTTGTTTATTGTCTCTGCGAATTATCATTAACACGCAAACGCAGGGCTGTTGCCAGGCTCGGTCTTCTTATGGATAAATAAGTTTATTAATCAAGGTTTTTTTGTTTTTTGTGGACTATTTATTTTGCAGTTTTTCGTAATTTTTGCTTCACAAAACACTTTTTCATCATTCGTGATAGCCTTTATTATTTGTTAATTCTGATTGTTAGAACGAAAGACAACTGAAGAGGAAATGGCAAAGATTTGAAAAGTTGCAACCCTCATTTTTAAGAGAAATCTTTCTCCTGGCAGCAGCATTTCTCGTTCGAGTGTGATGAGTAGGTTGAAAGTTTCCAAGTCTTTTTTTCTCTCTTTTTGCTGATGCAGATTTTATTCCATATCTATGATTTTATCAGTCGTTAGCACTGATTTTTTAACGCTTATTAAGCAAATAGAGTCTCTTGTTACTTATCTTTTTATATCATTACATTGCCTTATTAGCTCTCATTTTTATCACAAACTTTAATTTATTTATTTGATTTATAGTTGATTTAAAAAGCGTTAATTTGCTGATTAATTACTTATTAAATAAAAAGGGAAAAATGTTTTTGCAGATGGCTTTGTGCTTTCGGTTAAACTTTAATTTAAAAAAAAATTACTTAGAAAAACAAAATTTTTAAAAAATCATTATCATTTTAAGATCAGCAATCATTGTCAAAAATTATTTATTTAAAGTTTGTTTTTATTTTAGTTATGAGAAATGTTTCTCCAACATTTATGAAATCAGTTGAAGAAGGTGCGAAGCTTGATTCAGTTGCTGATGCGAATAAAAATATTGATAATACTGACGATTATGACGATTTGCAAGTGCAGTTTATGCTACCATTACTCGAAGAAGGAAAAGATGAAAATGAAAGTGAATCAGATGATGGTTATCATGATTTAGAGTATGCCTCTTTTGATATTTTTATTTATTTTATTGAAGAATATTGAATAAGTAATTGGCGCCAACCATTCATAGTCAGGTTTACTTTTTGATCCATTAGTTGTTAGAATGAAAAATATTTCTCAAGGAATCACTGCGATAAAAATGCATTTGAGCACTTGAGTGCTTTTTGAATGGATTTTCTGCTGTAAGTAAAGTCTAACTTGGCGTTGGAACGATAATCTTGAGGAATGGCCACTCGGCTGTCTTGTTTCCTTTAAGAAATAAGAGATAATGGATTTTTCAATAAGTTCCGTCGATTGTTTTTGTTCCATTCATTTTGTAAGCCATATTTTTTTTTTAAATTCAATATTTTTATTCAAATTAAACTTTTTTTTACAAATGAACAAATTCTTGCTAACAACATAGAAATAACAATATAGAAATATATCTAATCCATTTACTTAGAAGTCAGAACTTCTCGAATCATTCAACTTCTGGAAGGTGATTTCAGGATTTTCTTTTCGAAAATATTCTTAAAAAATTTGGGGAAGGAAAGGAAAAAAAAAGTAATATTCTGTTGGAGTCTGGGGAAATATGGTGGATGAGGATGGATTTCGATATTCAGTTCTGCAAATTTTTGTAAAATAATCTTTGCATTGTGCAGTCTAAAGTTATCATATAGAATGATCTTTTGTGTTATTTCTTGTGGACTATTTTCATCTTTCTTTCGAAAAATACTGTACGAAATCTGCTCACTAATCTTTTACACACTAATCACTGCTTTATTCAATAGATCGCCATACAGTGACTATGGTTTTTTTCTAGTCGGATTTAGAGGGTTTTGGCATGGATCGAGCAGATTCAACTTTTGCGCCGATCTTTTCCTACTGCATGCAATCCATTTTCGTCACAAATAAAAATTTGTTCTAGATGAATGTCGAATTGGCAATAAATTTGTCCTCATCTGATTCTCAGTAGATTCGAGAGATACCCATTTCCAAGACTTTGCATCTCAGTCCGCCTTATCCAACTTTTTGAACTTGCATTTGCCATTTCATTTATTTAACTTGGAGGCAAAATGAGATCCATATTTCCAGATGAACCATTTTTTCTATCAAACTATTTTCCTTTCGTTAGGAATATTGCCAAAACTTCTTTGCATATTACGAGCTAGTCTCCTTCTTACTGTTCCCGTTTAAATTTATGAAGTGCTAGAAATTAAAAATCACGTATTTCATGTGAATTCTGATGTAAATCAGTCAAAAAAAAACATAACTATCATTCCTACAATGGAATGGAAAGGAATGAGAGATCATAGCGAGCAGTGCGGAGCAGTGTGCGATCCTTTCGAAGCTAGACACAACAAAAATCGACGGAGCTTTTTGAAAGATCTAATAAAAAATATATAAAATTATAAAATTTTTAAAATAAGTATATCTAGCCAGAAGGAAGGAAAATTCGTTGATTTTTGATAAGGAATCATCGACTTGTTGTTTGATAAAAGTATTAATTTTTATCAGAAAAATTTTGCTTTCTCGTTTTTATCTTTAAATGTTTAATGTTTAATCATCGATAAATCGAGATTTTGTTAAATTCATTTGAAAAATTTGTTTTGTTAGCTAAGTTTTGCATTATCTTAGTTAAATAGAATAAATAGAATAAGTAAAAATTATCTGATTATCAATGGCAAGAGCTATAGAGATAAGGATATTCGTTAAGGAAAATAGATTAATATATTTATTTTTTATTTGATATTCATTTGCATGCAGTAATATAAATTGGGTTTTTTTCTTTGTTATTGTTTATTTAAAATATGCGAATTATTTTTTCCATTAAATATCATATTATAATGGTTTTTTGCTTTTAATATATCATTATTATTATTTGTTTAATTAATTTTTTTTTCTCTTTGTCATTCAGATTATCTTTTAATTATCATTATTAATATTACCATTAAGTTTTTTTTCAAAAAATTTGTTAGGATTCTTGCGAAAAGAAAGCCTATAAAATACCTATTAAATTACCTATTATCATATTTAGAAGAAAATAAAATAATTTAAATTTTAAATTTTAAAAATAATGTTTAATCACTTAATTTTAAATAAAATTTTAAAAAATATTTTCGACAATTTCCAATACATTTTTGATATTTTTAGTCGTTTTTTCACAAATGATTGAATAGCGTTTCATGTAAATCGAAAATTCACATATTTTGTAAAAAACAAATAACAAAGATGAACTCAGCAACAATTACCAAATAACGCTAATTATTAAGGATTGGTTTTTTTTTAGCTGAAATTTATCAAATCATGTTTCTTTTTTATCAGTTTAATTTTATTTATTGAATATTGTTTTAATTATTAAACAGTTCAAATAAATGTATGAAAATGGTATTTAATATTGAATAAAATATCCTTAAAAATTTTTTTTTCAAATTTGTTTATATGAGCTTTTTTTAGGATGAAATGCAGAAATCAAACAAAAAATGAACAGTTCATTCGAGAAGTTAGTAATTCATCGATGGTTGCGATGAATTCACCTGCATTTTGCAAGAAAAAAAAAATTAGCAAATTCTATAGGAAACAATCGGATTTAATGGAAAATTTTAAAAAAGACAGCACAATTATTGAGGTTTTTTGTTTTTTTTCTTATAAATAAAACAATTTTTGCCTTATAAAACCGATTGATTCATCAAATTATCTTTTTCATTTTGAACAATATTTTCCGAAATATTTCTTTTCTGACAATTAAATTTTTTTAAATTTTTTTATAGGGAGGCAGTTTCACAAATACTGATTTTCCAGTTCTGTTTTATATAAATAAATAAAATTTCTAAGCCAGGAGTCACAACGACGTCGACAAAAGCAACATTCAATTTCTTCGGAAAAAGACTTTGATTCGGGACAATTTTTAATGGATTCTTCGTCGGAAAGGACTAAAAGTACCACTGATAATAATAGTTCTGTCAATGGTAATAATCACATAGTTGACTGTGGTCATCAAAGGTTCAAAGATTTTTTTATTTCTGTGAATTGTTCATTTCTCCTGTTTTTTTATCTCTAAGTTCAAAATTTCAGGTCATCAACTAAAAAAAGTTTTTAGTCATATTTTAAAAATTCATATTTATTCAAATTAATTCAAATCTTTCAGTGCTATTTCTAAGGAAGTGGAAAAAACTAAGAGTTCTCGATGGTTGGCATTGGCTACGTTTATTGTGAATTTATCACTGGTTGTCGTGAAGGTCTATTTGTATAAATTTTGATGACTGATAGCATTATTTTTTCATTCTGTTTCGTTATTTTATATTTAATTTTTTTAAGCAAAAAATAGAGCAATTTCAAAATTTCGAAATAAGAGCAGAGAGAAAAAGAAGAATTTTATCATTGTTGTAATAAGTCTTTTGAACACCTCTAAGTTTTATTATAAATCAGTATAACTTCTATAAGAATTACTGGTGAATGTTATTAATTTTTTTTTGAAAATTATTAGTTCCTCTAATTTTCTAATTTATCTTTCTAATTTTCTAATTTTCTAATTCTAATTGTTCCTCTAATTTAGGCGATTGCTGCTTATTTGTCTGGATCATTGTCGATTATTTCATCGCTCTTAGATTCGGCTGTCGATATAACATCTGGCTTAGTAATATGGTTAACAGCACGAGCGATCAAGAAAAGAGATCCATATATGTATCCAAGAGGTCGTACACGACTCGAACCTATCGCTTTGGTATTTTGCTTTTCTTTGTTTTCTTAACATAATTGGTTCTTTATTCGATTTATTTTCGATATTTTATTGTGATTTTTTAATTGTTATTGCTTATCATCATTTTTATTTTTTTTCTTCCTACAAAAATTTAACTTTTTTGCTTCAATTTAAATGTAAATGAATATAAATTTCTTAAAGATAATAGTAAGTGTCATAATGGGTGTCGCTTCTATTCAAATGATTGTTCAATCGGTAGAATCGATATTGCGCAATTCTGTTAATCCTCATGTTGATATCATATCACTCTCGATTATGATTATGACTATTTTGATGAAATTTACTTTGATGATGCTTTGTAGGAGGTAAGAATTTTGTTTATTCATTTCTCTTTTTTAAATTATTTTTTTGCATTTAACTTTTAATTAATTACTCTTACAGGTATAATAATCCATCGATTAATGTTTTGGGTCTTGATCATCGTAATGATTGCATTTCGAATTTTGTTGCAATTGTATGTTCAGAGGCCATTTGATTTCATCGAAATTCATTTTTTCTAAATTTCAAAATTTAATTTCAAATATATATAATCAAATCAAATATGTATAATATTTACTTGATATATGTGCGTAAGTGTGTAGGCATATGTGTGTTCTTAAAAAAGAAAATGGTTACTTTCAGGTTTAGGCTATTGTGTTGAAACTGTTCGACAAATGTTTCGTAATGTTCCCTCCAAAATCATACTACACTTTCACTCTTACAATAATCCATTTATAACTTAAATAACTAATATCGCTCACCTCTAATTTTCTCTTAATTAAATCCTGCAGCAGTTCTTGGTTGCCACAAATTAGGAAAAATGATTTAGATGATAAGGTGAATTATGGAGGTTTTAAAGAAATATAATGCGTTTTGGAGAAAAAAATTGGGGATCAATGACAGTTATTAACATCTCTTTAATTTGTCAGTTATTTTTAGCTTTTTTTTTTAGTTTTGTGCATGGATTGCTGATCGTTATTGGATATATCTCGATCCTATAGGTGCAATAGTTGTCTCAATTTATATTGCTACAACTTGGTTCTTAACTGGGAAAGAACATCTTGCGATGCTTTCTGGTAAATCAGCAAAACCTGAATTTATTAACCGAATAGTAAAGGTTATTTTTTCATATTTATTTGTCACATCGTTCATAATCTTTATTCTTTCGTTTCTTTGATACGACAGTGATAAATGATAAAGGGCTTTTACAGATATGTATGGAGCATGATAAACGTATTGAATACATTGACACCGTTTATGTTTATCATTATGGAACACGTTTTTTGGTTGAAGTACATATCGTGATGGATCGAAATATGACATTACAAGTTGCACACGATATTAGCGAATCATTACAAATAAATATTGAAAGTCTTATTGAAGTTGAGCGAGCATTCGTACATTGTGATTATGAATTTGAACATGTGCCTGCTGATGAACATAAAGTTGTATAAAGACAGTTAACAGTAATGAGATCTATTTTCTTCCTTTTTTTTATTTTAAAAAATTCTGGTTTTTTGTAATACTTCTAGTCATGTTGAATGGATAATGTTATTTGTTGGATCTATGACCTCATTATTTTTGCTTTTATTATTATTATTTTTAGTTTTCTATTTAGTTCTATGTACTGGTTATGAAAATCTATTTAAAATCCCGGTGCATTTATGATTTTCCCAGTTTTCTTAAAGTTTCTATTTTTTTCCTGGTTTTTTTTAAATTTTATTTGAAATATGTATGCATTTTACAATTTGTGCTTAAATTGATAAGTTTAAGTTTCTTTTTCAAGTTTATATTTTAGTTTTATATTGTTTTTTTTTTTTTATTACGAAAGGTTTCTTCTTATAATGTTTTTGAATTTTCATCATTTTGTAAAATGCGGATCTCTTTTGATTTAACGAATTCATTTACGTAACAGTTAAATCGAGTCAGTCGGTGCATACTCGCTAATTTATATTATATTATATATATATAATTATTTATATAATTGTAATTTCGCTATATTATTTATATCAAATTATGGGAAAAATTTTTACTTGTTTTTTTTCTTTCTCTCCGATTTATATTGTATATTATATTATATTGCATAACGATATGTTTATTATAAATATTGTCGAGTCTGTAAATTATTATTTTGGAAATTTTTACACTACGATGTGGTAGTTATTTTCATCTGTGGTTTTAGTACGCATCCAAAAGGGCTGTCGTTTTTAATTGTTCACATAGGCTATTTTAAGTAGAGTTCTCTTGTCTCATCTTTCAGAAAATAAAATTGATCGCATTGGTTTTGCATGAGATAATGAAACAATCAATTTAAATTCAGCGTCGAAAGTTGAATCATAGTTGAGGTGAACTGTCTCTCGCAATAATGGTGGCGACAGTAGGCCATTTATTTAGCAATTTCAATGAGAACATGAATGAGAATGAAAAATTCGTAGCAAGTTTTTACGACGGTTATCGCCCAAATTTGGAAAGGGATTTGCGTTGCAAATATAATAAAAAGAAAGAAATTAATGGCCTTCGAACTCTGAGATTTTGTTCGAAATAAAATGCCTAAATAGATTAGAAATCCGATAATATTAAATGCTAACGCAAAGAAATCGAAATAGTAATGAATTCGGATATGTTTCTTGTTGTATGTTGACAATGCTCGTAGAAGGAGAATTGCCATTGTTACCGAAATCTTAAAAAGCGGTGTTTGGTACGAATTTTTATGTAATTCGGATCTTAAATCTTAAATCGTCCAAGGATCTTGAGCGTAGGATTACTGGTACTTCGGCCGAGAATAGCTCACTATGGAATCGGCTGCCGTCTCATAAATCTGCCATTAAAAGTAAGTAAGATCGTCGTTCAATTCTAAGTGAATTTACTTTCAGAGAGATTCTAATAGGCGATGGAGTCAACTAAACCGAAAAGTGTATTTTTTTGAGGATATCGCTTCAGTAAAGTTTCAGGAAATTTGAAAAATGGGAAGCTAGATACCATAACAAAAAAAGCCAATCGCAAAAGTTTGCATAAAATGCATAAAAGTGAATAAAATGGATTTAGGGATGTTAGGCGACAAGAAAATATTATTACTTACCAGGTCGAATGTCAGTAGAGGGTATAAAAAAATTTGATGGCTGATAATTGCATCAAGATTGCCGCTAATTGGTGCCCAAAATCTGGAAAATAAGCAATTATTGTGGTTCAATTTGATGGCGTTTTTAAGTGAATAAAATGCTAATATTATTTTTAGTAAACTAATTTCAAAACTAATTTCTTTCTCCTTAATTTCTCCTTAATTTCCTTATAAAACTATAAGAAAAATGTTGAAAAAAGCTGATTTTAATTCTAATTGATTTTCAAAAATTTATAATTTAAATGATTTAAAGAGAGTGAAAATAATGAAAATAATTTAAATAAAATATTTTAAAACGATCCAAATGAATAAAATAAAAATTATAAATAATAAAAAATAAAAATAATAATAAAAATAAAAATTTGTTATATTTTTCGTATATTTTTTGGGGAAATTAAGGAGATTCAAGTGTTTATATTTTTTATTTTCCTTAATTTCAGGCTAAACTTTGCTATGCTTACATAAAATCGCCACCACGATATATTTGAATGAAGCTGAGAGTGACTGTGATGATCGCATACGCAATTTCGAGAACTGCGATAGCTGTGGAAGCTTCCCTTACAAGACATGACGATAAGCAACAGAGTGGCTCCAGCTCGAGATGACGCTCGTGAACTCTACAAAGACCGAAATCGCTTCATTTATTGTCCAACATAGCTCTTCCACTTATGCCTATCGAGAAGTGCAAATAACTTATTAGCTTACCAAAGTAAATTTTTTCTAATTTTCCTCTGATTGATTTTATAAATAATAGTTTTGACGGATTGTGTCGAATATTGAAATATTAAAAAAATAAAAATTTACCGACTGGCGATTGGTGCAATTCGATTAATTCGCCGACGAAATAACTTACCGAACATTTTTTTCCAAAAACGGTTTGACTTTTCCGCTTCCTTTTCTGCAAACTTCTTCACTGATCATAAATCGTTTAAGAGTGATTTAAATTTACATTTACTTTATAACGATTCGGGAGAAATTAGGTTGTTTTAATGAAGCGATTTGTTTATAATCCATAAATATTTTTTTCTTTTTTAATATTTTTTAACTTGTCTGACGACGCTGATGGAGGATTAAATAATCTTTAAAACCAATAAATAAACATAGTTAGTTCATATTTTAACTGATATTTGACATTGTATTAATATAAATGATAGAGGGTACTTTAAGCGAATGATTAGTCATTATGCAGTTGTGGGCTAAGTAATAATCTAATAGTTCAACATTTCTGGTTTATTAACTTTAACTGACTATTAGACCTTTCCCCATTGTGTTATTTAATGATATATTTTCATGAAATAGAAGGAAAATTGGGTTTTCCGTAAATTGGATTCAAAAAAAACCCTACGAGAAACTACATAATCGTAATCTTAAATGGAATTATCTAGAGGCAATAGCCCATCTAAAAGATTTATTCGCAGTTTTTGGGAATATCTGGGTAAAATTTAAATGGCTGAAATGGCATAGCGGAGTAATTATCGCAACAAGATGTGATTTTATAGTGGGATTATGGTGGAATTAAATCTGCGGAAAAGAAATTCTTTTAGGGAAATAAGGAACCAAAAGGGACCCGATTCCTTCTTCTTATCAGAAGCCTATCATTAAATCCATCCACTATGGAGCGATCAAATATGCATTCAGTTATTCCTCTTTTAACACCACTCATCATTTCTGATTTGGTTGGCTATATTTACTGGGCCCTCTTCGCCAGAGGTTTATTTGGGAATAGAAGACTGTTTCTGACAAGTCAACAGCCAAATTCTTTCGACATAAATAGCTTTAATGCAATATTATCAAAAAATAGAGTCAGAAAGAAACATTAAAACAAACATCTCCATCGTTTTCTTTAATAAAATTTGAAAATTTCCACCAATTAAATATTTTGAGAACAATTTATGTAAGCTATTTTTCATTGAAAAATTTGATTGAGAATAATTTGATTGAGATTTATGATAATAGCCAAATTTTATTAGATTTATAGAATAAGTTACGAAGTATGCATTGAAACTGAGAAGGCATACGAATAACTCGAGGTTTTTCGTGCAAATCACTTCGCTGCTTCCGCAAATTCCACGCATCACTGATTTTTCTCGATTTTCTCTATAAACAAATTTCAGAAGTATGTAAAATTATTAAAGTTATTTAGCTGGGCAATTATTTGTTGGCAATGATAATTTTATTCGGCAAATAAGCCCACATGCAAGTTTTTCAACTACTATCGCTATTTGAAGATATTATACTTGAAAGAGAAGTAGCATCGATTCTGATACAAATGGCAATGCTTGTTTTCAGTAGCCACAGTAGCTCCATTTTCGCTGCAATTTGTGCCTCGCAGCAGACTTTATCTTTTGTTTTCACGTATTTTTTACCACAGTACCCCTTATCATTTGATAATTTTTTTAAAGGCAATTGAAATTAAATCGAAAATCAAAGGTTTTTCGTGAAACTTTGGCACAAAAGTTAGGCCAATGTATTTTTTATTCGAAATTTCCTTCGCAAATACAAGAAATGTACTCAAAAAATTTGGTACCAACTCTTACAACATTTCTAATTCTTACATTTTCCGTTTTTTTTTCCGTTTTGTCGTAGTTACAAGCTTTAAGGTGATTGTCTGCACTCCAATATGCCATTCTACAACAAATATTTTTTAGCGAGAATGAAGCGTTTTATTACAATAAAAACAACATTTCTTGTGAACCCTCGAATTCGGTTGCAGAATTTTCATTTTTTTCTTATTTATTTTTATTATTTAGAATATTTCTCATTTATTTAAGATATTTCTTTACATATAAAATTTACTTATTTAAACTTCTATAGCAATTTTCAAAAAAAAATTAAGAAATCTGAAAAGGGAAATAATGTAAATTCATAAAATATTTTATGAAAAAACAGATTTATTTATTTAAAAAAAAGATGGAATAGCCGTGCGCTTTATGTTAGCAACAAACATTAAAAATAAATACCAATAGAAAAATAAATGTTAAACAATTATTAATACAAATAGCAAACGATATTAATGAAAAAAAAGAGCAAAAGAAAGTGTAACCATTGAATTATCAACCAACGAATGGAGGATACGTTTGAGCCGAATAATATTATGGATAATTTTGTTCAATTTTTTGTTAAAAATTGTACTAATGGGATAAAAACTATCTCGCAGTTTATTCCACTAGTTAATACAACAATTGAAAAATTATCATCTTAAGCCTTCAAGTAGGTTTCCGGATCCTCACTCAGTTGCTTCTAGCAGCATTTATATTTAAATTTAATTTAACGAGGGATCAGAGAATTTCATGCAGTTAAGAACGACGAAATCAATTATCATCTTGTAAGTGCAAATTAGAACTTGTTTAATTCATTTAATCCTTAGTGAATCCAAATTATATAATTCGATACTGTCAATCTTAGGAACCGAATTCGAATGGCGCAAAAGGTGTTTCTAAAAGTTCTCAATTGATTTAACAGAGGAATTTTAGATTTTAGGTTTAATTCTTGTTAATTTCAAGCTGATATGTCTTATAAACATGACTGATACCTTTAATAACCATGAAAATTCTTTATGAATGCTTTTTTTAATACCGAATTACCAATAAAATCACCAAGAGGTACCCTCTCAATATTTTGCAGCAATTCATTAATCCCAGCATCTCTCTTCATGAGTAAGCAGATTTCACAATAAATTGTGATAATTCTTTCTTCGAATTTTGATTTAAACGGTGAAAAAGAGAATTAAACAGATACGCGGTGAAAAATAAAACGTCCAAAAATCAATGATTAAGGCTAAATTCAGCAGTTTTGCTTGGTGCAATTGCATTTTGTAACTCCCATCGCTCTTGCAAAAATAACTTTGCTTCGTGAAAATCGAAGAGAAAAAAGAAAGAGCTTCTCGATTTCACTTCGCCGTCTCGCGTGGATGCTATAAGTGATCGAATTTCTCAACAGTTCTTATAATCACGAAATAGAAATAATTATCTGTTTGAATATACATAGCATACGAAAAGCACCACTTATCTTCCAGCATGCTCGCAAAAAGTTGCCTTTTTGTGTAAGCATTTCCTTGTTTCTAGATGATTTTATATATAAAATATAGGCCTATCTGCCCATAAAAATTAATAGTAAGAAAACTGATTGAGTTGTTCATTTTTCCAAAAACCAGTTTCTAAACTGGAAAAAATTCAGTTATGATGGGGAAAAACTTCCACATGGCAAAAGGTAAGGGAAAAACTCACGAAAAAGATTTGATTTTTTCAACTAATCTTTCCATTCTCGCTATTTTGGAGCAAAATCTCTTTTTCCGAGATAAATCAAAATATTCTTAGAGGCTGATAGAAGTTGACCTCAGTGCATTTATCAAGGAATAAGAATTACTGCATATTTTCACTGGCTTGAAATTTACGGATAAAATACCCTTTAGTTGTACAAAAAAGATTGCTGTCGTGGATTTACTTACGATATCGATGCCTTTAATTATAAACATTCGTTTCTTTGACGATTTGAAGGAGATGAATTTCGATGAATTTCTGAGAAAAAATTTAAAATTTAATCTAAAATTTTATGCAAAAACTTAGATAACTAAGAAATGTACCGCTTTTACAGCTAAATCACAAAAAATCCTAACCATGTGACCTTTTTTGCGCATATTTGGCAAATCACAAATTGAATATGTAAATTTAACAAAAATAGGCTTATAGGGGAGCTTACAGGCTGGAAATTTGGAACTTTCGATGGCACCTATCGCTAATTCAGCAAATCACTGAAAAAAATTCGTAAAATAGACCATTTTCTACGAAAATAATGATTCAGAATCAAAAATCGGCCACATTTCGTAAACGTTAAAAGGCTTTAGTGCCAACAATGGAAAAGGACTTGGCACAAACATATTTCTTAATTGTTTTAGGCATCACACTGAGAAAACATAAAAGAAAAATAGCGATTTTTTCTCGAAAAGAAATTATTTTACAACAGTATCGAATCGATTTGGAAATGCACCGCTGGTAGATTAACACAGCGAAAAAGTGAGAAATTGGCTTCGTCTTGTTTGATAACGGCTTTACGGCTTTTGAGAGTAAATTAGCATGGCGTACGGTAAAGAAAGGCAAAAATAAAGATTCGAGTAAAATCTTATCTGATTGATATTAATTATACATCCAAGAGAGCTAAAATAAACGCAGAATGGACGAAATTTTATTGATATAATTTTAGCGAATTTCTGCTTCCTGAGGAAGTTTTCCAGGCAGTTTCCTTTTTTTAAAGATTTATTGTCGACTTTTCGAAATCTCCATTTGAATGCGTTCCACTCAAAGGCCGAAAAATAGATTAGAAACAAGATTTGCGAGCCAATATCTTATAGATGGGCCATGATTAAATCGGTTTTAAAAACCCGAAGCATAGAAAATTGCTAACTGCCTCCTTCCTAGGCTTTTATAATATATTTAGGCGTATCATAAATTTCATATAATTGTACTCTGAAAATCAAAACGTTTTTGCAGAAACAGCATGCAGAAGAAGGCGACAATTATGCTAAAGCAAAAAAAAGACGAAGAAATAGTGCAGAAATGAACGAGGAGACATAGAAAAGAAAGAGAAAGTTTTTCAGAAATAAATCTTGAAGAAGGAATGAGAAATGCAAAAAAGAAGTATCAGATAAGATGGAACAAAATTTTGGAATGAGTTTTATTTTTTTGCTTTTTAAAAATAAATGAACGAATAGTGGATAAAGATGATGGGGAAATCTATTACATAATAGTCTTATTTTATTTAGAATTTCTAATTTATTTTTATTTTATTGCATTCATTTTGGTTTCTAAAATCAACAAAAATCCAATCAATATCATTTTTTTCTGAATTTTTTCTTCTTTTAACAGCTCTCACCATAACTGGTTAGACTGGCTCCACGGCTACAAGGATAAGACGCTTCTAGGCGCTGCGCTCCTGCGCTGTTTAATGCCATCGTCGACAGTAATAGAAGCCATTCATTTTTCCATCGACTAAGTCCATATATTGCTGGTCCACCTATACGTTCAAAATCTTTCCTGACGGTATAAATCCAGGTTCTGATTGGCCCATCTCGCTTTTGGCACCATCCATCACATGGTTTAACAAGTAACGAAATATGCGACAACTTCTGTGGTGGACGACGGAGAATACGTGCCTTAGCCACCGAAGGCGAAGGTGTGATAGCATTATTAATGCAAGTGATATTTGAAGTAATATGAGAGTGGAAGATGGATGCGATCCTATGATATTTTATCCGCTCGAGGAACCCGTAAAATGTACCTTAGACAAGAGTGGTCAAAGGTAAATAGCTTCTTAATATCTTCCACTCTCATTGGCTGCCATATAACAAGATCGAATGAGTCACGGCTATATAGATGCGGACTTTTGTTTTAATGGTAATTTCATGATGACTCTAGAAAGGTTTCGTCAACCGGAAAAACGCATTTCTAGCTGTCATGATCCGAACTATAATATCGTCTTTTGCCTGGCCATTTGGTATTAGAGTGGACCCAAGGTATTTGAAATCAGGCACTTCCTCAACCGGCAATGAATTTACAAAAAGAGGCATTTTATCAGCTTTTTTTTTTGTACATAAGACGAAAAGATTTTCGTTTTGTATACATTGACTCTGAGTCCTGTTCTTGCTGCAGTTTCTGACACGTTATTTAATATTACTTGTATTTCGTTATAACGGTCAGCAAAAAAGACTACATCATCAGCGTATTCAAGATCTGTGATACGATGCTCTGGATTAATTTGTACATCCCTTGAATGCCGACAAGCGGTGTCCATTACCCAGTCTATTTCATAGATGAATATTGTAGGGGAAAGGACGCATCCTTAATGGACACCTCAATCAAAGACCGCAAAGTCAATGAAACACGTAACAGTAGGTTGCAAATTTTTCTGAATTCCTTCATATATTATTCGATGAATAAACCGAAAATTAATATTTTAATATTATATATTTTGGCTAATTTTATGCATATATATAATCGTTCTTTTACTTTAGGCAATTTATGGATAAAAAATTTTCAACACTAAGGAAAATGTGGTAAAGCTAATTTGCTAATTTGCATACTTCTAATTAAAGACATTTTAAAAGTATTTGTTCAGCTTTTGAATGATCTTCCCATGAAAGCCCACAAAAGCACTTTGTCTCCATTAACTATTAGAGTTAGAATCCTTTCTCAGTTCCACTTCGGCAAAGAGTCACTCAACACACGGCCACACAAAAAGACCAAGAGACTGACTGTTCTACTAATGTTTATCCAGAAATTAACACTGGTTGCTATGAAAAATTCAAACAGTGTGGTATCAAACATCTGATGATGCGATCAAAAAGACGATTGGATTCCTTAAAATGATCCACAAATATGGTTAATTTTCTAATAATAATAATCATAAATTGCTATTTTTTCAATTTGGCTCCATCAATAATATATTTAATATTTCGTTAGCATGGAGATCGATTTCAAGCTTAAGCTAATTTATTAAGCTTAAATTTACTAAGTTTTGTTTTAATGCACTTAAATCCAGACTTTTATTCTTTGATTGCAATTCACATTAAAATATGGTAAATTTTTCATTAGAAAACAAGTCGCATGAGGCTATGACTTCTGTTCGCGAGTGATAACTATCTGTCAAAATGTTCTTATCCAAATGATCAGTGGAGCGAACCAATAAAAAAGAATTGGAAAAAAGCATTTATAAAAATTCTAGGAGTACCATAGGCAGTACCATTTTACATTTGGAAATCTCTGCACTTCAAAATTTCAGTATTTCCTGAAGAAGCTCTAATGCTAACAATGTTTCACTGAAAAGCTGAATTCTCTTACACTGTAGTACGATAATTATAATTTGGTGTTGGTCCGACAATCCTTTTTTAATTGATTTTTTATTGAATTTTTTAACTTTTGAAATCTAACAACCATTCGCAACTGTTAGTTAATTGCCAAAATTTAGCAATTATAGATTTTTATAAAATTTCATTTTTTTCATTTTTAAATGCTCTAATTGGTCTGATTTCATCTAAAATTTAAATATTTCATTCCATTTCGATTTTTATTAAATTAAATTTATTTTGTGGTTGTCGGTTTATTTTTACGCTAAATTAATTTCAAGCCATTTCGCAATATGCAAATTTTTTAAAAAGTATAAAAAGGCCGAAAAATTTCAAGAATTTTAGTTGAAATTTTATAAATTAATAGTCTTTGCGTTAATTCTTTTATTTCTTTTATAATAATGGCTCGCCGTCGATATTCCTTAAATGGAAGAAGTTCAAGATCAAGGTCGAGATCACCTTCGGAATCAACATTATCTCGGCGCCAACAGCGACGAAGAAAATCTACTCGGAGATTCAGCCGATCCAGATCGCTGTTTGCCCGGACAAGGCCACGCGATAGTCTCGGTCGATTTCTTCCACTGGATTCTGCGTTCGTTTTGCTCTAACAAATCACACCATACTATAGTCTATAAAATATTTTTCTTTATTCTATATTTTCTTAAATTGCAGCGAGATTAAGCGAGGAAAATTTTCAGAGGGATAAAAGAACCCAAAGATAGAGCACAAATACTAAGTGAACCAGGTCGATCAAGAAGGTCAGGCAGATCGAAAAGTCGTTCTAGAGGATCACTTCGTGTGACAGACATGTCTTCTCGACGAATGCGCGGAAGAGAAATGCCGCGTTCATCAACAAAACGACTCGAAATCACGATAGATCTCTGTAATTTTACCAAATTTAAGATTTTTGCTAATCTTCTGAAAAATCATTAAAAGGAATTTATAGAATTTATTATATAGGCGATTCATATCTTTTAGGAGAAAAAAAAGGGTTATTCTCCTACGTCATTAAATCTTATAAAAATCCTTTCAAAAATTCCAATATTATTTTGTATTATTTTATTAATATTATTTTCAGGATAAAAAGGAAGAAATAAAGTACAATGAAGACGAAAGAAAATAAGACAATTGATAATCACTTTACTAACCAGTGTAATAAATTGTATCTGAAGACGAAATAAAATTTATAAGGCCAAGCATTATAATGGACATTATATTTGCCAAAACTCTTTGTGATAACATTTTACTGTTTAAACAGAGGCCAAACTGGTCTCTTCGATCATATTAGCTTCATATGATCAGAAAAGCGATGTGATTGTAGACAGAGATTCTCACTCGTATTTTTGAACAGACAGGTTTGCACCGGCTAGGAGTATAACCGCTGCATTGCCATTCCAAAATGAGCAAAATCCAATTCACTGAGCCATCACTCTATCGAGGCTGGTCTTGTGTGATATAATATTTTATGTAGAATTTTATTTATTTTTAATAGCACGATTAGCAGAAAGCCTTATAAGAGTGAGGAAGAACGAAGAAGCGAGAAATGAAAGCAATAGGAGAAAGAAAATAAAACTGCAGGAAATACCTAGCATCAACGAGCATTCTCATTTCTACTGCATTTGTTTTTTGTTTCCTTATTGTATCTTCTGGTTTATTCCGTTTCAAATTAAATTATTGGTTGCATGATTTTCATAAAATTTTTTTAGCAATTTTATTTAGCGGCTGCCTGTCGGTTCATTTTCAATCAAAATTAACTTAATGCCATTTTATAATATACAAATTTTTTAGAAAGTATAAAAGCGTCAAAAAGTTTCAAGAATTTCAGTTATAATTTTGCGCGAAATAATTCATCCTTTTCCTTTAATAGTTGAATAATAATAAATGGCTGGTCGCCGACGTTCCGCAAATACAAGGAGGATTAGATGTCCAACATCTTTATTTAAGGTCTTCATCAACGTTTTCTTCAGCATCTTCTCTGAGTCAACCATGTAAACGGCGCACAAGAAAATCACCTGGCGGATTCAGTCGATCTAAATCAATGTTTGCCAAGACAAGACCGCGAGATAGTCGTGGTCGATTTCTTCCACTGGGTCTTGGGTCTGCTTCAAACAACTTATATGTCCTATAATTCACTATTATATGGTTCCAAATATTCGATTATTTTTCACTTTTTCTAGAGAGAGAAAAACCCCATTGAATAGCCTAAATGGTCAATTGTCATTATAAACTCGTAATTTTTTAGAAATATAAGGGATTCCGGACTCAGGGAACGGAAATCGAAAAGATCGAGTCGTACGAGGAAATCAAAATCATTCTGAAGGTATGAGAAGCATTAATGCTTGAAGAATGCATTTAGTTAGATGTTGACAAAACAGAACTATTAAAGTCAATATTCACAGATGTGTTCTTTAAAAATCTATAGTAAAGTTTTAAAATAGAAAAAAAAAGAAATTCTAGCAACTAACCTACTAAAATATTAAAATATTTTCAGATGTTCAGAAAATTTTCCTTTAATTTCAGAATAATGCGACAGTAATTCACTGCAACTGATTTAGCACAATAAACATTTAATTTTCTATCACATCACAAAAAATATTTATGTAATTTTCCTTGTGAACGAATAAAATTTTGCAAACCTTATCACAGTATCACAGCAGTACCACCAAATGTAAAATAACTTGTAAAATTACAATGAAATAACTTAAAAATCGAAAAACGAAAAAAAGAAATCTAATAAAAAAATTTCCACCAAATCTTAGGCTTTGAAATGGTTATTTAATAATTCAAAGAAAATATTTCGAAATTATTTTTGCAAAATCGTTATCATTTGTCCAATTAAAATAATTAAAAAATAATAAAAATTAAAAAAATTAGAAAAATTAAAAAAAAAGGTTAGCGTCGGCTATTTCTGGTTTTGCTAGCTGTTAAGTGGCCATCAGAAATTTTTGCCAACGAGCTGCATTGCACTAGCAGTATAGGTTCGCCAGTCATCTTGTTTCATCTTGTTTTTTTTAAGACTGGATCATGCCTGTCGACACATAAATGGCATCTTTTGTCGTACAACATGGTGGTCACTACTCGGCCATCCTTCCCTTTTCATTCATTCACTGGGTATTCATTGTATAGATCCACTCATTATTAATTTTTGTGGTACCTTATTTAGCATTTTTATTTTTGAATCTCTGCGCATCGGTTGATTATATTTTCAACTTAAATTATTCATTTGAAATCCTCAAAATTTTATTATTTTGTTTTATGCGAACCTGTCGGTCGTTTTTTAAAGAAATTGATTAATTTTTCATTTTGTTCATGCAAATTTGTAATATGTAAATTGAATGGACAATATATAAGTGCATTGAAAAATTTTATTTTCAATTTTTTGCATTATTAATCTTAACCGTTTTAACCAGCTTGTTAATAATGCCTTGTCACCGTCGCTTCGCATTTGCAAGGAGAGCTAGAGCTAGTCGTTCGAGGTCCTCGCTGGCATCGATGAGATCTTCACGAGGGCAAGCACGTAAACAGCCACGGCGCTTAAGATCTCGAAGTTCCAACCGATCTAGGTCGCTATCACTATTTGCTCAAACAAGACCGCGAGATAGTCAAGGACGATTTCTTCCACTGGATTTCGTGTTCGTTTTCAATTTAATTATTTTATAATACTGAAAGAGGTAATTTATCAAATTAATGAAATTTTTATTTCTGTGATTCGGTTTATAGAGATACAAAGGATTATGGACATATTGCGCAAAAATCAACGAAACGATCAGCTGGTCGTTCCGGAAAGGCATTTCATGAAAGAAGTGTATCTCCTCGAAGGCAACAAATAATTCGACTTTCATCACCAACACAGCTGCGAATCATAATTCGTCTAAGTTGTCTTCAAAACTTTCTCAAATAATTAGACTGAAAATCCAAATGATTTTATTCCTTATTATTTTATTCTTTTAAATTTTAGGATAAAGTGAAGAGAAGAGCCCTGCGAATGGTGGAAAAAATTTATATTTACCATATTTGTATTAATATGTAAATTTAAATAAATAAATATTCTACTTGCGCAAAGAAAAATTTTTGGAGTTTTTTTAGCGAAAAAAACGAGGTTATTCATCGGAAATTTGGGGAATTTATTTTAAATAGCTGAAAATACAGAAATATTCGCAAATTATGCGAAAATTTTATAACTGAAGAGTGAAAAAAGCTTAAACTAGTAAAGACAGAAGACATAGGTTGAATTTGATAAATTTCTACCAAAACTATTGTACCTAAACAGTTAGGTATTAGGTAACTTCTAGCTATATCACGCAATAAAGTTCACCTCTATTCTTAAGATAAGATTTGCAAAAAAGATGAATATCGAGTACAGTGACAGTAAAATATAGACTAATGTGATTTTTTTGGCGATTTTTTTTTTTACGGACGGGTTCGTCATGAAAGAAAAATTTTCGAAATTCTTAAATTTTCAACAACTTTCAGTGGGGAAAAAATATTAAAGCTGAAGCATTTCATAAAATTTGAAAAGTAGCTTATTTATATTCGACTTTTTTCCAATATTTATGGCAGATTAAGCCACTATCATGCATAATTTTCCTTTTGTCTTAAATTTCATGACTTCATTTTTCAAGAGAAATCTCAGAATCGATAAACTTCCCAAGTTTATTTCTTTTGAATAATATTTGAAATAATTGATTTTGCGCTTTCTCGTAATGGCACACACCAGCTGTGGTGTGGCCACCTCCGCCATCTACTGAGTCCTTTCACTTGTTGATGTGGAATCGAACAGCTAATGGCAGCCAGAGACCAACTGCACCTTAGAATATTCGTCTCTAAGAGATGTTAATTGGAAAATTGGCAATGATTGCTAAGAAAAATTCAAAAAGTGGAATAAAATTTTCAATAATACTGAAACAATCTTTCCTAAAATAACTATGCCATTTGTCGCATCAACCATCTGTTATAAAAGATGGTATCAAAATTACGATTGCTTACGAATTCATTGCAAAAAGGTCTTTAAAATGATCTGCAAATATGCTTATCGTTTATATTTTCTATTAATAGTGATTATACATCGCTATTGCTTCAATTTGGCTTCAGCAATACATTTCATATTTCCTCAGCATGGAGATCGATTTCAATCATTTTATCAGCAAAATGGCGTCTTTTTTGTTGGTTCAATGTTTGTTGTTTTCTTACAAATCTCTATTTATTTTTTGATAGATAGCAAAATTTCATTGCATTAATTTGATTAATTTTTTGAAGATAAAAATTTAATAAATGGAGGGAAAACATTTGATTAACATCAACTAAAAATGGCTATAATTAATTAATTAATTATCAATTTTAACTGAATAATTTAATTGATTGATTAAACTAGCAATTTGATCAATTAATTGCGATTAAGAAATCGTATAACTGCGTTCTCTTCGGCGACGCTTCTGGAAACCTCGACAAGTGTAATAAGAAGCACCTCGGCAGCAATCACCAACTGCAATCATAAAGGATTTACTGAGGTTGTTTGTAAGCAAAATTAGGAAAAAATATACTTCGAGGATTCTTTCTAAGAAACTAGTATATTATTTTCAAAAATTGTTTCAAAATCTTGCAATTGCCTCTGCTATTATTATAAAATCGTAAATGGAGCGTCTTGGCATTATCGTTCAACCAGGGCTACGGTTACAGTTTAAAATAGTTAAATATTGTATGAACTGTTGTTCCGGCTTTATGCTTCATTTATTCGCCCTCTGCACAATTATTTATTTTAGTCTGAATGTCAGAATTACATCACGAGCATAACTAATTACAATGAAAATTGCATTATGGTCTGTGGTACAAATGCATTGACGCCAATGTGTTGGATCAGAGAAGTATCTTATGTGATAAAAATTAAATTCGTATTTTATTATTTAACGATTTTAATAACCATTTTGGTAACAAATTTAAGCCAGAATATCTGCGGTATTTTAAAATTTTACTTTACTTTTTACTTTTAAATTTTACTTTTATTTTACTTTTATTTATTGCGTGTGCTAAAATTCACTTTTCAGTAGTGAACTTTAATCGTAATTTATTTTAAAATTTTTTGTGATTTTATAAATTTAAAATTCTTGAAAAGCTTTTCAAGAATGAACGCAGCAAAGTGTCCAAATTATTAAATTGTCAAATTACGGATGTAAAATCTCTAGAAAACTTATAAGATTATTTAAAATAATAATCCTTCTTATCTTTCGCTCATAATGATCAATTTTAACAGATTTCTGTCATCAAAAATAATTCACAAGATAAAGATGAATTTAATCTGTTGAACACGAAACTCATTGCAATCTTTCAGTGAATCTTTTTTCATCTTATTTTTAGTTCCAAACCATTTATAACCCTGAAATTTAAAGAAAGCTAACATTAATGTGGATTGCTCAAAGACAATTAACGGTTTCGGTATAATATCAATGAATCGTAATTGTACGGCAATAAATTTTCGCCTTAATGAGACTATTATTGCCGCTACATCTGTCGACATACACTGCAAAAAGAATTTGATCATCGCCACATTGTCTAATCAGTGTAGAATATCGATACCAATGGAAAAGATTAAGATTAATTTTAACAGTAAGCTCATTAAAATCTGATAAGTCATTTAATACAACTTCTTCTTCCTCTGTATTCTTTCCTCGGACGGTTTATATTTATTATTTTGTATTAATTTGTACAGGTTCAGAGAAACCTTGTAATATATTAGACAGAATGGTAGCATGCTCCAAGGACCAAAACCATTTCAGTGAAAATAGGCAAAGTTGAAATTATTCTTCTTTAAAATTATTCAAGACATTTCGGAAAATTCATTTCTCGTCATTTTGCATTTTATTCAAGTTTTTTCTTATTTTTCCAGAATTCCTCATTCATTTTATCCATCTATTTCATGAAAAATATAAACTGACCGGATTTTTGCGATTTCAGCACCAACTTTTGTAGCGATGTTTTCTTGGAAAAATTCCGTTTATATCCTTTTTAATGAAGATGTTCAAAATGGCCAGAAAGATGTATGTTGCCCAACTATTACCCAAATAGATTAGATATACATATTTCCTTTCTTTTCTTATCAAACAAATTGGATTTGTCTTTTAAGTGACTATTTTTCCATTGGTTAATAGAAATTTCTTATACTGCCACACTAATTGCAACCGTTTCAGGCGAGGATCGGTCGAATTTGTATAGAAAATCTTAAATGTTGGCAACCTTATGAAAATTTTAATTTTATGAAAATGTCTATCCGATGCACAAATGAAGATGGAAAGAAATTCCCATTAATGACAGCTGCGGTTACTTTTAATGGAATTTTAGTTGCAGCATTTCAAGACAACAATTCTTCAGCTTTATGCATTTACGATATGGCACGCATTGAACAATCTTCGGCAAATGAATTGAGCGAAATTGATGAAATCCTTGGCGAAACACGAATCATAAAAAAATTGGTTGATACGAAGGCATCTATTACGGCTACACAGCAAATAATTGAATCGAAACAATCCATCGTTCTTGATTCACCTTCAAGGCTTGTTTGAACATATTACAGATTGCTCGATTTTATTTAGCGCAACTTTAAATATATTGCTTAAATTATCAATTCAACACCATAATTTGTCCCCTCACTCCACAAGAGAGTAATTTAGCTACTTTAAGTCCAATCGATATTATGCTGGAGATTTGGGTATTTCTCTCTGATGGTTTTTGAACAATTTGGTGATGAAACTAATATTTTGCTTGGATAATCTAGTTCTATCCATAAATTTAGGATCATATGCGTGGATATAGAGGAAAACAGTGGCGAACAGCTTAATATTTTGGCGACTTCATCTGATGGACAGTTATTTCAGTTTTCTGCAACGGTTAAAAATGTGACAATAAAGCTAACGGGAGCAGCGATTCCCTTCAAACTGCGATCAGTTAGACAAGTTCGATTCGCAAAAAAGGCAAAGAAATTTCGCATTTAACATGACAGAATAGCAAAAATATAAATTCAGAATCATTGCAAAAATTCTAAAATTTAAAATTTTAAGAGTCATATAAAATTTAAAAATGCAAAAACTTGGGAAAGGAAGGAGTAGGTGGTTATTTGGTCAGCATTTGGTACTTGTTCAGAAGTATTATGTTTTTTTCTATCTCTTTCTTTTTTTCCTATTTCTTTTTTACCTCTCCTCTTCTCATAACCTTTTACTTATTCCTCCTTTGCATAATATTTTTTGTCACCTTCTCTTTCATCAATAATTATTTTTTAATAAAAGGCGACATTTGCCATTTTTAAAAATATAGCAAAATCAAAATGAAATCAAAATGAAATGAAATGAATTTTAATCAAAATGAGAAAGGATTTTAAAAAAAAAAACTAGAATAATTTGAGAGTTTACTGTTATTCACTGAAATGGCATTTATAATCGAAAGAAGCAAAGAGAATCTCGAAGGAATTCAACGAATTTCTGAAGGTTTGAACTTAACGAAAAATAAACGCTTTACTCCTGAAGGAGCAGCAAACTATAATCTCTTAGGAATATTCTGAACCATTGTCCATTCGCCCATTTTGTCCCATAGAGAAACTTTTCAATACTTTATTATGATTATTTTTTTTTCAAGATTGCTCACCATTACTGGTTAAACTCCACTGGTTTGTCGCACTAGACAAATATGCCAAGGAGGTATCTCTTGGCGATAAAAGTACAGGTGTGTCACCCGCATCACCAGGACTTTTGGACAGGTTTACTCCTGCGGGGAATAGAACCTCAGCACCGGCACTTCGAACTGAGCAACAACCCACTGAACCATTCTATCTCCCTCTAACTCTGTTATAATTGGTTGGATAAAATATCAACCAAAACCTCAAACTATGAAAAATCATATTTTCCATTAAAAAAACTTTCGTCAAAAATTGAAATTCCAAAAATCCATTAGTTACTCTAAAGATGCTCGAAAATTTTCAGAATTTTCAGTTTATTCGAAAAGGGAATCAAAACGCATACTGATTGGCCCAAACCATATGGTTAAAAGGCTTGCTCTTGCGAAAAAGTTTGTAACGAATATTTTATGACCCTATAGAATACTATATCAATAGTTCCATTTGATTATACGTTTATGAAAGTAGATCTAAATTTCTAATAGGTCAAATTACAATCAATATATTATATATTATTTCGAATTTTTTTTGTTTGGAATCTTTTTAACTCGCAAATCCTCGCCTAATTTACCATTTAGCCAAATTCACTTAGGAAATTCACTCTGTTCCAACACACACAATGGACGGAATGGAATCAGTGTTCAAGCCCATGTAATGGAGGATTTACGAGTCGTAGTCGGCGGTGTTTTTCATCCCATTGTTTCAATCAAACAACGCACGTTCGTCAGTATCAAATGTGCAATGTCAATCCTTGCAGAGGTTGAGATTGAGATGATTCAAAGTTTTGCAAAAAATTTTCAAAAAAAGAATTAATAAAAATTTGTCATAGAAAATAATTTGGCACTAAATAAATTGATAGAATTGACTGAGAAAATTTTCTGAATAGAAATCCGAATTTACGGCGATTGGACAAACTGGCTCACTACAGAAGCTGGTTTAACTGCGCGCTATCAAGCAAGATGTGAAGCAAATGTGCCGAATGGCAGTTTTCTTAAAGCAAGTTTGCGAAAATCTAAAAATAAAATACAAGAATGGTTAAACTGGGAAGATTGGTCTAGCTGCAGTTCTACTTGTGGCTACGGAATAAGAACTAGATGGCGGAGAGTGGCGAATTTATATCCAACAAATGGCACTTTGTCGCATGAATCTCAAGTATGCTCAGTGCCACCTTGTGATGCAGGTTTCAACATATGCTCGATATTTTATGCCAATATATATAATCTAACAATCCATTTATAAATCTAACAATCCATTCTGATTCGACAACTCTTTGCCTTATTTGTTTTAAAATTTTAGAGAAACTCGTAGAATGGACAGATATGAGAGGTTCACGATGGCGCATGTTAAAATGTTCTGAATATCAAACGTGTTTTGATTTGCTTGCTAATGAGAATTATGAAGCAGGCAGGATTCCCTTAAAATTAGGTAAAAGATAAATTATTTTCCTTTTTATTTCCTTTCAATTTTAGAACTTTATGGGCAAATTTATGGCCATTCAAGTATTCTTTTTCCTAATTTTTTTTCTCTAACTTCTTTTTTACTGAAATATTTTAAATATTATTTATTAATATGATAGTAATCGAATGTTTAAAAAAATGGAAATTAAAATTAAATGAATAAATATCAGTTTATTTTGATTTTAAGGATCTCTCGTATTTATTGGAATCTGTTGCTTGTCAGCGTTTTTATTAGGCATATTATGCGTTTTTGTTATTATGGGAACTTGCTGCAATGATCGTTTACCACCATTTAAAATTTTTTAAAAAATATTTTATTTTTTGCAATTTTTAAAATTACATATTACATTGTATTACATTGTATAACACTTGAAAATTTGGGATAAGAGGGATTCAAGGATAGTCTTGAGAGTTAAAGGAGAAACAATCCAGAAACCTTTTGCAATAATCTTCCATGTTACGGATAAATTATTAAATATCACTTTTGGTAGTTAGAAGTTGGGATTTCTTACGGTAGAAATATCGCCATTTATGTTCCGGTTTGATTCTTTGCAATACTTTTTTCGTAACGGAATTGCGAGTTATGAATGAAAGTTAGGATCCAACTGAATAAATTTATTCCAGATAATTTCAATAATAACTGCCAGCCAAAATTATAAATAATAAAATTAGACCGAATTCATCGAAATAGCGGATCTAAAATCTTTTCAAAACCATTCCCTTACCATTATTTATCATATAAATTCATGTTTGTATTAAATTTTCTTATTTGATATTGTTTTTGTATCTTCCTTATTTCACTGAATCGGGTTCATAAAGTATTTCATGTAAGGTATTCTTTCCCGATAAATTTTGCTCGTTTTTTTCTATAACCAAAATTTCACCGATTTACCGATAAAAAACTTGATAAATAAAGAATAAAGATATTAAACAAAATCGAAATTAAAATAATAAAATTAAAATTATGAAACAAATGGGCCTTAGAATTAAATTAAATTTATGCAGATGTCACCGATGGGTGATTATAATTCATCTTTTTTGCTTTTCGAGCAGCTGGAAAGCTTCTTGCTTTTGCCAGGCTTCTTTGAGGATTTACCGGAATCCTTTGTCGTTTTGCTGGTATCTTTCATTTTTTCTTCATCTTCTCTCTTTTCTTCCGATTTTTTTCTATCCATTTCTTCGTTCGATTTCTTCTTACTTGTTGTTTTCGTTTTGTCATTGTCCGTAGATAACTTAGTTTTAGCATCATCTTTTGTAATTTTATCTTCGCTAAAAATTAGTTTTTCTTTGTTCGATTTCTCCTCAATCTTTTTCTTATTATTTGCTTTGGTATTTGAGATAATGAATTCAGAAAATTTTTTAGCGGTCCTTTCATCTTCTGTGTAGTAAATTGGCTGAAAATTTTCCATTAATTTAAAATTCTTATGTATAAAAAAAAAATTTTGGCAGGAAAATTCTATATCTAATATGCCACATCATTTGAACCATTGCTTGACTTTTCTATTTTAGCAACTGATTTGGAATTCCGATATTAACCTTTCGACTTCCTCGAACAAAAAGTGCAATCGTAGGCACGTCGAAAATTGGCAGCCCATGTACTTCATTCTCTGTTGAATCGATTTTAGCAATCATTATTTCATCGTTACTGTGGTAGAATTCAGCAAGTTTTTCAATTTCTGCCATTACAGCTTGACATGCCGAGCACCACGGTGCATCTATAAGTTGAAGCTTCAATATAGCTCAAAAATCTTATAATTTCCAGTTGTTTCTCATGCATTTTATAATTAAATTTTTTTAGCAAATTTTCATACGGGGACATAGTTTAAAAAACTTACAAAAGAAGACGAATGATGTCTTCATTTTATCGAAAACGACATTTTCAAAATTTTTGCCAACTAAAATTTTTAATGGCTTTCGATCCCAATCATCTGCTATCTCTTCAGTTTTCAAAAATGCTATTTCATTTCCATTAAGGCAACTTTCAGTAAATGAAACAATATTGGCTTTTGTAATCTAAAAAAATTATGCGAGAATAATAAAAACAATTAAAAATCTTTGAATTAACTGATTACTAAAGATTAGATAAGAAGTGAAGGGTGTTTTATATGTTTGGTGAAATATTAACTTCCAGTTTCCAGTGGGAATAAGAATAAAGTTTGGTTTTGCAATTTCAAATTATTTTAAGAATCTTTATAAATCTGCTCTACCTCATTCCAACTGAATTTATATTTTATCAGTCCATTCTGGATTTTAATAAATAATATAGTTGGAATTTCTTCAGCGATGATTCCCAAATATTCAATTACTTGCCAATTTTCTTCAATATCTGTGTCGATAAATACAAATTTTACCTAGAAATGAATTTCATTTACTCAAAATACTCAAAAAACACTCGAAAAAATTATCACAAAAAGAAGTGATAATAATTTCACAAGCTACTAAAAGCATTTGGATCAGTATAGTTTTGTTATGAAAATATTTTGTTGACAAAATGTTTAAATTTCTAGGTGAATAAAATAATTAATTCCTTCACCTCTTTCTTGAACGATTTAGCAGCTTTGTTGAACTCATCGATATGATCATCGTAATCATCCGACTTTTTTGATTCGATTAAAACATTGAAATAATTGAAATCTTTACCAAATATGTTTGATCCACTTTTTTTTACAAATTCTGTTACCAACTTTGTATTCTTGAATATTATAATTTTACTCAAATTATACGATATAAGTCATAAAAAATTGGTTGGATTATTGTCTGTACGTGCTAGCAAATCGGTTTAACTGTTCGTCAAAAATACCTCTTAAAAGATTTCCCTACTCCACTCTTCATTTTTATGAGTTGGAACGGGAATCAGTTGAAAATCGGAAAGCTAATACGATTCCAATTTTGCAGCAAAATTGCATATAAAATACGCCAGTTCGTCCAGAAAATTTTAGGCTGATCAAAAGGTAAATTCTAACCAATACTAAAATTTTGTGCGACCCTAGGAGGACGAGTTTTTTATTAAGACGTTGCATGGTCCGAGAAGAAGCATATTTTCATTTATAAAAATAGCACGAACAGCAATATCATTGAGCAGCTTTTGCTTCGTATTTTTGCATGCAAAAATAAATCAATTACAAGAAGGATTTTTTGCAAACATCGAAAATTCATTTTTCTAGGCCTTTTACTATTTGCATTTTTCTTAAAAATTTGTTTTATTTAATTTATTTAAAACCCTTTGAACTTGAAAAACAAATCTTTTTTGATAATAAACAAAAAATTAGATCAGTCATTTAGATCAGTCATTTTTTCATTTAGATCAGTCATTTAGTTGATTTATCTTTATAAGTCTTAGAAGATGAAACCAGTTCATCTCGACTCGTACTCGAGGATGGCACTGTTTTTAAAAGACTATTAAAAATCTAATGATTGTAGTCATAGGCCAACAAATCCAATGAAGCCACATTTATTTTTAAAAGAAATCCCTCACCATCGCCCATGTCTAATCGTAATAAACGCTTCATTAAGTTATGCATCACTTTGCAATAATGTCCGATATGACCCCACTGGTCAACCAATATCACCACTTATTTGACACTTTCATAAATCTTACCTCATAGTACCATACTAAAGCCTTTAACAAAAAAAAGAAACGTGAAAATACCATGCAAATTGTTGAAATTGTCAATTGTTAGTACTAAAATAATCAAACTAACCTTGGAAAGAACGACTGTGAGAAAGAAGTTAAAAAATAGAAATGCAAAGACAACGATTTGCGCCATAAGGTGATATTTGATAGAATTTGTGACACAATTTTATAGAATATATTCGACGAAAACTGGATTGTAAATCACTGATTGACAATCATATCATCGATCTATTTGGCGATACTTAAAAAATTTTTGTGAAAGGAAAGGATGAATCTTTTTTTGTTTAGTGAAAAGCGAGAAATAATAATCATTTGATTGTTAGAATCGTTAATTTCTACTCTTTACCCCCTAGCAGCATTTGTTTTCTGGGATTCACTCATTGTTATGGACCATAACCCATCACCAGGGAGCCATTAGCGCACAGAAATAGGAACGAACTTCCAAAACATTGTCGGAACCAAAAAATGATTGGAAATCCTTAAATCTGTTTTAAGGTCCGAGAGATTCGAGTAAATTATATTCTAAATAGCAAAAAATTAAAAATTTCCACCCTCCGAAGCCAGAAGATTAGAGCATTAAAGAGCATTGGAGCATTATCCTCAATTCGCTGATGAAAAAGCAGAATTTTTCTTGATTTCACTCTACTAAATTTAAAAATTTTTAAATGAGAAGTTCCTTAATGAAGTTCCTTAACTTTCTTATTTGTGATTCGCTGTTTTCTAAACAGTCAACTTACAATGCTACATAGGCAAAGTTTTTGAAAAAGTTCTTTAAAAAATGTGTTGTTTCTCGACGAATTCTTCAAATGATTCAGTGAAGAGGAAAAAAAGAGTGGTGAAATTGGTGAAACCATGTTTGAACAATTTGATTCAAGAAAGTTCAAGATTCAAGAAAATTGGATGCTGATTTTCATATTAAAACAAGTGAATCTTTTACTTCCAGTAATGCAAATTCCCCTGGCTGTGAAATAATATATGGTTAGCAGTTTGCCAGGGAACCACTTTTGGTGGCCACTTGTGTGAATTGCTAAAACCACCCGAAATACATCTTTCTTTTAATATGGAGAAATTATGTTTGGTATTTTGTTTGACATTATCAAAATTTCGGCATAAAGATGTTCACATATGCAGCAAATTTGCTTGTTAAATTGCGTGACGCTCAAATTATAGGGTGCGAGAGTAATAATAGCATCTTGTTTTTAAATATTGTAAAATATTGTAAAATAAGTTAAGCAATACTGCATTCAGAATATTCTTCTATTAATTCGTTTCAGCCAGAAAAATTCGTGAAATTATCCTTTTGAGGAAATCAAAATTGGCTATTTGTGCTTTCTGTGAGAATTTTGAATGTTCGATGGTCCATCGGTTTTCTTGTTTTCTTGTGCCGAATAATTAATTATAAATAAAAGATGCAAATTCAAAAGAAACTGAAGCTAAGCAAAATATTAAAAAGACATAAATTGGTGAAACTTTGGGGCTCATCTATGCCGCAGTGGAGATGGGTTTGCATTTGGATGCGACGTTCGTTGTAGCGCGGTGATGTTGAACTCTCTCATAGAGCACTGGTGCTATGATTGGTGTACCTACATTATCTGAGCGCGAGTGCATCTGCAGCATGCAAAAGACGAGCGTAATTGGCGGTGCTTCGTCATCTGCTTCACATTGTTCGAGTTGTGATAATCTTTGGATAATTTGATATTGCTGATAACGATTATTATCTATTCCCAAGTGACTTTAGCGGAGCTCTTTTTCTTTGCAATTGAGCATTTCAAACGAGAAATTATGCACACACTTAGAAAAAAGTAATTTCATGGTTTTGCAACTTCTCTTTAATCGATATAATAAAAATAGTTAAATATTAATAATTTAAAATTTCTTATGAATATTAAATATCAAATTTATAGATTTATTATTTTTATTGATAACAAATAAAAATTAATTTCAATTTATTTTTAAATTTCATTAAATTTCATTTCATTAAAAAAGATTCTTAGAAAAAAAATTAAAAAGAAAATAAAACGAATATAAAATATATTATAAATATTAAAACGTTAAATACAAATTTAGAACTAAATAAAATTTGAAAATTTGCGAATTCATTTACTTTTTTTTTTAAGAAATTTATTTAAAAGATTTATCAGTTTTTGAAAATAGTTAGTATGAGAAAATGTTTGTATTCTTCTCTAAAACGAACCGTCGAGCACTTCGTTTATTATTTAGGAAACCATGTAGCGACCATGGTCCCAGCCAAGTCGTGGGGATGATGAAAATCTAATAAATATCAAGTGGGAATCTCTATGATTTTACGTGATTTGGAAAGAGTCCTGACCCACGTCGACATCGCTGTTGAACTGGTTGCGGATCTGGACGGTCGTCTTGGAGGTTGGAAGCGGGTGTGAGACGCTCGGCGGTGGGACAATTTCCTGATTTCTGCATTGCGTTTTGGAAATCAAATTTATTCAATATCTGCAGCATCATACAAGATTTAAGTGAATTCATAGCAAAACAATTGAGCAATAATAAGTAATAGTATTCTCATTTAAAAGGACGTGACGAAGAGAAATGCAACAATTATTAAACTAATTTTGCATAAATTTTGCAAAAGAAAAAAAATCTTCAAAGAGATTTCATATAAAAAACTTGTCAATAGAAAAATTAATCCTAAATTTAAAATCTGTGCCGTCGGTTTAATGTACTTTTATTAAGAAATAATAATTTTGAGTATAAAGAAAAGATTTAATCCTTGAGGTAGTGGTACCAGTAAGCGATATTGAATATGCTGAATAGAGATGGAAAGAATATTGCTGATAATTTGTCGATTCGTAAAGCAAATTGCTCCTAAAATTATTTATAATGATTTTCTATAATGCGCGAATGGAATTTGGCAGAAAATATTTGGAAGCACGACCTTTGGCAGTACATGGCAAATGTGGTAAATCGTGGATGAGAATTCTGAAAATGAAAGGCCTTTTTTATTTTCCACCTGCCATACCAAAAATTCTTAAAATATGTGCATCGTATTTTAGAAAAACCCGAGGATATGATGGTTATGGTTATTTAACTTTTTCGCCAAAATTTTCAACGCTTGAGTCGGCATCAGTGAGTTATGTTTACAGATTTTATTTATATTTTACAAAATACGACCATTTTCATTGAAATGCAAAGTAAATATGTGATTGAAGAAATCTTTACCATAGGCAAAAAAGGGCCAAAACAAGTGGAAACTGATTAACCTTCTGTCTTATCAAATTTGCTGCGTCTGTAGGTGATGGCGCTGTGGGTAAAGGAACAATTTTTTCTTGCTCTGCACAAGCACATGGGCCTGCTATAGAGGCCATGGTTGATTTCAAATGGTCATTCAAGCCATAACCCGGCGGAATATAGCCATAATCATTGTCACGTGCCAAACATATCAGTGCGTTCTCTTCTTCAGATGTATGTCCTCTCCTGGAGAAAAAGATTTATAATTTCTATATGTCTCTAAAAAAAACCAGAAAAACAGTAGAACAAATGTCGTGAGACCAAAAAAAAGATGGAATGGACACAGAAATAGAAAAGCAAAAAAAAACGGTAAACGCATAGGATAATAAATTTAGTCGGCTTTTACCTGTGAAATATAGAATTGTTTTCATAAACGGTGGTTGTTTTCAGGTCGACGAAATTATTAGAAGTAGCAGTATTATTTGCTTTATCAGCTGTTTGTTTAGGAAAGCTATCCTCTTCCCTACTTAAATAGCCAACCCAGGCAAGTTCGAGCAATGAGCAAAAAACAAACGTCATACAGCTTAACATCCACACATCTATTGCCTAAAATTATTGTTACGAAATTATTTACTAAAAAGTACAAAACAAATAAATAAATGATTCTGAAATTATTAACATTAACAATATTTTCATTAGCAAATCAAGTAAATTATACCAGGTAACAGGACGAGATAGAATGGTCAATATGATTCCAAGCATTATGGCTCGCTACCCGCCGAAGTTAAAGCCAAATTTGGTGCTGAGATACTTCATGCATATGAAAAATTTTCCGGCGAAAATAACAATGAGATAAGGAATGGTGAGTGCCAGGCCAGTAACTGGGTGCGGCAAAGAAACTTGACAAGAATGTTACTTGTTTATTTTTGCAGATTTCTTGCTGTTTTATTGCATCGCAAACTGGTAAAAATAATTAAAGATTAAATATTCAATTCAGTTTATAGAACATAAAAAAAATACCTTCACATAGCTGACCCTTGGCAAATTTCTAATAATATTTCCAAACTGAAAAGTCATCGCTAAAAGAGAATTAACGCCGAGCATTGTTCGGGCTGGTATTGCTTTCGATCCAAGTGCAAAAGAGATCCAAGCTAAAGAACACGAATCTTTCAAAAAATTATCTGTCAAATTATCTGTCCTTCTTCAAAATTTTCTATCTGCTTTCCTCTATTTTAACATGACGATATTATTGCAAATTCTAGTGCCAGGAAATATGTTAAAAATAAGTCGAGAATGAATAAGTTTCATGTGAATCTATGAATCTGAAACTATTACATATGCAAATATGGAAAAAAAATTAAGACTTACATATACATATCGTAAGGTAAGTTGGCAAATATGCCTGCAAAATATACCAACCAGCTCGTCTTTTAAAATGGAACTTCATGGTCAACTCGTGCCAAAATCCGGCAGGGTAAGGCTAGAATAATTGAATAACAATAACATCATTATTTTTATTACTTAACTGTTTTATTTAATTCTTTAGGAAGATTTCTTTAAATCTAATTTTTTAAGAATAAAATAAAAAATATAATAATATTATTCGCTGAGAGAATATTAAGTAAATGCTCAACGAGAGAATAATGATAAATGTTCGCTAGGAGGAAGAGGGAAGAAGTAAATAGGAAATTTAGAAAGCGGCCATGAAACAGATCCATCAAGGGAGAATCAAAATATATTGTCATCTGCCATCTTTTAAAACACTCAATTGTCCAACAGTCGAAAAATTTAAAAATCTATAACAGCGTTTCAGTTTACATTTAAGTAAATCATTCAAATTTTTTTCAAATTCAATAAAAAAAATTTATTTAGTGATAAATCAGATAAATATCAATAGCTGAGGAATAAGAAAAAACGCCTAAAGGACAAAAAATAACTGGAAAAAGGAAAAAAATGAAAACCTCGGTCGTTTTAAGATTCTCGATGCCAGTTAGTTCATAATCAGCTAATTCCATTTTCTCCCGCATTTTTGCAACACCCAGTGGTGACCAAGACATTTGTACTTCATCGGTATTGTAGCTAAATTAGGATTTAGCGAAAGCATTTTCAAAGAATATTAAATTTTTTCCCTTAATTCTAATTTAAACATCTGCTGATTGAATTGTATATTCCTGCTATCGACGGCAGAGTTCCACAGCTTTCTTCAACAAGAAAAAGGTCTGCTAGAGACTAACCTCTGTCTTTAACCTTATTAATTAATTCTTTTGCGAGAGGGGTTAACTCTAATAATTTGTAAAGACAACCGAAGCAGAAATGATATGCGCTATCAAAAAAAAGAACCCCTCAGATAGTTTCGAACCTCATTTAAAAAAAAAAATCGATTTTCTCGCCCATTATAATATTCCTTCTAATCAAATTCCTTAGGACCATCCAGAAAATGCAAAAAAAAGGAATGGTTGAGATTGAGCTACTGTAAAACTGAACTCAGAAATATGTTTCAGTTAAAGTACTGATTATCTGATTATTAAATAATGGAAATGACGAATTGAATTTAATTTCCCTTCCTGTCGTTCAGTTTTCTTCAATTTTGTTATGGCCGCGATGTTACAAAATTGATTGGACAGATAACTTTAACTCTGCCAACATTCTTAACTTACTTACTTAAAGCTCTCGAAAGTTAAAGAGCATGTCACATTATCAAATGGGAATCTGGTTAAATCCATTTCGCATGGGCCTGAAAAGAAAAAAATGTTTGCCAATTTTACTTTAAAATGAAATCTTTATCAAAAATTATATTTGGTAAAAAAGAAAAAAATAAAATCATTTTTTCTTACAAATAATAGAATATTGCTTTTTTCCCCAAATTTTATTCCCATAGGTAAATATTTTAAGATAATTCCCTATAGCTGTTTTCCTATATTCTGTAACAATTTTTTTTTTGCAAATTCAGTTCCCTATAATTGCTTAAATCGAGCAAAAATCATCTTCCACTCGGTTTTCTTATTTCTCGTGGAATTATTTCGACTGCCATAGTAAATATTCCGCTTGTTTGGCTAATGATTCTTATTTTTTTCCACTAATTGAATATTTTAATCCGTGAAAATAAGAAAGCATATTTAATTTATTTACGTCGTTCATTCAAATTATAAGACATATCGATAATTCAGTGAAAATATGGAAATCGCGTACGAAATGAAATTTATCATTAATTCATGCCACTATTTTTAATGTTATTTCCTTCATTAATAATCAACAAATGCAGAATATTTATAGAAAATAATTTCACTAAAAATTGAAAGTAGAAACAAGAAAATAGAACCCTGAAGCTTAAGGCGATAATTTGTCCAAACCGATCCGTTCGCATAAATCATAAGAAAAATATTCGGAAAAGGACTCCTATGAATATCTGCGGTTTTTGAATTTATAAAACATGAGTTTGGAGTCCAAAGTTTTTCAAGAAGGACGCTATTAAGCGATAAATTATATTTACAAGGATACATCCATGAATAATCCAAAGCTGGATCCAACCACATTTCACTAATATAAATGTCCAACTAAAATAAAATAAAAAGGAGAAAATTGGATATCATTAATATTTCAGGTGCTGTTGATGTATATGCTTCTATTCCAAGTGACTCTATGGTTCACTTTAATAGCCAGTGGAGTTGAAAAACCAGGAGTGAATGTTATTAGAAGCAAATTAAAAATCTAGTAACTTTCCTTACCGGGGATGAAATGGAAATAAGCGAATGTTTATGGCATCGTTCCTGATCAGGCTAGCTAGCTGGTTGTAGTACGATTAGAGATTAGAGATCTGCCAGAGAGTCACTTGGCGACAGAAGTATTGCCACAGCCGCCTGGATTTCTTTTATGGCAACCGACCGAATAAAAGTTATTCTATTCGTTGTACGATCAGTGAATCGAGCTGCTGGTACTCAACGCAGCCATAGCATACGATCATAATAAAATTGTCTAATTATTATAGATTTTAAAATTTATTATAGCGAATTTACTCATTAAATTTCATTATTTGAAGATTCTTAAGTTAACTTTTTTCTTTTTTTCAGCTAAAACGATTTCAAACAAATGATTTTGCTCTCATTTTCAGAATTCAGAATTTCGTTAAAAATCCAATAATTTGTTCAATTTTTTTCCGAAAAACACTAATGATATTCCTTCGTTTTGCAAACTTCCTAATTCTAAATTTAGCATTGATTTCCATCATTTTTCGAAATAATTTTCTTCTATTTCATCCAGTTTCTATTGATTTTAATTTTTATTCGGTCGCTTGTCATTTGAACAAAGGCTGAAGGCTTATAAACAACCAGTAAAATTAAGATTCCTTGTATTTGAAAATCCAATAACGACATTGCAAAATATGAAATTTAATGGCATAATTTTCTGCTAAACAAAATTTGGAAGGCCACTTTTTTCAATTTTATAGAAAAAAATTGCCTGAAAATCAGATGTTATATCACTAATAGTTGTTATTTCTTGTACCCATACTTCAACGACGACTCCAACCGAATCGCCAGGAATTCTGTGGCGATTATATTTCCTTAAAATAGTCTCTAAAATATACGAATCATTAGCGCACTGTGTTTTCGGAGGGGAATTTTGACGCGGTTGTTGACTATAATCTAAAATCGGTCGTAAACCGCCATCGTCGTCCATTTGCCAGTCATATAACCTAAAATTTTTTATTAATTTGGCTAATTAATAAGAAATATTTAAAATGAGAATCAAGAAAAACTCTATAATAAATATACAAGTTTTAGTGAGTTTTATGCATGAATAATTTAATGAATTTGCTATTGAATATGAGAAAAATAGAGAAAAAAAATTTTTTTGCCGAATTTTCACGAATTTCGAGTTTTTGATGAAAAATTCGAAAATGAAATTATTAAAATCCAATAAAATTTATTGCAACGAGAAATTTTATGGTAATTTTAAATGAAAAAATTTAGAAGTTCCAATTATGCAAATCATAAAATATTTTACAAATCGAAAAAATGAAAAAATTTTCATTTTTCCGAAATGAAATATTTCATGATTATCGTGACGAAAAATTTTTTTTTCATCTTAAAATTCGTTTTTCTTTTAGTATTAAATTTCTTAAATTAAAAAAATTCATGCAAATAAATATGAAATGAATTTTAAATTTATTAAAATATTTAAAAATCATTTATGGTTTGCAGAGAATTTTTTTCCAAAATTTTCCAAAAAAGTATTTTGTCAATTTATACTAGTTAGCATTCACCATTCCTGGTTTCGTCGATCGTTGGTACGGTTGGAAATTTTTTGCCAGGAAGTCGCCTGGCAACAGAAATGGCTCGCCAGCACCATAGTAGTTTTTTAATGGCTGGTTTACTCCTGTCGGCAACGGCAGCAGGACTCCTGCCTCTCAAAATAACATTTTGAACCACCGTCCTTCGGCTATTCTGTCTACCTAAGGTTGAATAGAAAAAAGATGGGAATCAGTTTTACCTGCTTAATCTTCGTAATTCTCTCGAATTTCGCCTATATATTGCTTGTCTGAAAATTAATTATAAAAAGAGATTCGTCGACGTATTTTCATTTTCACAGGATTTCACTTATGCGCCTAAAATCGCTTTTCTCTTAAAATACAAATTACTTTAGTAATTAGCAAGCTTATTAGCCTATGAAAAATGGAAAATAAGCATTTCAATTAAATCATGATGCATTTGAAGTAGAGGAAAGCGAATAATCTTCAAAATTCGTTTGGACTTGAGCAATGAATTCGAGATTACCGAGCTGAGTGCGATGCGTCCCCTTCTCCTTGAAGTTTGCACTAGATGACCTGTGAAGAATTTTATAGTCATAGCATACGATTTCGCCTATCCCATTTCCTCTAGGTTCTTGTTCATCTCGAACAGCCAAACATTTCTTTTACAACAAATATGACTTGCTGTCGTGTTGAATTCACGTCAGATGAGGTCCACTTCGCCTACACTTCAGCACCACACAAATTCATCACTATTGCTCGAGTTTGTCATTTTCATTTGTTATATTTTTCCTTTTTTTTTTTTATAGCGAAGTAAAAATCATCTTTGCAGTTTTGAATTTTGTCACACCATTCGACTGACTTTTGCATTTTGACATGAAAAATGGATTTTGGCCGCAATAATTTGAACCAACTAAATGCGATAATGTAGGACAATATAAAACACTGATAATTGCTTAAGATTTCTTTATTTCGTCAATTTTAACGAATCGTGCTTGGAAGAGTTTTGCTCGTCTAATCGCCAAGTCGTCCGATAAAGAATTTTAACAAATTCAGTTTTTGGCGCATTTCGAAATAGAAATTTGTGATTTCGATTCAAAATATTCGCAGTTATATAAAACATTTCGCTTTATTTTATCCATTTTTATTTGTAATTATTATTGTATGTGACACATTGAAAAATACAATACGCGCTAATCATTTTACTTATCGGCGAGAAATAATTTCGAACTTCTGAATTAGTTATTTAGAAAATCGCTTTTTTTCGCTGAATTAGCCTAATTAATCGCGAAAGAAAGGAAACAATTTAAAGGCGAATTAATCACGAAAAAATAAAGAAATTAATTTAAATAAATATTTTTCTTTTGAAAAAAAACGTTATTAAATCGCAGTTTTCTTAGTGGGATTTTAAATAAATTTCCTTAAAAAATTACTTTTTTCCCACTTATTTTCCTTAAATATTTTTTTCAAATCCGCGTGAGAGACGAAATTTTTCTCGTTTTTTAAACCTTCTTTTGGTAAATTGTAAAACTGTAAAATTAAATAAAATAAAAATTGTAAAATTTTTTCAAACGAATTCAGTGATAAAAAAGCTACTTAGGCGAAAATTATTCTCGAGAGATTTCAATGGGAAAAATAGCAAAAAAATTTTTTGTGAAATATTTCATTAAAAAACAAGGAATGAAAAAAATAAACAACTAGTATACTAAAAATTTGTAAATACTATCGTAGACCGTCGCTGTCATTTTATAATTCTTTTATATTTTTTGATTTTCTCTTTATTTACATAGATTTTCCTTATACCGAGTCGCTATGGTACCAACAATTGTGTCTGCTTGGTCTTTTAAAAAATGTTGCCTACAATCGTATAGATCCGCAATTAGGTTCATTTTTTCACTCTTTGCTTACATTGCAATGAATGTTCTCGAAAAGCATTCCATTTGGAATTTGGAATTGGAATTAAATAAAATTATATCCACTGCGATCTCCCATGCGATCTCGAATGCGATATATTAGTGTGCCAAATGCGATGCAATGTTTGAAGAAAGAGTAAAAAATGAAAAAAATTTTCGTCTTCCGTCTGTGGAAAACAAACATTTCTCTCTTAAGAGAGCGCATTATTTCTGGTTTCGCTCCAAAAAATAAAACTACCAAAACTACTGAGGAGGATTTCTTCACCAGAGGGCCAAGTGTGGATGAAAATAAAGGCCAATCTCCGCTAATCAACCCAATTTAATTTTTAATGACGCGATGAGATAAACACTGAAAAATACAAACAATTGCTGGCAAAACTGACGAGAATAATGCGAAACGAGAAAAGCAAAATCAACTTAATAGTCCCCTGAACCTTACTTTTAATTTAATATTCTCTTGCATTTTAACGCCAAACAAAGATTGTTTTTCACTTTTCCCATATTTTGACGAAATTCAACTGAATTCAAAGAAATATAAATTTGCCTGCATATATTGCTCTGTCTGCAATGCTCATCAAATAGGGTTGAATATTTGTTTGCAAATTGCAGAAGCTGATACTTCCTTATCTCTCTTCTAGCAGTATCTCTCTTTTTTTGATAAGTAAAAGCACTAATTCTATAGAAATCAAAGAGGAAGCTAGAACCTTATTTTAAAAAAATTTTCTAATAATAGACTCGATTTTATGATTCCTTAGTTAAATCGATAAAGGAGAATAGACGAGAATTGAGTTGAAATCTTAATACTTATCGGAAATTTGTTCGTTTTTACTCTCCATTGTTCACAATTTTCATAGAAAAACATGTATTTTGTTGATTAAAGAGATTTTATTCATAAATATAAATAATTGAATTTAAGTTTCAAATTTAAATGGAAAATGAATAAACAATAAATAAACAATTTCTCTGAAAAAAAAAAAATCGTGAAAAAGACAACATCATTGGTATTTGAAACATCCATAAAATTTCATCTTTTGAAGAGTTCACTAAATTTAATTCATCTTCTAATAACGAAAAAGACAAAAAAATTATCGGAAGAAAATTAAGTAATAATAATTTTATAATAATAAATAAATGTTTTTATAATTTATAAATTTTCCAAAATTTTAATATGTGTTAATTTTAATTTTTAAAATTAATCACATCGTGTATAAAAATAATCCATTGATTTACTAATTAACTTTGAATAATTAATTAACTGGTTTCAAAATATTTCAGATCAACCGAGTTGAATTTGAATTAAGCAAATCTCTTATTATTTGGTATTCCATATGGTTAGAATGTGACAAAAAATTGTATGGGAAGAAAAGAATTATTTTTAAACAATTATTATTTGTCGAACTAAGATAAATCAAAGCTTAATAAACCAATCGCTTAACCTCAAGTCTATCTCTATCTTCAAGTGGAAGAGTGGCGAAATCAGCTAAATTCCTTACCCTACTTAGCAAACTAATAAGAAGAAACTAATAAGAAGATGAAGACCCACTGAAGTGAATTTCATTTTTTGAGACATATAAAATATGAAATAAAGAAGGAATTTCGCTATCCATTTGTTTTTTTAAAGCCATAAAGCCTTTTCATATTTTCATTATTCATAAAGAAAAAACAATTTTGCTATAAAAAAATTGTATTTGATTCGCAAAATATTTATGGTAATCTAATGATAAGAATGACATTTAAAAAAGCGTAAAAATTCATTTACCTGCATTTTGTGTGATCCATAAAAGTTATTAAAACTAGGAAAAAACTGAGGTAGCACATGAATTGGTCTTTTCCAAATCAAATATGAAACTGCAAATAAATGCATTGATCTGGGCGGGTCGCATCAAAAATTCCTCCTCCTCTATCCTTCCTTATATATCTCATCGGTTTTCTTAGCGAATCTTCTCGATAAAACTAAAAACCGATAAAGTTGCAATAGAAAATTATCATTATCTTATAATCATGGTAAATTCCGATTATTTTTCTAAAACGAAATGCAAAAACATAATTTCCGCAATATTCGATAGTTTGCAATATGGATTGTGGATTCATTAACAAATGATAATCCTTTGCATCATTTAGCGTCATTCTGAAAATGATAAATAATATTCATTTATCGAGCGAAACTATCATTAGGAGTTGTTGAGCTGCTGTTGAAGGCAAGTTAATTTGCGGCTGGCAATATTAGCCGAATTATTGTTCTTTGATCAATCACACACTAAGAGTGGAATAGGCGTGGTTGTTTGTGGCCTATGCGTGGTTCTTTAATGAAAGAGCTTTAGTCTACCAGTGGAACGAGAAGCAGTGCATGAAGAAATTCATGATGAAAAATTAACTTATAAAACCCACCTCGAAAATGTGATAAGCAATTTGTCTTATTATTTCTGTTAGCGTTATTTCATTTTGCATGAATGATCAGATAAGCGATATATTTGTGCAAAAAAAGTCCTTGTTTTTTCGGTACCTCAACGTTTGCTGAATCAACCAAGTTTTTAATCCTAAAAACAAGAAATATTAAATGGTAAATAGCTTTGAAATTCTTCATAATTCGTTTGAATCTCGAATTATAAACATTTTCGTTGAATAAGTTCATTTCAACAATAAATAAACGCTCGATTATCGTTCTTAAGCGTTAAACGTTTCCTACATAAAACGAACAAAAATTTCGAAAAAAAAGAAGAAAAAAGCAGAAGCAAATTGAAAAATTTCTAATCTTACTTCCATGCTTTCTAATTCTTTATCGAATAATCAAAATTTTATTATTTCCTAATTAATGCAAACAAAGCGAATTCTTTCATTTAAAGTGTTTTTTTGGATATAAGCAAATATTTTTCATAAAACAATCACATATCTTGTCAAAATTTTTTTCAAAATTTTAATAATATTTCAACTATAATATTTATAATATTTATTTAAAGCGAAAAAAATATCTTTTTTCATCAAAATAATTAAACATTTTCATTCCATGAATCATCCAATTCTAAAATAATAATTATTTAATTTCAAAAAAAATTTAAAAAGCTCCACATCAAAAAGAAAGAAAATAAATAAAAAACAATAAATCACAACAATAAATGAGAAATAAAGTTATAACGATCATTTGAAGGAGCCACATATCTTCCATCCGCAATTATAGAAAGTTTTTTTGATTGTATTAGTTCATTTCAACAATAAGCCAAAGAATTTGATCATTACTGGCCTTATGAAAAAAATACACCATTTGAAATACTACACTAAAATAATAAATAATAAACACCTGTTCTCTAGCTCAAATGGAAAAAAAAATTTTTAGAAGAATTTAAAGCATCTCGTAGATATTTATGAAATCCACTAAAAAAAAGGTTCGCAGTTATAATAATCAAAAATGAAAACCAATACATAAATCACTGATGAAATGAGCAGTTGAATAGTTCAAAGTTTGATAATGATTTCAAATCTATTGCTGGCGAAAAAGATTGCAATATCTCAGCGAAATCGTTAGTTGTAAGTGGATTCATAACCATGAATTCATTCTTCCGATCCGATTTAAGAAATGTCGAAGATGGAATCAAATGGTCTTTTTGTAACCCTTCCTGCATAAACGGAATAACATTAAAAAATTTACAATGTTAGAAAATGAAAGAAAATTGAGGAAATAATTACCTTAAATTTACGGAACTGCGCAAAGGCAAGTTCACGAGCCAAACGTTTTAAATCGTCACCACTGAAGCCTTCTGTAAGTTTCTCGACCAATAACCAATCAATTTGATTTGAATGCAAAGTTTTCTACAAATCAAACTTCTAAATTTAATAAAATAATTTTAAAAAAAGATTATGTGATAAAACTATTCGACAATATGCTTCAGAAAAAACATACCGAAAGGAATTTTTTCAATAAAGCAGTTCTAGTAGGTGCATCTGGTGGTCCAATGAATATTTTCTTTTCGAACATAAAAAAAATTGAAAAATTGTTTATAATAAAAAAAGCATCTATGTGAATACTAACGACTAGCTCAATAAAAATCATAAAATAAATTTTTCTACGAATATTTTAAATGAATAAAATGAATAAAAAAACTTATATCTCTGAAAATTGTAAGAAATACCTTCGCAAAAAGGCTGTATCTAGATCCCATGGGCAATTCGTGGCACAAATAAGTAAAACTGTATTAATAGAATTATGTAATCGCTGCATCTGTATCAGCAGCTCCGTCTAGAATTTAGTTTAGAATACAGGAAAACGTAAAAAGAATATGAGAAAATAGAATATTTTATTGTAGAAATCGACCAATATTCTTTACTAGAGCACAAAATTCTCGAGATTTCGTAAATCTCATGTACTTCAAACCTTAACTCTTCGATTATTGTTACTCTCCATTGATGTCCGCACACGGCAAAGGCTATCTACTTCATCGATAAAAATGACCGCTGAGCCCGCATATGCAATTGCATGATCAAACAAATCACGAATTAATTTCTCACTTTGGCCGCTCCATGTTGATATTAAATCAGACGATGTTACCTAAAAATTAAAATTTTCTAAGGACAAGCAACATAGGTTCGCTTCTTCTCTCTTGATTAGAGCAAATCTACCATCAATAATGCAATAAGGATTGTATAAAATCCTTGTTTTTTTAATGAAAGTTTCTTTAATGAATATTTTATAAAAAATCTCAGAATTTATTCAGCATTTGTTTAAAATATTCCCATAAATTATTCATTAAAAACCTGATAAAATCGAGAACTGATCTCTTTAGCAATCGATTGTGAAAGATGAGTTTTACCTAAATTGGTAAATTGGTAATTTAATAGCAAGACATGAATAAATTGAACAAAATTGAACAAAAAGCCAGAAAAAAAACAGTGGCTTTTAATACCTGTTCCAGGCGGTCCATATAATAATATACATTTCCAAGGCACTAAATTCGAGGAACTGAACCACTCCGGATATATGACGGGATCAACCAGTGCCTCCGTCAATGCTTGTTTTGCCTTGAAAATTTTAAAAATTTTAAACCTTTTATCAGATTATTTTTGAAATAACTTGTAAAAGTTTTTTCAAAATCGAAAAATCTTGTATTTAATTTGTCACGAAATAACTTAATCGTTAATGGTCAATGCTATTTCCCCAGAATAAACTTTAATTTTTCATGCAATTACTTTCTCTTTCTGTTTCTTTTTCTTGTAGCCCCATAATATAGCGCATATAAATATTACAATATAAATAAATAAATATTACAGTTCTTTGACAAAAAGCCTCATCCGAGTCAGACAAACCAGAAACGATATGCTCAATTAAATAAAGACAAAAAATAGGGAAAAAAAGTTTATTGTAACAGTAGTTTTACATTTTAATATTGATTTGTGAGGATTTTTGAAAAAATTTTGTTTTAAATGCAAAATGTAAAATTTAATCTGTAATATTATGACCAAAAGGGAGAATGTCATTGGCACATTACTTTAACTATGGTCGATCACTACGGGCCACACTCCTACCTTTTGATAAGAATAAACACACCATGAAAAGTGAAAGCTAAAGACACTGCTGATACTGACCCATCCATATAGATTTCAATCTCAAGCTCTCATCTTGATAGCCAGTAAAACTTGCCAAATTAGAAATGGTTTTAGTGTTAGAAGACGAATTATTGTTACTTGTGTGTGGCCAATAATATCATCAATTGATGGCAAATGCGACTTATCATTGATAATTGTATCTTCAATTGCAAATCTTCGACTATTAGCGAACGAATCAAACATGTCATCCTTCTTTATCTAAAAGATAAAATAGAAGAAAATATATTTGAGAAAATAAAAAATAAATTTGCTAAAAATTCAATTTTATTTTATGAAAATTAAGTGAATTTAAAATTATAATGAAAAATAATAGAAAAAAGAGCAGAACCGCGGCTGAAGACGATTCAAGCTGAAGAACTTTGATCGCCGTATTAAGGCAATCAATGATAACTTTGAGTATCCGTTGTTGCTTATCGCCGAAAACTGCACTCGACGCTTGTGATAAGAGTTCATCGTCCTTAAGTCCTCGCAGCAAAGGCAAAACCTAAAACTTATCATTGCTAAATTCTTTTAAATTAAATACTGATTAAATAAATAATAAAGTTGAACAAAAAATAAGCTGTTTGCCACGAATAATTCCCATGAAATATTTATAAATTCGCTTTTCATACATTCAGTTTTACTCCAAAAACTTCTTATAAAATTCCATAATGAAATATTAATTAAATTAAATTAATCAAAAAGAGATTCATTCAAGGAAATCAATTCTGCTCTGCAAAAAAAAATGAAAATTTGCTGGGAAGCAGCTTGTAACGCAAGCAATCCATTATTTATTATAAACGATTTTAGATTGCAATTTTAAACAAATCGGAAATGTGGCAGCCCGAAGTGCCCAGCGGCTTCCTCCTCCGACTATGCCGCAGTGAAGAAGGCTGGGGCTGCTCAACACTGCCGCGGCACGAGCTTGAAAATAAAAAAACCTGAGTGGTTAGGTCATTTGCTGAGAGGGTCGCGGATGATAGTTGATTTACGAGTAGATTTTCAACTGATCGTAAAATATCCATTTAGACATTCGCTGCCAGTTGCAGTTGCGCTCGTTAAGTCATATTCAATGCTACTCGCAAATTTGAAGTAGGCTGCGCCGATTTTTAGAGCCAGTTCGGTCCCAGCGCCGCTTTCTAGCTGGCAAATTCTGAACTTCATTGGATATTAAGACGATATCGCTTCACTAAAGGGAATCTTGTGGAGAGAAGTGCAGGCGAGTACCACAGCACCGCCAAATCTTTGTGAATTCAATTTTTATTCAGTAAGTTAAATGGTCATATTCAGGGAGGGGGGAGAGGATAGATAATTTGGTAATAGTACTGAAGGTGTTTAAGGCAATTTTTGCTGCTTGCCATTTATTTTTAGATCCGAGTCATATTAGCTGCTTATAAATTTGTGATTTCTGACTGAGCCCTATAAACTGGAATTTCTTCGTTCGGTGCCCCAGCATAATGAATAAATGCGAGAAGTAGTTCTTCGTTGGCACCGTCCGAGCACGAATATAAATCCTGCAAATTTAAACTGTGAAGCGGAATCGCTCTCCTTCGCTTGTCGCAGCATTTAAATGTGCACCAACTCCTGATTTTATTATTCACTCATTTCGAAATATTTCGGAAAAAACACCAAAAAATATGGCAAATCAGAAATTTCTCTTTTCGCTTTTGCTTTAATGAATTTTTTCTAAAAGCAGATTTATTTTAATAAAAAATTCTGGCTGGGCTTGCGGAGTTATTTAAAGGTAGAATGCCGCTGGATTCCTGGCACGTTCCGTTTTTCCGGATAATGGCGGTGTGTGGGGCAACCTCCGTGTTCGCGACGGTAACCTGAGCAGCAACCATTATATGGCTATCGTAGCCAAGATGAGACAAAATAAGACGTCAAAGTACATTGCTTTTCGACTTGAAACAATTGCTGAATAAATACAGAAAATTTATGGAAAGAATATAAGAAATATTAGCTGCATACATTGATAATTATTGATAGTAATTATAAGTGATTCGGATATTTAACCGAAATATTTCATCGAAACGTTATTATCCAAATTTTCGTCCACCAAATAAGAAATTTGTTGAGCAATAAATTTATGGTCGTATCTGATGGTTGTTTTCTGGTAAAAACAGCTGAGACACAGGTTGGATCAATTCGATTTCCAAACCTTAATTAATGGAAGTGGGTTCTAGACGGATCCAAGTTTTTCCTCATGTGATTCCACAGCCGTCTCACTTTTTTTATTTTTTCGCGCCTTCTTTCTGTTCTATTGCATCGGAAGATTAAATTTGACTTCGAAATTTATAAAAACACACAACTGCCATTCTTGTGCATCAATATTACAAAATTCTAAAATTTCTATTGGAACCTCGTTACCGCGGAAAATCTGGGCCACGGCTGCGAATATTTTATTCGAATTGTTCACGTCAAATTTAAATTTTTAGATATTTGAATTCGTGTTCGTTTTTATTTTGCATGCAGAGTTGGCGAGCTGTTGTCTTTCGTTTTTTCCCTTTTTTTAAAAAACTGATTTATTTTAGGTTTGAAAGAATAATTTCGAATTATGAATGATGGAAAAATGCAAAAAAATTTCATGATTAAGCAGTTAAAAGCGCAAATAAATAATTTATTAATTGAAAAAAATTTTCTTGAAAACGAACTGAAAAGTGTGAAAAGATGTGCAGCATGCCGTTGTTCAGGTTCCTTTTAATGCATTTTCACACCAAATTCCGCTTCGCTCATTTTTTCCCTCCTCAATAGTTCCATTGGTTACAAGGAGGGGAAAAGTCGATAGGTGTTTTAGGGTCACTTAGGGACGGAAAGACATACAAGTGAGTACTTAAGAGCCATCCGGAGCTTAAATTGTAGGAGCAGACCGAGAGAAAAGTCGAAACCATACTGCCTGCTCTTCGTATGTCACCGTGGTTTTGTGGTGTGGTCATTCGAATCAGTTCAGATTCCGTTGATTAAATTTTTTTTATTTTGAACAATTGGAAGCCATTTGAAAGCCATTTGCAGTGAAACGACAAGAGAAGAGCGCCACTCTAACTAATCTTTTAAGGCAGCATTATTCTGGTGCAAGCCCAAAATTAACTAGCTCTTTGACAACAATTCCTCCTTGTGATCCAGAACCATCTGAAAGTAACGATCGTGTGCGTGAGCTTCAGTCATTACGCTATGCGAATAAAAGTTTAACTCAATCTATTTACGACTTTCAGAAGTTGGTAAGTTTATGTAAGTCTTTTTGCTCCATTAATAATATTTTTCCTTTTATAAGGTATAACAAATTATTTAGTAATTTCCCCACTTATCTGTTATTTCTACTTTCTATTTTTTCTATTAAAGCTGCAAGAGAAATCTGAGCAAATAGCATCAATGGAGAGTACAAATGCAAAAACTGTGGCAAAGCTCGAGAAAGAAAAAGTTGCATTGTCAAAAGAGGCTGGTTCTACCTAATTTTTGCTAGGTTTTATGACTTTTTATTTTAAGATTTGTTTTCAATATTTTATCGATAATATTAGTGAAACCTATCTTGCGGACAAGCGAAATCATCTTTAAAGCAGAATGTACTTCTGGTATCCCCTAAAATTCGTTATATTCTTTTTATAACATCGATTTCTTCGAATCGCCATTGTCTTTCTACTTTCCCTCCTTCCAGTTCTTGACTTATCCCTCAGCAGTTCAATCATGTTATCCATGTTTTCATCCTTTGCGCTTAATTTGCAGCTATGGCTCGAAAATTTGCTGTTAGATTTGATATTTGATATTGCATTAACTGGGCATAAAGGGAAAGATATTAAGTGATCGCTTAATCTGAAGAGATGAGAGTGGCATAACTAAATTTCAGACGGTCTACTCTGAAGAAATGGCAGAAATAGATTGAAAATTATAAAGCATTATTAGAGGCTTTAAAAGTGTTAGATTTTATAGCGATTTGAGGAATTTTTCGTATGACATAAATTTTAAGAAATAACAAAGAGTTTCAACATTCAGGAGGCTCGTCGTTATTTATTTTATTTTTTTATTTTATCTCTACCACTTTTTTATTTTTTTTCTTTTCCCGGACTTACACAGAAACCAAATTTTATTGTAATATTATTTCTTTGTATTTGTTTAGATATTAAATGCTTTAAAGGTTAAATTCATACCTTTAGGCTTTAATAATATGATTTTTTGTAGCGAGATGATGTCAAATCGATGGTGCAACATTATAAAGATGTAAGTTTCATTTATTGTCATTATTCGTTTTCTTATATATGATTTTGATTTCAAAATTTAGCCATAGTGAGGTTTCGGCAGTTTCCTTTCATTACAGGATTAGAAATTTATGCATATTTTTTTAATGCATATGCTATTATTAGGAATGTATTTTAAAAAAAAATCTTTCAACAAAAATACGAAATTTATAATCAAAACTTGTTATTCTGTTAGAGATCTAATCGAAATACAGTTTTGTTCAATTTAATAATATAATCCAGTTAATAAAATACAGAAAAATGTTAGAGAACGAGGTTTATTTGATTGAACTGAATAATTGTTAAATTGATTTTGATGTTGGATTTTGATTTGTTGAAAAAGAAAAAAAACTACATTGCCACAAACTATATTTAACTATATTTAAATTAACTATATTTAAATCTATAACACTGAAATACAACAGCAATAATGTCTTTACAGAGGTTCCAAATCGATAGCTTATAAAAAAATACAGATAAATAGAATAGATTAATGTTTGCCTGCCATACAAAAATACTTTAGTCTTTAAAGTCACTGTAAACAGGTTTAAGGTGAATAAAGGTGAAACGCCGCATTATTAGAACTTTTTATCATCAAACTTGGGGAATTAAACCTTTCAACCGAAATCAACAGTTAAAAAGAAAACGCAGAAAATTAAAAAATAAAATATTAAAAAAACTGCTCAAAAAATAAGATAAAACCTTGGGCGTATATTCAAATTAAATTTAAAAATAAAAATTAAATTGAATAATAAAAAAAAACTAAAAATAAAGTGTAAAAGTGTAAAAATCACGAAAATATTAAAGTTAATTGCCAGGGATCGCAGCCCGGATATGTAAACGATGGAAATAAATTGTTTGATAGGCGCCCTTACCAAACTGGAAAAGTCGAAGTTTAGGGCAACTTTTTTTCGGAAATCAGTTGTGAAACATTCATTTAAAAAATGCTTTGATAAAATAAGTTAAATTAATTGAAATTGAGCTTGATTTCTCTAACTGGTAGGAGTCATTAATTTAAAATGAATTCGAGATAGACATAGCATTTATCGGTGATTTCTAAGGTTAAGCTTAGATGGAAAGATTTCGCAAAGAAAATGATTTATCTGGTCTATAATGGTTATTTAATTTCTAATGGATTCATGACTGCGACATTTTTGCCAGCGAAATTTTGTCGCATTGCCTTGAACTTTTCCAAGATTTCTGGGATTTGCTATACCTCCACGATGATGAGAATTTTCGTTGCAGTAATTTTCATAGAATTCTTTTTCATTAATATTCAATGTTCAAAAAATTGCTTATGTTGTCTTGCACTATTAGAGATTGAACGTCCATCAGTTATTCGATCTTGGAAATGTTGAGGAACCTTTAATTCATGCATAACATCATTGGCTCGAGCGCAACATAGAAATTGGTTGTGTCGTTACTTTCCATAGGGTAATTATATAGGTGCCGAAAGGATGGCCAATCTATTTTAGATATTTTCGGAGAAATATTTTTGAAATGAATTTCGTGGTGATTAGTTTTTCGCATTATCTTTATTGGATGAAGATGAATTATGGATCCGAACAGCCAAGTATTTTTTGGTACTTTTTTGAGAGATTCTATTATAGAACTGTACAATAGCTCTAGTTCTGATTGATGGATCTTGACGATTAACAAATTCGACAAAGCAAAAAGATTTCTTGATTGCAATTGTTTAAAATAGGATTGTATAAAATGGTACTTTTCTGTACTGTGATTATTTGTTATTGATAGTAATGTTTAGAGAAAATGGGTTAATGGTTTATCTGATATCTGTAAAATCCATTTATTGATAGATCTGTGGCGAACAGCTATTGTCAAGAGAATTATTATATCATTTGATTTCTGTCAATAATTTTTTTAAATTATTTTTTAAATTGATTGCAGAAATTTTTATAAGATAGCAAGTCCTTGATTAAGCATTATAGGCATAGGCATTAACCATACTAAATTGCTTGACACTTTTTGCAAATTTTTAATTTCATATCAGTTTCAACAAATACTTTGGATTATACATTCCATTGAAAATGAAATAAGCAAATAAAATAAAATATATTTTTTTAGGAGCGAATGCAATTTCTTAGCCAAATACGCCGTTTGGAGGGTCAGCTTGAAGCAGTTTGCGCTAGCCAAAATTCTGTTGAAAAGTAGTTCAAATATTTTATTTTTTCATTTATCATTAATTAGACTTTTATTAATTAGGACTTATTATTATTAGCATTAATTCAATTTCATTAGGCTATAAAGAGTTGTTTAATCGAGTGAAGTTTGAATAAGAAATTTTTTAAGAATTGTGGATCAGCAATTATTTGAAATGGAAAAAAAGGTATTTTTTTGGAAGTATATAAATCGAAGAAATAAGAAATTATGAGATATTATATGAGATATTATGATATTATAGAATATTTTATAAAAATGCTAATTCTTTTCTAATTCTTTTCTGGTTTGCAAATAAGAGATCTCCCACTTAATTCAATTTAGATAAATTTCAGAAACAAGAAGGCAAGAGATGACATCACACGTTCGACAGTGAATCCTTATTGCAAAACGTGTTGTCGCTTGTTCAGTGGTTGGAGCGAAATGTGGAGTTTCTATTCATCCATAATATAATTTTATTTTACTTAGTATTTTTTTAAGACGTTTTTCCTTCCAGTTGTATCTTCAAGTGCTAATATTTTTCAATAAATTTAAGATCTCATAACTATGCGAACAACAGATTATTTGATGGATCTTCAGCAAAACGAAGAGATGATTACCAACAATTGTGTGGAGAAGCATTAAAATACAAGGTCTAATTTGATTTGAAATCCAGCAGATCTTTCTAATATATATTTCATACATGTTATATATTTTTCAGAATCTAAAGCAGTTGTTTGGCAACGAAAGAGCACTGCTTAAAGCAAGAGAAGAGCAGCTTAAAATGCAGTTGGCAGAAGTAATCGTTTCATTATTCCTTGAATTTTTTTCTCAATTTTCATAGACATTCGGTAATCGAGAATATGAAAAAAGCATTATCATGAATAATTTGCAGCTTTGATGTAATTCTATAACGATTTAAATGAATTTTCAGATGACTGAAAAATATGAAAGTCTTTTCAAGATAATTAGAGAAAACCAATTCGAAAATGATTCTGTTTCATCAAAAAATGGGGTAGACCAAATCAGAAATTGGTCATTTTTTAAAATATTTTCACTCGAATTTCCAATCTTTTCCAAATATTTTTGTCAATTTTTCCATTTAGAAACCATTCAGTTTTAGGAAAAATGGAATGGAAAATGGAATGCAACCGAAAACACTTTTCGAAGCGAGACGAATTATATCACAATTGGAAGATGATTTACGTAAGAGTTGCCTTTTAAAAAAATTTCCATTTTCTTTTATTTTCACTTTTTATCTATTTATATCCAAGTAAAATAATTCTAAATAAATAGCAAATATTTTTTAAAGGTCAAGCCAATGAAACGATAACTGATCTCGAATTAAAATTAGTAGATGTGAAGGAAAATTGTGGAAATGATTTAATCAATCAAAACGATTTTCTTCAACGAAAGATTGATGAGCTGGAAGAGTGCAAGAGGTTTTTCATTTTTTTTTTAAATCGTTGAAGAAAATTAAGAAAATTTTTTTCGGTTTTACCTTATAGATTAATTTTTAGAAATTTTCAACGGCAATTTTCTGATCAGGAATTGACACTGCATCAACTTCAAAAAGATTTGGAGAAACTTTTGGGTGAGAAAGACATGTTTCGAATGCGTTGTGATGAATTGGAGAAAGTTAATGAAAATGCAATAAAACAAAATTTTGATCAGTCGGAAGCTATAAAAGTATTTATTCTATTTTCTTTTGGTAAAATAATGATTATTTACTATTAGGATTACTACTAATAATAGGATTATTATTTTCTTAAGATTAACCAGATAAAACAACCACATTCATGTTCCTAATTACGAAATTGACTTTGAACTATATTTAATTTGTAGGCTCTTCGTTTGAAATTGTCTCATGCAAATGAAGTGCAAAATGAAAGTGCTAGGAAATATATTTCTCAAATTGAAACATATCAGAAATTGCTAAAGGAGAAGGTTTTAAATATCAGTATTAGTCAGTTAATGAATTAAAAAAAAATAACCTTTTAATATTTATTTCGATTTTTAATGTTTTATTTAATCCACATGGAATCATATTTTGCAAAAAAATATTTTCTGTTCGCTATAAATTTCTTTTTATAGGAAGCTGAGCGTACTGCTTTCATTCAGCAACTTTGTTATGATGATCAAATGTATAGCAGTGCAGGTATTTTTCACAATCGTATTCAATTATTTAAAATTTTTTTCGAAAAGAAAAAATTATGCTTCTCAAAGCAAAAAAAAAATTGAATTTTGTGATGAATTAAATTATAAAGAATATTAATAATAATTATTATTATAAAGAAACAATAGTCATAAAAAAATTATTATCATTGATTGATTATTGATTATTGAGTTTGATTGATTATTATTGAGTTTGTAGCTTTTATGGATGATTTGAAAGAAACTGACAAGAAAATGGATGAATTAAAGTATATCAATGTTAGTTTAGCTATTTATTTAATCGATAATAAAATGAAAAAATTGATTAAATGAACTGAATTACACCTTTGTCTTCAAGGAACGATTGCAAAAAAAAGAATCAGAATTGCAACAAGAAAAGGCAAAATGCAGTGCGATGTCGGAGGCTTTGGTAGAAGCAAATAATGCAGTAAGCGATTTTTCTTATTTCTTATTTCGAGGGCCAAAAATTATTCAATTATTTTTGAAGACCAGTTGTTTTTAGATGCACTTAATTAAATTGCCCAGTTTTATGATTTACTGTTCTCTTTTGAATTTTATTTTATCTATATTCGAGTCTATTGTTATGGCTATGGCTAATTTTTAATAATTATAAACTTTCGATGAATTTTATAGTTAATGGATGTAAAAAATGAATTTATTGAAACAAAAAATCGAGCTAAAATGCTTGAAGCTAGGATAATTAAAGTAAGTAAAAGTTTTATCAATATTTTTTTTCAGTCATATTTATGAATTTTTATAAATTTTTATTGGAGATTTTTATTAGGGATTTTTATTATATTATATTTAAATAAAGTTGGTTTTGATCTTCATCTTTTTTCTAGTTGGAATCTGAATTAGAAAATGCGAATGGAAAATTTAAAATAGAACAGTTATCGACGAAAATTTTGGAAAGTGCGAATGAGGAACTTATGGACTTACTCGGAAAGAAAACTTGCGCTTCCAAAAGTAAAAAAAGTGAAATGAATCCATTGGCGAATGAGTTTCTCGATCTACGGATGGATCTGTACGTTGTTTGCCATCTTTTTTTCCTTTCTATCAGAAATTGAAATAGTTTTGAAATATCTCTTTTTCTTCTGACAGCATGCACCATAATGAGATTATCCCGCTTAAGAGTCAACTGAGTTTAGAAATTTATTTTCTTAAATATTTTGTATATCGTAAATATTTTTTTAATGTTCTGATTAAATTATTACTATTTGGCCCTTGTTTTGACTTTAGTTTGTTTGGTTAACTCAAAATTGAAAAGAACTACTTAAATCCACTTTTTCAGAAGTCCTATGGATGTGAACATAGCATTGGCACCAACTGCTGTTAATACTGCCAATCAGATTACATCTTAATTATTATGTTCATCTTATTTTTCACTGTGATCTCATTTATAAAATAAACGGATAAAATGAATTGATTTTTCTTTTAAATGTTCAGGCTAAAATTTATAATCATTACGGGCAAAATTAGAAAAGATTTGGGCAAGTTCATTTTATAAAATTTTTATCTTTGGTATAAGATCTATTTCACAGTTATATGTATTTTTGCTTCTGCCTTTTTCAAAGTATTTTTTTTTTTTTCTAAGCTCAGCGAGCAATATATATTTCATCGCACTGTATAAAAATGTGGTTTTGTATGAAGTGATAAAATTTTTGAAAATTCAAATTTGTTTTTTTTTTGTTCATTCTTCACTGAATGAATGATGGGAGAACGATGGGATGATTTATTGTACTCTCAAATTAAGTAATATTTTTTTGGCAAAGCGAGGTTTTGACTACGTTTCGAAGAAAATAATTTTGAAAAATTATTGCTGGAAGGTCCTGAAAACTAAATTTCTTAATTTTTAGGCATACTAAAAAAAGTTTTTAATTATAAAAAATCTTAGATATACATCCTCCTTGGATATATGTGGTATATTATATATATATGTGGTATATTTCGTTTTTCTGTATATTTAGAAATGAAAATGTAAATTCTCAGATTCTAAAACATAGTAAAAACCAGAAAATCTGATCAAAGAAATATTACAATAGTAAAAGAAAGCTGGAAAAGAATGCAGACAAGAATGCAAAGAAAATAAGAAAAATAATGAACCTGAGAAGGAAAATAAGGAATTTCTGAGAACAATTGAAACAATCGAATATAAAGGTATGAAACTAAGGTGGTGTCTAAGAAATATAAGAAATATATAATATATAAATAGATATCAACCTAACATAGTCTCCTTTCGCTGCAGAATTCGTAATCCTGCCAGAATTGCTTCATTCAGTAAAGCAATTTCCTCAACAGACTCGGTGACGTGCAATCGTTCTGTGCACCATTCTAACTTTCTTTCAACTTCTTCGATTGCCTTTTGCATGATCGCTTTAGTGCTTGATTTCACCTGAATTTAAATGGAATTCATTTTTATCCTGCATCAAATATACAAATATAAACTAAAAAACCAATCTTTTTTAAATTATTAACTTAAATTTTTTCTGGCATAGCAGTCTCTATTTGCGAATAGTTTACCAGAAACTTACTAGAGGATAAAAGTATAAGTATAAGTACTAGAGGATAAAATAAAAAAATGACAGAAGCTGAAGGTGTAACACTATTGCCGTTTCGATGTTCCGTTTGATTCACTTCATTAGAAAGACGATCATCAGAATTTAATGTTTGTTGTACCGATTCATTAGTATCATTTATTTGATATAAATTAGAATCTTGAACATTAATATCAGCCATACTTAATGAATGTGCTGCATTAACTGATCGTTGAGAACCTGAATTTCATCCTTATTAATTAAAAAATCAAATCAGATGCAAGTCAGCGCGAAATATAAAAACAGACCATTGCGATTATCCGACAAAATCGTTCGAAATTCACACGCAACGCAACTTCGTGTCCCTTCCCTATTCGCCATTAAAACATTCTTAAAAATAAAAATATTTCTGAAAAATAATTTGAATTTTAATTAGAATTTTTCCAAGATAATCTGTGCCTTAATATATGTGTTAATATGATTGTGTAAAATGAAGAGAATTTAATAAGAACTTTAGAAAACTATACATTAATATTAAATGATGATTAAAAACAATAAATACTATCATTGGTGATCTGTTAGAGTAATCGAACGTGAAATTAACGTGTGCCATTGGATAAAAATAGTATCAGCTCCTAATTTCAACGATTTCGGTCAATTTAAGCACAATTTTTCGTTTATGTGCCAACGGTTATCGAGAAAAATGAAAATTTTGAACTTACACCACACGCGGAGCAATATTCATCCAGCATTGTATCACCGCGTAATAACATTTCACCCATTCTATTAGATACTTGATTACGAAAATTTTCCCTTTCTTCTAGCACAATATTTCTTTCTTCCTATTCGTTTTGAAAAAAATAATCAAAAATATTTATTCATACAGAATATATTAAATAGCCGATTCTAGATAAAAATTAATGTAAAAGAATTAACGAAGATAGATATCAGTTGAACAATTTTTATAATAACACTAATTGGTAATAGTAATGGTTAATAATAAAATGATAATTAATAAGAAATGATAGTGATAAATAAAGCAAAAATGATAACTTTAACATTTACTAGTGTTAATCAAAAGCAATAATTTATAACAGTAATAATACATCAATATTATATTATCTTCGTTAGGAATATTGCTATCATTACCTTATTTCTAACATTATTTTAGCCTTAATATTGTCGCACTTGCTTTTTAATGCTTAAATTTTTTTCTTTGTTATAAACTATCATTTCATATTGTTTCCATGAAATATTGCAGCGTTCATTCAAGCGAAGGGCTGTCGAGTCCAGCAAGCTTTCTATTTAAACAAATAAACCGACTTAGTGGACTAACATAAAAAAGACAAAGGGCCAATTTTTGAAGACTAAACCTAAACAATACGGAATTAAGAAGAAAATAATAAAATAAATAAATATAATAAAAAACCTGGGAAAGGTGACGCAAACCATTCATTGTTGATGACGACGAATAGTAATCTACAACGACCTGCTGCCGCTTACTCGGACCCAAACCCCTTCTAGCAGATTTGTTATTATTATCCAAACCCGATTTTAAAAGTTTGATTGTCGTAAAACGGTGCTTCATATTCATCAAAACATGTGAAGTATTAGCTCTGCCACCGTATTCATACAATCCGTACAAGAGTTTTGGTGAAAAATTTAATAACTATAAAGTGAAGTAACAAGGAAGAAACTCCCTAATGATAATCCTCATTTTTTGCTGGAATATAACCTAAAACTTAGAATTTGTGGTAATGATAAGGACTGATAAGAAGGATAAGAAGTAAGTAATGAATATAGCAAATAGTGGTCAAAATAGAAGTTTTATGTACACATAACAGGATTTAAAACAAATATAGAAATCAGCCTAATTTAGTTAATTTCTGTAATCTGTAATAATAATATTGTGGATGCCGCAGTATCTTCCAGTTGCGTATCATTTCAGATTAGGTCGCTTTCACAAGCTGAATGAAGCCAATCAGTTTTCCACTCTCTGTTGCACTTTTCCATTCTCCTATGTTTAAAATCTCGCCTGGCCATTTACATTTTAATTGCCTTGGTACTCTTACTGCTCTTCATCACAAAGCTTGGCACTTAAGGAGATTTGGGCTAATTCCTGTGAAGGAAATGAACATAGCAGAAGGAATGAACGTTCGATGATTAACGAGGAAACGGGCTGACGGCTTCCAACTATAAACTATTAAAGCAGATATTTTCACAATAAATCAATTTGAAGATGTCTGATGGCAGCAAGAAATAAGGAAGTGGGACAACTGACATAGTCTTTCATATTAGATTTAAGGAACATCGATTTGTCCTTCAAAGGGGCTAATCTCTCTTCTGTTAGTGAACCACTGATCCTGTGGAGAAATTGCTGATAATCTGCTCATACTGTTCCTACAATGCATCGATGAGCGAATTTCAATTTTGTGATTTTGATTTTTGAGTTTCGATTCGGGCAAAGTTATTACCACTATCCTTTGCTCACTAAAACAAAATAATATCAAAAATATTTATTAAAAGTTTTTTTGCATGCACTTCCCTGTCTTTCTAATCATAAATAGTAACCAAAATGAGAAATGTTAGTCGACGGAAACGGTGAACGGTGAAATATTCATGAAGGTATCAAATAGTTTATTCACCTGCTTCCTCAAATTTTTCGATGGATATTTCCATTTCAATTTTTTACCTTTATTCGACCACGCAATAGTTATTTGAAAATTTGGAAAATTTTACTAGTCTTTAAGCTTTTATTTAAGATCAGTGAGCAAGGTGTGGAATATTAGGCTGCAGATTCGAGCTGCAGCTAGGCTATTATATATTTATTTTTTAAATAATCTAGGAAATAAAGTTGATCGAATGACATGGAGACTATCGTTGTTGATACGAAAACTTCCATAGTTTGAGATCTCTGTTTGTTACAGTAAGATCTCCGATATTGTAATTAATTACTATTGTACATTTATTAAGAGATCCAATTTCAATTCCAAGAAAATTTGATGGTTTTCATGGATTGCATAATGAAATAAAGATTTCAATCAATCAATTTTTATCAATTTACTCTTCCTAATAAAAAATTTATTAAATTTGAATTTAATGTGACACTTCGCATAACTGATTATAACTGATTGTACAACATAATCATATCATTCATAATAGTTGCTCATAATTCAGCCTGAAATTATATTTGATTTTTTCTCAATGAATGCTGAATAAGGATAAGATTTCCCAAAAATTTTCCCAGTGCGACATGCAATATTCAACTAATGTGGTAATGGACTTGGAAAACGGTTTTCTAAAATCTTAAGATCTTAAAATGAAAAACCTTTGGTGGTTTATAATTGCAAAGGTTGCAAGTTTCTTCACAAATTTTCTTTAAATCAGGTTTCAAAGTTTCATCTTCGCAATATTTGTGCTTTTTAATAATTTCGCAGTCTTTTTTCTCTACTGAAATGAGTAAAAATATTATTGAAAGCAAATAGAAAAACTGGACCTGCAAAAACAGCACTAATTCCCATTCAGTAGTAAACTTGTCACCGAAGTCAAATTATAATAGTTGCTTTAGGCTAATTAAATTCGCGAGAATTCATTTCATTCACGGATTCCAAAAATTCTCGGAACTTTATTTGATCTAAAATTCTGCTAGCATAACCACAAAAGTTTTGTAGAAACGGAAATTGAATCTCGTTCGTTTAATGATGCACAATGTTGAGAATAACTTACGGATGTCACGACAAGTAATACTTTCTGAAATGCTGCAGACAACGAGTAAAACGATGAAAGTCCAAGCAGTTGCCATAGCTCGTCTAATAAAATTTGACCACAAAACTGGCTTAAGAGTTTTTAAAAACTATTTGTGGAATTAGGCAAAAGTATATAAGAATGATTTGATTACTAAAGTGACATTGGCATATCGGCAAATAAATATAGTTGTAAAATTTATGTAGAAATGCTGGAAAGTTTTCATAACCCTTTTTAGAAGTTTCCTAAAATAATGGTTGCGGCACGTGGAACCACTCCTATTTTAATTTATAATCCGTAGGTGTCTGCTCTAAAATACCCACATTGTTACCACAGTTAGCTGGGGCACTTAAAATTAAACTAAAGATTTGCCATAGCAATGGCTATGGTACCAATAATTGGAAGAACATTTTTCTAAGCGATCATATGCATTGTGAACTTTTCTGTGTTATTTATTTCAGGAATTTTCGGAAATTCTTTGTTCACCTGCTATCAGCCTCACATTCAGTTATTTTTACTAATCATTCAAATTTTCTCCTTTTTCTTTTAATTTTCATCATTTTACTTCAATTCAATGTAATTCAGTTGGGAAATTTAGCGCATAGTAGTAAAATCTTTCGCATTTTGTGACTAAATGCTTAGTTCTTTGCTTAAGGATATTATACAATTGTAGCAGAGTTGTTCACCGAGGGTTTTACCGTACAGTGCCATTGAGATTTTACCGTGTAGAAGTGGCTCGTTGAAGATTTTACGTAATAAAAATAAATTACAAATGAATTAATCTTGATTCATAAATATAAATTGAGATATGTATGAATTATTCTTTTTTAATGAGCAAGAAGCCAACAAAAGAGTGCATGGCCAATCAAGACCTGGACAGATACGGTTGAGAAGATTTTGAACCCATGCGGCCCAGCGATGCACGGTCTTAGCCGGTGGAAGGGTGGCCTCTGTTACTTTCAAAATTGGCATCGAAGTGGGTAGCTTGGAAAATCTTATCCTAATTGCCAGTAGAGCGAGCTATGGATTATTAGAGAAAGAATTGAGAGGGTTTTACAGGTATTTAGGTTGATCATTTGTGATAGGAAATAGTCGAAATGTGAGAAAGAGTTAAAGAACGGATGAACGATAACTTTTCGAGGCAATATTAAGCAAGTTTAACGAATTTTGATTTTCAAAGTGCGGTGAACTTTGGCATTCAACAATTTACTATTTTGAGCTTTTTTCCGGCATAAAATTAAGCTAAATGAATATTTCTAATAATTAATTTCTAAAAATTGTGCAGCGCGTTTTATTGATAATAATCATTGCCATATTTATTTGGTCATAAATCTGCCTGAAATTATTTGATTTTGAATTATGAATTAATTATGAATTAAATTATGAATTAAACTTTTTAAATTCAAATTTTAATATAATGATTAATTTCGATTATAATTATGACAGATGGCTGATAAATGGCTGATAATAAAAATAATCATTTTAAAAATAGAATTTAAAATTTATAGGATTTTTATTAAATTTCACAAGAAACCTTTGGAGGTATATAATCACAAAGATTGCAAGTTTTCTCGCAAACTCGTTTTAATTCAGCTTTTAATTTTTCATTTTCGCAATGTTTCTTCTCTTTAATAATATTGCAAAGTTCTTTGTCGACTGAAATATTTCATAAATTTATCGAAATATCTTTCTTGCACGTTTCAAGTGAAAAATCGGGGAGTCAAGTCAGGTCGCATCAGGTCAATAAGGCTGAAGATAAGCAATAAGGTCCTCTAGCTCAATCGCATAATTCTCTAAAAAATCAAATTTCTAATGGTGTTTTGTGGATGATAAATAATGGTAACTTACCAGTATCACGACAACTAATACTTTGTGCAACATTGTGAATAATGAGCAAAATGATAAGAATCCAAGCAGATATCATCGCTTATATTATAAAATTTGAATTTACAAACTTGAAATTCACTTCACTTTAAAATCTTTGGAAATTGTCAAAAGAATATTAAATAAGAATGAAATATTAAATAATAATAAGGAGATTCGAGCTAAGAGGCAAACATAATTTTCAAACATAATTTATTAGTCTGCCAATCTCAAGGCTCATCGAATTAAACATAAAAATGCACAACTTACAAGTAGGAAAAGTTTTGATGAGCCCTTTTATAAACGTTGCCACTAATGGTTTACTTATAATAACTTTACTATTCTAAGGCGATTCTCTGGCGAAAAATGGAACCAACTAGAAGAAAGTGGTTGGCGTTATTGGAGAAATAAGAAGACAAAATGATACGATATAATGATGCGAAAAATATCGCTCTACCAAATTTCTACCAAAAATCGTATCAAATTTTGCAGTTGCAGCGCTGTGTTAGGCCATTAGTTGAAACCACTGTAACCGAATATGAACTGACTGCAACAAATGACTGCGAATGGCTATTTGGCAAAGCCTATAATAGTTGTTAAGGATTTTCCCAATTAGGGGAGGTTTCAAAAAACTCTTTGTTCACCTGTCACCACTTATCACTTCTTTTCCAGTAATCCTACAATTTTTTATTTTTCCCTTCCATTCTTGCCACTTCATTTTTGCTAGCCCAACTGCAATTTAGATTGTTCATGTAAAGGCGCTCATGCTCATTGCTATTGCAAAATAGCTCACTGGGTTATCGTTTCTGTTGGTGAGCTCCTTCCTACTGTAGTGAAAAAACAAACGGCCCTATTTTGCGTTGTCTCTGTTAATCTGTGATAAAGTCACATATATCATTAAAACTAGATTTTTATTCGCATATACCTAGTGCATTCTCATTTACATTCTCAGGCAAGGCCAGTGAAAGATTCGTCGTTAATGGAAATGAACAGTTCTCTCATCTAAATGCATACACTCGTTGGGGCTTTCCCGGTCTTAGGGCCAAAACGAAATATACGATCGCCAAATTGGAATATTTGATATAAATGTAAATGATATAAAGAAAATTGCAGTTGGGCTAGCAAAAATGAAGTGCAGTTGGGCAGAACAGCCTATTCGTCTGGATTCGTGTGATAAGATGAGACTGTTATAATGGTTTATGATAACATTTTATTTCCCTAGACCAGTATAAGTGGCTGCCCAGTACCATAATACTTTCTTTTATTATTTTTAATAATAGACTGACTTACTCCTCTAAGAGGAGTCTCAGGGACCGCACCATGATCCTTGATGTGATATCTAAGCATACGCCCGGCCAGATTACCTCTCATGAAATTGTGAGCTTCTCAGCGCATGTATCATGTATCTTGCAATTATATCCACCAGACTTACACAATAGTGTCCAAGCCACCTTGGACGAGGTTCGCAATTGCGGTAACGAATTTTCCTCAGGCCTAACGAATCTTACTTTTATGGCCGAATGTTCCATAAAAATCGGATAGATCAAAATTTAGTCTTAGCAAAGTAAGCTGGTAATACGTTTTTGTGGTTCCTTCTTATTTAGATCGATTTTAGGTTTTTGGATTTTTTAGGATTCATTTTTGGTTCCACTGGCTTATTGGACCAGAAAAGTTTTTGCCAATGAGTCTAGTAGTGGATGAAGTTTAGGTGAGTTCTCAGCACCACCCGGCTAGGTCTACAGGTTTTTTCTTGTGATGGATCCCAAGCACCGAAATACGAACAGAGACCCTCTGACCCTCCCTTCTCCTTACTGATATTTAGTTAACGTTGACTATTTTACTCGCAGTACAAATAAGTAGAAATACAAATGGGTGACACTTGTCGCTTTATTTCTTTCCCTTTTTGCTTTTTTTTCTTTTTCTTATTTCTCCGTAATATTCCTGAAAATTCCTTTGTTTAAGATTAATAAGATTTATTAAAAGTTATAAATATTTAGAAATATGAAGTTTAAAATATGAAAATCACTTGTGAAAGTTTAAATTTGCTTCATAAATTTGCTTTGCCTCTTCGCATATTCTCAGAATCTTTATCAAGTGATATCAAAGTGATAAAACACACTGTGTGGAGATATATCAGAGATATTTAAAAAGTAGGAAAGAGTAGTAGGGACATCAAAACAAAATAAACTATACTATAAAATACTCTTAAAAAAAACATAAGGTCACTCAACTGGACCCAACCAACTCAACAACAAAACAACAAACAAAAAAATCAACCAAAACATCAAAAACACTAACATAACTATTAATAAAAACAAAAATAACAAAAACAAAAATACTAAAAACTAACATAACAACACCCAAAAACTTATTAGGAAAAGCACGAAGAATAGCATAAGCAAACAAAAAATATCACTCAGGAACAATATGAAGTAGAAAAAAAAATATTTAACGCAGAGAAATGAGAATTTTAAGCTTCTCTTACGAGAGTTATGGTACCTATCAGATGAAACAAAACGGTATAATATTTGAGAAGTTTATTAACACTTCGCGTTCAGTCGACGTGCAAATAAGGTTTAATTTCAGTACAAAGACCGTCTCATATTTAATGAAATGAAATGAGGTAGTCATGTCATGGTCCACTGAAGCTTTCATCTTCTAATGTATTCGCCCTGTGGACGGCAATTTCCAAAGGTTATTCTATTTATACAATAAAATTTAAAAATATGTCAAGCATGGATGCTTTCTTAGTTGTGATGGCGCAAAAGAAGAATATTGCGAGAGGGTGGATATTTATAAGTTGATTATCTTATAATCATAGAAAGACTCGTTCTGTAGACGAGTAGAATTTTATTATCGTGGAAGAGTACGCTGGAATTTTAGGAATGTAAGATGTTTGTTGCTGTTTCGAAAAATTTGATAGATATGGAAGGATATTAAGAAACTTCTACAGTCTGAGATTTCGCGAGCACTACTACGATTTGTTAGAAAGTAATATTGGATTACAACGAAGTGGACCATAACAGAGTGCAATGGACATAGCAAAAGCAGTCGAAGAATGAATTTTGGCAAAAAAGATGTTTTTCGTGGAGCATTAAATAGGAGGAAGATCTTTATGGAGCATTTACAGATCCTGAGGAAATTACTATAGTAGTGTCTTAGGATTTAAGTAGTGAGGAATTTCTGATAACGATATTAATGGCGTATGGCAAGAGAGTATAGCAAGGAGGTTATTTTTTTAATTAACGTTGTCTATAGTATATATCACGAGAGCACAAACCAGTTTAATGGAGCGTGAGACTCCAGAAGGATAAAGAGAACGCAACAGACTTGCATATACTTTGCACTTATGTACGTTTGTTTAAAAGGGGTTTGAAAGAATATACTGTGGAAATTGAAAAATAGGATTTATGATTTTAAAGTATTAATGGCGAAGTTGGGAAGGATAGGGGAAATCAAGGAAGGATCAAGGAAGGCAAGTTTTAATGGAAGCTTAACGGAATTTGAAGCAAAAAGATTATAAAAAAATTATAAGAAAGGGATGTGATAAGATTTGAAAATGAGAAGCTTGTGGAATAGAGGGTTCACATAGAACAGCAGGTTTTAGTTGATTTTAGCGAAAAAACATCTCCAACCACCGTTCCGTTACTCTCTGCAAGTTCATTGCCCATTCCTTTCATGTACTAAAAGTGAGTTTTTGATGAGCATTAAAGGAAAAAGTGGAATGATTCTAACTAAAGAATTTAAAATGACGTTACTAACGGATTATGGTAAAAGTTTTAATCAAAAAATCCAAAAATGCGATTAATTATTGTAAACTTAGCTTGTAAATATGCTTATAAATAACATGTGAATAACGAAAATTGTCATTTATTAAGGTTCCTTTCAGAATTTTTATAATAATTTTTACAAGTGTACTGAAAAGAATACACAAATGGCCCGGGTTCAGTAAGAAATGAATATAAATTGAAGCGAGAAACAAAGGGGAAGACGGTCAGTTACGAGGGATGGACGAATATATTAATGAAATGAGTCAATGTTTTGCAGAGAATTGGAATTTGAGAAAAAATTAAAAGAGCATGATGATGTGGGAGATTGGAGGAGAATTGAAAACAAATATTTGTGCGTGTTGGGAAATACGAGAGACATGAGGACAATTAAAGATAGAGATAAGTGGAGGGAGGAGGAAAAAAGAGGAGAAAATTGGCAATCTCATAGAAATGTTCAACTTTGATGTTTTAATGTATTTAAGCCCTATAGCTATAATTGTTCGCTTTCCCTATTTCTTCTCTCCTTCCCTTTTTTTGTCCTCCATTCCTTTTACGTCATCTTTTTTATTAATTTATTTTAAAAAGAGTTAATTTAAGATTATTTTAAAGGGAGATGATTATTGGAAATGATAAGGTTTGGTTCAGGTTGTTATAATGTTTATAACTGCGAACGTTCAGACCATCCGTTAAATTTAATGTCAAATAATTTAAATCGTTATATTACTTGTCAAATTACTTTTCTCGATAACACGCAACATTCATTTCAAATTGAGGTTTTTTATTTATTATTTTTTTTACATATTTTTATATTCTTGTTTTTACTTTTTCCGCTTTTTTATTTTTGATACTTTTGACATTTTCGGAATTTATAAGAATATTAACAATAATGATAATAATAATAATAATAATAATAATAATAATAATAATAATAATAATAATAATAATAATAATATCGATAATGTAGCATTGATATTAAATAATTGCAATAAAAATAATAATAATATAATAATAATAATTAATAGTAACAATCAATAATTAATAATAATGATAATAATAATGATAACAATAATATATTAACAATAATAAATAATAATGATAGTAATACTAATAATAATAAATATAATAATGATATGATAATAATAACAATAATAAATGATAATAACATCAATAGTCTCATTCTTTTATAATTATTTTATTATAGTTGATGAACTAAAAAATAAATAATAAGTAAAATATAATTTAATTAGTGTAATATCAAATTAGCAATTATACGGTTCGCAAAATTATAATTATTCGAAATTATTAATATTTTTATTTGTTGATGATTGTTTCCAAAAAAAAAGTTTTACCTCATCTACATTGCTTTTCAGCGACATTCAAAAGGTCAGATATTGTTGGATAAAGTTTTTGACTATCTTGAACTTGTCGAAAAGGATTATTTTGGATTACAGTTTACGTCTTTCGTTGAGACAAATCAGATTGATGCTGGAATTAGGGTAGGTATTTTTACTAATCTTTTATGCTCTTTTTAATTGAATCTAGAGGACTTTGAAGACACTCTAAGAAGTTCAAAGTCATCTTTGTTTACCTAAAAGAAGACTAAGACTAGTGGCCAATATTTGAATTTTTTTCGTTTTTGATATTTTATTGCACTAATTTGACTTAATGTGGAGGTGTTCTACAATGAATTTTCAGAAGTGGCTTGATCCAACAAAGTCAGTGCGAAAACAAATGCTATGTATGTTTTTTATGATGAGTTTATTGACCAATCAGTTTTCATCATTTTTTTAAATCATGGTCGAAACCGTTCGCTATTCATACATTTGTGCAAGAATATTTTTTATCTTAAATTTTTATTGTAATACTAAGATTTTTATTATTATCAATCAATCATTTCTTAGGAATTTATTTTTGAATAACAATATTAACAATTCGCAATATTCATCGTCCTCTTTTTATTACTGTGGATAAAGAGTATAATATTTATAAATTGAAGCAAATGCGAAAAATTTCAGGTCCACCATTCAACTTATTTTTTCGCGTAAAATTTTACGTAAGTGATCCTGTGAAGCTGGTTGAAGAATATACAAGGTATATTATATGATTTTCTAAAACTTTTTATCTTTAGATATCTTCCTCTTACCTATTTGTCTAATATTTTTTTTCAAATAATTTTTTATTCATTTTCTTGTTCGCAATTATTTTTTCAAATTTTTAGATACCATATATTTCTTCAAATCAAAAAAGATTTATATGAAGGACGACTTGTTTGTCCGGAAAATATATGTACTATATTGGCAAGTTATGCTGTCCAGTGTGAGTTTTTTGATTTCAGAATAGTCCTCATAAAATATTTTTTTTGTATATTTTTAGTTGTTATTTTGATCATTCTATCAATTTTTTTAGCTGAATTTGGTGATTATTGTCCAGAAGAACATGGTGACCATTACCTAAATGATTTCAAGTTTATTCCAAATCAAGATAACAATTTTTTGTCAAAAGTTGTGGATCTACATAAAATAAGAAAAGGACAAACACCTGCGCAAGCTGAATTTAATTTTCTTGAAGTCGCAAAGACCACTGAACTGTATGGTATTGAGTTATTTAATGCTAAGGTAAGGTAATTTAAAAAATTTTTTTCATATTCTCGTAAAATTTAGTTAGATTGATGTTCACCTTTATTTCATCTCTTTAAAATTTAATCTTATTTTCTTATTTTATCAATGATAAATGGTATTAATTTATTATGGTATTAATAAATATTAATTTTAACAAATCCAAATTTAAATGAAACTTGTAGATGCCAAAAATAAATATATTTAGGATGAAGATGGAAATTCAGTGAATATCGGTTGCTGCAATCGAGGAATCATAATATTCCGGTCTAATCAGCAGCAGAATATTTTTCAGTGGACAACAATCATGAAATTGGCTTTTAAAAAAAAACTATTTAGTGTTTACATGAAAGACGAAAAAGTAATTTTTTAAATTAAGATTTTTATAATGGTGAAAATCAGTATCTAACCGATTAAACATTGTGTAACTGTTACTTGGCTAATTTGTCCTTATGTTTATGATTTAATTAAATGGTAACAAATTTATAGAGTGACGACGAAATTGTTCGGGTATTCAATATGCAAAATCCTGAGGTCTGCAAGGTTTTATGGAAAAATTGCATTGAACATCATACTTTTTTTCGTCTTGTTGCACCACCGGCTTTACCCCAAAAATCTTTTTTTAATATTGGAAGTCGTTATCGCTACAGGTTATTTTTTCAATTTTTTTCCATAGGTAAGTAGGTAAGTAAGTTTTTGGTTTGGTTGGTATTAATGGAGAACCACTTGAGAATGGAAGTATTGAATGGGTCTGCTAGCTATGTGAATTTTTAATGGGAAACTTACTGTCGTTAAGATCCAAACAGAAATCTAACCAGTGCTACTTACTGTTAGCATGTGATTGAAACTATCGATTTTCGTATTTTTATCCTTAATTTTTCAAGTATCAGTTAATTAAATTTCCCTCTTTTTTCAACGTTCTAAATATGTTTTTAGCTTATCAAAAAAAATTTTATTTTCAGTGGCAAAACTGAATTTCAAAGCATAGAGGAGATGAAAAGAAGAGCACGAGTTGAAAGAAGTTTTCAAAGGTTTTCAAAGTATTCTTAGATTTGTTATAAAAAATAATGTTGCTTTATATTTTTTTGGTATACTCGTTATTTATTAGAATTTTTTTATAACTGAAAAGAATATTCTAGGAATCCTTCTCGATTAACAGCAACAAACAATGGAAATGGACAGTATACGCAGCCAGCTGTCACTGATAATTCATCAAATGTTCATTCCATTTCTTCTAGGTTTTTTTCTCTTATAATATCTTGTTATACATCCTCAAATCATAAGCCCATTTGATGTTTTGTAATTCTTCATAAAATTCGAATTTCTTTATTCGAATTTAGTGCATGAATTTGAATTGATTTGTTTTTAAGACCATTCTGACCATTTTTAATTTTATTTATAATTTCTAAGATTTGAAGATTTTTCGACTATCGTTAATATCGTTAAATTTTTTTCTGCTATGTTGATGAGCTTTCTTTTATTTTTCCGATGCTTCAATGCTTAGCGCTTTTTATATAATTGATTAATTTTAATATATCTAATAGCATTAATGCTGTAGCCAAATATGGTTTCGAAAATTTCTCCGTCGAAGGAGATCGCGAATTTTTTTTGCAAACAGTTATAATACAACTAAACAACAAAACACACTATTGCTTTTATCATTAGAAGCACCGAATAAAATGGATATGGAAACTATTTCGCCGAAGTCAAAACGAGATCTGATTCCTATATTAGTCGAAAAACAATCTTCAAGGAAAGAGGTGACATCAGTTGATACTGTTCTGAGGTGATTTGTTGTAAAATTTTTGGTGGTGCCGATTCTAAAAATACATTTTCCCTATCGTTTAAGTTAAATTAATATTTTTGATTTTTTCTCTATTTTTTGCCCAGGTTTTCTTTTTGTCGTGACATCGTAGTTTCTGCACTTTCGCATGTATGCAACTTTATTTTTCTCATCTTTAGCTTTTTTTTCTTTTTTATTCGATCTTTATTTTAATCATTTTGAAAATCATTTCAAAATATGTTTTTTGAAATACTAATTTCTTTTTAAAATTTTAAACAAATTTTTAAATTTTTTTGTTTTATATAAGTTTCTTTTCCGACTTTCGAGTCTAATTTCGGTTAATCATCGTCGTAAAGTTTTATCAAAAAAAAACGCTGAAAAACTACAAAAAAATACTTAATTTTGCTAGAATTCTTTTAGTGGAAATATACATTCAAATGAAAATGATTACAATGTTTCGAATTTATCTCACTTATCACTGAATTTAAATCAAATTAATAAGAACGGTGCGAAAACAAAAGGTGAATTATTAAAATGTACTAAATCTGACATAGTTTGTCGAGAGACAGCATCAACAAAAGTAAATAATCGGACACCAATCGAAGATGTCGTTCAGGTATTTTTTTTGAAACATAATATGTAAAAAATTGAAAGTTTCAGTAAATTGATCATTTTACGTTGTGATTTATGGACTTTCAAAAAATAATTTAACATCGTTGAATAGAATTTATTCTTATAAATTAACATAGTGGATTTGAATTTTCGTAATCTTCAGGCGTCAACTTCAACGCTAATAGAAGGCACAATAAATGGTTATAATAAAAGCCAGGTTAAAGATTTTTTATCAAATACTGATAGTTGCGGATTTACAAGCGGTTCTGCTGTCAATCGTTTTGCCCCTGGTGCGAATGTCAGTGGCTCACCTTATCGTTTAAGAAATATGAAATTAACAACGATTAAATCGCCGAGATCTTCTATAACAAGGTCTATTATTAAATGACATGTCGGATATTTTCTATTAATATTCATCTAAAAATCGAGATCGAAAGATGCCAAATAATAAAATAATTTTTAAGTCATTCATCTATCAATTCAATAAATTTGGTGAGTAATACAAGTCCAACGCATAGAAGAAAATCACCATGTTTGGTTGGTTGTTTGTTTGCATAACGAAAAATCCTTTCGTTTCTTTTTTTTACATTGTCGGAAATTGCATCATCGATATTTCAGTGTGTTTATTAGTTTTATTAATTTTTTTATTAGTTTTAAATCTAATTAAACCCATTAGGTCGTTTATTTCTGAATTAATTCAACGAATTAATCTGCAATAATTCTGTTAATGAGATAATTTTCTTTTAAAATATAAGTGGTATCTAAACTTTAACGTATATTTTTTTATATCCTGCGAAATTTCAAGATACATTTTAGTCAGTCGGCGAAGATAATCTTGTTGTCGTGCGTATGAAGCCTGATCAGCATGGCCGTTATGGCTTTAACGTTAAAGGCGGCGCAGATCAAAATTATCCCGTTATAGTGAGTAGAGTTGCCCCTGGAGGCGCAGCAGACAAATGCAATCCACGATTAAATGAAGGCGATCAGGTTGTTTATTATTTTATTAATTGGGTGGAATTATTAAAAAAACATTTTATAAAAAACGAGGTATATTGTCTAATTTTTATTGAGATTTGAATTTTTTTGAATTGTGAAATTTTTACTTTTTTGGTATTTGAGGTGTTATTCATAAACAGATTGGATGTATCACATTTAAGTCATGATCATGTTGTACGCTTTATTCGTTCTCTAAAAGAGGCAAACAATGGTGAACTTGTTCTTACAGTTAGGCCAAATGGTTTATATTTTAATAATTATATTGTTTTTGTTTAAATTAATGCTTAGATGGTTTTTATTTATCTTTCATTTATCGGTTAAATTGTTTATTATTCAAATCAATTATTATAAAAAAATTAAATTAATTATTATATAAAGTTATACACGATTATATTATACTGTTTCTTAAATTATCATATTTTTCAGTCTATCGCTGTGGTGAAGATATTTCTGAATATGATCAGCATGTTCCTGAGAGTCAGCATGTCGCAGATTCAGTATCATGTTCCGATATCTTAGAACAGTCGTTGATTTTGTTGAAAGAAGCACTAGCATCTGGCCAGATTGTTTCACAATTTGAAGTTAATAAATAAATTTTTTTATTGAAGTTTTTTTTCCAATAATTTAAAGTTTTGTCCTTATCTGCTTATCATTTTTGTAGAAATTATATCGAAAAAAACCTGGAATGTCTATGGAAGATTGCAAACAACCGTTTTATGTCAACAAAAATCGATATCGCGATGTATATCCATACGACGAAACGCGAGTACGAATTAATGCACCATCGGGCGATTATATAAATGCCTCATTTGTTAATGTTAGTATTTTACTTTAAGAAAAAATTGATACCATGTAGTACTACTTGTTTCTTCCGCTTCGCACAGATTTTCAATAAATGATATTAAACGTTAAATATATGTCTATATGACTATTTTTCATCCTTTTAGATATTATATAAGTCAATTAAATCATTTTTTATTTGTTAAAATATTATCCAAATTTTTCATCCTTTTAAATATTATTTAAAACTTTATTTATTCATGCATTTTCTTGAATCCAAATTTATTGCATTTATTTCAAATTCGGATGGATTTTAATTTTTAATGGATTTCAATATAAATTCGAATTTATACTGCTCAATTCTCTCGCTACATATTTAAAATCATTAATTTCTGAAACTAATAAAATAATATATATATATTTAATATTTTTTATGGAATACAAATTCTTTGGTTTTAAGAAATTTTTGGATGTTTTTTACTATGTCCTACTTTTTATTTATTATTTATTTATTTATTTATTTTTTATTCAATATATTTATAATTTATTTGAATATTTCAGGAAAAAAAAGAAAAATGAGTGATATGTATAATTTCAGATGGAAATACCAACGAGCGGCATAGTAAATCGGTACATTGCTGCCCAAGGTCCTTTGGCAAATACTAGCGATGATTTTTGGTATATGATTTGGGACCACCTTTGTACAACTATAATTATGCTAACAACGACAGTTGAACGCGGTCGAATAAAATGTCACCAGTATTGGCCATCACTTTATGAGAAACAAGATTATGGGAAACTGACGATCTCAAACATCCAGGAACGAGAACTGCCAAATTGTGTCTCTAGAGAAATATCCATCAAAGATAAGATTGTACGTTTCGTTTCGACTTTGACTTTTTGATTTTTGATAAAACCATAAATAAACGAATCCACCACATTCATCTGTTTTTTTTCAAAAAAAATAAAACATGGCTTATAGACGAGAGAGGAACGCCGAGTTACTCATATGCAATACACTGCCTGGCCTGACCATGGTGTTCCTAGTGATCAAAAATATTTTATCGAATTTGTTGATGAGGTTTGTAACGTTTCATATAGATTTCTAAGAAATAAACCACTGCTTGAATATTATTTTAAAATTTTATAGTTCAAATTAAATATATTAAATAATAAAAGATTCATATGGATATTAGGTGAGGAAGATTCGTGTTGGGTCTGTGGATCCCATCGTTGTACACTGTAGCGCCGGAATAGGTAGAACGGGTGTTTTGATATTAATGGAAACTGCAGCATGTCTCGTTGAAGCCAATGAACCAGTTTATCCATTAGAAATTGTTCGAGTTATGCGAGATCAACGTGCTATGCTTATACAAACTGCGGTTTCTTTTTAATAATTCGAATATTTTCTTTCTACTGATAATCTTCCAGTATTATATTCTATAAAATTTCTATTTCTACATTGTATATTTTTTTCCATATTTTGGATTCTATAATCGTTGCAGGAACAATACAAATTTGTATGTGAATGCATCCTGAAAGCATACAACGATGGTGCAATTAGACCTCTTCCAGAATATTACAAGAAATCTTAGCAGTGTCATCAGTTGTTTTATAGTATAGTATTTCAAATAACATTCAAACTAATTTATCATATCATATACAACACTTTAATTAGATGATCAAAAGGAAAAGAACGTGCATACAATTGCCATATTTTAAAAATTTCTAAAAAATTTCAAAATACAATTGACAGAAAGGTAAATATATGTACGTGTTTATTATATATGTAAATAATTATGTATAGATTATGTACTGATTGGCAGAATAAATTATTTTATGCAAATATTCTCATTTTGAAAACATAATATCGACTTCAATATTTCAGAATTTATTATAAATTGGACTGTTGGCAAAATATTTAGAAATATTAATCTGTATAAATTAAATGATAAGTTGACGAGATAATAGGTATTATACTAAACAAACTACAAATGAATTTTAGAAAAAGTTATTAAAAATTAAAAGGTTTGAAGTAGAATGGGAAGTATTAGGAATGATGAATGAATAAGAAAAAATTTTTCAAAAATATAACAGAAAGAAGCATAAATCAAATTAACTTATGGCATAAAACAACCCATACAAAATGTAATATTTGAAAATGTTATGTCTAAAATGGGAGAATTAAATACTTGGAATTGCTTGAACATGACCTTGCCTTTCGAGAATGCGGAGTCTTTTTTCAACTGCATTCTTGTATTTCGAAAGGATTAATTTATCCGCTTCGCTCGAGACTTGTTCTGATAATGTGTGGAACATCATATAAGCGGTCTGGTATCTAAAACACTTTTGAAAGAGAATAGGGCATGAACCTAGGGATTTCCGAAAATTTGCTTAACTTTACGGGACACCGAAACGCTACAGCAAGCGAAACCAAAGAAAAAGCATTTTGAATGCTTACATTCGAATTTTCAAATTTTAAATTTTAAAAAAATTTCAAATTTTCAAAATAATGGAAATACCTTTGCGAACACAAATGTGATTTTCCGAAAAGTTCATCTAATGCAGCACTTTGGCAAAGTTCAATCGCATGTTTATACATTATCCGTTCAGCCGAAATAACCGCCATAGCTGGATCATGACCAGGTAATCCCAATGAGACCAATTCTTGCGATCGCAACTGACATGAAATGAAAGTATTCCAAAGCGAAAAACTCAAAATTACCGCCTTATTAATCTTGAATATACTTAAACAAGGAATATCAAAATATATGAACAATTGTTACCAAACAACTGTGATATTTTTCATTGAGCTGGTTAATAATGTATTGGACATTGGATGACGGTAGGAGAGATTCATCAGAGATTTGCCGCTGTGCAAGAAGCAATGCTGATGATAACATATGAAGCGCTCGAACATAAATCACAAGTTGCTCTGCGCGGCGATAAACATCTGATTCTTTTTTCTACAAAAATTAATATGTTTTATAAATATTAATAAATTAAATACTGAAATCCTAATAAATGTGTCTGTGAGTTTAATAAGTATAGCCAAATGTAATAATGTGACACAGCCAGACAATAAATATCCTGATCGCTTTTAATAATTTTCGAAAAATACATACCTCCTATCAAAATTTTATTGAATAAGTAATTATAAACTCTTCGCTGAAATAAATAATTAATAATGATATAAATAATTAACACTGCAAATTTAAATTGTCACTCACTTTACTAGACTGAATTGCTGTAACCATTGGGTTATTTTTATTTTCTGCAACATTTATTAGCATATCAACTAACTCAAGGACAAATCGTAATTTCGCCAGCACTTGAATTTGTTGGGCCTTAAATATAAAAGAAGAACAGGCTTATTAAGAAAAATGTAATGGTTGTGAAAATGGATATTTATAATATTTTTGCTACTTTGGTGATTTTTTTCATTTTTTAACCATTTTGGACTCGTTTCTCTGGCACACTAGATAAATGTGTCAAGGAGTCCTTTAGCGATAACTTGGTACAGCTCGCCATCATCACTTCGGCGATTAGAAGATTCTTTTTCTTCTAACAGCTCTCACCATTACTGGTTAGGCTGGTTCCAACGACAAGGGTAAGACGTTTCCAAGGTGCGTAATCTACCACCGTCTAGAGTAATAAAAGCCATTCTTTTTTTCCATCATCTAAGCCCATATATTGCTGCTCTACCAATACTTAAAATTTCCTGATTGTATCAGCCCAGGTCTTGATTGGCCTATCTCGCTTCTGACGCCACCCATCACAGGGTTTAGGAATAGGAAGTAACGAAATATATGTCAATTCTTGTGGTGGGCGACGATAAACGTGCCCTAACCAGCAAAGACGGTGTTCTACGATGGTACTAATAATAAAAGTGGCATATGAGCGAGAGTGGATGCAATCATGTGCGATTTCATCCACTCGGTGGACCCGTAAGATGTATATATACATGCGAATTTTCGTTTTTATGTGATTTTACGATGACTCCATAAAGATTTCGTCAACTGCAAGAAAGCATTTCTAGCTGCCATTATCCGTGTTGTAATAGCGTTTTTTGCCTGACCATTCGGTATTAGAGTGGAATAAGAGTCAAAGGTATTTAAAATCGAATGCTTCCTTAATCGGCAATGAGTTTATAAAAAGATGCATTTTATCAATTTCTTGTATATAAGACGAAAAGACACTCTTTTTATTAGTCTATTTATTATTTTATTTATAATGACCCTAAATCTGATTTCTCGCAACAGTTGCTGACACGTCTTTTAGCATAATTTGCATTTCGTCATAACCCAAAAAGAATTACACCATCAGCGTATTCAAGAATTGTGAACGATGCTTTGGACTGATTTTTTACATCTCTTAAATGGTAGCAAGCGATGTCCATTATCCAGTCCATCGTATAATTAAATATTGTAGGGGAAAAGACACAACCTTGACGGACACCAGTTCTTACTTCGAAAGAGTCTGTCAGTTTCTCAAATATAGACCTATGCGCCAATGTACGCTGATAAAATACCTTTATGAGTCGAATGATTATAACTGGAACACTGCCACGTTCCATTACCTTTCGAAGCGTCATTCAATCACTTGAATCGAAGGCAACCTCAAAAGCCAAAACGTAACGGTTGATTGCAGATATTTGAAGCGATGCTCCAACCTTCTTAACGTGGATATGTGGTCAGCACAACCGCGTCTCGTCCTGAATCCAGCTTAGAGCGTATCCTGCCATAAGTCTATTGAGTAAAACGGAAGCAAAAATTTTCGCTGAGACGTCTAATAGGCTGATTCCTCGATAACTGTCGCATTATGTTACTTTTCTTGAAAATTGGCAGCAGAATTGCTTTGCTCCAGTCATCTGATAATATTTCTTTCTTCCATACCAGAAAGTGAATTTATTGAAGGGCGTTATGAAGGACGATAGATAACATTTGAAAAGTTCTCCTTCCAGAATCTTACTGGTTATGGATAACAGATTATTTCTTCTGGCGGTTGGCGCAGTAAGACGTGTGGTTCGACAAACAGTTATATCAAGATGAACAGATGGCATAATTTGCCTCAAAGAATTTCTTTTATCTTATAAGGCGATCCTTAATTTTCTTAATAAGCACACCATTGCAGACCTTTACTAATTTAATGATCATTCTCCAAGTTAAAGTTGCTTTACGAAGAAGGGAAATAGTTTTCTATTATCGCCTAATCGAGCCGCTGTCTCCATTATCAAGGCCATGTCGATTCCAATACTCTCGCCGCGGTGCTGTCGTTATAATCTTTAGAAGCGTCCGAATATCGAGATGTGCTGACAGTCATTCTCTGGCAGCGTTTGACAGTTGTACAGTTGCTTCCGATAACTTACTAATACACTAGCGATTGACTTTCGGAGACATTCCTTTAGTTTGTACCAGTATTTGTTTGCCGTTCCAGAAAAGAATAAATAAGTTTACAATGCGCGTTCTCGAATTTTTTTAGCCTAAGATAGTTGAAAGACCTTGAGGGATGCTGTTTTTTGCGAGTTTTCAATTTTATTTCAAATCAATTTTCTTGGCTCGGACCATAACATGGTCAGATCTATGAATATTGCACATTTCACCATCGCGATATGACTATTTAGCACAGAACTGTTCCATAGGAGACTGACTTGGTTGAAGTGATGGCTATAGTTATATGTAACTAGATGTTTTCTACGATACCGGAAGAAAGTATTAGTAACAAAGAGCTATACGGCAAAAGCGAAAGCTTTCTCCAATGGCGCATCAACGCCGATGCCAATTACTAAGTTTATTTTGGTGGCATCGTGACTTACACATAAATTCCAGACTCCCTCGATTATGACCATGTTATATTTCGATAAAGACTCTGTTAACAGCTGAAGTTCGGCACAGAACTTATCTTATCACGGTCATCTTATCACCAACAAAGTCGGAGCATAGATACTGATGATCAAGATATTGCGAAACTTACCTTTAAAGCGGGCATAGGCCATACAGGTTACTGGTTTCCACTCAATCAAAACCGAATGGGTCATTTCAGATATGACAATCGCTATGCCATTTTGTCCCGAGTTATCCAAAGCACTAGTGATATAGCCAGTAACTCTGCTCTGAGCCAGGATTAATAATTATTTAAGACTCGAAGTGAGGAAGATGGACCTCCGACAAGCAGACGATATCCATAAGATATTTAGAAAAAATGTAGAAAAATTGTGATCATTTGGCTTGCAACGTCCATAAGCATTCTGATGTTCCACAATAATACGGCTAACACCTCATCACGTGTGAAGAGAGCTGTTCTTCTTGACAGGTTTCGAGCAACTATCCAGGCATGCGAGCTTATTTATGAACTTTGAGATCGTTTTACGCCCATACTTATCGCATATATCAACAGACTGGAAGTATCATTCGGGTTGAAGAACGCGGATGCCCTGTCAAAAACATCTGACCCTTTCCACAGAGATACTTGGGGATGGAGTTACAGGAGGGTTCCAGTAGCCACTCGGATTTTTAATATGACAGGTTTACTCCTATCAAAGGCAAACACAATATTATTTATTTTTATAATGTAACAATAATATTATTTATATATATAATAATAACATATAGTGGAAGAAAAAAAAAATGAAAGAAAAATTTAAAAAAAGATTTCAGTGATATTAAGATCTATTTTTATAATAAAGTTTCCGTATTTTTCCCGAACAATTTATTATTTATTAAATATTTTTTAAAACAAACTAAGCAGTTTATCAATCCATGAAACTGGAACCGCTGCTTTTATTTAATAAGTTTCCCGTTTGCATAAAAATGAATTTTAAAAACCCAATTATAAATTCAAAAAATACAAAACAGAAATAAAATTGTGAAATATGTAATATAAATGAATAAATTATTTTTATACTCACATCAACCACTGAATCGTTTTTTAAAGAAGAGTTTTCCATTAATTTCGGATCATTTTCTTTCATGACTACACTGCTTGAATTTTGATTATTCATCGGTGAACTCTCACGATCAAAAGCAATTTTGTTGGGTAAAGGATGAGAAGAATCGTCTTAAAGCAAGAATAAACTCAGAAAATGAAAAAAATTGAGAAATTTCTTTGTGAATCTCATATATTAAGGAATTAAATTAACCTTGGCATGAGATGAGTTTACAAGATGCGAAAGGGAGTCTTATTGGTTCTTCGAGATTCATATCTTCTTCCTCTTCTTCTTCTTCGCTTACACTATCACTAAAAATTGTAAAAAATTCATTTAAGTACATATAAAATATATTTTCTAAAATATTTTTAAAAGATAGCCTTTCAGATTCAAATGGAACGTTAATAGACAAAACTCTAATAAACTTAAAATAGTTTAATGTTTGGAATTATCAAACTAAAAAAAATTTTCATTATCTAAACAAGAGAGTTTCTTTACAAACTTATGTCAGTAATGTTACACTTCTACAGCAGGCAACTATTTTCCAAATGCAAGGAAAATTCACCTGCAAGATGGCTGAGGTTGCGAAACAGCCTTCACCGTAAGAGAAGTACATGAACGAGGTGGCGAAACCGAGAGAAATTTTAAATTATCCACTGCAGATTCCGCAAATGTAATATCTCGTATATCTGCACACGGTTTGATTGTGGTAACCTTCGCCGATTGCGCAGAAATTTTATCTCCTTCTACTACTGTATCGATATGTGGGTCAACATTGTCAGCGGTTTCAGAAGAAGCAAAATCAGCTTTATATTCATTCACCGACTCCGAAGGTGCATTTTGCATGGCTTCCGGTGGTGCTGGGTCAATTGAAGTACGTGGTATATTGCACAGATTACTTCGGCGTTCTCTTTGTGGCAAATTTGAGCGGCCTTCTGGCACAATGAATTGCGCTATAATTTATAAAATTTGAATTCAAAATGCAAGTTTATTTTTTAATCATAAAAGTCTCGATAACCTAGAAAAAGAGAAAAAATAATACTTTGATACATTATTTCGAAGTGATTTTATGAAATAAATATAAATATACTTGATGGCAAACTTATATTCTCCACTGATATATTTCTTGTTCCTAAATGGATCGTTGTTGCACTAGAAGATGCTGGAAAATCTATATTTTTCAAATTTTTTTCAGAGCTTTTGGGGATTAATGAAGCGTTTCTTCGTTCCTCCATTTCAACATATGCAAATTTTTGATTCGGAACGGGCACTGCTTTAGCATTCAACATCCTCGAACCACCAAGGACCTGAATAAAATTCTTCGATAAAATCTTTCATTTCAGCACAAATATTCCGGCGTTAAACAGTTGGTGCTTAATTTTTATATACACATTTGATACTCAAACTATAGTAACAAATAAATAGGGTATTGTGAGAGTCATACTCAAGTGGACTACTTAAATGATCGCTATTAAGATTTAAGATGATTAAATTTACTGAGGATTTGCAAACAAATTTTTGGTGTCGACTGATGATAAATCCTCCATAAATTATGGCTAACGGAATTATTATAAGCAGGGTTGCAGTGCATCGGTGGCTCAGCAGATAACTACTACCGAGAATCGAAGGTCCGAATTCGAATTCGCCCACCCACCACTTTTCGTCGAATGTCGCCTAACGAAGAAAAACTGAAAGAAGAGTAGAATGGGTTTTTTTCGGATCGTTGATGCTGATTCCGGCAAGAATAAACATGTCCGAAAAACCGGTGATGCTGACTCTTCTGCACTTCTATCGCCAAGGGAAAGCCAGAAAAATCAAATTGAGATAGAATATTAGATGAGATGAAATCGGTAAGTGATATGCTAGAGGTAATGATGAATAAAGTCCCCGGCAAATATGTCGGAAACAACCGAAAAAAAAAATAAAATAAAATAATAGTAATAAAATAATAGTAATACGGTAAAATTCATAAAGCTTTTAAAATTCAAAAAGGAAAAAGATTTTAACAAAGCTTTCCATATCATAAGCAATCAACAAATATGCAAATCGCACAAAACTGTTTTTCTTTTTTCTTTGTTCACGCACCTGTTAGCTACTTTGTAAAGCTATCTTATTTGCATATCAAAAAAAAAGAAAAGTATGAGAAAATTTTCTTTTTAATTTAATAAAAATAAATTCTTTTAATAAAAATAAATTAATTTTTATGTAATTTTTGGTCTACTAATGTTTTGGAAGAACCATCCAGATTGGCAAAGTAGAACGGGTGTTGGATTGCAATATTAAGAATCGCCTTCGCTTTTCTTCATTACCTTTCTTTATTATTAACTATTATTCTTTATTATTAACTATTCGCCTTGAATATATTCCCTTTTACTTCGAACCTATTAAATAACTATTTTTCATTTATTATAGCATGTATTTTTTTTTATTAAATATTTCAATTCACGGTCGCAAGACTAAATCCTTTTTCTGACAAAATTTTTGGTGCCACGAGCCGGGAATATAACGATAAGCTTAACGAAAAGCATGCAACCTGCAATAACAAAACTAACTAAATTCTTGAGCGAAATACGAAATTTGGATTTATCGCCACCGAATCAGAAGCTGTCGTTGGAAGAATTATGTCAACAATATGAGACCAAAAAAAGAATAATCGAAGAAAATCTAAGACGCTTCGAAATACACATTGGCTATTTGGAATCAGTCAATGCAAGATGGCTGAACTATATTAATACAACAGTCACTCCACAAAAGAAGAAGGAAGAAGAAGAAAAATATGCCAAAATGGTCGACAATGAAAAGGGTATTTTAAACTTAATAACTATCAATAAAGAAGCTGTTGTTATACTAGAATGTATAAAAGGGATTTCGAATCAATAATCGAACAAATTAAGAAATCACATTTAAATAAAGAATCTAAGCAACAAGATATAACTAACTAAATAGACATAATAAGACTAAATCAGCTTCTTTATCGACAATAAATTTGCCGCAATTACCGATATCAATATTTAGCAGAGACCCTAAATTATGGAGAAAATTCTGGAGCAGTTCTGATGCTATACATTCGCAAACAATTCCAGATATACAAAAATTAAATTATTTAGTCTCCTGCTTAAGGGGAGAAGCATTAAGAGTTGCGAGAGGTTATGATATTGTACTGGAAAACTACAAACACATACGAAAAGTTTTGATTGAAAAATTTGAGATTTCCATTATTAAAAAATTTCTCTATAACGAATTACATACTATCAAAAGGTATGATCCAGTCTGGAAAATGATAGTCGAATCAATCGAAAGAATTCTTCGTCAACTAGAAGCTATCGGTGAAAATCTTGAACACTCAAGTATTGAAATAATCATTGAAAGCAAGCTACCAGGATAAATTCTAGACAAAGTATTTCAACAAAAGGATAATAATGTAACCTGGTCAGTCTTCTTCTAATATCTCTCACCATTACTGGTTAGGCTGGCTCCAACGGCTACATGGGTAAGACGCTTCTAAGCGGTACGGTCTGATGCCATTGTCGACAGTAATAAAAGCCATTCTTTTTTCAATCGTCTAAGTCCATATATTGCTGGTCCACCTATACGTTCAAAACACCGTATCAGTCAAAATCTTGATTGGGCCTCGGTTTTGACGCCAACCATCACACGGTTTAGCAAATAACGAAATATGTATCAACTCCTGTGGTGGAAGACGGAGAATGTGCCCTAACCAGCTAAGGCCGCACTCTGTGATAACATTATTTATGCAAGTGGTATTTGAACGAAGATAGATGTAATTTTGTGATATTTTATAGGCTCGATCCGTAATATGTACCTGAGACAAGAGTGGTCAAAAACATAACTTCTTGATATCCTCCACTCTCATTAGCCATGTCTCAGAACCATATAATAAGATCGAACGGATCACGGCAATATAGATGCGGACTTTCGTTTTTATGATGATTTCATGACGATTACATAAAGGTTTCGTTAACCGGAAGAACGCATTTTTAGCTGCCGTGATCCGAGGGTATTAGAGTGGACCCAAGGTATTTGAAATCAGGCACTTCCTCAACCGGCAATGAATTTACAAAAAGAGGCATTTTATCAGCTTTTTGAACATAAGACGAAAAGGCTTTCGTTTTATTTACATTGATCCTGAGTCCGATTCTTGCTGCAGTGCCTGACACGTTATTTAGTATTACTTGGATTTCGTTATAACTGTCAGCAAAAAGAAATATATCATCAGCGTATTCAAGATCTGTGATACGATGCTCTGGACTAATTCGGACACCTCTTGAGTACCGATAAGCAATGTCCATTATCCAGTCTATCGCATAGTTGAATACTGTTCTTATTTCGAAGGAATATGTTAGCTCCCCATATACACAGACCAGCGCTGACGTGTATAAAAAACCTTTATGAGTCTAATGATTTTCTCTGGAACGCCGTCACGTTCCATCACCGTCCAAAGGCCGCTCTATCAATTGAATCAAAGGCAGCCGCAAAGTCGATGAAACACGTGACAGTGGGTTGACCTGGCCAGTAACAAAACTTCGACAGTTTCTCGGAAAATTAGTAAAGAAAAACGAAAAGTAATTAGAAGTCAAGCTAACGACAATTAACCAAATTCAAATCCAAACGTTGGCAACAAAAAAATCAAGGAGTAACCTCCGCATTGGTAACAATCAATCAACCTAGTTCAGATAAGTTTAAAGTTATTCTAAATTTGTCAATAAAAAAAGGACTAGATAGTAATTATAAGAGAAGACCATGTTCGTTATGTAACAAAGATCATTGGGATAGTAATTGTGAAACTTATCCTACCTTAAAGCAAAGATTAAAACGTTTAATTAAAATTAAAGCCTGTCGAAAATGCCTCAAAGGTGGACACATAGAGAGCGATAGTAGAAAATCTCTGAAATGTTTGTAAAAAATCACATAACAGCGAGCTCTGTCACAACAGACGACAATTTAAGCAAGCAGGATATAATCCTATATATCAGAAAGGGAAGTCAAATTAGATGATGAAACGGCTATCATCAACACGATCACCGAAAGGGAGAAAGAAATTTTACTTTTATGTAAAGAAGTTATTGTTTATAACCTAGAAAATTCAGAATGTTGTGAGGAAGTCCTAGTGTTATTTGATATTGGTTCACAATTAAACTTTGTATCCAGAGAACTAGTAAGCCGTTTAGAAATTTGAAGAAACGGAACTAAGGGAATTAAATATATCCACTTTTGGAATTAGACATCACACGGTACTTCCCACAATGAAGATATTAATTGGAATAAGAAATAAAGACAAGGAGGTAATAGATGTGAATTGAATATGGTGGATTATTTAACGAGTGAACTTCAAGTAGCAGATAAACCATCTACACTGGACGGGAATTATCCGTTAGAAAGCCTAGCTTTCTACCGGAAAAAACCAAATATATTAATTGGAGCCGACTATTTCTTCAAATTTATACAACTAGAGAAAGTTCAATAGATGAAATCAGGATTTTCACTACTTCAAACTAAATTGGGTCCTATGATTTGCGAAAGTGGACATATCGAAGAAATTAATTAAATTACCCATAAATCGAAATGCTTTTCTAGTATTCATCGTATCTCAGATACAGATCAATTCTGGAAATTGGAATGCCTAGAAATACATGAGCAACCTTGTGATTATGATGATGAACGAGCGCTAGAACAATTCAAAGAGAATACTGTCCAAATTAATGGAAAATATCAAGTACGATGGCCATGGAAGGAATCTACATCTAAATTAAGTAAAAATTATGGAATATGAATAAAAATTATGGAATGCTATGGTCGACTAAAAAATTTGATTGCACGGTTTCAGACTCGTCAACAAGAATTCGAACAATATCATGAAATAATTAAGGATCAATTGCGCTCTGATATAATTGAAAAGATTGAACCTTATATGGACCAAGTTGGTGCTATACATTATTTACCTCATCATAATGTGCTGACTCCTGACAAAGAAACAATTAAATTGAGAATTATCTACGATGCATCAGCACATGTAAAGAGATCAAAAAGTTTAAATGATTTACTATATCGTGGTCCAATAATACTTCCAGATATGGTAGTTATATTACTTCGCTTCCAAATGATGAAGAAAGCACGGCCGATACAGAAAAGGCATTTTTGCAAATACAATTACACCATGAAGACAGATAATGCACCAGACTCTGGTTGAAGGATATAAATAAAGGGGTTACTGAAGAAAATCGTTTTAAGAGTCCCATTTGAAATTATATCATCTCCCTTTTTATTATCAACTACATCTGGAATCTAATGGTAGTGAAATAGCTTTAGAGGTAAGAAAGAATCTTTATGTTGATAACGTTTTGATATCCGCAGAAAACACGGAGGAAACTTTAGAAACTTCGAGGAAGCCTCAATGAATATTAGAGAATTTCTTGATGTCAGATTCAATGAAATTATACCTGATCACGACCTAGCAAGCCTCAATGCCAGAAAGATTTTAGTGATTATGTGGTCCACTAAATTAGACATCATACATATAATTCTGAAACAATGGACAATCAATGAATTTACTAAAAGAAATATTCTTCAATTTGTTGCTTCACAGTATGATCCTCTGGGATTTCTAGTTCCTGTAATTGTAAGATTTAAATTATTTCTTCAAATTTTATGGAAGAAAAATAATTCATGGGATCAAATTATAAGTTTTGAAGATCAACAAGTCTGGAAGTCTCTTATTAATGACAAGGCGACACATGTAGGACACATTTGCCTCGATTTATAACTAATCTTACAAGCCATATGAACTTTAACATATTTACTGATGCTTCGAGTATGAGGTATACAACAGCAATATATACATATCGAGAAGGAATGCGCAAAAGGGAACCATATTTAGTTTATGCCAAATCCCGTATTGCACCCATGAAAGGAATGACCATACCGCGATTGGAACTGCTTGCTATTCTCATTGGAGTACAAGCAGGACGATTTATACTCAATTAATTTGGCTTAGAGGACGCAAAGGTGATATTATGGTCTGATTCCAAGTGTGTGTTGTATTGGATAAAGAACTATTCTAAATTACATCCAAAATTTATCCAGAATCGAGTTGAAGAAATTCGAAAGGCAAAATTTAATTTCCGTACCTGGGAATTTAATTACATACCTGGGAATGAAAACCCAGTGGACGTGGCTACAAGAGGACTTTCTCCTAAAAACCTCAAGAATTTTAGTTCTTGGTGGTATGGACCATCATGGTTAAAAAAGAAAATACGAGTGGCCACAATGTGAGTATCAAGCACAAGAGCATGAAAAATATGAAAAAATGGAAAAAACTCAACGGGCTGATGTAAAATTGATGACAACAAATGCCTCAAGTATCAACAATTTACGTTCATAGACGCAAGTAAATGGTTCAAACTAATAAGAATAACCATTTTAGCATTCAGATTCATAACTAAAAATAGATTCGAGTGATTAAACCCTCATCACATGATCTCAGATGACCTCTCATATATAACAGTGAAGGAAGTAGACACAGCTCGACAATCAGACAAGCACAATTAGAAGGTATCAATGGCAATGAAATAACTAAATGGAATCTTTATTATGATAATATGAAAAACTATGGAAATCGATGAGTCGATTGGAGAATTCAAAATTGAGTGAAAACAGTAAGCACCCAATTTATTTACCAAGGCACGATATAATAACCGAACTCCTTATAATGTGCTATCATGGAAATTTACATCATATTGGTGTTGCGCATACATTATCAACAACGAGAAATTGAAACGTATTGGATTCCAAAGAATAGAACATAAGTCAAACGTTTTAAATCAATGTATGGCCTATAAACGTTGGAGTTCTAAGCCATTCAAATTATGGCAGACCTGCCACAATCACGAGTTTAACGAGTACAAGAACATTCGAATCAATTAGATTGGATTACTTAGGTCCTGTCACTATAAAACTAAAAAATGGTTCAGGAAAAAGGTATAGCTCTTTTCACATGTTTTACCACTAGAGTGGTTCATCTAGAAATAGTAGAAAATCTCTGCTGAAGCTTTCTTACTTACATTTTCTCGACGAGGATGTCCCAAATTGATTGTAAGTGATAATGCTACTCAATTTCAACTAGTCTTTAAAACTTTCATGGAATAGAATGCCAATTTTCTAGCAACAAAGAGAATGAATTGGAAATATATAACTCCTAGAACACCATGGGAAGGAGGCATTTATGAAAGAATGATTGGATTAACGAAGCAAGCAATGAAAAGGACCATAGGTAGAAAACTTCTATGGGAAAGAGAACTAATAATTTTGACAGTGGAAATAGAAGATGTACTGAACACTCGTCCATTAACCTATATAAACTTTGATGACTACCCAGTCTTACAACCTATTGATTTTATTTCACCTAACGCTTCATTATAATCTTACCTATTGAAGACGATAACATAAAGGATGAAGAAATTTTCCCATATAAACTAAATACTAGAGACAAGCTTACTAAATATTGGCTAAGTACCCTTAAGACCTTGGATGTATTCTGGGAAATATTGAAATGGTATTCCTGGTACAACTGGTATTCCTTTCAATCTTCCTAATAGATGGAATTGTGAAGAAATACTGCAACAAAATCTCACGTTGGCCAAGACAGTTGTATACACTAGATCTCAAATGAGAATTCCAGCAATACGATGCAATAATATTATTCGAGTGGTATGTACTGAAGCCTTTTTTAGGCTATCTTTATCTGTAGTCTCAGATCAAACAACCACTTCAGCCACATCATCGCAGACTTGTAAATTTTTATATAAACATAAAGAAATCAATGCAGTCATCAAGAAACAGATAGCATCAGACATTTGGACAACAAATAATAATATACAATACTCCTATGGATGGTTAGGAGTGAGACTACATCAAATTTTGCATTCACTGAAGGACAATTACTAATTTATGATGGAAAAGGTATGGTATCCGGTCGTACTGAACACTTCATTACTCAAAGCGGAAAATGTGTTACCAACAATAGTATAATCTTATGGAATGGAACCGAAATATCAAAGAATTGTCCATACAAAAGGATTGGTATATATGATGGCGCACATTTATGGAAGCCATGTAATTATAAGTGAACTTCAAACTTCACTTATTTTCACTAATGACACTAAGATAATTAAAAGCAAAGATTGTAGTAACTTTACTAAACCTTATCGCATGGATGACGATATTATCATCGATATGGGTCAAAGGACTAAAAATTTGTTACCAGCTATAAAGTTAGGTAAATTATTATTAATGGAAACGAATAAAGGAGACAAATTCGATCCAGAGAAATTTCAATACCTTTTTGATAATTTTAAGCATAGTGCGTCAAAGAAGTTGTCAAAATCGTAACAATTCATTGCCACAAATTGGGTGGTTATCGTCGTAAAATTCTATATTAGCTGTCAGATTATTATTACAAAGGAACGATGTGATAACTAAAGAAATCAAGGCAAAATTGTTAATTATTCCATATAAATTAAGGAAATTCAATTCTACAATTATCGAATTCAAAGAAGGAATAATAAGTAAACTTGAATTTGAAAGAATAAATGCAGCATTGGAATTAGCTCAAAACCACGAAGGATTACATTCAGCATCAAATCCCTTCTGGGAACAAACAAGCCAACAAGGTGAAGAATTTGCCGAACAGTTGGAAATTCAAATTGATAAAGCAACAGAACTAATTGAGGAAGAATTAGCAAGTCTTGCTATACATTGGAAATTGATTATTGCTAGTACAACTATATTCTTAATTAAAATAACACATATTGCCATTATGATAAAATTCAAATTAATTCGATTTATACATAATGTGCTTATCAAGCAATAAGACTCCAACAAAAATTTTTTAGCAATTCCAACAGAATTATTAAATAAATTTACAGAAATAATTACTAATTATTTATTACTAATTAATTATTACAAACCAAATTCCCTTACAATATGAACCCCATATTCCACCACCTGATACTTCTTTCTCTCTGTCGGGAATGTCGGAAACAAACGAAGAAAAAAAATAAAAATAACAGTAATACGGTAAAATTCATAAAGCTTTTAAAATTCAAAAAGGAAAAAGATTTTAACAAAGCTTTCCACATCATAAGCAATCAACAAATATGCAAATCGCACAAAACTGTTTTTCTTTTTTCTTTGTTCACGCACCTGTTAGCTACTTTGTAAAGCTATCTTATTTGCATATTTAAAAAAAGCATGAGAAAATTTTCTTTTTAATATAAATTAATTTTTATGTAATTTTTGATCTACCAATGTTTTGGAGGAACCATCCAGGAGAATCGGTCAGTGATGGATCAACAATATCAAGAATTGCCTTCGCTCACCCTTTTTTTATTAACTATTTGCGTTGAATATATTCGATTTTACTTCGAACCTATTAAATACCTATTTTTTTATACTATATTTTCTTTTAAATATTTCAATTCACGGTCTAGAACGACAAGCCTGAGGAACAACTCTAATGGGAAATATGCTTTTTAAGTGCTTTTTAAAAAATATCAAGAATTAAACCAAGATCCAATTGCTGCTTATTTCATAATAGAAAAATAACCCAGTCATCTAATATTTTCTGTAACTGTAAATAGTTTCAAGAGGATTTCAACAAAATTGTTCACAGTTGAAATTATTCTTTAAAAATTCAATCCAAAAAAATTTTTATATAATGATTGCTGACTAACATAAAAACAACTAATATAGGAAAAACGTTTTTACGTAAATTTCCGTACCTGCACTTGCTTTACTGGACAGCCAGAAAAATCGATTCGAGATGTAACATCAGATACGTTTCGATGAGATGAAATTGGCGAATGATTTGCTAGAGGTGATGAAGCAATGCAATAAGGCTTCGATATTGTAGTCGGTTTTGGTTGATGCCCACCAGTTGACATATTTTGTGCAACACGCTTTGAAGGTAATACCGTATGGCGTTGTATTTCAAATGGTTCCGGTTTATTCAACAAAACAAATCCACTCGATTCCGCAGGGGAAGCAGGTCGATGACCAATAGAAATTGGCTTACTTCTAGAAGCAAATTATTGAATTCAATGTTTCCCAAAAATCAAAAATTAAATGGGAATGAGAATTTCAAAAGAAAAATAACCGAAACGCTGGATTATTTGAAAATGTCGACGCCTTCTGTGCGGGTAAAGGAGAAGATGGCAAAATTATGTGGCGATTGTTACGCGACGGTATAGATTTTCCCATCATTTTAGGTTGCAAGTTTATCGATGGAGTAATTTTTGCAGTTAGAAAAGGATGGTTGAAAAAATCTTCTGAAATAAGCAGAGAATTGTGATATTTATAAAGCTTCATAATTTCACTGGCAGCTGACTGGAGTAAACTGCCACAGTCAGCGAAATTGATGTGGTAATTGGATTCGCTTTCCCTCTATCTCTAAGTCACTCTCAAGCGTTTAGATTAACTCTAATCTAGTCGATAAAATCAGCTAAACGAAAAATTGTTCTTTTTTTTGAAGAAAATAAAAAAAAATTTCATTGAAAATATTTGAAAATTAGAAATTCCCGAAATATAATTAGTAATTTTTGATCAAAAATTAAATGTGATTTTTTCACCAAAAATATCTGTATTAACATGAATTAAAACGCACCAAATTCAATTCGATCTTTAGCATCACGCTTTAATAATCTGAAGAGTAAATCTCTTAATAAAGGATTGCATCCCGCTGGAATCTTTGGTTCTAAATTCCTATTCATTTCATACAAATCTCTTAATTCATTCGGTGTTGCAGCATGAAACGGTGGTTTACTACTTAAACATTGAAATATTATTGTTCCCAGTGACCAAAGATCCGCTTTTGCGCAATATTTATGGGACATTAGAACCTGTAAAATACAATGCAACAAAAAATAAAGAACAATAAAAAACCACAAAATGATTAGCTATGTATTATTCTGCACTTTACATTTAAAATAGTTAAAATTGCAACTCATAATTATAGATAATTACTTTCCAGTGACCAAAGATCCGCTTTTGCGCAACACTTACTTCAGGAGCCATATACATTGGTGAACCACACAAAGTTGCAGCCATAACACCATCTTCCAAAAATCGCGCAAAACCAAAATCTGCTAATTTAACGATAAAATCAAGCGGATCAGGATCTGATTTCCCTGTTGGGTTGCATAATAACATATTCTGTGGTTTAAGATCTCTGAAAAATCAAAATAAAGTAATCGAATCTTACCGAAAATCTCCTAAGAGGTTTTTTTAATGAATGCAATTAAACAATATTAGCCGGAAGAAATTCTTTGTTTACTCGGAAATATTTAGACGAAATTAACTGAATTCCACAAAAAATACCGATGAACGATTCCCATCTTATAAATTGCTTCAATAGCGCAAGCCATATGTCTAAGAAAATGTTGAATGGTTGTTTCAGGAAGAGTTGTTTTTTCATTTAAATAATCAGCTAAATCACCCGCATTACAATATTCCATAACAAGATAAACAGCATTTGATACTTCATGACATCGCAACAGCGACACCAAATTTTCATGTTTTAAATTTGCTAATTCCTGAAATTAGAAAGATAAGGAGCCAAAAAAAATTAAACAGTAAATAAAACAGTAAGCATATAATTTGAAAAAATTAATAGAATTGAAAATTTTAAAAGAAATGTTTAAAAAAATAATTTTTCTTGAAACCTTAAGAATTTTAATCTCTTTTTCCAACAAAGATATTTTTTTATCTTCCGACTGAGCTTTCGCCCTTGGAAAATGTTTTTTCTGAATAACTTTTATCGCTACCGGGATCTCTTTCTTCTGCAAAATAGAAAATTATAAAAACACAAATTAAAATTTAGTAACTACAACAATTATATTATTATATTATTATTATAGTATGAACATTATGTTAAAAAATATTTTCTTAAGTCTACCACCAAAAAACTCTCTGTTAAAAGAACTCTAAGAGTTCTAAAAGAACACCAGTTGACACCAGTTGACAGAACCAGTCACACTAAAAATGTTGAATGAGAAGCAATTAATAGCGAAGATATATATGCATGAAAAAATATATAAAATAAGTCTAATTTCTAAACTTGGACTTGAGACACGTTTAAATATATCTCTCAGTAAACATCTCTCCTTTACTTCGCTATATTTGTCAATAAATCAATTCTAGGAAATTGCTCAAAAATATCCAAAATTGCAACTTAAAACTTTCCAATTAAAAAGGAATAAGAAGAAAATAAGAAAAATATTTTAGAAATTGAGTAAAATCTACGGAAGATACTTAAAAATACTTAAAAAGAAAAATTTCTTAAATATTTCTTAAAGTGAAAAATATTAATAAATTAAATTTAATAATAAATTTACATATCAACAGAAGCTTTACTGTACATTTCATTCATTTTATCAATTTCGTAAAAAATTATTTAGTGGTCATTTTCCATTTTTTCATCTTCTCACTGGTACTATTTTTCCCAGAGCTTAACTTGAGAAGTAAAAATGTGTCAGCATTTATTCAAATTATTAATAATAGATTTATTGCTGAAGCAGAAGCCGAACCATAATGCTCAAAGTAATAATATAAGCAATACATCACTTAGCGATAGCCTCAGGATTTTTGGATAAATATGAAAAACTCAATAAAATAGAAACGAACATCAGCATATCGTCCTTTATAAACAATTGCAAATGCTCCATGGCCAAGTACATCATTTTTATTAAATTCAAAATTATCGAATCGTTCCATTATCCTTTTCTTATTATTTCATTAGAAAAATCTGAAAAATGAGAAAATAATAAATAAATAAATTACAAGAAATATTAAAATAGCAAACCAATAAAAATAGGGGAATAATAAAAAGCAATGAAAAGGAAGAAAATTTAAGAAAGAAGGAAGAATGGTAAATGAAGAAGCATATACGAAGAATTGAAGAGGATGAAGAAGTTAAAATAAGGAAAATGAAATGGCTCCATAACAAGAATGAAAAAAAGGACTTCAGGGAGAAAAGTCTGAAATAAGAAAAAAAGATTCGGCGCAAAAAAACGCAGAATGTGTGGAAAACAGATTACACTAAAGAAAAGCAGCTTGTAAGCAGAAATGGGTTAAGATGAGAAAAAAAAACTTAGCTTTAGGAAATCAGCTAAAAGAAAATTGGGAAAGAGGAAATATCCTAAAAGAAGAATAATAAAATGACAGGGGAAAGGGGGGAAAAAATAAGAATAAAGAGAATGGAAAGAGGGAAACACTTAAAGTAAAGAAAAATGGAAGACTCGAAATAAGGATAAAAAGACCATGAAAGGGGGAAATATCCCAAAATGAGGACAAAGAGACCGGGAAAAAGAAGGAAACCTAAAATGAGGGTAAAAAGACCGTGAAAGGGGGAAATATCCCAGAATGAGGACAAAGAAACTGTGAAGAGGGAAATAATTCGGAAACGAGAAAAAAACGTTAAATAATGAAGAATAAAGAAAATTTAAAGAAAATTTGGAAAAAAATATTCTCCAAAAAATTACTTCGTTAATTGATAAAAAAAAAGAAAACCTCTGACATCCGAAAAAATTTTTATATAAAAACAAGAGGAAGGGCGAAAGAGACGAAAAGAGAAAGAGACAGAAAGATGACCAAAGCGCGCGCGCAATATGAGGTATGCCTGGCCGTTTCATTAAACTAATGAGACATTACTGAAAATGATTAGAGTACCAGAATGTTGGAGTGTTTAGGAAAATATACAAGATCCAATGAGATCGAGTCGCATAAGTCTTTTTAAATCATTTTTATTTTATCGATCTTACCAAAAATCTCTAATTGTCAGCCCTATTTCTATTTCTCAGCTGTTTTTACATAAATTTCACTCTTCAGTACTTCATTGTACGTTCTCTGCAAATTCACCCTTTTCGATTGTCGCTGTTGTTATTGTTTATTGTTCTGAGCATTATTATTCTAATTATTTTTATTGATATTACAATAAATAAATTAATAATGAATTAATTAAATAAATAAACCGAGCCGAGTCATCAAATTTATGAATCGATTAAATTTCAAATATTTAAAGTCGATTAGATTAGTTGGAGTAAGAAACAATTTGTTGTAAATTTCTCGTAAATTGTTTTAATTTTAAGGTTTATTATGGCAGACGATGATGTTGGGCTTATCAGTCTGCGCTGCCTTATAGAAACGGAGATACCGGAGAGTCGAGCGAATCTCGAGAATAGTTACACGAACCTGGAACGTGTCGCCGCGTACTGCGAAGCGAATTACGCGCAGGTTCTTAATGCTTTTTGTTTCTTCGCAGCATACGCACATTCCGCGTGAGTGTCACTCGCCTTTCGCCTACTTTTAATTTATCATTTTACGTCTGAAAAAATTATTTTGATATGCGCGCAAATTTCAGCGAATCGTTCGCTTTTTTTCACTTTCGAATTGCTTAAAATTAAAGTATTTGTCTAAATAAATGGAAAAAATTTCAGGCGATGGACAAAAAAGCTGCTTTTAACGAAACGCGGCAGTATACGATTCAAAGCCTTGCAAGTGTTGCTTATCAAGTAAACACATTGGCTTACGCATTATTGCAAACGCTACAACTTCAAGCCGATAAAATTGAGAAAATGTCTTCTCAGGTAACTTTTTCCTTGCTGAAAGTTTTAACTTATTCTTTTACTGATATTTCACATTTCATTCTATTTTCATTTATAAAATATAAAGTCGAAATTTTCGAGATTGAAATATTATTGTGCTAAAAAAAATTTCGCTTTGCTTGATTTCCATTGACTCGAAATGCTGAAAGTTTGGAATCAAACTGATTGTTACATTAATTTATTACATTATTACATTTTTACATTAATTTTACTGGCTTGAAGTGACAAATGACCTTCTTACTCCCTGCTTTTTGAAAGAGCCAAGCAAGGTCGTTTCCGTTTTTCTAGAATTAAGAACCATGGTTGAAATATATGATCTTCCTTTGTACATCCACATTATTGTAAATGTGGAAGTGATAAGGTATGCCAAAGTTAACAAAAATGAGGGAAGAAATATGAAAGATCGAAGAGGATTTGACGATTTAGTCTTCAATTAAATTCAATTTTATATTCGAACTGATGGGTGATATAGGAGTTAGCCGATAGGCATCTATAGATTGATAATTTCATGATGATTGACAGCCCACAAATCAGGTTATTTTGGAATAATACGTGTTGTAGCTACGTATTATATTGTTGATAAATAGATTGACCGGTTTATTAAATATTTGCCTTTATATATACACTTTGTCCGTGTTTATGGTTTGAAAATATGGATAGTCGTAAAGAGTTAGATAAATAATTGGGCCCATTTTTCGAAAATATTTTATCATAAAAAAAAAGATAAGTGAGAAATAGGCGTATTTGCGTTGCTGCATCATTTCTTTGCACTGATACTATTCTTTGTTATCCTTTTTTCTTATTCTTTATTATCCATTATTCTTATTTTTTATTATCCTTTAGCTCTTTAAGTCGCTTGGGGATGGGATAAAATCTTCAAATGTTTCATTCACCATTTTCTTATGTTTGATTTAGGTTCATAATGTTGGCGAAGTAATTGCTATACATAAAGAAAAAGTAGCTAGGCGAGAAATAGGCGTATTGACTGTGAATAAATATATCCATAAACAACCAAAAATTATTGCTCCCTTGACTCAGGTTTCTTTTATTTGCTTATTTAAATATTCATTAATCATTTTCAGCTAAGATAATCATTTTCAGCTGAGATAAGAGCAGTTGTTGATATGATTTCTGATAGGGATTTGACTGCAAGTGAGCGAAACGAGTACGTATTCCATATGATTTCGACAATTAGCACATTATAATACATAATATTTAATATTTATTTGTGGTATATATATTGATAAATATAATCTTATTACTTAAATATAACTTTAATATAATTTTAGGAAAGGATTCCACGATATCAAAGAACTGCTATTGATTATTCAGTACTCGATAATGTAGGTCACGGTGCCAAATCTGTTGAACCACCAGTGAAAATTGGTTCACGAACTGTTTCTATAACTTCCGGTTATAGTTCTGGAAATCATCCAGTGTTTCCTAATTATGAGCAGTTGCTTCCTAAAGCAAATATTAATACTACAGTATTTTTTTTATTATTCTTTATTCTAATTGAAATTTTTTTCGTAAAATATTTTTATAATGATATTTATATAATAAATATAATATTTTTTGTTGATTCTTTCAAAAATTGGTTTTTAGTGAATTATTTTTTTGAAAACTCTTATTGTTATTCTTTCTTCCAGCTTTCACGTTCCTCAACAGCTCGAGGAGATCATTATCGAACACCACAAGCAGCTGCAACACCGCTAATAGATCCTCAACGATTTTCAACTGTGACTCAAGCTATGAATTATACTTCTGGTACTAATATATCAAATTATGGTAGTGCTGGTTTACACATAGATTCACAGAATTTACCATTGCCTCCACCGCAATTGGCCTCCGTTGAACAGTATCGTATTTCTGGTAATTAATATTTCAATATTAAGATTTCTAGTTTATTTTACTTTTTTACAAATAAATCTGTTGGAAAATTCGATAATGCTGGCTATTCACATAAACTTCCATCCTTAATGGACTACTTGGAATATTCCTTCAATGTAGCTAGTCAGCGAAGCGAGCTTAACTATAAATGGTGTGGATTCATGAAAAAGAGAATATTATAGAGATATGGGAAAAATTGGGGTTCTTGCATTCTTGTCACGTGCACTAATCGTCGGTGAAAGCTGTTTTGGTATAATAGAAACCTTATCATATTTAATCTTTTAACAATGTCGGTAATTTCCGTGTCTGAATTTTGTCTTTAAATTCACTAGTGGTCGAAATAGTGTTTTTATCGCATGGCTCTGTTTGAATAATACAATCGATGCAGTAATTTTCTAATAACTTTATCAGCTGCCTGATGAAATTCTTTCACAAGAGGATTATTTGATCATGTTGGTAGCAGAACTGTGTAGCCACTTCAATTTTTTGGATAATTTTATTCCTTTAGTTAGGTATTGCTACGCCCAATTATTTTCTTTAAAATTTTCGCTAATAATTTAATATTTTAACTCAAGATGGAATGATGCAGTCGGCGAATGTGATTTTGGACGAAGAGCCGTTGCCTTCACCACCACCAAACACCAACATGTCGCCATTGTTTGAGAATGTTAAGCACACCCACATGGCCGTTCCTATTTCTGAACATTCTGATTCCTCTCATTCACCATATATCAAACAGTATGAATGCATTCGTGAGTGGGCTCCTAAAACATATTTAGAAAAAGGTTGTTTTTTTATTTCAAAGATTGTTACAATAATTTTTAAAATGATTTTTAATGATAATGATATAATTCGATGTAATTTAGTTTTTTTCAAAATTTTTTTTTTAAATAACGGATATTTTTTTCATTTTTAATTTAATTTATTGTTTTTCAGCTATAGCTCTTTACGATTATGAAGCGGAAAAACCAGACGAATTGACACTGCGTGAAAATTGTATAGTTTACATACTAAGAAAAAATGAAGACGGATGGTTTGAAGGAGTTTTAGATGGTTGTACCGGGCTTTTTCCTGGAAATTATGTTCAACGAATATAAATTTTGAAAAAGAACCATTCTTTTAAAATTGGATATTTTTCAAAAGAGGTTCATGCAAAAATTAATGTATTATATCTAATTTTTCTTTTTTCATTATTTGTAATTTTTATTTTTTGTTCAAATAAATTTGATATGCCATTAGTTATTTTCTTGTACATCGGTATTGTTGACCTGCTATTTTATTTTTTAAAAAGAAGTATTGCGTTTAATTTTGTTGTATTTTTTTGTTCTAATGGTTCTTACTATCTTTCCTGTTCATTTAGTTACTACGGTTAAGCAGACCTATCGATCTAGTGCCATCTTTGAAATTGAGTGAATTCGCCTTTTTTTCACTTGTGGGTTTGTCATGTCAGTTTCAGTTTCGATGGGCCTAATGTGCTAACAAATATGATCTGTCGTGATAATATTTATCTATGTTATGGGTATATATGTTTGCGTTTTGCGTTATCCAAGACTTGGCGTATGACGGAATATCCATCATCCGATACCAGTGTGATTTTTTCTTTGCGATAAAATAAAGGGCGCTAATGGTGAATCATTTCTAAATTACTTTTGCGCGATTTTTGGGTGTTTGTTAGGAATCATAGATTGAGAGAAGCTTTGTGACGAATATTCATTGGCAATCAAGATGAAAAGATTTTGGAATCGGGGAGCTAATTGAGGAATGTTAACATTTTTCATACTCTCTTAAGCGATGAAACCACGATTGGCTCACATGTGTTTATATCCGAAAACGGAACGGAATGGAATGGTTCTTGGAATTCGTCCAGTTGTTTCATAAGCAAACTTTTTAATGATGGCGGTGTGGTCGATTGATATATTTCTGTTGCTGCTAAGACTCTAAATACTATTATCGGTTTGACTGCAGTAATCCATCAGAGATGAATTCCAATTGGTGCTGGGGATCCCTCTTATATCTTTCCATTAAATAGTATTCTTCTTGCATTTGTATCTTATAATAATCAACTACTAAACTAAAAAATTTTTCATTTGCTTTGTATGTAAGCGTAAAGTTGAAAAAATTCGATGGGATGTGCTTGCAAAATTTGAATTCGAATATTTGAGGTTACCTAAATTGAAATTAATTTCAAATTATTGCTCTATTTTCTAGAAATAGCATTTAATTTGACAAATGGTGCGATCGAGTTATGGGATTTTTCCAGGAAGAAACTTAATTTCCTTTAAAATCTGCGGAGCCAATGAATATATATTATTTTTGAATGGAATGGAACGCATTCGATTCGGTTCTCCATAAATATCAATAAGAAGCAAAACGTTTCAGTAAATGTCGGAAATGTGGAAACAAATGCTTCTTATCTCTTATTATATATTATTCATCGATTTTTCCGATAATATAGGTTGGTTGTTTTCTTTTTCTAATTTTTTTCTATTTTTTAATTTTTTAGCTTGAAACTCAATAAAATTATTCTCATTCATCGCAACTAACCGTTCGTTGTGACATTTTCCGAATTTGAAATTTACGGAAATTTGATACGACTACATTTAATCTAAAATCAAAGAAAAGTTGGAATCGCAGTTCGAGCAATTTATTGAAAAGATTGTTTCTATCGAATAATGAAGGTTTATATTTGGAGAAATTGCTCTTTCTTTATGAGAAATTTTATTCTCCATGGATGTCTTTGTAATATAAATAATTTCTCTGCTCTGGCGAAAAGCTTCTCATCTGATAGTCAACCAAACTAGAAAAATGAGTGCTTTTGGAAGAAAGTAATTTTTTTGTAATGTAATTTTTTTCCAAATTTTCAAAAATCTTTAATTTTCGAACCATTGAACCATTTATCGATGTAATTCGAAACCAGTGATTATATACATTTATATTTAATTATAATAATTAATAATTATAATAATTAATATAATAATTAATTATATACAATTATATATTATACGTTTATTTAATTTTTCATACTGGTTTGTTTTACTGAACCAAACAATGATTTTAGCTTTTTTCAAGTGATTTTTTCCCATCCTAATTCCCATTTTTAATTTGCAAGTGCTTAATAAAGATTTTAACGTGAAGTTATTGCTGGAATATTTCTTTATGATTCACTTTATTATTTCTGGTTAGATTGGCTCATTTGGCTGGGGTAAAGGTTCAGATATATCCAAGGGTTAGGCTTAAAAAGAATCAATGCGTCCCTTCCATTTTTTGCCATTTATAATTTTTTTATAATAATTTTTGGATTAAAAATTTGAAAATGTGCTAAATTTTTGCGAATTTCTTTTTAATAGAATATTTTAGTTTGAATACAAATTTTTATCTTCATTATTATTAAAAATCTATTTTTATTTTTTATTTTTTAAACTATTAGTTGTTTCGTTTCGACGAAAATCTAATAGTGAATAAAGATCGATATAAATAAAAGGATTAGTTTTCGCCCAAAAATTTTTTTTCTCGAACTGAATTTTGAAGATTTAGCATTAATAAATTTCTGAATAAAACTAAATTTTATTTATTATATAACTATTTCTCTGGTAAAGTGTGGACCAATTTCAATGGTAACATATAGTCTTTTAATCATTATCATTATAATTGGTAATTGGTAATTTAGTGAAAGGCTAATTAATAGGCATAGTATTGTAAACATGAACTAGGAATTAACAAAAACAAATGGGCGATTAATTGAAATAGAAATAAACTAAAAGAAATTCAAAAAATAATAAAATAAAATAAAAAATTTAAATTTAATAAAATAAAAATTATAATCCATATAAATTAATCATAATTTGACAAAACTGGCTTCTTAATCCACGATTTCAGTGAAAGCACATAATCTGACACAGTTGTACAGATATTTATTAACGGATTATGAAAAAGATGTACGGCCATCAATTCGTCATGATCTCCCTATAAATGTTTCTTTTATTTTCTCATTAACGCAAATCATTGATGTCGTAAGTTCCATATTTTATTTTCTAAACTATGAAATATTAAGTTATCTTTGTCATCAAAAATTAGAATAGCGAATGAGAGAATGGCATCATCTAAATGCTTTGCCCTAGTCAACCAAACCAGAAGAAAAAGGAATTATTGACTATTAATTCAATAAATTTAATCATGGATATATTTTTGGAAAAATTTAATTTCGGATGATTGATTTTATTTAATTTTTAGTTATTTGGAAAATTCCTATTTTCTCATAGTCCCGTAAATTTGCGGATTTTATAATCAATTTGCTAAATAAGAATGGAGGAATAAAAAAATTGTTTTTTATTTGATGTAAATTAAATGAGAAAAGAATAAAAGCGAATGAGAACTAAATTATTTAAAGACATTTGATTGATAAGAATTTGTTTTATGATAGTTTAAATGGAGGAATTAACATTTAAATCTTTTTTATTTATTTATTTGTTTATAATTAATGTTTTATAATTTATGAGTTAAATTATATATATTTCAAGTAAATTCGAAAGTAATAATTTTATAAAAAATGATGATTTTAGGACGAAAGAAATCAAATTATAACGACAAATGCTTGGATACGACAGAGTTGGATTGATTATAAACTTGTCTGGAACCCATCAGATTTCGATAACATTACGTTAATTCACATACCACACGAAAGGATATGGAAGCCGGATATTATACTTTACAATAAATAAGTTTTAAAGTCGTTTTATTGCTTTAAAATTTTTTTTTCAAAGAATTCTAAAAAATGATTTATGTACGATCAATTTTGTTTTTTTTTTCTTTCTCTTCTCTTTCTTTTGAAAGCAATTTTATTTAAAAGTAGTGTTTTTTAGTGGAATAAAAGCTTTCTTTTCTCTTTCCATACGTAAATTTTAAAGGATTTATGAGTGTTTGGGTTAAATCTATTTGAAGTTCTAGATCACTTCGATTGGTATAGGTTGAATTGGGAATAATCTATGCTTTTTTAGTTCTCTAGCCGAAGGAACTGATTTTAATTACTGGAAACTAGAAAATAATGCTATTTCGATAAAAAAAAGAATTCAATCTTCTGTAGTGCATTGTAATGTTTTTTAGTGCTGATTCTCATTATAAAGACTCTATAATAAGTACGGACGTATTGGTAACATTTCGTGGAGATATTTCATGGGCAGTTGCGGGAATTTTCAAAAGTAGTTGTCCTCTGGATGTCCGATATTATCCATTTGATTATCAGGTATGAATGTTTTACTCAGTAAAAAGATTAATTAATTATTTATCTTTTTTTCTTATATTTTTCTCATATATATTTATATATATAAATATATTTTTTTTTGTTTTCTTGGAAAAGTTTTAAAGTTATTTTATAATAATTTTGAGTTCAAGAATTAGCATCGAAAGAAGTTTTTTTTTTTTTCATTTGTAGAATTGTGTACTCAAGTTTGCTTCATGGGCTTATGATGGAACGAAAATTGATATTTTGCTTACTTCTGAAAAAGGTTTTTTCATTTCATAGCCAAAGATTTTTATTTTTTAACAGTTTGAAAACATCTAAAAACAACTTTCCAATCTTTATTTTATATAGTTGTGGATTGTAAGTTCTAAATATTATCCACAGAGCTAAGACGAAGATTTCTGATTTGCTTTTTTATAGGCGACGCGACAAATTTTATTTCAAGTACTGAATGGCATCTTAGCTTGATACGGTAAGTAAATAAATAAATAAACAATTTTTTTTAAAAATTTTTATTTTTAAAGCGATTATTTTAATTATTTAATTATGTTGCTATTTTAGTTATTTTTTAATTATTAATTAATTAATTCTTAAGTAAATTTTGCTTATTACTGTTATAGCAGTGGCAATCGATTTAATCACTTTTAGTAAAAATTCGTAATAATTTAATAATTTATAATTTAATAATTTATTTAATAATTTAATAATAATAATAATTTAAACTAATTGTATCAAATATAAAAATGGTAATGTTCAAATTATTGAGCCAGAAAAACACCTCATTTTGTTCTAAACTTTTTAAAACACAATTATATATTTATATTTATATATATCAATAATATATTTTTTTTTATTTCAAAGGTTTATTTAGCGCGGAGAAAAATTCGGTAGTGTATAGTTGTTGTCCGGAACCATATCCATTTATCGATGTTTTTATAACTTTAGAGAGGAGACCAATGTTTTATGTGAGTTTTATTATATGATCATCTCTTCTTAACAATTAATAATATATTTAAATTATTTTGCAAAATTAATTTGTTCATAATGACTGTATTTGCTGTTTAATTTGTCCACTGATGATAAAAACAGGTTATACAGTCTTGTAAAATGTAAAAAAATTCTTTTGTAATATTAAATGTGCATTTCGTATCATAAATGGCAACACTAAATAATTTTATTTTCTTGCATACAATTATTGTTATAGGTATTTAATTTGATATTGCCATGTGTATTAATAAATGCGATTGCATTACTTGGTTTTTATATGCCTTCAGATTCAGGAGAAAAAGTTACGCTTGGTTGGTTAATTTTTTTAAAATTATTATTTATTTAAAATTTAATTATTTATTTAAAATTATTCACAAAGTGTTCCTCAAAGTTTTGAAATCATTATTGTTGTTCAACCACCGGTTTTGATCTCTTGATAGGAGTGAAATTAAAGAAGTGTTGCTGATGAGCCATCTAAACTAGAATTATTTAATTATTAGAAAAACAATTTGATTTTTGATAGATATCCTTTGTTACTTTTGATTTTTGGTTAGAAATTCGTATGAAAGTAATGATTATAACTTATAAAATTATATTTCATTCCTTATATTTCTTTTTTCTTTTAAATATGATTATAATTTGCTATATTTATTTCTACTTTATTTTTTTTTGAATTTATAAATTGAAATTTTCTCTTCTTTTAATATTACTTGCATTATTACCTACGTCTTTAAATATCAGAAGAGGCTTATCAGTATTCATATTCATATAATTCAGCTAACTTTTGTAGAGATTATTTGTTTTCTGAGTCATTCAGATAGCAGAATGACTTAATCAGAAGTAAATTTTGCCATTTAAATACATTTATGGTAAATACATTTATTGTAAAAATAACTGAAACTAGTTTAGACGAAAAATATAAACTTTCTAATAAATGCAGAAGGATGCGACTAGGAAATAGAAAATATATTTTGGAGATTAAAAATAATTATTTAAGGAATAACATCATTGTTATCTTCAACAGTATTCTTAATGCTTGTCGCTGAAGGAATGCCACCAACATCAGAAGCCTTACCTCTTATTGGTAAGTTTTTTGTTTAATTATGATAAGAATTTGCATGAGTCTAATGAAGCACTAAAAGTAAACTTCATTCTCTATTTTCTTTACTCATCTGTTTCCTTTTTTATATCTTAGTAAGGTTTGAACCTTTTGTTGTTCTATAGGATATTGCCAACTTATCTTTTATTTATTTATTAAAGTAATTATTGGACTAGAATATTATCGTAAAGGACGAAGCATATTTCCATTATTTAGATTTTTCTGATTTATTTGTCTTAAAATTCGGTCTCATTAATGTGATCTTTAAAGTTTGTAACCATTTATTTGATTTATAGGTATATATTATGGTGTAACAATCGTAATCGTATCGTTGGCTACCGCCATGACTGTTTTCACCGTATCTTTTCTAAATTTTTTATTTCTTAATTTTTTGTTGTTTATTAATTTTTTATTCAATTCCTTTGATGTTTGCATAATTTTTGCATAATTAATTTATCTGATTCGCTTAAAAAGGAATATAGATTTTAAAAAAGAGAAATGGTTGTTATGAGGAAAAGACAAAGAAAATAGGTGACCCAATTTTAACAATATAAAAATAAAGAAAAAATATTATTTTTAGCTGAATATTCATCATCATGGTGTTCATGGAAATCGAGTTCCTCCAGTAATCCAAGCGATCGCATTTCAGTTCTTGGCAAAGATATTATTTGTTCCTATAGAAAGTTATCGCTCATTAATGCATCGCACTTATTCTACTCAGGTTTGTTACTTCAGATTTTTATATTGGTTAACTTTTTGAAATCATTTATTGTTACCCATAATTTATCTATTAATTAATTTGGATATTCATGATTTTTCAGTAGATATTCATTCACTGAAAGAAATTTGGGGAAAATATATATTTTTAAAATATTTTAAGCTTCAGCAGCTTCTTATTCTCGATATTCTATTTGATTTTTGATGGCTGCATTGTTAGACCCTTTTGACCCTTAAAATAAGACCCTTTTCCTCAAGTCAATGGAAAATAGAGGTACAAATGGCAATTAGCAATCTATTGAATTTCATTTTTAATTTGCTATTCTATTTGCTGCTCAAAAAATTTTGGATGTTTTAGTTTTGCCAACTTTTTCAATGAAATTTTAAGCCTGAAATATTAAAAAATTAAATATTTTAAAAAGTTCTTCCTTTAAATTGTAAAAATTCATTTTCAGAAAGGAAGCAGGCGAAAATGTGATGGTGGTGGTTCGTATATATCGAAAACTGTGCTAAACAATTTTGACGACAATTTACGTGATCGGCTAAACAGTGAAAAAGTTACTCTAACCAATATTTATTTTTTATTATATTGAACTTTAGCATAATATATAATTTTCATTGTGCTTGCGATTGTTCGTTAAAAATAAGTGGCTTACAACACGTTTTTGGTTAACTACACTCCATTGGGTGTTACATCGGTAATTTTGCCAGTAAATCATTAGAGAATAGGAATACATTCGGTCCCTAGCACGACCCAGGAAATGAATAACTTATCTCATATTCAAATAGTTTGAATTTTCGTCCAATAAATTTTAGCATGGTGAAGCAGAAGATGGTAATGCATTTGGTACTGAATTATTAAAAGTAATGAACGAATTGCACACAACAGTTGTTCGTAATGAATTGCGATTGACAGAGAAAGATCGTCGAGATGCTATCAATTTAGAATGGCAGCAGGTTCAATACATTTTTCATGTGCTTATTTTGCCATTCTAGCACCACAAAATCGAATTAAAAAAAAAGAAATTAGGGTATGGTTTACTTAAAAGTTTTAACTGAAAATTTACCTATACTTCTTATGCTCAATAGACAATTATTTTAGATGAATTTTTAAAAATTTAAGCAGTTATATACTATTCATTTAGAATATAGATTAAGAAGTATTTATTATTTGTTCACTATTCATGACTTGTAAAATTTGGGAAATATTTGGTTTTGGTGGAGCGTTCTTTTACGACTGGTATCCCTTTCAACCACATTTCTCACTTTCAGGTGCGAAAATTGTAACCAGCTAACTTCTTTTTCTTGTAAATTCATCTTGTCTGCTTACACTTTTTACACTTTTTGAAGCAGATGCTCTGTTTTTGGAGAAATGGGAGATTTAAAATTTAGATAAATTTAGATAGATAGCTAGGTAAATGTGTTACCATAGGTTATGAATAGATGATCGTTATATTGGTATTTTCTTAGCGCGATGATTTTAGTTTTTGATTGCAGATTGCACTTGTTCTTGATCGATTCTTTATGATAATATTTATTATCGGAACAGCTTTTTTGTCATTAACAATCATTTATCAACGTCAGCTACATTTCGAATGATCTCAATGGAAGATAACAATTGTTTACGCAAAAATGTCGATCAGTATGCAGTTATTATCAATTATTATTGTAAATTCTATCATATAAACCTCGATTTAAGTTTTTTATTGCAATAAAATTTTAATTTTCGAGATTAAATCGATAAAGATGATTATTTTAACAAATTGACATTTCTCTCCTCTTATTTTAGAAGCTATTTTATGACTATTTTAAAGATAATAATGGTTAATGGTTATAGATTATCTCGAATTTTGAATCCTATCAATTATTCAATTATTTTCGAGTTGTCCTTTCTTGCATTAAGAAATTACCTTATCGTCCTGCAGAGTAACAAGTCCTATATTTCTAAGGAATGAAATTCCACTATATAAGCGAGTATTAGCACATTTTCTGTTTAGCAGACAATATTTTTTATTCATTTATTTTATTTATTCATTTATGAAGTGGCAAAAATTTATTTGGAATATCATTTGCATTATTTCTTTCAAGGAGTGAGTGCTGATTATTCAGAGCTTTAAAAATTTGCATATTTTACAGTTCGCTTTATTAATATGCTTTGCGATGAATGCCTCGGTTCACACAACTGTAATCGTTCTGGTTGTATAATTGTATAATTAAAAGACGCAAAACCATCTTCAAAAATGGTTAAAGAATTTATAAAGAATAAAGAATTTAAAGAAATTCAAAAATAGCAGAAAAGAATTTACAATATTATTGGGATTTTGTAATTATACGGTCCAGCCAAGTCAGACGACAGGAGAATTGGCAGCGTATTGATTCCTATCAATCGAAGCAATGCACCTACAAGAAAAAAAAAGTGTGGAAAGAAGTTTTATACAAAAATTTGGCCAAAATAAGGCCATAGTAATGCGCGAGGTAATTAACCTTTGATGATTTAAATAAAACAATCGCTCTAAGCATAATGAATTGTTTTCCGCTGATTTTAAGCAGGCAACTTGGTGAAATGCAAATTTTCTTCATAAATTTCCCATTTATTTTACATTATTTCAATATTTATAATGAATATTTAATATTTAATATTAAAATATTTAATCCGCTGATTTAATAAATATCAATAAAAAAATTTATAAGTGGAATTATCGGTTTAAAATAATTTACAATTTTTGATGGGAAAAGTGAAAAAATAAAAAGTACGAACATGGAAATTTTTCGCGAACATCGCGTGAAATTCCAGCGTCCTTAACCTAATAAAAGCTTAATAGCCAGTGGCAATCATCCATTTTCCATTAGACAATTTTCTTCAGTCAACGAGAAAATGCAAAAACAATCTTTAACTGAGCGAAATGAATCACCAACGAATAATTTCACCGAAAAAGTTTATAATTCAGTGCCTCTATTCAGAATGGCAAAAATGGCACAAATTCTATTTCGATTGAAATCATATATTTAGTTTAAAAAAAAACTGCCCATTTTATAATATTCAAGTTTATTCGAATGGAATATATTATAACATGAAATATTCGTAAATTAGAAGTGTGGGGTCCGCAAAGTTCGGGCTGAGGTGAGTGCGCCTTCCGAAAGCAGTCGTTGAAGAATTCATCACCGACTCAGCTCGGTAATCGTACATTTAAATTTCTCGGAAAGGTTTGAAATAGCGAAAACTTGTTCAATATTCTTAGTAAAAATTCTCTGTGGTAAGCGGAAATTCATCGAAATTAAACAAAAAAAATTTGAAAGAATACAAAAAAATTTCGAAATACCACGAAATATTTAAATATTTAAATATTTAAAATATACTGTGGGTAAAAATATTACAAATAAAAGTAGAAGAAACTGGCGACAAGGCTAACATTATGGGAAAAAGTCCACATAAACGAAGTAAAATCACCACTAAATGCGTATCACTAGAAACTAAATGGATTTAAAGCATGAGCCTTCTTTCTTAGGACACTCCACCTAGTCTTCCTAAGCCTCGCTCCAGAGCAATAACTACACCAAATTTGGACAAGGTTCTAGGATTCAATTAGCTCTAGTCACGCAAATTATTGACTAGGTGGTCTGCTTTCGCATATTATATACTCATTTTTACTCATATACTCATTTTTAGGTCGGAACTTTGCTAAATGTGCTGCAAAACGAGCTTCATATTTGAAATCTTTTCTTGTTTAGCTTATATCTTTTTCGCTTGTTCGATAAAAATATTATTTTGTGTATTTTAGATATTTTAGACATTTCTACTTTTTTATTCGCCTATTTTATAATTATTTATTGCATTTACAGCGAGAAAGCAAAGTCAACTATTTGGAATTTGGATTTGAACCAGTTTACCTTACAATAAAAATTTTTCTTAATGGTTATATGTTCATGGGTTTTATGATTAAATGATACCTTTTTGCTTTCGTCATCTTGCGATACTCCCAATCGACGAAAGCGCGGTGAATCGACCTGATTCCAACCTAAACCAATCTCGATTGCAACCCACTGCACCTTTGCTATTCTGCATGTCACTAAACTTCGGTGCATTTCTCTGATGAAAACTGATGAAAACTGCCTTATCAACCTCTTTTCCATTGATCCTTTTGAAATTGAAATAAAATGCTGATAAGAGAGGACACTCCTTCGAACCAATTTTTCACTTTCATAAGCCCATAGCGACCTTCTTGTCCTCGCCTTTTTGCGATAGTTTCTTTGGTAGTAATTTAGTGATTGAATACGATGGCATAACAGACAAAAAAATCCAAAAAATTTGAAGATTGGTTATCGACAAAACTTCTCCTCAAACAAAAATGAATGTTTCAATATGAAAAATAAATTTGGTAAATTCATCTATGCGATTTTTAATGAAATCAAAATTTTCCCAAATTCCAATTTCTTTGAGCTTTAAACATTCTTCTTGGGGAAATTTCAATTATTATCTATTCAATATTCCAGATGTAAAAAACGATAAGAAAATGTATTATTGTAGCATCATTAAACCAATTCGACAATTCTTTTTAATGACGCACTGCCAACACAAATATTTTAATCTTTAACTCATTGTCGACGAATGGTGAAAGAAGTTATAAATTAGGGCTGACCATTAGGCTGCAGTATACTGAGAACAAGGAAATAAATACCTGCAGCAAACAGTGCACAAATCCCGGAGGAAATGAGTTCCAGAAATGACCAAGAAAATTACTTGATCTGGAATTCAACGGTTTCCTGCATTATATTGATACTGTCAAATAAACTTATTTCTATAATCATTTCTTTGCTATAATCGACGTAACCGGTTTGTTGTACGAATTTGTGGGACAAGTATGCAAATATACAATAATATTATATATTACTACTACCTACATTATATACAAATATACATCAGCATATATATATAATATATATATATATTAGCAATATGGCACCAAAAGATGGGCTGTTGAAAAAATACCTGAAGAATCAACAGACACAGGAGGAAAGCAAAGTAAGAACCTCCATGGGGTATGCCATAGATAAATAGCTGAGATAGCTGACACCGCCAGTAGTTGGAAAAAGCTAGAGCACTGAGATGTATGGTTAAAAGCAGCACAATGAAAGGAACAACTAAGTAGCTGGCATTGTCAGGAATATCTGCTGAATTTACGGCTCAAATTTTCTTAAGACCAGAATGAAGATTTCAAAAACTTTGAAGGACAATAAGACCAAGATCCTGTGACATCCAGATGAGCAAGTGCCGGTCAGTCAATTAGATATCGTGGTAACAGACAAGAAATCAAGTAGTGGTGATAAGCATAGCAATATCAAGTGATAGGAACATTAGGAAAACGAAATGTGAAGTGAGAGAAATATTAGGGGCTTAAAGAGAAACTAGAGAAGATGTGGAAAATGAAGGCCAAAATAACAGCGGTGATAGAACCATTAGAGGCTGCAACCCCTGAACTAGAAAAATGACTCCAACAAATTCTAGGAACAGTCAGAGGTCTCTATATAGAAGAAAGAGGAGTAACTATCCTTTAGTACAGGACTTGAGGTTGAGAATAACTCATATCACCCACAGAGAATAATAAAGGGATTTGTATATATAGTCAAAATCTGAATATAAATAACTAATTTCAATTTAAATGGACAGATTTGCCTCAATTTCAATTTCTGAATCTGAATTTGGAAATATTGAAAAAAAAAGAATTTGAAAGAGCAAAAATGATCCAATCAGTTTTTCCAAATAGCTCTTATTCTGCTAACACCACCTGTGCCAAATGTTCAGCTGACTATTTTAGCTTGACGCGATAAAATGAGTTTCATCCAACTTCACTTTCGGTTAAACTTTCCTGCCAAGGAAAGTTTTCAAAAGTTTGTCTGCTATTTGCCCTTAACTGAAGTAATAGAAGAATGAACCACCCTGTGCCGTTTCTCCACGAATAATATCGCTGAAATGAATACAATTCCCTTTTTAAGTTTCATTATTCAATAAGCCTTTTTTTCGTTCCTTCCATTTAAATTTTTTCAGGTTGTTGAGACTTATTTTGCATTGATTTCGTACTATTTTTACGTGCCATAAACTCCTGCAACTTATAATTCAATAACCTTCCATAAATATTGTAATACAGAACAACGATTAAGTGGATTATTTAAAAATAAACATTAATAATATTAATTTATTAATTAATTTAAATGCAATTTAAAAACACGACGATTAAACACAATTAGAGCAAAAGTTATACCTCGATAATCTCCTTAGGAAAATGCATTTGTTCTCGCATAACACATGTCGCACAAAATGTTTTATAATAGAATACACTGCATAGCTATAAAACAAAATAAAAATGACCTAATATGAATATTCATAATTCTTTTAACCAAAGTTGCAGTTGCAGTTTGTTTTAAATGACTATTCTAAGGGACATGCTTAAATATGGATTGCTAAAAGCATCTCATTGCTAATGTTTATCCTCATTAAGATGTAGAAATCAAATTCTTTCCCTTGAACGGCACGTCGCAGTATATTCACTGCAACTTTGGTTCAAAAAAATTCAAAAAAATATTCAAAAAAAAATTTAAAATTTATCTTTTTAATGTGGATGAGACACCATTTAGCTTGCATTGATTTATTTTTAGCAACGAAACAAAATTTCATCATATTACCGAGGTTTAGGAGAAAATATGGTTGTTATTATATTACCTCATAATTTATAAAAATTACCTCATCGAAACAAACTGATTGACCGCATATAGCACAAATTGCACCCAACACGAAATAGTCGAGGATATTCAACAGCTTCGAATCATTTCGACCACTTTTAATGTTAACTTCACCAATTTTTGATGACAAACGCCTTTCATCAACTTTATTTCTATTACGAAATGGATCGAGTATATAGTAAACTTCTTCATTATATTTCCATGAATGCCTTAAAAGAAATTCGTATTATTAAAATTATCTATTACCAAAAATTAGTAAATGTGTTGTTCGCCCAAAACGAATAGTAGCTTTTTCCAACGATTGCGTTTGTTGCCGAATTCCGAGCTGGCTCAACACCATCTCTCCTGTAGTATATTCGATATGTTATTTGCGAATGGCTCATTTTGCTCTCCTCTTGACGTGGATAAATTGTTTAATCACTATCACATTATTTAAAGCGAAACTTGAGGAATAGCGACGAGTTTCTATTCCTTGTTTTCAAGAGTAATTCCACTAAAATATAGATAAAAATACAAGATCACCCTATGTCTACGAACTGAAAACCATGTTTGACAATACAAATTAAAAGGAAAAAAGCAAACACATTCTAGTATTCCACTCGACGAATCCATATTTACATTTTTCAGACATTCCACAAATGCAACAATCAAATTTTGTCGATGATGGCTCGCCGCAACTTTCCACTGAACTTCTGCAATTTTGATTATTGGCAAAAATGTATTTTGAAAATATTTTTTAGAAAAAAAAGACATTTTTCGTGAAAAACTGATAAAATATAAAAAAATCTTTAAATCACACTAAATCCCTTCGTATTTACGACAAATACTTTTATTCGAATAACTTTCAGTTAAATGACTAATAAATGACCCACTTTTGAACCGAATGTCATCTTTAAACATCCACCGCTTAGGTTTCGTTAATTTTGTGAAAGGACAGAGACTATTCCGAAAAAAATCATCAAGGAGGATATGGACAAAAGTGGGTTTTTGGCACCGCTGGTCAAATTCTTCCTTACAATGACAGCTGTTGGAAATGAAATGGTTCTGCAGTTTGGTGCTTTGCTCTTATAGTGCTCTTACATCGAGGGGCAAAAGATGGAGTTCTACCTGCGGCGCAAGGAAACCTGTTGTTCAAAAACAGGGCCTAACTCCGCGGTAGAATCTGCCTCGCCCGACAAGTTAGCGGAACGAACAAATGGGCGCTCTTCACTTTAATGACTGATTTTTCCCTTTTCAATTTCTATATTCTAAAATGAATTTCCATATTCTCTAAATTAACAAAGAATCATTCTCTGCTGAGAAATCCCTTCTTCGAAATTAACGAACATATTTAAAGCAACTCCGACGAAATCACTCACTTGCAATGAAGTGGGGCCCCCTCAGCCATCACATTTATTCTTCTTCTCCACTACCACAAATCGTTTTACATATGTCGATGTGCTAAAATCGAAAACTGCGGCCCGCTGGATTTATTTGCGGCTGCCATGTAACCAAATGCTCTTTGTTATTTATTACTCACATTAATATTAAGCCCCATTCATTAGTGAATCTTTTGATTTTGTACGTACTTGATCAGTCAATTCTGCAAGTTTGGTGAAGAAAGGAGCAGTCTGGACAGATGAAACCTCCTGGGGCCGCGGCCATGTTTCAACGAACGACTGCTAAGTGGGGATGTCGAGGTCAGCTTCGCTCCTCTCCAGCTGCTCAGTCAGATGCCATCGACGGCTTGCAGGATTAGCCAGTGCTTGCCAAGGGTTCCTGGGAAATAAGGGCTGGTTATCTCAGGTAGTTCGAGGAGGATTCCTGAATCATGCAAAAATTTATGATTTATCGACAATTATCAATTGTGGCGATTTGTAGTAATAAATTTATGGTGGCGTTTAAAGACTTATTAAAAAAGTGTCGAGTGTTGAAGAAGCCTAATTTTTTTATTTCAAATAGAAAATGGTCGTTAAAAGCTAAAATATTCAGTTCTTTCGTTTTGTTTCGCCGTTCTCGATATTCGTTGGATTTCGCTGATAATTTTTTTTTGTTTTGTCTCTCATTTTATCAATATTAAAGCGCTATTCCGTAAAATATCTTAGTTTTATTTATAAAATTTTTTTTATTTGATTAATCCGTACTTAATTAGTCGTTAAGTATGTTTACGAATGCGTTTTCTGAGATTTTCACTATCATTAACCTATTGAGGAGCTTTGGCTTTGGACTGACCTGTTTCCATTTATTGCGGTCTATAAATAAATTGAAAGTAACATCCGAGCGATTCTCCGGGTAGTTTTACTGAGAGGTAATGGTATGTGGTACTTGTATCCCTTTCCTTTATGAAAAACGCCAAGCCGAGCCTACAGTAATATAAAGAATAATTATTATTACTAGTAATAATTATTATTGAAAGTAGTAATTCGAGTTAGTCAAGAGTTCTTTGAAAGTCTGTCGGACGGAGATCATTTGGAAACGGATCGGCTGTTGTAGCCAGCGGAAGAACTTGGGGAACTTAAGGCTGATCTTTATAATTTTATATGGGTTTATCTATCATAGACTTGTTTTATTTTTCAGTCTCTTCATGAATTCTTCTGGATAAAATAACTTGGAAATTTTGTTCCACAAATTTTTTTTCATCGTACCATTATTGGTTAAATTAGTCCCATTGGCTACAAGGGTCCATTTTCAACAATAATAATTTTCTATAGTTTCGTTTTTGCAATGATTCACTAAATGATCTTTGCCATAATCTCTCTCGGGAAGTTGTAAGTTGTAAGTTGTATAGTTCCGTCGAAACGATTACACTTTCCATTTCCATGACGAAAAAATTAAAATATTTATGAGTTCAAAGCATATTCGAATGTTTGAAAAATATTCATAGGTAAATGAATTCTTTATTGGCGAATTATGTGCTTCGCCTGAGGGTAAACGCGGACTCGATTCTGTCCCTTTGGGAGTTAATTCCGAGGCAGAAGTAATGGTAAGAGTGAAGACTGGCTGCGAGTTGAGAACTGTATCGCCTTAACTCTTGTCGCCGAATGATTAGCTGTCGAGGAGGTACCACCTCGACAGTCAGCCAAACCAGATGCACTTCCATTCAGGCCTTTTACAATTATTCAAAGAAATTTATTTCACTTTTCATATTTTTTATTTAAATTCGTATAATATAATAATTACAAGAAAAGTGCAAATTTCAGATTTTTGAATGCGTTCTATAGCTGTTTTAATTGATTTATCTGGTACATTGTTCATCGATGATTATATTATTCCACGTTCCATTGAAGCTTTGTTACGTTTATCTGCGAATCCTATTTATCGTGTCAAATTTGTCACCAATACGACAAAGGTTGGTACCATTTCATTCTTTTTATAAAAAAACTATTGAACGAAATATGTATGTGATATGTAATATATTTTTGTGCTTTACGTATAAATTAGGAATTTAAAATATCACGAATAATAATATTGACAATATCGAAAAGAATGGCATTATTGACATTATTAAATGATAGGTACAAGTCATATAAAAATGGCTATTCAGTGAAGAATTTTATATTTTTTTTGGTGTATTTTTAGCATTTTTTCATTATTCGCTTAAGCTTTTGCCCATCAAAATTCTTTGTTTTTGGTGTTTGCATTATTACAAAAATTTACCGTTAAATTATTTTAAAATGTTTCGATATTTTCTTCTCAATATTTTTTTTTATTTTCCGACGGTTTTTCAAAATTTGTTTAGGAATCGTCTAGCCATTTATATGAAAAACTAAAAAAATTCGGTTTCGATGTATCGCATTCCCAAATATTTAGTTCATTATCAGCAGCTCGGCAGTTAATCATAAAAAATTCCCTTCGACCTATGTTAATATTGGAAGAAGATGCACGTAACGATTTCAGTGGTATTTCTTTAATTTTTATTTTCTGTGAATTTTATGCGGAAAACGTTCGTTTTAACCCCGAAATATTTCAGATATAGATACAAATAATCCAAATTCTGTTGTTATTGGGCTTGCTCCTTCGTTATTCAATTTTAAAACATTAAATAAGGCTTTCAATCTTGTACTCGATGGCGCGGAGCTTATAGCGATTCATAAAGGTCGATACTATCGTAGAAAAGATGGGCTGTCGCTGGGACCTGGGCCATTTGTTGAAGCACTTGAATATGCAACTGGTGTTAAAGTAGTACAAAATATATATCTATAAAATTTTTCTCTAAATACTGTGAAACTTCGTGATTTTTTTAATTTATTTAAAATTTTTTGTTTTTTGAATAAAAAAATTTTCTATATCATAAAATCGGTTGAAGGCAACGGTGGTTGGTAAACCGGAAAGTGTTTTCTTTCGTTCAGCAATTGAAAGTTTTGGAGAAGAAATAACACAGGCAGTTATGATTGGCGATGATGTCCGCGATGATGTTCTTGGAGCAGTTAATGCCGGCATGCTTGGTATCCTTGTAAAAACTGGAAAGTACAGGCAAGGCAAATTTTTTCATCGTTTATGATAATTTTTATTTGCACATTATTTCCCTGTTGGTTTACTGTTTTAAATTTCAGGTGATGAACTGCTTATTGAAGAATCTTCAAGGAATTGCGTAGATTGTTTTGCTGATGCTGTTGAACTGGTTGAGAAAGGAAATATTTGGTAGTTGCTAGAGGTACAAGAAGAGTAAATTCATAAAATTTGGATAGATACGCTTTATCCATTCAGCAATTCTTCAAATTTTCTACAACATAAATCGAAATCACAGATTTGAAATGTGTCAGATCTGATTGGAGCGAGTGATGATTACTAATCTTTGGAGTCTTTTTTGGGCATTTGTCAATTCAGTATTAAGTATTTCAATGCGAATTAACGGTACTTTGGTTGTTGAAGAAGGATTTAAACTTTGCTAGGTTTATTTACAATAAATCTTTGTGAATTACCAAATCCTTGAAATATTTACTGTATTCCCATGTCAAGTTTTTTAAGAATGAGAGGAATTATATCTGAAATGGCTATTTTCAATGGGTATTTTACCTCAGTCTTCAAATTTTTTTTGAACTTGTCTATAAAATTTTTCGCATTCAATATTTGTTAACAAGAGCTTATAGTATTTATATTTATTTTGATAAGAATTATTTCTATTAGAAGTTTGTTATTTATTTTAATCATTAATAAAAGCTGTAATATTCTTTTACACCGTATACCATTTTCCATTTGACTGGCTCAACTGATTAATTCTAGCATTAGGTCTTCTCACCAGAGAATCACTTGAAGATAGAGGTATAAGTGGTGTAAGTGTAATTCCGGATTCAGGAGTTTTTCACTGTATTAGTGGATTTTCTTTTTTCTAAATGGTCTTTCAGAATGCAGAATTATTATAAATGGAAATTCTAATCAGTGGACAATTAATTTATCAAATCAAGGTTTTTAAGATTATTTATGAGGAGTTGAAGTTAAAGCAAAAATTCAAGGTACAAATGAAATTACTTGCCGAATATTTAAAAAAAGAAAATTGAAAATATAATAAAAATTTTGTGAACATTCTTGAAATTATGCTTCATTATCGGCTCAAAATCACATTCTTACTGAATTTCATCTTGAATTTTTTCCTGAAAATGAGATTTCGGTTTTTCGGTTATTCCCTTCCTCTTCTAATAGACCGCACTGCTCAGGCCAGCTTAATGCCTATAAAGCTAAGGCCGTTAGCTATAATGTCCGTAACGCTAATGCCAATGCTAATGCTTATAACGCTAAAGCCATTAACTGCAACGCTACAGTCACCGGTTGCAGTGCCTATAACGCTAAGGCATTTCGCTCTCTTCTATTAATTAATTCATTAAATCTAATTCAATTGTAAAACATCGTGATTTTTCCAAAAAAATGAAAAGAACAAAAAATTGCCAAAAAAATAACCTTGATGCATCACTTTTTTCATAAATTTTACAGTCAGAATCCACTTTTATATAAAATATAAAATTGCAAAAGAATTGTGATGCGAAATTTTCCATGGAAATTTTTATCGCCACTGATTATTTTATCTTCGAATGATAATATTTTAAAAATATTTCATTGTTTGTATTATTTTTTTTTATAAATTACGATAATTTTAATGATTTAGTTAAATTAAATTGCAGCAAATTTGTAAAAATCATCGAAAATTAAAAATTGCTTGCCATTCTCGTTAAGCACCATTATTTCGGTGGTTATTGTCGGTAGATTTATGAGATAAATTCTTATCCTTATAGCTGATGGAACTAATCTAACGAATAGGAACGGGGCCAATCTGGCCAACAATGGTTCGTAGCATTAGATACAGAAGAAGAATGGTTATTTCCAGTAAATACTTAATTATTAACAGGATGTTAAATGATAGCTTTTACATTTAGGGGAATTCAAAGGGAATATTTTAAAATCAAATGTAAACGTCGTTGTAAATGTAAACCGAATTTTGGTTAAAATTCGGCAAATGTAAATGATATTTGCGAGGGATTGGCCTGCTGTGGAAATATAAACTAATTTTACGAGGGTGACTCGACGACACGTGGGAATAACAGAACGGGGAAAAAATGATAAAGGTTGAGGTCGGTGTTAAGGAGATACAGTTTTGATTTTGAGTATAACGGTTTGCTTGGTTGGTCTAAAGGAAATATTTTTTTTCTGGCTATCTAAGTTGAGACTCTGTTAGATACATCTTCACCGTAAAGTGGATAACTTTTTGAACTGGTATTTGAACTGGTTGTCTAATGCAAAACGCACCACTTTGTTACCTCCCGCCCAATGGGTTGTAAGTGAAAAAATCTGAGGAACTAACCTTTATCCACAACATTTAAAATGGTACCAGTATGTTTGAAGGAGGTATATTCTAAGAGTTAAAACGAAGCGACATTTGGAAGAATAAGAAAAAAGATATTAGAGTTTAGATGTGCTGAAAAGGCACTAAAGGCCTGCGCTTTAAGGTCGTAAAGGGCAGTCGCTGCAGGAGATTTAAAGAAATATAAGAGTTTAAAGCGAATGACAAAATGATGGAAAAGATCTCAAGTAGAATTGGCTTGGAGAGTGGCGTGGTTTCACACATATAGCCTGGTCTTTCTGCACCACATCAATTTCCCCTCCCCACTCCCTCGCCTTCTCACGGATCAGCTTTAAACACAGATGACCATAATGGTTCAAATCAAGTGTTTCAGCTGTTCGAACTAGGAGTAAACCAACCACTACAAACTAATCCCAGTGGTACTCACCACCTTCTATCACCAACACCGACCCGGCGCATCATCCGACGAGCTATTTGAGACTGAATCTGATCGACTAGTGATAACTTTAGTCGCTCTTCCTCCGCTTATCGGTATCCTCTCTCTGCTTCGCAATTCCATGCGAATGCCATCTATCTCGCCTCGCTGTCATTTCACGGCTCTTATCTCTATTCTTCCTCCCCCACTCCTCCTCCCCGTCCTATTCTATTCCTCCTTTATTGCCTATCCACTAATATTCCCCGCCGCCCCTTCTTCCTTCTTCACTTTTGCATTTTCTCATTCATCTAAAATAATTCTACAACAAATTCTTCTTCTTCTTCTTCATCGTCGCATAACTATACTTTTCTCGCCATTCAAATCTCATTTAATCGTTTTTCCTCTCCAAATGATTCCTTTAATACGTACGCGTCTCATTTTCTCTCACACTCTCTTCCTCTCATTATTTCACGTTTTCTCTTTGCGTTCAATTTTTCTTTGTCTCTCTACTCAATACTCTTTTATAGCGCTCTTTTAATCTGAATTATTTCTTTTCTTCTTTCGTACATTATATTTTTTTTACCATCCCGCCCCTTCTTCATACCTCATCTCTTTTTCTCTTTGTTTATCATTCTCTTCTTCATTTCTGTATTGCCGTCCCTCTCTCTTATTCTTATTATCTTTTTTTGTAATATGTCTGTTTTCTCCTTAATTTACATATTCTTTAAAAATATCGATAATTTGTTATAAGTAACGCGTTTCGTTGTATATTTGTTAGTGTTAAGTTGTCCGTTGTTAACGTACGGTCGCTCTCCTATCACTTTATTTCTTTCTTTTCGTTTTGATTTTTCGTTTATAGAAAATTTTTATTTTTCCTTTTTCACTTTTTATTTTCACTTCTTAATATATTATAATATTTTTCGGTCAAAGAAAATTTTTTGCTTCTTTAAATTTTATTTTTTTTCGAAATTTTAAAAGATTTTAAATTTTTATTTGTTTATTATTGAAATTTCTCTTTTTTCTTCCCTAATTTTATAATTTTTGAATTTAACTTTGTTTAAAAATTTCAAATTTCTTGCAAAAAAAATTTGGCTTATTCCTTAATTTTTTCTTTTTTTTAAATTTTAAAAGAATGTGCAACGAATAAAATAAAGTATAAAAAAATATAAATTTTTTTATATTGTTCAATTATGATGATTTTATTATTTATATTAAATAAATTAATAATTTCATTAGCAAAAGTCAACTAAAATTAAAATTGCTATTTTTATTATATAAGCAAATTATAGAAACCTAGAAATATCTCGTTCTTATAGATAGATAAAATCATCATCATTTAAATATTTCTGATTTGGCTGGGTCTGCTGGCTGTTTGGCTGTTTGAACAGTTTGCTAAAAAATCACTGGAGATAGAAATTTAGGCGGTTTTTCAGCATTTTACTTCAAATTATAAATTTACTTTTATTAGGATAAGAACTGGTCCTATGATATTTGATATTAATCGAAGGAGCATATCACTCAGTCATCTCTAAAAATTTGTTAAAGGGCTTATTTTGGTAGTTTTTTTTTATGCTGGACAGTTTTTAAAAGGTTGTAGGTTGTAAATAAAAAGCTTGATTTGACACAGCTTTTCAATCTTATATATCTTATATATCAGTTAAGTATTTCGAAATAGCCAAGTGTCAAATTGTCGTGTTAAGAAGTTAGAGCTCTTGCTTCCGATAAGAAAAAACCCGTCTTTAAAAAATTTTAATTAAAAATTAGGCTTAGGGTGGTATTGGCAAAACCGAATTTCCGCCAAATGACAAAAATTTTTAATTTCCTGCCAAAAATTACTAATATAGCGGAACGAATCCAACTAGAAATGGTGATCAGCAGCATATTTCTTCCAATTTTCTTTTTAGATATTATGGTAAAAGGTCGTTTTTTCTTTTAAATTTTTTGCATTTGTTTTATTTATGCTAATTGTGTTGTTTTTTTGTCTTTGCAAAAAATTCTTTTGGATGATAAAATTTAATTTTTTTTATTTCAACCTGTAAATTCAATGTGCCAAATAAAGACGAAAAATTAGCGATTATTTTTAAATCAGTTATTCGTTCTTTATTTTAGGACGTAAATTTTTAATTTATAATTATTATGTGAATTTATTTGTTTATTGTTAAAAGAAAAAATTCTTTTAATGAAATCAAATGAATGAAAAAAATGGAATAAATAACGACAGTGATGGTAATAAAAAATTCGGTCAGTTTTGGGTACTCAATGAACAGGTTTTTATTATTGTTATTTTTATTTGTTATTCTTTATTGTTTATCGAAATGGCATTAATTAATAATTATTATTTAAATTTATTAAAGAATTATTTATTATTGCTTGTTTCATTTTTCATTTGTCGTGTTTATTTCATATTTCATAGATAAATGAAAATGCGCCATTAAATTGGACAAATATATCAAAGACAACAGCTCCTTCAAATTTTAGTAATGTTAAACAAGAAAATGATGCTGAAATTAATTTATGCTCTGATAATTTAACAAATTATATGCGTTAGTTTTATTATTATTTTTAGTATTATAGTATTATTCTCATTTTATTATTTGTTAATTTCGTTCTGTTTTTATTAACATTTTATTAAATATAATTACTGTTACTATTGTAATGGTTATAATTTCTTATCAGTGTTTTTTTCCTTTCCTTTCACCACTTCGCGCTTAGCTTATTTCATACTGATTGGGCAAAAATAATGTAAGTAATTGGGAGGTAGAAATAGAATGAATCTCCATTACCTTTCAAATTTCAGTTTTATTGTTAATTTCTGATCCATCAAGAGAGAGGAAGTGGTTCGTCAAAGCAACACACTATTCAGCATTTTATTTCCTCATTGTTATTTATTTACTATCATTTATTATTATTTTTTTATTTACTATCATCATTATTGATATTATTTTTACTTCTATTATTAATATTGTTTTTATTGTTTTTGTTGTTTCAATAATAATTTGGACTGAAAAATTTGCTACAAAACAGCTATAAAAAAGTATGCATTAAACAGGGTTTTGTGATGATACGTCCACTGAATCGAATAATATCTTTGATGATTCAAAAATTCGAGTTGATGATAATTTTAATAAAATAGAAGAGAAAGTTCGAATTGATGGAATTCGAAAGCGACGAAGAGCCGACCTTCCACCAGAAATTTTAGCAGAGGTAAACTATTTATTTGCCGATATTTATTTTTATTTATTTATTTATTTTTCTGTTTAAATTCCATATTTTCTTTCTGAATATAAAATTGAATATAAAATTTAAAAAATTTACAATTTAGGTGAGAGCAAAAGATAAGGAACGTAAGCGTCTTTCAAGACAACGGCAGCGTGAAATATTGGCATCATCGAAGCATTTTCAAGTAAAGCAAAGGGCACGTTCAAGATCGCATAATCCAGCCGAAATTTCAAAGATAGAAATAGAGGAAACATCCTTACCTCATGAAACCATAATATCCAGTTATCCTGGTTCAAATGTGGTAGGTTCAAGAGAATCATTCTCTTTTCATCATGAAAACCATCTGGATCCATTATCCATTTTGAATAATTTGTGTCAAAATCAGTGCTCTTCAATTTCGCAGCCACGAGCGCCAACTGTCAATGATATTTCTAATGAAAACAAATCGAAAATTAATCATTCTTCACAGTCACCATTGAATATTGAAAATTTCTCATTAATACAAAAAAGTCCAAATAAATTTTATGGAAATATCAATTCAATTGTTGCGAATATTTCGGATTCTTCAGAATTATTCGATACGAATAATGCTTCATCAACTGTTAATGATGTGATAAATATCGAAAAAAATGGTGAATTATCGTTAGATTATTTACCAAAAATCGCTTATGGATCTCGAGGATTAAATTCTTTATTTGAGTCGAATTGTCAGGAAGGTGGTGATATTAATCATAAGAAGAAATTGGTAGAAGACTCCTCAGCTACACTATACCCTTCTAAAAGTTCTGGAAGTAGTCATGTTCACATTAGTGACGGAACATTATCATTCCTTAATATAAATGACATTAATAGAGAACAGAGCAGTGGAATGAAATATCATTCGAGGAGTCATCGCACTGCTAGCAGTGATGTACGATCATGTATTGAAAATGATGAAGAAGAAGAACGAGTACAATTAAGCAAACGGCTTGAGAATTATGAATTTATTATCAGTGATCTACTTGATGAAGAACGAAAAACATTTGGTGGCAAGATACCACTGATTGTTTTAAGGGAACAAGTCTTTGAAAAAGCGCGAATGGCAAGTTTTTTATCCAAACGTTGTGAAAAACGTAAACGTAGTGAGACGGATTCTATAATATTTGATAATTTGAAATATGAGAAAGAAGATTTTTCATCATCGTCGTCTTCATCTGCTGTTAATTTTCAAAAATTTAATAGTGGTGTTATCAATAATCAAGTAGATTTATTAGAAAATGATTCAAGATTGATAAAAACGAGGAATTTACTTGATGTTAGCGATAGTGACAATATAATTAAATCGGAAATTGAATTAGCAAGAAGAAGAGCGATAAATGCAGCGAGAAAAAGAAATTGGCGCGCTAAACAGCGTGAAATTAAGAAAATGGAAAATTTGGAAAAAGTTTGAAATATTTTAATCTTTCTTTTTTTTCTATTGTACTTATCATTTCCCATTAAGCTTACTGTTGGGTAAAATTTGATGAGACATTTTAAGGGAATCGCTTGGGATAAAAATAACAGATCTCAGTTATCTTCCAGATTCTATTTTCAATGGCATTTTTATTCTTATCAGAGGCGTGACGATCGAAATAATATTCGAAGCTACGTCATTCAACCATATTATATTTTTTAAAGTACTTTTTATGAAAAAAACCTACTGAAAGAAGATGATGGAGTAATTAATATATGAAGAGCGCCACTTACGAGATTACGAGTTTTTGTTTTAAGCTAAATTTTTTCTTTTATTATTACTGCTATGTTTATAAATTATTTCCATGTCGATATTATATACTTATTTAATTTAATTTTAATTTTTTCTAATTTTTGATCTTGAATTAAAGTTTTTTCTTACTGAAAAATATTTGTGAGCAAATGCAATGTATTTTGTTGTAGCTGAAAATGAATAATGTTATTTGTTTTCAAGAAAGAATTGGATTTTACTTTAAAGTAATTTATTTCAAATAAATGAAAATTAAAAATGGATAGGAGAAGAATAAATAATTTTTATTACCTTTTGATAATTTGTCCTTTTCTTGCAAAATTTTGTATCTAATTGCTTTTCTTTTGGAAGGTGGAAAATCTTTGTATTCATCGCAGTCGTTTTAAGCAATATTATCGATGGTTTATTTTATGCTTTTCGCGTCGTTTGTATTTGTTTGTATATAATGGTTATAGATTATTATTAATAAATGAACTTTTAGGTTCATTTTCAGTTCGCAATTCGTGAAAAAAACAAAAAACATAGCAAACTGGATAATCCTGTAATGAATCAACAAAATTTAATGCCGACGTATTTTCAAGCGGCAACAATCGGCAATACACAACCGCAACAAGTTCGATTCAGTTTTTTAGAAAAATTCGTATCATGAATTAAGTGAGTACATGGTCACAATTGCTTGCTCCACTGGTAACACTGAGAAATTTTTGTCAGAGGCGATAGAAATGAAGATGGATTACTAAAATCACCTGGGTCTCTTAAGGTTCATTTCTGTCGGATTTAGGATTCAAATCCTGGAATTGGAGATTCTATTCTAAACAAAACCAACTCTGCTCTTTTCCCCACTATTAAGAATTTATTATTAAATAATTTTTTATTATAACTGGCAATTATTTACAGATAAATAGTTAGAGAGAATTAATATAGTTTAAGTAATAGCTGTTTTTATTTTCATTTTAATATATAATTTTAGTTGCAGTCTTCAACAGCAACAGCAATGAGTTTACATCAAGCAGGAACATTTTTCCAGCCGAGTAACGGAACAACACAATTCAGTTCATCAACTGGTCAAGCAATATTTCACAGTCCCTCAACGGCTTTTATCCCAAATGCGGTAAACAAATTTTATAAATCATAAAGTTAAATTTATGAAGTTAAAGTAATTTGAAATTTCGAGACTATATAAAACTTTTAATTTTAATTTTTTAATTTTGATTTTAATAAGCTTTAATAATGTTCTTTCAGATTTCTGGAAATGGCCAACAACCGCAACAAATGCGCATTGTACAGACAGTGAATCCAAGTGCATTAAGTGCTACACCAGTAACGACATGTGCAACAGGTCAACAAGGTGCAACTCTGCTCACTGGTAATTTAGAAAATTTAATTCATAATACAATTATAATTTCTTATCAAGTTTATCTTGGAAAGTTATAGATCTCTTCCCTTTTTCAGAATTGTTATTGATTTTTAGCCCTAAATAATGTTATGGCAACTCAAAATGCTAATGGTACTACAACAATGCAAATAGTGTCTGGGCAACAGCAAACAGAATCAGAAGATCGTCGAATTGCAGCACTTCTTGATACATATTTTGTTGATCAAGCTCCCACTACTTCAACGATTCAGCCCTTATCTACTACTATAGCTGTAGCGACTAATCCCAATGCTGCTGGGGTGGTTGCAGCACCAACAAATATTGTTGCTAAGTACATTTTTGTTTTCCTATGGAAAAAATGATTATTTTTTGAAAATTCATGTTAAGAAAGTTTAGTATTAACTTATCTCTTCGTAGATTCACGAAAAAGGTTACGCAAGAGAAGAAAGATAAAGACGAAATTAAACGTGCCAAACAAGCTGAAGCAGCTCGACTTCGATACCACCGATTGAGCGCAGAAGAGAAACGTGAATTAAATGTTAAACGCACTTTGGCTCAGAAGCGAAAACGTCAACGAGAAAAAGAAATGGAAGAATTAGAAGAAATTCTTCGTCAAACCAATGATATTCAAGAGGTATTTTATTAGATTTTTAAAATCATCTTTAAGGAATTAGTAAATCTTTTTATGATGGTCGTTAACTGGTTGAAATCTTAAAGGACCCTGATATAAATGAGCAACTTCGTGAAAAAAGAATGAGAGCACGTTGGGCTGAAGCAGCTCGCACTCGATATCAGCGAATGAGCTCAGAAGAAAGACGTGCTCACAATAATCGTCGTAGAATGCGCCAAATTGCTGCAGCTGAGGGCTTGAAAGGTCCTGATGGACAACCGGTATCAGTTTTATTTAATCTTTAAAGAAGTTGAGTACTTGCAGATAAGCTTTAAAATAATGAATATGAACAAGTTAACAGACATGTCTGATACCTTGCGCGGAATTTTATTGCTATCTGTGGTGTTCACACTTCATCTTTTAAAATATTTTGGTACTTTTTACTATTACAGTACTGAATAACTGAATGATGAGAGGAATTGAACACAGAGGGAAAAAGCTTGTTTATGAAACCGATATTTTTTATATGTAAATGTAGTTTCAGGAGGAAGGGTTCTACCGATCACAACCAACAGTCTACGAACTAAGTTTATAATGTCATATCTAAAATTCTAAACTTTAGTAGATCAATCCTCTCTTCATTTGAGGAATAGTGCTAGCGAATTTCTTCAAAATTTAATGTGGAAATTAGAATTATTAGGCTTTTAATCACTAGGAAAAGCGATGAAATTAATTTAAATTTGCCATGGTTCAAAATCCAATTTTCCGCATGATACGCTTTTAAGTCAAAAAAATTTTTTTTATCTCTATTTAAATTCTTTTGTAAATTTCATAAAAAGTTTATATAAAGTGAGTTATAAATTATTTCCTTATTTTAGGATGAGGAAGCTATTCGACGACATATAAAAGAACAAAATGCTAAAAAAGCAGAGGCAGCAAGGTTGCGTTATCATCGTATGACGGATGAAGAAAAACGAGCTTATAATCAACGAAGGTAAATAAATTTTATTTTCTTTATACTTTTTAATCATTTTTTAAATCAGTGGAAGAGATTTCAAGCTCATTTAAAGGACTGAAGCTTTCCGCCGACGAAGGATGGAAGAAGAAATGCTTTTGGCTATGCCAATTGGCCGAATTAATGGTGAAGCTCTTGATCGTGCTCAACAAATAGTAGTGCGCAATGCTAAAAGGGCTGAAGCAGCTCGTTTGCGGTAATTATGAATCTTCTCTTGCTTTTTTTCCAAAATTTTTCGTTTGAAACATCGGTCCTTCTTGCTGATTTATCATTATTATTGCTATTTTATTGCATTTTATTGCATTTTAAATTTTTTCAGTTACCAAAGAATGACACCTGAACAACGAAAGGCTTATAATCAAAAGCGATATACACCGAAGCGAAAACGTGAAGGTGCGGAAAATAATGAACAAAATGGCGGAGGTCGTGGGCGTCGTCGAAATCAGGATGAATCATTCGATGCATTGACAACGCTTGAGCGAGACGTTATGAAACGGACACAACAGGTTTAAAGCCTTAAAAAACTTAAATTATAAAAAATTTTTCATCCTTATAATTGTTTGTTGCTATTTGTTTGCAGGCGCAACAGGCTTTAATGCGTCAACAACGTAACACCACAGCAACCACAACTGGAGCTTATTTGACCACTCAAATCCAAGGCGCAGTTATGCAACAGCAAACAAATGCTGTTGTTACAACTCATATACCACAGACTGCACTGCAAGCTCAAGTTCAAAATCAGCAGTTGACTGCTATACCACAGCAAGTTCAGGTTCGCCACAAGTTTTCATTTTGTTTCTCGAATATCTCGGATTATTAGCTCATTTTAATTTTCGGGACTTTATTTTTTTTTTCATTAATTTCTCTTTTCTTTGTGATTCAATCTATTTTTACTAATTTTTTTTTTGATTTAGTTTCAGATACAGCAGATTCATCCACAACAAATTCAGCAGCAACAACAACAAACACAGCAGCAGCAACAACCACAGCATCAACAACAATTGCAGTATGCTAATGTACAAGTAGCTAATGGTCAGATGATGGTTGGACAACATATTCAGCAACAAATTATCAATCCATACACAACAGTCCCTCCAAGAGCCTAAAATATAAAATCTTTGCATGCGTTACTTTTGTACGAATGGTATTGTTTCTTATGATTTTTAAATTTCCATTATGTGTGAACGTGAATTTGTGGACTGATTTCATAGTTTTCTATTTTTTTTCCATTTTTTATTTATAAATTAATGACTTGCAAATTGCAGTTTGATGCGCAATTTGACCTTTGCTTTTATATAATGTTGATCAGGTGGTGATTTCGCCAATTAATCACATTTTCAGTTTTTTTCATTTTTTGTTGCCTTTTCAAGGATTTTCATTCATATAAAAATTTTGTTTCTCAAATTTTTGCACCTAAAATTTTTTGTTCGTTATTTTGTAGAATTTTCGTCTGTTGAAAATATATTTTCTAATTTTCATTAGTTTTCGGAGGTGGTCCCACTTCTTTTAAAATGACAAATTTTTCCGACAAATTTTACCAGTTTTTCCTCGAAAAGAATAAAGTTATTTTTCTTCAGTCATTAAATTGTAATTCTTAATGGTTGTAAGAATACATTCATATTATTAAGCCCGATTTTTTGCAAATTGTCTTCTAAATGTATCTGAACTGAACATCTTGGCTTAGTTTTGCTATTTATTGTATTTATTGTATTTTTTTTATCAGATTACATATTGTGCCTAGTTTTTTTCTACGCTCTTATTATCAAATTCTGTCGGAATTTTCGCATTTATTTCACTGCAATAATTTCGGACCACAAATCTCTTCGAGGAAAAAGAATTTATTTTATTCGGCTTGTTCAATTTCAAAAAACATGGTTTATGTGGTTTTGTTGGGCTGCTTTATATTTTTTTTACATTTTTTAATATGTTATAAATTTGATTAGTGATTTTATCTCGATTCTTTAATAAACGTTGATCTCTTATTTAATCATTTTTATTTGCATGGTATACCTAATATCATACCTTTTGTTGTTTTTTAAATCAACAAAGACTAGGAAGAAATGAGTCCATTATAATGGCTTGTCTCAAGATCGGAGGAACCAAATGAATCAGAAGTAGTTTGTGCTCCTAGAAGAAGAAACCATTCTCGGTGAAAGGTTTGTCGTAAAATTTGGATTGTTAGGAATGTGGAGTGGAAATTATTGTTTCGACATTATCGCCATAAGGAACGTGGAGTTTAGAAAAATTGCACTGGTTGTCTGTATAGGTCAAATTTTGGTTTTGATTTATTAAACTTTTAAATCTTCAATTTGGAAATAAATTATTTTGATTTTAGAGAAAGTAGGAATAATGAATGAAACCTACTTTTCAACTGCTGGATCAGAAAATGTATGTAGGCAGTCGAGGATTACTGCATCTGGTAAAATTTCAAAATCATAAATTTAATCAGTGCTTTTTAATCTGGTCAATTTTTCAGCAACCTTGGCTGTTTACTTTTTTTAGTTTTTTAATTTTTTCTTTGTTATTGCTTCATTTACCTAAATCCTTTGTAAAAGGATTTATCTACCAGATTTTGCATCAAATTCATTGTCATTCGGGAATCCTGCATCAATTTTATATCAGCCGACTATGCCAACATTCTATGCAACGTCTGGAAATCCATTTTACGGACGTAGTAGCTATTGCGATGAAAGAAAGGAATATGTTAGTTAATAATTTAATTGTATTTTTTTATCTGTTTTAATATCTTTTGATTAATTTTTTATATTTTCGAATGTGTTAATATTTATTTAAGTTTCATTTAAGTTATGATTTATGATACATTTTACGGGTACGCCGAGTGGATCAAATCTCACATAATTGGTTTATGTTATTACTGCCTGCATTAACATTATGCTGCCCTCGCTAGTTAAGGTACATTCTTCGTCGCCCACCGCAAGAGTTGACATATATTTCGTTTTTTTCTAAACCCTGTGATAATTGGCGTCAAAAAGGAGGTGGGCCAAGGACCGACAACGATATTTGAATTTAAATGATGGAAAAAAGAATAAAATAAAATTATAAAATAAAGTACAAGGAAAAAAAAGATTTCTATTACTGCCAGCGATGGATGTTGGCGTTGGATCGAACAGCTTTCTAGCCAACGTAACCAGCCTAACTAGTAATGGTGAGAGCTGTTAGAAGAACTATTGTGTATAACCATAGTGCTATCTAGTATTTCACTGAAATATTAAATTATATTTAAGAAAAACGATTAAATTCAGATACCAATTGTGTCTGGAAATATCGATTTGAGTGATACATCAGGTTTAGTCCCTATTAATAATCAAACACCACTCACTTCTGTTGTTTCATCTAATGAAACAGTTGCTTCGCATTTGGCGCCAACTAATTTGTCTCATGTGCGACTTACATCGGTTCATTATTTGTTGTATTATTTATTAAATATTAAATATTTTACTTGAAATATTTTAAAGCAAAAGAAGCTCTGATTGATTATAATCCTAATTTCCTCACCTTTTCACTTTCATTAGGATTGAGGATGTAATTTTGTTGGAAGTTCAAGTACTGTTCAAGTAGCATTGATTTTTAATTCTTTATTGTCCAAATATTTCTTCATAATTTATTTAGATCGATGGTGAACAACAACAAGAACATTCCGATGATCGTCATATTGTATATGAACCTTACTTTATTGATCCAAAAAATGGTGGAACTTCCGTACTTATTCGTTCTGGAGAAATGCATGTCGATGAAAGACGTAATTCTCATTTGAACATTAATCAGAAGTATCTTTTTTTTCACTTTTTCAAAACAAGTTGCAAAAGGGAAATTAATAAATTAATTTTCTAAGAAAAATGTTGCACTTACAGATTTGTAAAGAATTCGGACACCGGCCAAATTTCTCCATTATTGGGCGCAAATTACTCATCGATACGTGATCATGGAAAAAAAAATGAAACTAATAGTGCGGGAAAGAGTTGTCAAAAAATTACAGTTGGTGAAAAAAAGAAGATAAAACGGTTGCATATACGAAAACAAGGACTTCAACGTGTTAATGAGGTGTAATTTTTGCATCCTTTATGGGCTGATAGAGTTATTGACAAGCTGAGATTAAATAGATTGCATCCGGTCCCTTGGCAATAATAAATCTGGCATTAAAAGTGAAAGTTGGCCCATATATACCACTGATTCCATAATACATTGGCGTCGCACTTGAGTAATTAGTGTCAATTAACTAATCAAGTAAGAATAATCAGAAAAGTGCTTCATATAATATTGCTATAAAATGTTCTATTGTATATCGATTATGATTATGGAATTTCCATTCTTTCATTAAAAAAGGTTGTACAATCGGATCGAATCCTCAAAAAACTGTACCATTCTTTATTTCCTAATACATTTTAATATATTTAATATGTTTAATATTTTTTTTAGTTGGACAAATTTAATGTGCTTCGTCAATCAAATGATACGTCGAATGAAGATGAGTTAGATAAAGTTCATCTGCGAGAAAAACGAGCGCGCCGTGCTGAAGCTGCTCGTCAGCGATATCAGCGAATGAATTCTGAGGAAAGACGTTTATATAATCAAAGAAGACGATTAAGACAATTGGGATTGCAAGGTATTTTGATATTATTATAGATGTGATAGGGGTGAACCAGTCTATTTTCTGATTTTTTAGAATTTTAAAGCATTGCAATGAATATTCATTTTTACTTTACTTTATTTACTTTATTTGCACAAATATTTACCAATATATAATGGGAATAAGCCTTATTCGTGAAAACTGGCACCTGACACGTCATTTTACTTTTAGCCATTAAAAAATCATCCATTGATGAAGAGAAAATTAAGCAACATATCATTGAACAAAATGCGAAAAAAGCTGAAGCTGCCCGCCTTCGATATCATCGAATGAGTGATGATGAAAAACGAATTTATAATCAGAGACGGTAATATTGACTAATGAATTTTAACACTATTTTTGTTTTTGGACTCGCCACCATAAATAAAATTTATTCCTTTATTTTATTTTTATTCAAAAGCAATAAATATTGTATTTTTCTTTATCATAATAATAAACAAAGATAAATTAATTCCTTTCCGTTTATCAGTTTATTATATCAATTATAAGATCTTCACAAGAGAGATCAATGTGGAATTGCTTAAATTTAGCTGTTACCATTTTTGTTTTCCAGAATCCTTTAATAAATGGCATTTCCTTCAATTTATTTTAGAACAGAAGCATTTCGTCGACGCCGCATAGAAGAAGAAATTTTGCTTTCGACACCGGCTGGTAGAATAAGTGCCGAAGCTTTAAGCAAAGCTCAACAAATAATGCTTAGGAATGCAAAAAGAGCTGAAGCAGCTAGGCAACGGTTTTTTTTTTGATTAGCTGAATAACTGATTTTTTTTATTTTCCTCTCATTTATCCAGTGTTCAGATACCAGAGGATGACACCAGAACAGCGCAAGATTTATAACCAGAAGCGATCATCAGCAAAAAAAGCTCGAGAAAAATTAGTGCGATCAACAACAGGTAACTTTTGTTCCTTCCTACGATGTTCTATGGATTTTTGCAACAAAATACAAAAATAAAAAAGAAAATATAAATATAATTATTTGATCTGTGGTAATTATTCTTAATTTTTTTCGGGAAAACAAAGTTTTATAAATATTGTTTGATTATAGAAAATTTTTAAATGCCAAGAAATCTTGCAAAAAACTAAAAAAATTCAGTGCTTGAACAAAAAGGGTGGGTGGAATACTTGAATTTTTTTAGATTTGTGAAAATTCGATTGTTTAATTTTCACTTTTAATACTTAATACTTTTTATTCGCTTAATATTCTTAATATTCGCTTAGTACTTTTTAAATACTATTTGATACATACTTAGTACTGTACTTTAAATTATTTTTTTTTATTCTTTTAATTATTCTTTCAGTTACGTTTTGTTTTGAAATACTTAGATCTATTATTTATATATTATTATATCATCTATTTATATTTATATATTATATCATCTATTATTTGTATATTTTGTGTACAATATAATTTGCAGAGAGTTACGAAATAATAAGATTGGACGATGACTGCAATGCCAGCGAAGAAGCATTGTCGGCATTAGAGCGAGATGTTATCAAGCGGACAAAACAGGCACATATGGTACTTATGAGACAGAAACGAAGTAATATGCAAGATCAGTTGGTTATGGTTAGTTAGAATAGCAATTTTTACGAGAAAACGATTAAAGAATCAGCATTATCCGCCCTTATATTCATCAGTCCTAGATTTTCCTTCCATTAAGTTAGAAGAAAAATTCTTTCATGTAGTTACTTTTAACTTTTATTGTAATTTTAGATCACAACTGCTTCCGATGGTTCTCAGACAATAATTCCAGCTACCACTATGGAAGATGGGAAACAAGTCTTTCATGTACCAGTATCCTCAGCCACATTGAATAGAGAAAAGCAAATTTTCCATATTCCAGTTACATCAAACGATTCATCCTATACTTCGCCGATTTTGAATCAGCAAATTTCTGAACCGGTTCATCTTCATGGTAACCCATTGGTTTCTGTTAGTCAGACTGAAGCATGTGGACAGTTCGTCGAAGTTTCAGCTCCTGTGATCGGAATTATTGATGATTCGCAACCATCTTTTGAGAAACAGAGTCAACGGCAACAGAGTGGACAGTCTGTCATATTAACTATACCTGAGGTATCTTAGTACTATCTCAATAATATTTATCTCTATATTCATTTGATTTATACAATAATAGTAGAAATGACGACAGTATAATCAAAGATCAATATATAAGCCCATTCATACTCTGATTTTGGTTAATTGAGTATATATTAACTTATCTGGTCCTTTCAAAAAATATTTTTTATTTCGCTGATTTATGATGGGTCGCAATCTTATTTTTTTAACTTTTTTGCATCCAAAAATGTTATTCCACTTGTTATAACCTTCTTGTCTTTTAAGTGAAACGACTTAAATAAATGAGTTCTGATACTAATACTAATAAGAAATTCAAAAGAAAAAAGTTGTAATTTAAAAAATTATCATAGAGGATTATGTACTATTTATATTTTCTTGTTCAGATACTTATTGCCGATTTAAACCAACCTACTGGAGCTGTTTTGTCGAATGGTATTAACAGTTTACGACAACACGGCCGACCGTCTTTATATTCACCTACCGCTTCAGTTATACAACAGAAACAGCAGACGCAGGAGCAACAGCGGGGATTTGTTCTTGTCCCCACGACTGCAGTATTCTTTTTCTCTTCACTTTTTTGTGGTACCATTTGACAAAATTCTTTTAGGTTCCAACGAGTGGGTCTTTTTGTGCAGAAGCTGATTTCCCATCTAGTTCGCGAAACAATAATCAAAGTACAGGTATTTCTAATATTTCTAGCAGTGTAGATATTTTGGCCATTGCAAATGCCGCTACTGTAAGTGCCTCCATTGAATTAACGCAAGAACAAAAAATGGAACTCCAAAAAGCTAAACGGGCAGAAAGAGCCAGGTAATATAATTTTATGACGTAAACTTCTATTATACTGAAGGAGCCATATCGAAAACCGAAAATTTGAATGCAGTCCTGTTTTCCATCACTTTATGCTGTTTTTGTCATCGATTGCAACCGAAATTATTGATAAGAGACGATTTACTTCAGATTACGGTATCATAGAATGACACAAGAGGAACGGAGACTTTTCAATGCTCGCAGAGCTAGTGCATTACGCGAAGCGCGACTACGTGATGAACAGCTCTGTCAGTTAGCTGAATCGGTGGAGCAAAATGGCGGTAGTTTGGATGCTGCAATTATGGCACAGGTATAATTAATCACATTCTATTTCAAGATAAAATTCCACTAGTGTGCCAAACTAGATTCAGAACAACGAAAGCATGAAAAATTCGAAATTATTCAATCGACGTAGGATTCATTTTAATTCCTATAATTTAGGAAATTGCGTTTATCATAACTATCAAGACAAATTCTCCCTCAACATTTTAGCACAACAGTGAAAGTTCTTTTGACGGTTAAATGTAAGATTGGGAAGCCATTGTCAGAAAATCAGAAAAATTGCAAAATAACACATTAAAAAATGTTATTTACAATCCAAGGTGGATAAAAATAAAAAATGAAAATTTTTTTCGGTGGAAGAAGCTCAGAGACGCCGGGCTCGTCGAGCTGAAGCTGCTAGGTTGAAATATCATCGTATGACCAGTGAGGAAAGGAAGCGGTTTAATGCTGCTAGGGATGCACAACGACGGAGAAGGTTACACCTTATTGTTACCTTTGTTCTAATAGCACTCATTTTTCGTGGTTTATTTGATTATTTTCCCACAAAGAGCCACTTGAACATGGAAATATTCCAGGTTGATCCTCAGCGTTATTCTCGTTTCACTTTTAATAACACGGTTTTTACCCACATAAAAGGACCACAGACATAATGCTTTAAATGCTACCATGTCATTCATTCCATTTTCCCTTAAAAGTATCCCTAAAAAAATAATTATACCATCGGATTTTGATTCATTCGATGGCGTATATACAACTGAAAATACAGGAAACGTGAACGACAAGCCACTGTTGCTTCAATCAGTCAGCAACACGAAACGATCGATGATGAAATAATTGATGTCGTCCGCGATCAAGTAATTTTCAAATTTTTAATTTTTTTTTAAGAGTCTTCAACCATTACTGGGTTAAACTCGCTCCACTGGATTGAGCAATATGCCACGGAGTCCCTTGGCGATAGAAATACAGATGGGAAAGGTTTGCTCCTACGGGGAACCGAACCTCAGCATCGGCGCTACCAATCGAGCAACAACCCACTGAGCCATTCTATCCCCACTCATTTAATTACCTTTCATATTTTTCAAATTTCATCTTAGTTGTTTTTTGTTCCGTTCGTTATTTTTTTCCCCATTTTTTGCAGGAAACGCATGTACAAGTTAGCACTTCCGATCCATCTTTAACTTCATACAATGCGTACATAAATTACAGTGAACAATTAGAACATGACTGGACTAATTAGTTAAATTATTCTGTATCATACGTTCTCGACAAACAAATTACAAATGGATAGTAAGTAGATCAAAAGTAGATCTGAGTAATCTTTGAAGAAGAAATCCTGATTAAATAGCCAAAAATTTTTTCGTCAAAAAAAGCTGATGCATCAAATTTCCCTTTAATTTCGCGCAAATTTTCGGATAAAAGGTTCTTAAGCCTTATAAATTAATGGTTTATTTTATCTTAGATAATTATGAAACGGCATTATAGGTATAACCAAATATGCTAAGTATGCCAATTTAATTTATAACTCTATTTCTACAGTATTTCTCCGACGGGTCATTTACCACATAGAATAATTTTAATTTTGATGTATGAGCACGATTTTTTATATTTCTTCACAAGTTATTGCACAGTTCTCTATAAAAAATTATTTTTTATAGAGAAACACTGATAGAATTTTGATAGAAACACTGATCGAATTTTTTTAACTATATTTTCAATTCGCACTGATATACTTTCTAAAATTTAAAATGTTTTTTTCTTTTCGACCATAAAATAAATAAAATTATAATCCGCATCGCTCAAACTGTTGCCATCCGTTGAAATTTAAAAAGAAAAAAATTTAGAGTTGGAAGGTTTATTGGTGAGAAAAATGATTTAAAGGTTTTAACTGATAAAAAATCGAAGTAAAACGGAAAAAAAACACTCACTGACGGTAAACATCAAATGATAAGAATTTATTATTAATAACGTCTTCGGATAGGAGATCGGTCTCGTATAGGTAACCCACGTCGCATTAGTGGTCCACCAGGCAATCCAGGTAATGTAATAGCCACATCAACAAAGTCACCAATTTCAAATTTGCAGTTAGCAAGCTGAAGATCGGTTAAATCTTGTCATCTCAAACATTTATATAAATTAGTGATGGGTAAATATGATGAATAATAGATCGGTTAAATCATGTCGTGTTCGCCAATGCTACAAAAATAATTCCAAAGGGAAATATGTAAAAACATTAACTGTTTTGTTATCATCAACTCCACGTTGTCCGTTCATGGTATTACCAATATCTCTCATATTATACCGAGGAGTAAAACGATCAGGTGCTACTAAATATGTAAGAATTATAGAATTAGTATGTAAGAATTAAAATAAATTAAAATAAAAAAAACATAGAGACCATTTCAATCCATCACATTACGTATTAAAGACTCTTAAATATATTAAATTATTTTTTATTTGTCACCGGATTTCATGATATTACTTCTCGAGTGTTTTTCATCTAAAAGGGATCTGATGATGGAAAAGAAAGAAGGATTTGATGAAATGTGGACAACTAAATTCCTCTCATTAGGCTTAAAACTGTAAGGCTTAAAACAATGATTGACCTATAGCAAAATCGAAAACTGTCCCTCTTCGTCGCGCATCTGGATTTACTTCTTTGATCAATGACATTAGTTCACGAAGTGTGCAGTCCATCCTAAAAGTAAACCTTCTCTAATATTTTAGACAACATGAACTAATCAAATTTCCTAAATGCATCATTCTCCATCCTCTAAAAATATGAGATCTTTTCATATCGTAGAGAAATTTTTCACGAGGTTGTACATATAACATAAAAATATATAAGAAAGCAAAAAAATAAAAAAAACAATAATAAAAAATGATAAAAAACAACCATGTATAAATTTGCAGTTCATTGGCTGGTGTGCTTCCTCGCCCATATTCCGATAATGGGTTATGACGACCATTCGCACAAAATATTCGTAAAAGGAGAGGGCATACCTGTAATACTAAAATGCTTTGAAAAAGGGTACCTTTTCTTATTTCGTTTATTATTCCTCTTCTAATAACTCCATTACTGGCTCACACCATTACTGGCTGACTTCGCAAGCTAAAAGGAAAGATGCCTCAAAGTCATTCGATCTGGTGCCATACTTGAAATTAAAAAGAAATCCTCTTCCACCGTTTAAGACCATACTCACTGAGACATGTATACGTTCAAACTTCCTTAGTACATAATCTGATTGGTCCTCCTCGTTTCTGACACCACAGAGTTTAGCAAGAAGCGTCAACTCCTGCCATGGACGACAAATAACGTGTCCAATCATGTAAGATTTTATCCGCTCGCCAAAAATATAAAAATGCGCCTTGGCAGTCAAAGGCTTCGATGTGATTGTGATATTGGCTTTTCTCTTTTATCTCTTTTATGGTAATCTGACGAAATTAAATTCCGGAAAAAAAGAGAACAAACCTTTTCGCGATCGACGGTTTTCTCTTCCGGTGCTTCAACAAGCGAATTTACATTCATACCTTAATGCTAAATTTCATGTTAATTGCTTTGTAGTACTTACGATTAGAAAAACGTTTCAAATTTTTCAAATAGAAAGTCCTCTCAAACTCATAATAAAAATATCCTTTTTTTTCAACATTCACTATTAGTTTGGCTGCTTCCATCAAAGGCTGAGGTAAGGCCCTTTAGTAACCATTTAGGAGCCAGAAATAGATAGCTTAAGAGTTCCAGACGCCTGGAATCCTGCGAATCCTGCTCATACAATAATGCTACAACTACAGTCTCGATTATCCAACATCGCCACTTTCATAAAACGTCAACGTCATTTACTTTGCTCTTTACCTTCGAGGAACCCATCGACATAACCCACTAGTCTTCAACCTAGTGGCCTCCTCTCAGAGGGCCAAAAACCCCTCCCCTCACCTGGCGGAGTCCTTTCAAATCGACAAAACTGCCTCAAACCACAACACTCTGAGATTTAAACTGAATTCCTTTCGTATACAAACACTTCAAAACACAATTTTAGTTTTGCAGCGCAAAATTCCAAGGATTTTTTTATTGCAAATGATGGTGGAAATATGCTTTTAAAAAAAGCATATTTTAAAATAAAAATAAAAAATTTTTTTACTTTAAAAAAGTATGTGAAAAAGAATTCAGCCGAATATGCGCTAAATGAATTTTGCAGGGAATTTTTCACCATGGCAACCATTAAAAATATTTTTGTTAGAATAAGAATATTTATTTCGTAGAGGGGGATGCCACGGATGCCCCTTGACCTGGATTGGATTGGCGGGGCATTGACCCCAGAGCGACTTCTTCCGACCTATCTCAGAAATGTGCCTTATTATTATTTTATTTATTGTCCAAAGCTTATTATTTCGTGTCATTTCTTTTTTCAACTGCTTAGCTCCATTGACTGTTTATAACAGTAGTAATTAAACTGGTTTCTTTGGAGCACCTAAGACTACTTTCAGTAGATACATAAGAGACATAGCTTTTGTATTATTTTACTCGAACTGCAACAAATCGCTTTTAATGATATTTTCCGCAATTTATACATATTTATTCAAAACTTAAGAATTTGAGAACGCTGCATGGGAGGATCCATGGATTTTTATGGCATCACCCAGAGGACCAATCTTCTTCTGACGACTAGTGATTTTAGAATGAACCATTTCGTCAGAGAATCACTTTGTCTGAGCCTACAGTTTTACGGGTTTTCACTATTTCTGGAGGCAAGCACCGAATCGATGATGACCTTAATCCACGCAATATACCACGCGAACCTTCCATCCTCCCATCTCTATTACCGGTTCATGGATATGATGGCTTACTGGTGAAATTTTGAATTATTGACTTAATATATTTAATATTATTATTTATATTCAATAATATAAGAGAATGTAGAAAGAAAATATACAACTCAGGGTCAATGTAAATAAAACGAAAGTTATTTCGTCTATGTATTTTTACCAGTTCTTTGCCGGTTGAGGAAATGCAAACATTTCAAACATTTCGGATCCACTCTAATCCAAAATAACCAAGCGAAAGATGAAATCACAGCCCGGATAATGGGAGGCAGAAATGCTTTTTTCAGGTCTATGAAACCTTTATGGACTCGTTACGAAATCACTACAAAAATGAAAGTTTGCTTCCATATAGCAGAAATTCGCTCGATATGACTGAAAGTAGAGGATATTAAGAAGCTATCTGCCTTTGACTACTCATGTCTAAGATAGGTCTTGTGGGCTCGCAGAGTGGAAGCGGATAAAATTGCACAAGACTGCATCTTTTCTTGCTCAAATACCACTTTTATTAACAGTACCATCACAGAAGGCATGTTTGCGGGTTAAGGCATGTTTTTCATCACCCACCACGAGAGTTGACATTTATTTCGTTATTTGCTAAACCTTGTGATGGTTGGCGTCAAAAGCGAGGTGGGCCAACCAAGACCTGGACTAATACGGTTAGAAATGATTTTGAACGTATAGGCGGTACCAGCGATATTTGGACTTAGACGACGGAAAAAGGAATGACTTCTATTACTATCAGCGATAGCGTCGGACCGAATAGCTTGAAGATACTTACCCTTGTAACCAGCCTAGCCAGTAATGATGAGAATTATTAGAAAAAGAAGAATCTAATAATACAAATTCTCAAATAAAAAATAAAGGGCCATTTTTCCGTGGTGGGTTTATGGGCACATTTTGAGAATTTTAGTTGATGAATGAATTTTAGTTCGTTTTTTAAATCCAATTTTCCATTAATATTTTATTAAATTCAAAAATTTTTTACGCTTGCAATTTATTTAACTTTTAAATTTTTATTTGTATTACAACATTGTTGCATATTCGTCAAATTTTGTAAAAATATTAAATATTATTAACTTATTCAAAATAAATTGAAAACTTTGGTTACAGGAAATATTAATATTAATAAGTAATAATATTGGTTGATAATGGCTAATAAAATAAAAACAATACAAAGTTTTGATAATTCAAAAATAGGTTAATTACTTATATTTTAATTACAATCATTCTTTTATATTAAAAATTCGTTTTTTGATGAAAATCATGAAAAAAGCAAGAAAATCCGGAAATCAGCATAGTTTTCTTTATTTTTTGAAGGATTAACGGAAATTATTTGAATGACAGCTGGCAGCTGAATAATCAGTTGAGTAACTAACCAAATTGATTCGTTAGTTACCAGTCGGTTGGTAGTCTCATAGGTCAGTCGAAGGTCAAAAGGTCAAAGCAAACTTCTTCGAAGCAAAAAGTAAATTAAATATGGTGGGGCTAATAGTGAAAAAAATACCCATTTCTAATTAAGTTTGCGCCACAGGCTATTATTAAGATACAACAATTTGAATCAGAGAATCGTTTGGAGCTATCTGAACTATAAATGGCTTAGCAGCACCACCCTGGCAGTTTTTTTTGGCTAAGCCATAACTCTTGATATGATAATTCAAACAAAAAGCGCTCAGTTATTTTGTCCACGGTGCAACTGCAGCAATATTAATATTTTTCAAATAATTATAATTTTTTTAAACGGTTTGTAAAATTTGTACAAAAACAGTAATTTTAGAGATACTATCGAGCCTTCCGTTACAGATTGCTTTATATTACAATATATGCATTGCACCCTTCTGGGCATTAAACAGTATCGTTTGCCTTTTTCTTAAGGTTCTTTTCTTTTTCATCAAATTTTTCTTTTTCCCAAGAAAACTTGAATTTTACCAATCTAGGCTTTTATTATTTTTATCAATTCTAAACTACTTTGCATTTTTGCAAAAAACCTTTATTTTCAACATCACAAAAAAAATTGCCTTCGTTGACCAATATTCGAGCTTGTTTAATAAATATTGCATGGAACTATGTATGGATTCATTAAGAAAAACATTTAACGTTTTATTTATATTGATATAGCTTAATATAGGTTCCATTTTCAGTTTTCTTACTTAACCCTAACATACAAATTGATCGTAAGTACGACCTGTGTAGTTGCAATATTAATTGAATTCATAAGGCTTTATCTTGGATATTATGGAAATCTCGCAGAAAAGGTTTGATTTATTATATATAATGTATATATATATAAAACCATTATTAGCTAAATCCATTTCGCTGGCTCCCTATGTTGAATGAATGTTCCAAATAGTGCATTGATTGTCGATAGTGGTAGATGTGAGTCGTCAGCATCACTCGAAATTTTTCAACAAATTATATCCTATGCTGAGGTTCTATTCCCCGTTGGGGAAAACTTTCATTCCCAGATTTCAAAAATTTCAGCGAAAATTTTTGGGGTCTATTAAGATTTAAGAAGGAAAGCCTTCGAGTTATTAAGGGAAGCTCAAGCATAAGCAGCAATAACATCTTTCAGGTTCCAGCATTGTCGGGTTTCTGGATTACAACTCTCGTACTGCAAACGCCGATTGAAATATTTCTGTTTTTTAGTCAAAATGTTATTCCTCTTCCATTAGAGCGAATTATGTATATTATTCATCTAATTTTTCTTTTTTTTGAGGTAATTTATATTATTTGTATTCTTTTTTATCCACAGTTTTGTCAAAACAGTTCTTTCTTATAGTTTTTTCTTCTAAAAATTGTAAAAATTAGATTAAAAAAAATATAAAATTAAGCCATTACACTTCATATTTCTTTTATAAAAAATTATATATATGCAAGTTTATCTTTGACTAATTTCTACAATACAGTTTATTCTAGTGCTAGAACAAAGTCTGCCAATGCTAAGGTTATTTGCTTCATTCTGTAGATCTCTTCCATCATTTTAGGTCTCGGATTTTACTGGTCAAAATTCTCGCCTATATGTTATATTTTGCTAATGGATTCTTTGTGCAGATTATATCCTAAATTTATTTGAAAATTTAAAATATTTTTTATATTTTGTGATGTGAAGCAAAAAGAACAACTGAACAACTGAATTAAAATAAAAGTGGGAAATATTACGATTTTATAAAATTCCATTTCTGACCAATTTTATCAATGATGACACGGTGATATATGCAAATTGAACTAACATGCACAATTGTCAAGCATTTAAGAGATGAAATTTGCTTGGATCTATCTAAATATATAAAGTATTCGAACGGTTATTGTTTTTGTTTCTGGCACCATGGGGCTCTGGACCCTACCTCTCAAAAATTCGCGTGGTGTAGGCTCATCCTTAAGTGGCTCTTACTCGATAGTAAAGGAGACTTATGTCTTTCTTATTCATCTTTTACAAATTAAACAAGAAAAAATATGCATTCATGCATAATAGTAAATTAACTTCTGTTTACTGATAGTGTGGAAATTAAACATAATTCTTGATTTAACGATTTTTTTTTGCTGTTTGGTTGGTTATACTTTTAAATAAAAATAATTTAAAATAATAAAATAGTAAAAAGCAATATTATTTATTGAAAGTTTGTTTCACAACAATTCAATTATATTTTATCCTATTTATAAAGTTCGAGAATAATTTCCAGTCTTATAGATTATAATTGGATTTACGACGATACGGAAAATCACGAATATTCAAATGGAACGATATAGGACGCGAGTATTAGAGGATAGAAGCAAACAGGATTAAATTAATTAAGGTAATATAGAACTCACTACCAAAATTTTTATTTAAATAAGTAGGCCAAAATTGATGCTATAATATTTTGCTTTGATTGAGTTCAGCGTGCTAGAAGCAGCATGGATTCATTTCTACTCTTGACAGTAATAAGCATGCCATTTGTCTCCTAGTGGAGGTGAAGACATTCCTATCCTTAAATGATTTTATGACGGAATAGTAACAAATAGTATAGGCAGCCAAACCATAGAATGTATCATTAGAAGAGATTTAAAATAAATCATATATTTTATAGGAAGTTATATTTCCACTTTTACATTTAGTTAGATAAAATCAAAATTCTCGTCTGAATCTGAAACAAAATTTGTCGAAATGGGTGTTTACATTTTTAACCTTGTTACTCATCAGGTTGCGCGAACTCCAGATTTATGATTCCAATTTGTCTGAGGATAGAATGACTTGTTGCTCAACTGAGAGCGCTGATGCTGAGGTTCGATTCTCCGTAGGAGTAAACCTGTGCAGAAATCCGAGTGATGCTATCGACTCACCTGAATTTCGCCAAGGCACTCACTGGCATATTTGTCCAATGCGACAAGCCAGCGGAACAAGTTTAACCAGTGATGGTGAAGACTCTTAAAAAGAAAAAAAATTGCATGTCAATAATATTGTAGTATATTTTATTATACCTTATTAGTTTATTAGTTTATTATCCACGTTCATATGTTCAAACTGGCTAGTCCAAAATTATCGAAAGGTTTTTAGTTAAGGCACCAGGGTTAAGAATGATCTTCACGCGAGATTGAGCGTTGAACCTTCTTGATCGTTATCGATTTGTGGATTCGAGTCTGGGTTCATGGTTTTTGACTATTGACTGTATTATATATATTTTGCTATTTCTATTATATTATTGTTATTCCTATATTATATCACTGATAATATTTCACTGATTTTTTTTTCTATTTATAGAAAAAAAGCTGTCCAAAATCTGGGTGATAGTGGCGACTCACACTTCTATCGCCAAGGGAATCCCTGGCATGTTTATCTAATGTGACAAGGCAGCGGAGCGAGACTAACCGGTGATGGTGAAAGCTCTTAAAAAAAATTTAAGCATAGATAAAGCATAGATAAAGCATGAGCGTCATCCTACGTGTCTTTAGATTGCAGATTTTGGTCATGTTGCCAATGTCTTTTTCTTCTTCTTTGATAGGAATATATAGGAATAGGAATATAATAAGTTGGACTCACCAAACGGGCTCATTATGGATTCCTTGAGTGTGTCTCACACTTCTGCTTTTTTGATAATAATCATATAGAAATTTCTTTATATGCACATAATGATATGATATGCACATGTGTTTTATTTCGTATCATTATCATCGATTCAATTTGAGCGAGGAATTTACTCGACTCGATTCAACGGGTCAACTCGATTAGTTTTCTGGTGACTTAAAAACCATTTTTTAATAATTCACGTGGTATAATATGCAGAATCTTGAGAAATAAATTAAAATTCTAAGATGTTCGATTGAAAAGAATCCAATATTTTTTTGTGGGGGTCGATGCAAGAAAAAGCTTGAGGGCCCATTGCAAAATATTTTCAATTTGTCCTGAAGAAGAAAAAATATATTTTGGATTTTCACGATTGGTAGTAATCGAGTTAAAATGATTATTTATATAAAGAAAAATTAGTTTACTTTTTTTTGCTTTAAAATAAAAATTATTCAATTATAGTAAAATCGCAATTAACAAAAATCTAATTTTTGGTAACTCGCTTCATTCCCTGCGGATTTCTTCGTATTATTTCTTCAAATTACTCGGTGCATTGATGCGAAAACTCAACTATATATATATATAATCACTCATAATAATCACCAATTTCTTTGAAATGATCGATGCCTAATTTATTTATTAGAATTTTTCACAATTTTCCACCATTTTCCTGATATTTATGAGTAAATCTGACTTTTAACAATCCTTTTGAATATTTTTTACGTTGGTAAAACCAACTTTGAAATATTTTAACTGAATTTTTATCAACCGAAACATCGAGATTTTCGTTAGCACACATAAATCAACTCAATGGTTATTAATCTCAAAAGTATCAAACAAAGTCTGAACAAGTAGGAAAAATATTATCAAGCAGAAGCGATCCTTCTGTTACCATTCGAAATAATTGTAAAGAGTCGTAGAATCTTTATATTCCTCCATGCAACTCGCCGAATAATTTGAATTTGCCTGAATCAAGTAAATCAAAGAATTCGATTAAAATTTATTTTTTTTAGGAAAAAGCCTATCATTTTCGAAGTTCGTTTAAATTGAGCAACTAAGTTTTTGCCAACGACGAGCATATTGGAAATATCGAAATAAGAAATCCCATTTTTGAATTATTCGATTAAAGCGATTCGTTTAGCAAAAATGCCAAAAGCACTTTTTTTTATTACAAATTAGTTATACGGCAGCTATTGAATTTATTTATTTGCATTGAATTTAATTAAATTAATTTAATTTTCGAAAAATTAAATTAAAATAAGAGCATCAATCGAATTTTGTAATTGCATTATAGAAGAATATAGTTGAATAGTGAACATTTTAATAAATGCCTCTGCACCACTACCACTCGGCAAAACTAAATTTGAAAATTGAATTACCGGTCAGTTCGGACTTTCTGTTCCCAAGAGACTGAGCAGCTTTAATATTTATCCCATTTAAAATCGGTCGAGTAAGCCAAACCGTAAACAATGACTGGGTGAATGAAAAGAAAAAATGAATTAAAACAGCAAGAAATTTTAAAACTCATTTTACAAAAATTATAATTTGAAAGAAAAATTTTCAAGAATTTTCATAAAAATTAATAGCTTATCTATTTCATATTACTTATTCACAACAAACTCATAAAATCCATTTCAATATTTCATCCGTGTAAAATTCCGTGTTGAAAAAGATATTCAAGTTTTAACCAATTTTTGCGGAATTAATAAATCTGTATCACATGCAAGTTCAGCTTTGCTTTCTATTCTAATAGTACGAACCATTTCTGAGTTGGACGAAGGATGACTTTGTTGATTTGCCTCTTCCGCCACAGTGTCACCTCGGCATAAAAATGCGAGAGGATCTGTCAAATATCACTTTGTAAAAGAATAGCCAAATGTTTGCTTTAAAATAATATTTGCTATAAAGCAATATTTATAAATATATATTCTTAGGAAGTTAACAGGAATAATGGTTAAGCTTGACCTCAGGTATAATATGCGACACAAGCACTAATATTTTTTTTATAGATCTGCACAGGTACCAAGATTTTCATTAAATTTTTCACGAACAGTTTTCAAAATTTCAGATCGCATTTTCCAATTATAGCCTTACTGTAACCACTTTACCCACTTTCTTCCGAAGTTTCTTAAATGTTCTACTTTTGTTTTATTTACCAAAAGATGTTTTTAAAAATCATTTCAAGGCTTTATACCAATATAATAAATTCTATAAAATTTGCCACTTCCTTTAAAAAATGTCTTTTTGGCATTTTTTCGACTGAAATCGATAATCCATTGCGACTGTTTAAGTCAACAGGGAAATCCAAGAAAGCATTTTTTTTGAGTATTCTAATCTGCTATATGAGTTTTCGATATTTTTATTTATTCAAAATTTTTGCGATGAAAATAATTATTGAAAGACCGTCTGAAATAGCATTCAGAAATGCCTAAAGGCCATTAAAATTTGTTTTTTACTGGGAAAAATGATCTGTATTATTATTAAAATAGATTTAAGAGTGATGACTATTTTTTCTGAAGCCTAAAGAAATCTCATCGCTTTCTATTCTCTTATCATATCTTTTTATTTTCCTTCGTATTCAGTTAATTTTCAAAAATCCTTTCGAATTTTTTTGCTGGAAAAGAACCTTTTCCTTTTCTCAACTTCAAGCATTTTCATAGATATTTCTTGTTATTACCTCCAATCCAAATGCCCACAAATTTATTTTATATAGGAGAATTATTGCTGAACTAAGCCAAATATATATTTCTGCAGTCCAAACTAATTTAAGGTTTCGATTCTCTAAGATGTTTCCATTCTTTAGGATCGGAATTACACACTTTCCTCGATTTTGACCTTTTTTTCAATTCCAGTTTATCAAAAGACAAACACAAATATGTTATTTAGGAAGCATAGAGCCCTTAAATAATTGCTAGTATATAAGTCCCACGTAACTTCCTTAAAAATTCTACAATTCCAGACATTTATTTTTATAGTCCTATGGAATTTGACATTCAATTCTTTTAAAACGATTAATGGAATTTATGGGATTAATGAATTCAAATGGCGTTTAATTATGCTAATTTTTCTTGATCGGAAAAATTTTATTTCTTTCAAAAATGGCATTCTTCAAATTTTTTCATTAGCGTATTTTTTCGGGATAAACTCCACGAACTTATTGCGAAAATGCTCACCGTGCGTCATATGTTTTTCACATTGATATTAGTCTGCCCCACTTTTTCGTGTACAGGTAATTTATTTTTTAATTTGAGCACTCAAAAGCAAAAATGGAAATCCGAGTTGTACCTCAACCATTTTTAGATGAAACAGCCATTTGTCACAAAAATGGCGCTTGCATATTCTGGTATATATTCTAAGCTCATAAACAGATCCTAGTAATAATTTCTATTTACTACTTCCAACCGTTTCGTGACCTAATCAGGATGAATGATAAGAAAATAAGAGATTAAGCTGTAACAGATATTAACAGCAGTGATGCTACAATATTATGTTATTATATTATATTTTTCAAAATATATTTTATATATACAGACAAATATATATATATATATATATATAGATTAATTGAATTTATAGACTCTGACATGAATAGAGCCGATGCACCAATACATTATAGATTATATGAATATTTAATGAAATCGTACAATCCAAAGTTATTACCTATTAAAAATAGCAATTCACCCGTCACAAATCATCTTCGGATTGACTTATATCAAATTATAGAAGTGGTTAGTTTTCAGGATTTTACTCCATTCTTTCTACTTTTCTTTAAAAACTTTCCCCTTTTGGCTCTCTTTTCTTTTTTTCGTTTGGATCGCTATTGTATTTTAAAAATTGCTTCTCTCTAATACCTACTATAATGAAATAGTTTGAAATTTTGAATAAGTAGCACAACAAATGACCATATTTACAATGACCATATTTGTCCGCTGCTAAGTTCTCCTTTTCCACCACATAGTGGTTCTATACCAGTGAAACAACTGAAAGTGTTGTCACTTCACTCCCGAATCACTGGTTTAGACTGATAGTATAAGGATTCTTTTATCAAATAAATTAAATTGTAGAACGAGATTCAGCAATTTATTCGTGTCAATGCTTGGAGCGCTGAGGTAAACTGTTCCATATTATCATTTTCCCAGTTCCATGCTTTTTCTATATAGTCACTCGTTTAGTTTCAAAATAGCCATAAATTATGCTGTGAAAATGGTTTCTTCTATGTTATATTTTTTTTTATAACCTTTTTTGTATTAAATTTTTAATATTTTTATTAGAAGTGGAATGATGAGATGTTGTCGTGGAACCGCTCACAGTTCGACAACATTACGATGATTCTGTTGCCACATCAGTCTGTATGGTATCCGGACACCACGTTGTACAATTCGTGAGTTGATTCGTATTCACCAATATTCACCAATTTCTTCCAACTTACACAATGGAACCAGAATGCACCAGAAATAACAATAACAGTTTATTTAAAAGATATAACAAAGATATAAAGATATAATAAAAGATAACAAAGATATAATAAAAGATATAACAAGCATCGATAATGTAGCACTTTTTTAAAACAATCAGTCTAAAATTTATGTTCATTTTATTTTCCAAAATTTAGCTTGGAAATGGATGACGCGAATTCAAAAAGGATGATGAAAGTGAAAATCATTTCGGGTGATAAGAATAAACCAGCAATTGTAGAACTTCTTTATCCTTCAATGTATAAATTTTCTTGTATGCTCAATCTTCGCTTTTTTCCTTATGACATTCAAGTAAGTTTTTCTCCAATTCCCCAAGGTTTTCCAAATTTTTCAAAATTTTAACTTTTTCATTTCATATTTGTTCCTTTCAAATTATTTTCAATCTTTACGGTTTTTTTTCTCGAATAACAAAAAATAACAATTTCGTTATGGAACAATAATTTTAGAACTGTGAAATTATCTTTGGTAGTTGGACACACGACAATAAAGCAGTCGATTATGAAGCAAATAGCGATGGTGAGAATGCTATAGGATCGAACCATCTATTAGAGAATGAAGAATGGCAACTTCTTGGCTCACAAGGTTGGAATTCATGGCAAACCTCAACAACGTAATTAATTCAAGCAAAAATCCGTTTAACTTGTCTAATAATCTTTCGCACCTACAATGCGTCTTTTATTGTCTAATTTGAAGTCAGCCTCATCTCATTTTAACTGGACTGATACGATTGCTCCTTTGTTATTATCTTTTGTAGAAAATATGAAAATATGGTGCTAAAGAGGCCGTACTGTGGACAGTTGAAACGGATGGCTGGCCACTATCGTATTGACTATCCTTGGGTATTACGAGAAATGATGCGAAATTTACGAAAGTCCGTTACCCAAAATGCAAAAAATTAGTATTCTTTATCCCTTTCACTTTATATATATTTTTTAAGTCGAAAAGAAAGAAGTAAAGTATGAGTGCTGCGTGAACAACTACACTTTGCTTGTATATAAATTGCACATACGACGCAAACCATTATTCTACCTTGTAAACCTCGTTGCACCGACCAGTTTTATCACGTTGATTGCAATTTTCGGTTTTTTTAGGTGAATTTATTCCTTCAGTTATTCGATGTCTTATTTTCGACAAAATAAACCAGCTTGCAGAAGAAAAAAGTGTTAAAAATTAACGGGAAAGGGTCATTTCAAGAATGTTTCCGACTGTCTCTTATAGAAAACCTATTATCTGTTGGACACTCACCTGTGTTTCTAACTTGAAATGGTTCACCCAGGCAAAAATAGTGAATAGCACAAGCGCAATCAGAAATGCTAAAACAAGTCAAATTTATTTAGTACACCGACGATAAATGATATTCGAGAGGAGAAGATTTCCCTGGGTATAACGACATTATTGTCTATGTCGATTCTAATTTTGATGGTATCTGATAAAATGCCTTCGACTTCTTCATTTATTCCACTAATTGGTTAGAACTTCTTGGAATTTCGAATTTATAGAAATTTGAGAGACATCGACTGTTCGATTTGCTTCGTCAGAGGAGAGTAATATGAGTTCTCGTTTCCTGACATGAATAGATCAACCATTAAAAATAAAATCCGATGATGAGTATCTATCAACAGTTTTATCCCCAAATGACTCTGACGAAGGTCATAAATGGAATCAGTAATGGTACTTAATGTTTGGAAAAGAAATTTAGCAAAAGCTATTACTACAAAAGATTGAATGGTGACATCTACTTAAGCCTTAAAAATGAAAAAAAAACTTGTTTCTTTAGATGCGAGCCCTTACAAATTAATAGTAATAGCTTAACCAGTTAATCAATCGTTTTCTCAACTGTTTCAGGGTGGTTTTACTTCAGCATGATGCTTTTAATCTCAGCAGCAACTCTTGCTGCAACAGTAATAAACAGTGTTCAAAAAAAAGGCACTCTTGGAAATCGACCTTCAGAACAAGTAATGTACTGGGTGCGACTACTTGGTACTATATTACTCATGGAGATGCCATTAATCATGAAACTCGCATATCAGCAGAATAAAGCGAAAAAAAAGGCAAGAATTTCTATGGTTTCTTTCCTTCACCAAAAAACAACCGATTAATTTTTATTTTCAAAAAACTGATTCCAAGTTAAAAATATCCCTTAAAAATATAAAGTAATAAATTTAATAATAAGAATAGTTCAATTTAAATTCGATTTAAATATTCTCTAACTTTGTTTTTTATTCTTTTAGCAAAAACAAAAGCATACTGGTAAACGAAACGTCGGTTTTAACCATTATAAACTGGCGCCACATCAACTTCGAAAAGGACATGAGCGACCAAAGGAAATAAGTCCACCATGTCAAAGTCTTTCACCGAGTAGACCACCAGTTATAGCATTAGGTTTGCTAGTTGGTTCATTTTCACTAAAAATTCTATACTTATCCCATTTTAAAAATCATTATGCAAAAAAAATCGAATTTTCGATTAGGTAAAGGGAATACGTATGGAGATTAGTCATGAACCTGAAGGTATGATGGATTGTATATCACCATCTGATTAAGAAAGAACCACAGGTCCAATTTCTGTTCCTTGATGGAAAAAATCTGCACTGATCATTTTATTTCAGTAATTATTGAGATTTCAGATCATGAAAACCGTTGGTTTCCTTTTATACATATTACTATAATAACCTCTTCAATTTTTAGTTATTTTTGGTTATTTTTAGTAATTTTTTGCCAAGAATTTTCGGAAATTGCAAATCTTTCTTTTAATATAAGTAATATGAAATTCGTTCGTTCAGAATTCATTATCTGTCTGCAGTAGAAAAGAATTTTTCATCTCGATTTAATTAAGCCAATGAGGGCACAGAAATACTTCCAATGTTTATAAACATAAACTACAACTTTTCAGTTAGTTGTGTTAAAATTTTCTCAGTTCCAAAATATTAAGATGATTTGTTTTTCAAAGATTTTAGATGCTTATACTGTCTCGATCATTCAGTTTTGGTTTGAATGCCCCAAGGCCCTGTCCCACAACTTTTTCGTCAGACATTACTGGAGCAAGTTGCCCCTATTTTCGTACCATCTATCTCCATTTCTAATTTCATTTCATCATCTGAAGCTGCAGTCCATCCATGTCCATTGATAAAATCAGCATTATTTTTCTCGCAATTTTGCCTCTTTCTTTCACTCTTAAATCTCAGTCTCAGTTGTCTTTATTAATATTAATATATGCCTGATTGGTTTCGTATCCATTATTCAGTCCGAGCCAGGCCGATCCGGAATTAGTGGATGATATTAGGAAATTTGTTAACCTGGGCTGTTTCATTTCTTCTGAGAATATTTTATAAAAGCCTGAAAGTGGAAAAAGATTTAAAAACAAAAAACAAGAATTTAGAGGATGTAACTGACATTTATTTCAAATAAATTGTGGAAAAAATTGCTAATTTCTCCCTTTCTTCAGATTTAGCATCAGATGATGAGAATAAAGAATTAATAAAAAGCAAAATTTATACAGTAACTGATGAAAATTTGCTTTCACCAACGGTGAAATTCAAGGTTCTTCATTTTTTTCTCGAAATAAAAATATTTCAAACAAATGAATTTTACAAGAATGTTCGACTTTATGGATTTAACAAATTTTTATACAAAATACCAAAAAAGCAATTCGAATTAAGGAAACTGATTTTGGTAATCTTGCAACAGCAACTATTCGGCAACGTCCATCATCACGACGAATTGGAATGATGCGTACTGGTTGCACTACTCGCAGAAGCCGCGACTTTACTCGTAAGTTCTTGTATGAAACTTATTATTTCTGTAGTAGCGAAAGATGCAATTCTTCAGATTTTATCTCAAAAAAATATCTGTAAATTTCATTTTAAAAAACAAGAATTACAGAAAATTGAAAAGAAGAAATAAATATGACTGAAAAATGGATTAAAAGATATTTTAATGTGAAAGAATATAAGATAGCTAGGTTAATTCGCAGACGGCAAATTCAAATTCTTGCTTTGAAATAGTCTACTTCCGCCTTGCAAAAGGGGTTTAGAAAGTCAAAAAATTTGATAAATTTTTAGCATAATACATTATCTGAAAGTTGTCTAACGCGACGCTAATGTGGAAAATTTACAGTTAAGGTTCCTTTTTAATTTGTTCTCCATTAAAAGATACAAAATAAAACATATACATTAAATAAAAATAAATTACATAATTCAAAGAAATTAGCTGAAAAATTATTAGGATCTAAATGAAATCATTATTCAGATTCACAACTTGCTACACCAGCAAATCTTGCCCAACTTGAATACGACTGGTTTGCTGCCGTAATTGAACGGTTTTGTTTGCTCGTTTTCTTTATTTTCTTCTCATTAATGTCGTTTGGTATTAATGCACTGGGGCTTTACTATTGGCAATTTACGAAAATTCAATAATCACATTGCCCAATAATTTTACAAATGGAACGAAAATGAAGATTATACGAAAAAACAGTATTTCGTCGAAAATTTCATCCAAATAAAATAATTATCGAATCGGTTTATAATACAAAAGTAAATCTCCTCCTTGTTTCCAAATAAAATGCTTCACAGTTCTTAAATCCATTTCAGGATCCAATTTCTATAAAAAATTTCTATAAAAATGAATTCTATATTTGATTCTTACAAATATTCGATAAATTTTTTTTTTGAATTCAAAAGGAAATTTTAAAGAGAAAGGAAAAAAAGGACAGATAACGAAAAATTGGCTATTTATTTTCATCGATTATTTTTATGTTATATTTAAAATTATTATATTACAAAATACCGGAAGAAATGGTATAATGGTAAGGAAATGGTAATATTACTATCTGGCTTTAGAAAAAAATCCTAAATCACTGTTAAGACTAATTCTCACCTGTTCTTGGCAGTATAACTCGATTCGCTCCTCAATATTCGCAGGTATTGATGAAGGCAGAATTTGCGCTGCAGCAGATCCACCACTATCTGTGAAACTCCCATCATTAGCAGCATTAAGAATTTTTTCGTAAACGTGTTCCATTACTTTTCTGACTTGAAGCATTTCCGTCGCACTTAGACGATCTCTGAAATAAAAAAGATATATGATTAGACTGGATAATCCAAATCTGCACCAACAAACTATCTTAAAATATAAAAAAATATTAGGAACAAAAATCATTTCCAACTTTTTAGGAAGTTTAATTCCAAGAGACGGATGAGGCAATAAGAAAAATGGCATTTTGTTGAATTTTGGCAATTGATTTCGTTCAACAACATCAAGTACCCATGGCGGAACAAAATCTGATAGCATTTGAGCTTCCGTATCGTGGGCGGCATCTCGTACAATCAATCGAAATATAGGTCGCCCAGACGATTCACTAAAGATATCCAATTTCTATTAAAAGTTCATTCAACAGAAGAATATATTGAGTTTTGTTATTAAAAAAATTAAAATCTAAAAAATCACATAACTTTTGTGCAAATTAATTAAGTAGATAAATTTGCGAAGGAATTTCCAGACAATCTTTGAAACAAGAAAAAGAGAAACCAGAGAATGAGAGGTGTATGATCCGGAACAGAATTGAATTTATGTGTTGGCGATTCTTCATCTGTTTCAGAAAAAGATTTCGTCCAATGTTCAAAAAGAGCACGGAGTAACATACCACCATAATTAACTATAATATTATATATAAATCTTTCAATAAAAATCTTTCAATGATTTTTAAGGCAGATAAAATAATATTACTAAAAAATAACTTTTTGTGTCTGTCTGTCGCTCTGGGAAACCTGCATCTTTGGCAGAAATCCATGCCGAAAAAAAATCTGACTCGTCAAGAGTTATTTGAAGCATCTTGAACAAATTCGAATAAGTTTTTCGGAAAAATGAATTTTGAACAAAAACATGTGCAAAATAATCTTGATTTTAAAGGGATTTAAAATAAATTTAAACAATTGCATTTAAGAAAAATTTAAAATTAGGAACAAAGAAGGAGAAAAAATGAGAAAAAATAAAATTTGAGAACTAATGAAAATACTGCGAAAAGGCGAAAGGAGGCAAAGACAAAAAGAAAAAGGTTACTTTAGCCCACTTCCACTCTTCTTTGGCTACTTTAGCTACGCCTGCGGAATTCCTATCTTTCTATCCTTCATTGAACCATTAACGGTATTAAAAACCGTCTCTTTTTCTAGTCCACTGCGTCATGTCCAGTTTATTTTTTTTGCTTTGTTATATTGGGTACCGTCGTCTTACTTTACGATGAATTCTCTTTGCTGATTCATTGGGCATGCCAAATATCATCGATGAAAAACTTGGACGCACCTCTCTGATCTGATGAAAACTGTCATATCAATCTCTTCTTCACTGATTCTTTTGATTATTAATTGTATAAAAGCGAACTGCTGGTTCGAATCCTGTTTTCAATCACGATCACGCAGTAGCCTTTCGCCTTTTCGCAAGAGTAAAAAAAATAAAACAATAAAATTTGCTATATCATCCTGAATTGAAATGTGAAATGTGTAGACCAGACTAGCAAATGTAAACACTATTCTGAAAACTATCAGGCAATTTGATATTAATTTTGAGTGAAAAAAACAATCAACGAACAAAAAAAAATATTAAAAGAAAATAAAAAAGAAAAAATAAATGAAAAATAATCACTTACACCACTTTTTAAGTCTACAGTAAACCATGATGGAACGAAAACTTTTTTAAAATTTTCTTTGATAACTTCTTCCATTGAACGTTTTCCGTGATCAGACGCCTTAATAAAAGAAAAAAATAAACAGTTTCATTAATAATTAATAAAAAAAAGGTAAAGAATGTGAGGGAACTTTGAAAACCTTTTTCCCACGTAATACATCCCATACAGCAACATTATCATCGGTATCTTTAGTTACGATATGTCGCTTATCATTTAAAACAACTTGCTGTTTAATGCTCGATGCACCTGTAATAGAATTAAATTAATTTTATTTATTATCTGAAATGGAAAAAAAAAGAGACCAGGAATGACAATATCTGGTTCGTGAATATGGGGCTTCATATCATTATAGCTGTCGTCATCCATTCCAATAGCAAGATGTCCTTCAATAGGAAGAGGCCAACGCTTAATTGAAGAATTCCATGTTGCAGTCCATATTGCGCGAGGTCGGTCTGGGTCCGTTAATTGCAACTAAATCAAATTTATATTTTGATAAAGATAAAAAAACCAAAATTTCAACTTTTATACCCTTTGAATCGGAGCATTCTCCATAAACATCAGTTGAGAAGTTTTAAAATCATTGATTGCAGTTCGTAATACTTGTTTATCTCGTCCTCCCGAATAAATAAATGAAAAATTCGAATCAGCCTAAAATGATAAGTTTTAATTTGTATTTGCCATATTTTATTCTTATAAATTACAAGAAATATTCTCTTATTGTATGATTTTCAAAAATTTCAACATTTATGCAAATATTATCCAGGAATTTAAGTTCAAAATCAAAAATATGAATAAAATAAAAAAAAAGCGATTCTAAGATGGTGATTAAGGCCAAATATTTTGAAAAATAAAGCTTTTTAGATGCGGTTCAGGACGACTGATTCTTCAGTGGTATCAGACATATGCTTACAATCATCATTACCGCAAAACTACAAGAAGAAATAAAAAAATTCAAAAATAACTTGTAAGGCCCATACGCCTTCCGAGTGATACTTATGTGAGGATACACAACACTGCTGTCCAATACTCCACAGTTTAATAGTACCATCACTACTTGCTGATACGCACTGAAAAGAATTTAGAAAAATTTTAAGGAAAAATTTTCAATATTGTTAAAAAAATGAAATATGAAATACTCATCAAAAATCCTCCATAAAACGAAAATATTGATTTTTTAAATACAATTCAATTCAATAAATTAGCAAAATAATTCATGACAACGCCAACAGTAAAATGTCCAGAAAAAACAGAAAATAATGAAAACTCTTAGCAGAAATGACGAATAAAAAATTACCTCAGTGATAAATTGCCAATAATACACATCGTACAAAAGGATATCGCATAAGATATGAAGATATAAAAAAAAGAAAAAAATAACCTGCGTTCCATCACGGTTTATAACAATAGCTTTTACATTGTCTGTATGTCCTCGTAGCTTGAATAGTTTCTGACATGAACGAGGATCGAAGACTCGTAAGACCTTAATTTGATAGTGGAAAACAATAAAAATGATAAAAATTGCAGAAAAAACGATGATTATATTGAATTTGATAAAAAGATATTAAACAACTACACCTTCTCAGTTGATCCAGAAATGATAATCGTCCCTGATGGGTTCATAGCGAGAGAATATATGCTGTCTTTGTTACCAGTCAATGATGATGCTTCAAACATTTTAGAATTAGCTAGAATTATATTAACCATATGTGCAACTTCTTCAAAGAGCCCAAGAAATGGTGACGAATTATGACTGATGATTCGATTCCCATTTCTTAAACCTCAATTAATATGTCAAAATGATCTCATCATAACAACCAGTCAAGATGTTGTTAGAAGAAATAATTCATAAAATAATAAGGAAATGATCAACAAAAGATAGCAAAATTCACTAGTTACTGTATTGTTTAAAGCAGTTAGTTTAGTAAGCGTCGCAACATCCCAAAGATATATCAGCTGATCAAATCCACCACTAGCAACCATTTCAATATCACGAGCATAAGCTAATGCACGCACATAATCACGATGTGTTCGAAGCGTAGACATGCAAAAACCTTTCTGTGCATTCCATACTTTCACCGTTGTATCGCTGGATGCAGAAATTACTGGAACAAAAAATTAAAATCAAAAGAACAATTCTTCGATGTATCAAGAAGTATGAAGAAAATTATGGAGAGAAAAAATAAAAAATGATAATGAATTAGAAAAGAAAAAGAAGCAAAAAAATACAGTTTCTACCACTACAGCACAACACCATGTCATTCACCCAATCTGTATGATGTTCCATAGATTGCACATATAAATCGCGTAATGAGGCCATTTTTTCCTTACTTTCTTGAAAATCATTCATTCTACCATTTTGTTGAAAATATTCGCCTATCTACAAGAAAATAAGTAAATTTGAGAAAAATTAATCCAGAAAAAAACCGAAATTACTAAAGTTTACCAAAGTGAAAATTGGATATGGCTTTAATGTTTCTTAGCATGAATTTATCTCGATATTGAACATTCATAAGGAAGAATAAGTATTTGTTTGAAAACTCACATGTGGCGTCTTCCAAATTCTTATAATGGTATCTGAACCACCCGAATATAGTCGATCAGTTTGATGGTCATACTGCAGACAATTAACTGCTGAACGATGCATTGGTTCTTTTTCATCTCGAATCACGAATGAGACCTGAAATTGAAAAAATCATAGAAATAAAAAAAGGAGAAAATATTATATATTCAATTAGATCTTCAATGAAATTCAATGAGAAGCAAAACCTGAAAGGAATAATCTATGATAGCTTACGAATAAAAATTTATCATCTGTATGAATTGTGATGAACACAACAAGATAAATAACTAATAGTGGCTAAAAGCAAAAAGCATGGTCACAACTCGTTCTTGCTAACAAATAAATCTGCCATAAAAAGAAAATTCAAGTGGCTGTTGAATTCAAGTGCATCACTGTTCCTATGACTAGCATCATCTTAGATATCGGAGGAACGAGACAAATCAAAAATAGTGGATGCTGTTAGAAAACAAGCAGGTAAGACCATAAATAAAAACTCAGAAACAAATATTAAAATATAAAAATATTATAAAATATATTAAATATTATAAAATATTAAAATTACTATTATTCAGGAAAAAAATCTCCTAATTTCACCAAAGACAAAAATGACAAAAAGAATGAGAAACATGTGACAATCTTCAACAAAATTCGAACCAAAAAACAGCAACAAACCTGAATTCGTTTCTTTACGGGTGGAATCGCCATAACTAATAAGTTCTAACACATTCTGTGCATACCACCTCAACAAATGTACACAATTTTAAAGCTTTTCTATCGGATAACAAATATTATCAACCACCTTTATAACCAATAAACCCCTGAAAAATTAAGTTTACAGGCATTTCCTTCATATTGCCTTACATCACCACGGAATGGAGGATGTAACCATTCGCCTACAAATGTTTTTTCGACAAATATTCAAACACCACTGAAATGATTCTTTCCCTTGTTAATACAAGCGCCAAAGGTATACCACATTCAGTGGAATTAACCAAACAAGAAACCATAAAAAAAAAGAAACGAACATATTTGGAGCACTCTCCCTATAAAATTTTTTTTCATTTTTAACGATTTTATTGTCGATATTTTATTTTTAAAACTAGCAGATAAAAATTTGTTTAAAAAAATTTACAACATTATGACTGGCAAATACGAATTTTTGTATTCATTAGGAATTGAAAATATCTAAATTAAATTTGTCCAATATTATTTATTGTGAGAAATTCTGGAACTTAAATGAATTTAAAAAAAAAATGACGCAAAACCTGTCAAAAAGTATTTAAAAATAATTAGAACAATAAGCAAGATCGATTTTGTTAAAATGGTATTCCTTTATAATAAAAATTTGAAAATGAACGCAAGTGTTAAATATTTAAGTGTTGTTTCACTTGCAGATTATCTGTTAGAAGTCTCAACGAAAAAATATTATAATATTAGAAATATTAAAATATGAATATGTAAGAAGGGAAATGTGAAGAATGTTATGTCCATAATTTTAAAATTTAACGAAAAAACAATGAGAAGATACTTTAAAATTTTTAAAGAATATAATAGATCATGGATAATTTATCAAGCAAAAGAATCTTCTCGATCAGCAGTAGCGATTCCCAAAGGATCGTCAAATCCCTTGAAATTCTGAAAATGAAGCGGCCGATGATCTTCATGATAAAATTCCTTCGGATTGGATAACATAAGATCATATCTCATATTTGCCTCATGTCGTACACCTGAATTTATTTAAAAAAATTTGGCTGATAATGTTCATATAGTTGTAAAAAAATTATTCCTGGATGGAAAATTACCCATGAAATTGTAATTCCAAATTCCTGACGAAGGCACCATGAAATATCCAAGGAATCGATCAGAAAGAAGCATTTGCACCTTTTCATAATGAGATGGAAGATAGCCCTTTGGATTGTTACTCTGCTTATCAGTATTTGTACGCGCCCATTCAAATCCACTAGGTGTTAATTTATAGGCTGTTAAGGACACTGAACCAGGAGTGAAACTGAAATTTATGTACTGAAATCATCATACTAAGAGGAAAATCTCTAAAAAAAAATATAAAAAAGAATGCGAAAAAAGATTCAGAAAATAACAAATATACCTGCAAGTAATAATAATAGTTTTCTCACCATCCCAGCTTTCATTTTCCATTAGTGTTTTGGCATGAGCAGTGACATCTTGTGGAGATAACTGTGGCAATTCATTGGGCTGAGTATGCATCCTATGAATAAAATCCTGGACTTCAAAGAAAAAATAGTAACAAAAGGAATAATAAAAAAATAAATAACAATATTAACAAAAGGAAACAGTAAATCCTTTTGTATTGAAAGAAAAAAAAGATGTTGTACCATCCAAGCGGTTCAAGATCTTTGATGAATTCATGAGTTGGCAACTGATTTGGTAAATGTACCATCTGATGAGTACCCCATTGCGGCGGCAAAGCTATACAACGAATTTCTTTCACCTGTGGATTATCTGGTGGAGATACACCATACAAATATCCAGCAATCTAAAAACATAACGAAATGAACTGAGCAAAAATCACAACTGAAAAAAAATTTAAATATTAAAAAATTTAGGCTTAAATATCAAATTATGATATTTTATAGGTCACAGTAATTTTTAAACGCTAATATAATATAATATAACATCTAACATTCGCATTGTGAGGCAAAAACAAATATACCTGAGTACGAAGGTCAGATATGATTATAAACTTTTTCAATACATTTTTAGGTAAAATATAGGTAAATCCAGTATCTTTAACATCATCGGAGTTCACATATATATGTTGCGTTCGAAGATGCAAATTTGTTGCACTTATCGCACGCACACGCCATTCTGTGCGAGATGAAAACGTTTGACTCTAGAATTCACAAAGCTAATAAAGTACTTTCATGTCAACGATATCGCTAAAATAAATAATTCATAACCATTAATACCAATAGATTACTCGAAAAAAAATTAAGAGATTGAAAAACCTATTTGAATAATTGACTTTTTGAAAGAAAATTGCATATATTATTAGATAAAAAAAAAAAAACTGTACTTCGTAGTTACTAGTGGTTGCCGAAATTATTTCATCGCCATGTTTATTTATTGTTCGCGTTGTCGTTGCAGTAACCTAAAAATAAAAAAATGAGAGAATGAAAAAAAGATATGCTGATTATACTACATTAATGTATAAACTATCAAATCACAATGAAACCTGGCTTTGTTCCTTTGTTTGCTTTTCAATGTCGGCAATTTGTTGTCGCTGAGCAGATGGAGCGCTTATTTCCATGCCAAGAATAATATCACGCACTTCACTTTGCGTCAAAGATGCCACATTAACGTTATTTTTCTTACCATAATCAGCCAAAATCATATCCTTTAAGGCTAATTCGACCTAAAGAAAGCATGTATGACCTAATAAAATGGTAATACTTTCATCAACTTAGTTCTCAGTTTATGCCATTAAAATAATCTATACCTTAATCCAGTCTTCATCGGCCAGTGAAGGCCAGATGTGGTGTGGTTCAGTGATAGTAGTTTTATCGGGCTTTAATATAACCTTCGTTTTATCTGGGTTGATATGCATACCACGCATAATCAAAATAACTCTTGAAAAAGCTGTATAACTGGATATTGTCTAAAAAAAACCGGGAATGAAAAAAACTGTAAATGTTAACTGTAACTAATTCCATGAATTAAATAGAATAATTGCACTTCTTTGAATGCAAACAGAAAAGACAGATTAAATAAAAAGTATGAGCCAAAGAAAACCTTCAGCCAATCGTCGTACAGATTGAATAATACCATTTGAGGTTCTGTTGCTTTCAAAATTAAATCGCCGAATTTTTCAACCTAAATAAATAATAAAAAACGTGAAAAAATTAAAAGCCAAACTGCTAAATAAAAAAAATTTTCCAATAATTTTCAAGGCCAATAACCTAATTGCCAAAAAAAAATTAAACAAATTAACAATTAACAATTAAAGTTATGAATTATATTAAAATAAAATATCATTAAAATATTGAAAAAATGATATTGCTTACTTTCATGATTGCTTGGAATGGCAACATTAGTTCAGATCCTTTTATAACAATATTCGGAAAATCTAGTAAATGTACTTCAAGAGGATCGAGCATAGCCTTACGTGTAACAATGATCTGCCTTGGTTGCTCTTCAACGGGTAATGATCGTATTAATGCAGCTACTTCCTCAGCAGTTTTCCACTTTGCCAGCTAAAAAAAATTCCGATTAGATCAAACTAGCTATAAAGCTGACTCAATTTGTATAATAAACTTTCTTAATGCAACTTTATTAAAAAGAAAATTTACCTTTCTCAGTCATATATTATATAAATGTATAAATATCAAAAAAAAAAACAATGAAAACCCACTTGACTGAGACGTTTTTGTCCAGCCCACACACTAGTATGAATAATTTTCAAAAACAGCTGTCCGGTTCTAGGATTGAAAATGAAGATCGCACCATTGATTGGTTTGGTAGTGAGATTACCTTCGAAAGTCTAAAAAGTTCATAATAAATGAAAAGTAAACAATAAATAAGATAAAGATAAGAAAAATAAATAATGGATTATTTCTTGGCTAACTTACTTTGTGTATAGTAACTCGATATACATTCGTATCGTCAACGAACCAAATAATTTGATTACTGAACAATTCTCCATAGTTCTGAGATGTTAAATAGGGTTCAGTAGGTTCGGATGAATATAACTGCAAACCCTTTCGAATACGCTCTCGAAGTACATAGAATGCCGGATTAGCTTTAATAATCTTAGCCATAGCTTGTCGTATTAATGGCTTCATTCCAGGGAACCAATTACCATAGGCACTGAAAATCACGAACTTATCAAAAAAAAGAAAAAGCAAATTAAAAATCTAAATAAGAATTGCTCGAACCTGTATAAATTATAAGCCAAATCAATTGCAATGAGCACGCCGGTTGGAGATGGATATATAGACATATTATCTGTCGTATAATCTAAGAACTTGGCCCGTGCATAACGCTCCACATCATGGGAATCATAATCGCCCCATCTCAACTGTATGTCTAACCAATATTTCTGAGTCGTTGTATTATCCATCACATCTCTAAAAAATTAACATAGTACAGGACCAATAAACAATTGAAATAAAAATATACACCAATAAAAAATATTTGCAAACATTAGCAAACAAAATTTACATACTTTGAATCAGCCAGAAGAGAAGGTCTTGAAACGTGCCACTTATATTGAGCAAATAACAAAATATCAGCGCAAGAACTGTTCATTTTGTACGATTTTCGAGGATGAATAGTTTCTTTCTGCACAGTCTGAATCTCCAAAGCATCCAGCTCTTGGTCAAACACCTTAAATTTAAATGGGAAAATATTTAAAATGACAAAAAATTATGATATAATAAATGTGACAGATACTTGACACAGGTCCATTACAACTGATTCATGTATTTTCTGCCAAAGATGAGCGCGGAAAATTTGAATTAGAGAAATTTTTAATGTTGGAATTTTTCCATGCATAAATATGCCTGTTAGGTCAAGCTGTACTTGAAAACCAACATACACCTGAAATTCTTTGCAATTTTACAATTTATAACATTTTCGTAATTTATTACATTTTCTATCTGTATAAAACTTGTATAAAAAATAGATATAAATATATTTATGAAATTTTAAATTCAACGAAAGTTATTAATTTATGAAAACTTATGTAAGCAAACCATATAGAAAATTATTCAGAAACTATAAAAACTATAGAGTTATTTCAAAAGAATTACTTGAAATATGTTCGAATATTTTTAAAAAAAGTGACGTTTTAAACATCACTGCCAAAAATTTTTCTGAAAAACTTTTTTTCCAAACTAAAATGAATAAATGTACATTTGCTCTGTTGATTGTTGGGGACCACCAAAGGGTGAAACGACGATTTGGAATTTGGTTAAGACCAGAACGCTGAGCATTTGTTAATTTCTTAAACTTCATTGACTCTTCGAATCCAGAAGCTCGTTCCCAAAAAAGTCCTTCCCATGTTGGAAAATATGTGCCCTGAAAGATTAAAATTTATTTTCAGTACTGCTATGTACTACTGGATATATATGATAACGACTCAAACAACTGGTGCAAACAAACTCTGAATAAAGTATGCTCCAGGATGCCCTCAACACCTCCAAGTGCCTGAATCATATCTGTACGGTAATTATTAAGATTCCAAAGTTTTCCATCATGACGCTGATGAGTCCACCAAAATGGATTTTGCTTAAGAATCTGAAAATGCAAATTGACCACAAGTTAACACCTATCTATCTATCTACTTATCAAATAATGCAATATAACATAATATCCAGTAATTGAAGCAAATAATCACCTGATAAGTTTTGAATTCAGTTCGGACTCTCCAGCCTTTGTCATAAGCTAAAGTATGGCGATCTTTTTGGAACAATGTATTAATTCGAGGTATACCTCGATCCCAACTATCATCTAAATCTTCGAGTGTTAATCGTCGATTTTGTGCGTTAGCCTCTTGACGCTTTAAGGCATATTCGGCCCAAACACGTTGTGAATCAATAAATTCAGCTTCCCATGGCTTAAAAAATTCGATAAAAAAGTTTTCAAAATTTTCAAGATTTTTAAACGACGATAAATCCCAATAATTTTCATTCTCCAACTAATTTAAGAAAAATAGAATCAGATCTAAGGTTTTTAAATGTCGATCACCTGGATATACCTATACAAATTTGGAATTAATTGATCTTCATCGTGAGTCATGCCGCTTCGAAAATGTGTGACACCACCAGATTCTGTTTGTTTCATCCACCGAAGATCCGACTGCGGAATCAGGACATGTCCCATAGAAAGCATTCCAAGGCCACCAATTTCTTTCGGCGTGTAAAAAACGACGGGAGGGAAACGAGCAGGCATTTTCGAATTGAGTCCAATTTTAATTCTATATCAGCACATATTTGGATTTAAAAACTTATTCTATTTATATTTCTATTTATTCAAAATTAAATTTAAATAATGAAAAAATTCAAGCCAATGAGCATGTCTTGAAAAATGAGCAAATGATATTAACATTACGTTTTTATTATATTACAAATATGAAAAATGAAGAAATAAATGAACAGGCTCTAAATGAAATCAATAAGAAACGCAACTTGAATTTAAAAAAAACAAAAAAAATCAACTGTTTTATTTCCTTTTCACAATCGGTTTTTTCTTCCACTCCAAAGTTATCTACTTTCAAGCTTGAGGTGCATCGGTATTTTATATTTGAAAAAAAGAAGGTAAAATGAATAAAAATAAAATAACCGAGTTTGTATTTTGTTTTCACACTTGACAAGTAAATCTAATAATTCCTGAGTATTTACAACGGCCTCTCGAAAATAGGTCATCAAACCAATTAATGCAGTATTCCATTTATTAACAATCTGAATTCAAGTCCTTATTGATTAATTCATTAAACTAACTAAGTATTAGAAAAATTTGCTGTTAAAATTTACCTTTGTAAAAGTAGTTGATCCGGAAGACATGAGAATTTGACGAATACGATTATGGAACTTTAATAAGGATTCTTCATCAACTTTCAGGAAACAATGAGCAGTTCGTTCTTTCGTTACCTCAAATTTTTAGAAGATGATAAGTTGCTAAAGAAAAATTCTTTCTAAAAAAAATTAAAAATGCGTAAAATTAACTTCATTCTGGAGATTCCAAACTCCATCACGATGTGTCAGTTCTTCAGTTGCCATACGACATTTCGGCAAAATACGACATTCAAAACCGCACATATCGAATAAAAGATTCGGATTATCTTTACTGTAGACCGAAACAAAAGAATTTTCCCACTCGACAGTTGTTACACAACGGGGCAATCGATTCTATAAAAAATCATTTAAGAAGCGGAAAATTCTAGATATTTTTTACCTATTTACAATTAGGGTCAGAAAATATAGCTAGAGAGATATGTGGGAAACATAGGTATGCTCCAGTATCGCCCGGGTCTGAACCTAGCACTCCAGGCGACAAACCACTCGATCATCCTACCTTCAACTTTTATACAACAAATTAAAAACTTGAAAAACGAAGGAACCTTAATATCCCAAAATACAGCACGACCCAGGTTCACGTCATGTTTCATCAATCGCATACGTGCATCCCGTGGCCAACACTTTTTGTTATTATATCCAACAATGTTTTCATTATTCGGATCAGGATGTTCAGTGAGATATCGCTGAATTAAGTCACGAGCTTCATCAGCAGAAAATCTAAATTATTTAATAATTTAAATCTAAATTATTTGATGATTTAAAGAGAATAAGTTCTGTTCAAAGTCTAATCTAACCTGAAGAATATCCATATTTTATCAATATATCTACAGTATAACCGAACTGGATGAGAAATTTCCGTGGCAATATCTTGATACGTTAAAAACTCATTAGGGCACTAAAAAATAAAATGTACAGATATAGAATTAAAAAATTACTTTGAACAACAAATTTTTATTCCCTTTTTTACCTGAGGCGGTCCAGCGATTTCACTTGCGCGTCTCAAGCCTAAAATAAGTAGATCGAGTACAAGACCATAGTACTGTACTATGAAAGATGCAAACTGAAGACCACGAATTATGCCAAAGGAATTTGTATGATTCATATCCTTATAATTAATCAGAACATTATTCTTCGCTGTCATATAATCTGCGATATTGTGGTCGACAATCAATCTAAAGAAACAGTTCCAAATAAACTAAAACAAAGAAATTTAAAAAGGAAGGAAAATTTTATATAATAAAGCAAAATGTTTCAAAAGCAACAGAATATTTTACCTTAAAAGTCTGTTAAGTAATGTTAGATCCATTTTTTCATAAACCTTCTCAAGGCGCGACTCAAGCATAACATTACATTCGCCTTCATTTGTATCCCAAACGTCCTGGAGATTATTAATTCCTTGACACCTAAAAAATGAAATGAAACTAGAAATCGAGGCAAAAATTATAAGCATCATTGTTATCAGTTATTACTGGTACTGCAGATTCGTATCTTATGGTCTCAAATTTGTACAGCTCAAATATATTTCAACGAAAAAAATAGGAATATAAATTTAATATAAATAGAAATACAAATTTAAAATTTAAAAAAAACCATTTATATGTGAGTAAAGGAGGTGGCTCAGTATCACCAGGTTTTATCCATGAAGGAAACAGACGACGTTTATCTGCTTCGTACCATAAATACTGATCAAGATAAGCATCAGTAACTTTCTCCAATGGTTCAATGTCATAAACGGGAACCAAATGAGAATAAAGATCCATGAATTCAATTCCAACTTCCTAAATTTGAAAATAAAAATAAAATTTGACAGATTCGTGGAAACTGTCACTGATCTGGATAAAGAAAAAACCGCTGAAGTTATCTGCGAAATCACCTTGAAAGCACGCTGGGTCAACATATGACGCTTTATACGAGAAAGCGCTTCATGTGGATTATCATAAGCTTGTTCGATCAATGCCAATTCTTCTCTTTGACTTTGATTAAGGCGATTTTTAACTGAATACGCCTCCTGAAATTGAAAAGGCCTTTTGGTAATACAATATTATTTATAATAAAAATTTTAAAAATTGGTACAATCATTTACTTTAAGTCTTTCTAGAGCCAAAATGAGAAGCTTAGTATCATGTTTATAAGAAAGAGGTGGAAATGGAATTGGTGAAAATCGACGCGATTCAAGCCAATGCACAGTTGCAGTGTAAATCGCGACAGCTTCTTCAGCACTAATATAGGGACCGTCTTTAAGATAATTATGTTGCCGTTCTTGTTCAGCCTGAAAACTTTTTTGAAATACAGTTGCAAAAAATCGACTTTTTAAAATATATAATATACGAAATATGCAAAATATACAAAAAAATACAAAAATACAAAAATACAAAAAAATAAAAAAAAACAATCATATAAGGAAATAAAAAACAAAAATCTTACTTTTCAGCAAGAACTTTAATAAAAAATTTTCATTACAACCAGCAACTTTTTTGATTCACTTGTAAATTCCTACCTTGAGATAAAGTCGAGTAAGCCTGCCAAGGTTTTTTTTGCAAACAGTTTTGTCAACGGTAGCACCGCGCCGAACTCGTTCACGATTATAATGAGCTGAATTCGTCCACCAATCTGCCTTAGCTTTCACATATCGCAGTATCATATTTTCAACCGGAGTAGGTAATCCAGGGACCTAAAAACAATGAGAAAATGAATTCAAAACCACTATGATCAATAAAATAAATAAAATTTAAAATAAGATAAATAAATAGATAGATTCTTTTATTAGATCCAATCAATAACTACTGTTTAGCAAAAAGAAAATATCTAAAATAAAAATACAAAATAAAAATAATAAATATAAAATAAGTAACGGTTAAACAACCAGTCATATATAACAAAATCTTACGGAGAAGCCTCAAACTGCGAAATCTGGGCTTATCATTATGAACTGAAATCTTTTAACATCTCGCAAAAATCCTTGTATTTTGTGGAAAACCCTTGTAATGACCTAAATACTACATTAAATGCTACCTCAACATTCACCAAACGTTATATTTATTCACTATAACTCACTCTCTTAAATTTTTCTGCACCATTTTAACCCTATATTTATATCGCTTAGTTATATTTCCTCAATGCTGCATCAAGCACTACTGCTTTTGCTTCGACCATGGTTATATATCTAAAATTGCAAAAAAAAATAACGGTGTCTGGTGAATATTTAAAAAAAGTAGCAATGATTTGGTGGCTTATATGTGTCAGAGAATTCAAAAGAATGAAAAAAAGTGAATATCAACATACCCATATCCAGGATTGAAGACAATTCCGCCTATTATTGAGTATCCCTTTATTAAATTATATTGTAAAGTAAAAACAAATTTAAATTAATAAAGAAAGAATTTAGATACTTTCCAAGGAATATTCGCTTTCCAGCAACGCCATGCTTCGCTGAGATGTTGAAGAATAACGCGAGCTTTGTTTTGTTTTATACCTTCTGGCATCATATCCAAAATATCATGCATAACGGCTGCTCTAAAAAATAGTTAAAATATATAAATATAAGAAAGATAATTAAATAGTTTAAAAGTTAATAAACATCTGACATTTAAATCATAGGTTTACAACAAACATTGTCAAAAGGGCCGACCGAAAAGATTAAATTACCTCAATTCAAGATCAAAATGAGATTCAACTCTTTGTTTAGTTACCGTCTTTGCAACCCCTTTCGAATGTCGGCCTTCGAATTGCCTTGATAACAGATTACCAAGCCATCGCTCTAACAAAGGAGTAATCCCTCGCATGAAAAATAGCCATACTCTCCATCCTGGAGCCCAAACACCACAACCTGGTCCCTTACCTGCAAGGAAAAAAAGAATATAAATCAACATAATAAAAAACAGATTTTTTCCTATTATTCAATAACATTTCAAATTTTTCAAATTCCTTACCAACTGGTCCAGTATTAAAGCGGTAATAAATCAAATGTTTCAAATCTTTACACATTCGCACTTGTCGCATAAGTTTATATTTGTAACGATACATTCCAGTGAGCTGACCAACATGAGAAAAAATATATTGCAAGCCATCAGCCAACTTAAAAGAAAAATTACAGAAAAAATGAAGAAAATTTTTGACCTTATGAAATTACAAGTATAAACATTATGCATATAATATTTGTATGATGACTTCTTTAAAACGGAATATTTTTCACTGATAAATAGTGGAAAATATTTGAGTTGCACGAAACACATATTCATTTGGGATAACAAATATTAAGCAAATTTTTTTTATCATAAGTTCTTGAATTAATGCAAATCACGAACTTGATAAGCGTCGACATTATTCAATCTGTATTGAACATGGGCATCAACGACTAACTTTGTTAAGCGAAGAATCTCACGACAAAGATGGAATGCATTTCCGAATCTCGACTTTTTACGTTCTTTTGTGGTTAAAGTCTTAACCGGCTACAAAATAAACAATAGTTTAAAATTTAAAATTTAATATAATATATAAAAAAAATTATTAAAAATTAAGATCTGAAATTCACAACTCTGTCATATACATTTTAAAAAATCCTTCTTTAACAAACCTTCAAGTTAAAATTATAATCAAGATGAAGATAGTTCAAATTTTTTCGATGAATCAGAAGATTTAGCATGTTATATCCTTGGCGTAAAACTTGCAAACCAGCTTCTACCCAATCTAATGTTGTTGACTGGAAAAATTTGGTCGATTTAAAAGAACGGAACAAGTACCTGCAAAACGATCAGGCTTTATTAAACAATCATAAATCAAACCACGATATAATAATCAAAGAAAGTAATAACCTTCGCTTTTGCGGTTTAGGAGGTCTATGCCGTAACGCATTAAGAACAAATACTTTTAGCAATTTTTGGTACGAAACGCGAACTTTAACAGGCATTCCTTTAATAAAATAAAATAACATTAATAATTAAAAAAATATCTTTTGGTTGTTAGTTAAAAGATTTACAAACTAAGTTAAATAATTTAAAGAAGAAATGAACTAAAATATATTAAGAATTTCCTTTTTTATACGTTTTTATTTTATATCTTAATTGTTTGTATTAACTACTAATAATATAAAAAAATTGATTAAAAAAATTGATAAACTGATGGAAAATTTACCAGAAGGACAATGTTCTCGATACCAAGTCTTGACCAGAGGTACATCTATAGCCCTTCTAGTTCGACCAGAACGCATATTGAATGGTCGTGGAGCCCACATTAAAGCAATTCCATTGCCGGTATTTTCCGTATACAATGGCACTTCGCTGAAATTCGGCACCACTTCCTCGGGCAATAAAAAGTCATCATCTTCTGGTAATGGATCAATATTCTAAAACGAATGACATTCCATCACATTTTTGAATTTTATAAGCTAATTAATAATTTCATTAAAATTTTAAAAAATATTCATTGTTTAGCACGAAACTCTTTTGATTACCAAGATTACCAGTTGGAAGTCAAACGCCTATAGTGCAAATTTTTGTCGGTCGAAAACCACATGGAAACTAATATTACTGAATTATAGTTTCCTTCGGTATGACCATGAGATTTACTTTATTTAAAAAATAATGATAGAAACTTTTTCAGCATTCCGCAAAGTCATTGGATTAATAAGTGGGTCGAAATAAAATGCTGGCAGATCAGGATCTTCAGTTTTGATAAATACAACTGAGGGTGTATGGTACCTAAAATCTTTTTTATTAACCAGTGCTAAAAAATATAATTAATAAAACAAAACAATATATTATCAAAAGTAATACCATGACACTTGAACGGGTAAAGCATTAATAAGATTGTTGTACATAAACGGAAATGCAATCCTGTATTCGGTCCGAATAGGCGCTCGTATAATAACTTTGTTAATATCATTAAACTCGTTCCAATCTTCATCACTGGAATAAAAAGTAAAATAAAAAGTCTGTAAAACATAAGCACCGAATAATAAAAGATAATTATGACTGGAGCAAAAAAAGCATAAATAACGCAAAAAATTAAATCTATAAAACTGATCTATTAAATATAAAAAATACAAGATATTAAAAATTCTATGATAATCAAATAACAAATTTTCATGTTTTATGTTTATCTGAATTATATAGGTTTAAATTTCCAAAACGCATTGCAAAAAAGAAAGTTATTTACGAAATATACGTTAAGAAAGTGAAACATCGTTAAATTACATGATTATTATCAAATACATTCAAAAAATGTGAGTTAATATATCAATTCAAATCAATTATTAAAGCATGCCATAAATTAAAACTCACAAAGCATTGACATCTTTGATGAGTGGTTCAAATTTTGGGCCGCCAGGAATGGCAACATTTAACGCTTTTGCTGTGAAAAATGATTTTAAATCAAACAAATAAAAATAGTTATCGTCCACCAAATCAGTCAGCAATTGGTTCGCTAAGCGATACAAAGTAGCCATCATCGGAATACTAAATGCCCAACGCCGATAAGTCGTTCCATTAACAAATCTATAAAATAATCACTAAAACTTTATTATTATTATTGTTAAAACAAAATGATTATAATGATAATGCTTATTCAATTATACCGTGTGGATGCTAAGGGCTTGTGGTCATAAAACCATTCGATCACAGTTCGATCCTCTTCTGGATCGAGTTCCATTTGTATGGGCTCCAATGGCTCTACGTCCAATATATTATCAGCATAATCTAGTGGAGGCTCTTCATCATCGAATGGTGGAAAACGCATACGCTAAAATATTATCGAGGCTAAAATTACGCTAAAATTAAAGTATTAAATTAAAGTAGGCCCAAACCCAATTCCATGAAAAATCGCATTATTAAAGAAATGACCTTAACAGGATCTTTGAAAATAAAAAAAAACCTTAAAATGGCGCCGGTCACGTTTTTCACGCCGCATCATAATCCACATAGTACCCCACTGCGCCATATATACAGGTTCAATTACACGTGGAATTTCGTTGACGAAGGTAATTGCACCCGTAATATGATAAAGTACCTGAATATATCCAAAAATCATTACAAGCATAAGTAAATCCATAATATATATGTGATGTTATAAAATGAAATAGAATGGCAATAATAAACTTGTTTTCATTAAAATAAAAGTTTGTCAAACCTTGCAATCGCGAATTTGTTCCCATGGCATAGGCATATTTTCTAACAATTTCAAAACAGCATGAGGCATATATTTGAGTGCACCAAGGTAAACTCGTTTATCATGGCGATACTTGCGTGAAGTCATATCACCGTGATCTCTTATTATTTTACGAACATGTTCTGAAAAAAATTTTCCTCTGTAGTATAAAAAAATAACCATTGGTCATTTTACATTAAAAAATAATAATCATCAAAAAAATCTCCAACTCCAATTTTTTATAAATTTATAGAATTTATAACTATAAAATGATTATCTGATTTTAAATTTACATATATATTAAATTATTAAATTATTAAATTTACAAATACAACTAAAAATATTTCCAGTCTAAAAATTATAAAAAGATTCTTTATGCGTAGACAGACCAAGATGTATGAGAATGGATAGCCATAAATAAAGGCCCCATCATACAATCTTAGCCAAATCAGAAATGGTGCGTGATAACGGAAGAAATTATAAAAGGACTAAACAATTATATGATTAAAAAACAAACCTGGTGGCATGTCTTCTTTTTGTGAATCAACGAAGCCAAATTTACGCTTTTCCGCATAACGCTTTGATTGTAATTGTTTCCATTTACGCGCTTTCTCTTCTAAAATATTTTCAGGAAGCATCTGATGAGGACTTGCATGATATCCACCTGATTGCTGTTGTTGTGGCTGATTTTGAAAAAAGCTTGCTGCTGCTGCTGTTGTCGCTACCACTGCTGGTGGTGGTGGCAATCCATTTCCAAACGCTGGACTTGTTGCACGATATGTCGCAGACATCGTTACACGAAAAAATTACTACTTCAATTAATTTCTCGCCTTTTATTAATACTTCGTAATTAATTGTTCGCTCATAATTCGCTCTAACCGCCATTCCTAACCGCCCCAGTGGAGAACGAGTCGCCTGAAGGTGTCGCCTCAGAAACTTTGCCGCATCAAACCAAGCCAAAAACGCTGACTGCTTTAAGAAGAAAGAGAAAATTTATAATTTAATATTTGAATTATTATGAAAAGAGAAAGTTTGAGTATTGAGTTTGAGTTCAATGCAAAAAGCATTAATACTAATATTTATTAGAATTCACAAAAAACCCGAAAAATCTTAAAATCCCTTCTTCGAATCCCCGAAAATCCAACCATTGTACATTCAACAACTAAAAACGGCACCAACATCCGCGAATTCAATCTGTAAACAATCTCTCCATTGAAACAATCGTCTTAAGACCAAAACTTATGCGAATTTATTAGCACTATATATAGTTAAATCAGTTTGCTTGTGTGAGTCTGAGTGATATCTTTCACTTCATTTTAAGCCTTGTGGTTGCTTCGACCAAAGAGGCTCCGACTTTGACACTTAACTTCTCAGTGAAGAATTTGTTAGCCATGTAAAAATTCGTTTTTAGTCGACGACAATGAAAAAAACAAGAATATTTCTTCAGGATGATTGTGGTTTAATTTACGGTTGGAGGTTTGGATCAGCGGTTCTTTAATACAGGTTCGGTTGCACGCGAAAACAGCTACCCCGCAACCCCGCAGCCACAGTTGCTTTATGTGCGGGGAATATTATTGTTGGCCTTTAGTTGTAATATTTTTTAGCACTAATAAATTATGTTAGTCGCGATTTCTGCTCTAAAATTAGTCTAATAAGGATCTTGAAATAATTGAACGTATCGAGTATGAAACCATCAATGTCCATCGATTAGTTTGGTAACAAATGTTTAAGCTCGGCGTTCTCGTGTTGCGTCAAACGCAACAGCTAAGAACCAGTGAAAACGCTGAGCCCGCATATTCGATGCTAAATTGGCGATTTAATTCCACGCTCGCATTCAGTCGTAAAATGTCGCTCCTATTTAGCAGACGATTGGTTCGAGCCAATATCGCCAGTTCACAAAAGCTGTGTTAAGTATAGCTGCTTCCAAATGAATGAAGAGATAGCTGCAATCTTTCAATTTTGGAAAAAGTTTTCTTCCTTCTCACCTATTGAATATTATTGAATCGCATTGATGTTTCCGCATGTGACGGTTCACGGCGCACAGTGCTATTGCTGGTGGTCTCACTTGCCATTAGATATCGCTTTGGGTCTCCTACGTGGGCGAGCACATTTATAAATACGGCTGCAAGCCAACGGAAATATTTATAGTAATATGGACAACATAAGAATATAGTTCTGGAGGTCCTTAAGGTTCCTTCCTCACCTACAAATAAATTTCCTTATATTTTGCCTTCGCTTCCTGCTGTGCAGGTCAATCAGCTAAAGTTGTAATGCGGCTTCGACTTCTTTGTATGAAATGCCAAAAAGATTTACAAAAGTTTTAGAGAATACTTTGTCAACTTCAAAAATTTTTCGTTGATTAGTAATTTGCAGTGGCGGTAAATTCTCGATATAACTGCCACAAAGAGTTGCCCGTAATTTTCAAAAGCGGTCTGCCAACTCGACAGTGACACACATTGTTATTTCGAAATTGAAACTCGAGCGTGCACATTCCCTTGTGTGGATTAAATATAAAGCTGATTTGCCCTACAGTTTAAAGTTCAGTGCATTCAATGCGTATGATTTACGTTCAAGTAAGGCTAAAAAACATCTTGCACTGGCTTAGCCAGTCAACTTCAGAATATGCAATCATAAATTAGTATGCGACGTAATGCGCGTGAACTCCCTCCGGAAAAGCCCGAGCTGGCTGCGGTTGAGCATACGTGATCCTCTAAAATTCACTGCCGCTACGATATCTGTAACATTAAATCCCATTTCCCTCTATCCCAAATCCCTTTCCTATTAAGTTTTGCAGCGATATTTCTTTATTTGCGATTGAATTCTTACTTTTACCATTTGTTTAGAAGATGGATGCCATTCCATTTTTTTGATCAATCATCGTTGCAGTTATGCATGTCGCAGTTATTTTCGTTAGCGCACCATCGATCACCATGCGAAAAAGTTTCGTGAATTCCGATTAACGTTTGTATAAACCGCTGAGTAAGCCGTGTTAGCCTTTTGTTTGTACATGCCGCGGGCATTCTATTTTAATAGTTCCTTATGAAATTTCAAAATCTGATGTGACGCCACGAATGCAAATAGCCAATTGGGTAGTGAAATGTTATTTCTGCTCGGCAAAGGTTTGACAAATTGGAGATTTGCCTTTATGTGATTCGAAATATCAAAAATTTGCATTTGTACTGTCACACGATTGAGAACCGCTTCAGTCGCTTCAAACATTGCATAAAGTAGGGACGTTTTTTTGCCCCTGAAAAAGGCCTCGTAACTTAGTTAAATGCCATTTTAAATTAAATGGAATGCTTTGTTGAGGAGTTGTGCATGAAGCAGGAAATGAAACAATTCCTACGTACTTAACTCGCCAGAATAGTTTTGTTGAAATCTGAATATTTGCTTTCAAACTGAAAAATTCTATTTTCGTTCCAACACTTCGGTTGTGAAATAAAATACTGTATTGCCTTCTTATTGTCTTCTTTCCTTCTTTCCGCCCGGTCAGCTCAAAAAATTCCTCGCTACTCTTCGATTTTGGTTTCGCAAACACGGAAAGATATGAACAGTTTTTTCTTTATGAAAGCAAATTAAAGAGTAAGAAAAAATACCAAATAAAAAATTTAAAATAAAATAAAAATAAAATAAAAAATCGAAAAAAATTTGAAATATAATTTGAAATATAATATTGAAAAATTAAAAATCTGGAGAGGAATAAGAGCAAAACTTTTGTTTCAAAGGCATATGGCCTAGAAGCCGTAGAAGTTGTGCACTACTGATCGCGTAAAAAGATGTCCTACGGATATACAGAATTCTTGGCATTGCCTCGAATCTGTCAATCCTCGGACCCTAATGTATTGCTATTATATTTGCCAATTCCTCACAAATCTCCCTCCACACCTCACTAGAGGAATGGATGAGTTGTTTATCATTTCGGGGCGTAAATTCTTCAAATTCTTCAGCTCAAATCCTCTCAAAAATAAATCTGCTTCAAAAATCCAGTCGTGTATTTCTATCACTGATTGATTCCATGGCAAAATTTAAGTAATGCAACAAGCACAAGCCCGCGGACCTAAATAGATCAACTAAACTAATATTGCTTTCCATAATCTATTTTATCTAATGGATCTCCCACAATTCTTGAAATAGACAAATTAAATTCGAAACAAAGAAATAACATCGCAAAATAATTTTATTTATGAATTAAAATTATAAATGAAATGATATAATAATGAATCAGTATTGCATTTACACATAAATAATGAATAAAATTTTCTTAAGACACAAAAATTTATTAAAAAAACAAGTGACCCAAATGAGCATCAATCACCAGAAATCACCGAAACAAAAAAAAATTATTTTTTTTAATTATAATTATGTAAATAATTATTTTAAATAATTTTTACACCGAAACCAATTAAAAATATAATAAAGAAATAAATGGTAATCGCAGGAAAGCCCTTTTAATAATAATAAATAATAATAAAAAGTTTTAGTAAAAAAAATAATTAAACAATTTGAGTAACAATATTTGATCGCTGAATAGTATTCGAAGTTGATAATGTATCATTATCACTAAAAAACTTTTGTAAATCATGAACCTTGGAATCGACACGATTCATTGAATGAATTAATCGATTTCTATGAATAAGGCATGAAAATATTGTAAATATTATTACCACTGGCACTAAAAAAGCAATTCATTAAATAAATTTTTCTATATAAAATTTTTAAATCAAATTTAAATTATTAACTAAATCATTTAATTTTTAAGAGCCTTTTTAAAATTTTTCTTTTAATTATGATATGATTGCTAAAAATCGCAAACTGCCTTGACTGAAGTCAAAATGGATTTTATTTGAGTTTTTAGATGACAACAAATCTTTCATTTAAAAATGAGGGCTAGTCAAAACTTGTTGCATTTCCATCTTTAAATGATCTTTCCAGTCCATAGAGGTAGCAAAATTAGAAACTGCGTTATTTGTTCGAAGAATTATATTTGAATAGTGAATAATATCTGTGTATGGATGGTAGAGTTGCCCACAAATCTCTATCATTAAATAATTCTCCGCCTAAAGCAGGAGTTTTTTCTTGTATTGACTCCCTACAAAAAAATAGACTTTTCAATCGAATCCCTTAATTTGTTAAGCTATGCTATAAAAAATATGATGGTAAGAACTCTTCTTGAAATATTTGCTGTATTTTTTACCAAAAAATTTTTATTTAAAATTTAAAAAAAATATAAGTTTTCCATCTTTCCCAAATCAATCTCTAATAACGTTTCCTCCACCACAAGGAGATTTTCATTGATCCCAATGAATCAGCAACATCCAATAAAAATAAGTATGACTAATTTTTTCTATTTTCTATTCACGATCCGTAAATTTAAAAAAATTACTTTCATTAAAAAAAACCTAATAAAGCAGTGGAAACATAAGCTGCTAATACAAAATCAACAGCATGAAATTTAACAAAAAATATTACACCAATTTCAATGAGAAATAACATTAAACCAATACAAGTGCTGAATATCCATGATAAATCGATATAAAATCTAAAATTAGTTTACAAATAATTTATTTAAAAATTAAAAATAAAAAAGCATTGCGAAAGCATAAATAAAATTATAAATAATAATAAATTATAAATAAAAATTTTTCGAAATTAATTAAAGCAATCAAAAGCAAAAAACAAAAGAAAATAATTAAACGAAACCATATTAAAGTTCAATATTAAATGGGAAAAAATAACAAACTTTAATCGTATATGTGGTGAATCCTGTGAGCATCCATTTGCTTCGATATAGGGCAAAATACAAGTCGACATCATAAGAGCAAGTAAATGAACAGATACAAGCAGTGTCGTTACAACTGCCAATGTTATTAAAAGATAATGAGGCGTCGTTGATTCATACTGCAATTCGACTAAAGCAACCTGAAATCAAAAAAAAATTTTGACCGAAGCTTAATGTAATAATAAATTATTTAAATTATTGAATTTCATTAGTTGATAAAAATTATAAATTAGAAAATAAAGTGACTTTTGAAAAATGAATAAATACCATGGCAAAACCAGCCAGAAGAGCTGACGTCCTTGAACTCGCTTTAAGCTGTGCTCGACTTAAATCATAACGATATTTTTCGAAAATCGATAATTCTCCACGATGTCTAAAAATAAATTTGATTTTTTAAATAGCAAATATACATCGATAAAATCTAATTTTATTTCAGATGCTGATGTATGATAAGATAAAACTAGTCAAATTTATGGATAAAAATAATTGAAAGACTCGGTATTTATTTGGAAAAATCAAAAAAAAAACTCTTTGTGAAGTGACGAAAAAAACGGATAATTTATTGCTGCCTGTGGTTGCACTGGATCATAAGGTGGTACTGAAAAAATAAAACTGGAACAATATTTAATATATCATTATACATTTAATATATCATTATATTTCGCTGACAGCAGCAAACCCACCATTAAACCAGATGCATGCTAAAGGTGCCTCTATTCATAAATTATTATCTATAAAAGACCTCACCCCAGCACCAGCAAACCCAGAAAATGTCTGTGCCGCTAAAACACGAAAGAATTTAATTAAAAAGGATTAAAGAAGGAAAGTACCTGTTTGCATGGAACTATCTTGTGGCAATATTAGATGTTGCTGATTCATTAAGTAATTCGGTGATGATATATTTTCATTACTAATCATTGCTTTAATGAAAATAATATTATAAAAATGAATAAAGAAAAAATAAATGAATGAAAAAAACAAGAAATAAAAAATATTATCAAATATATATTATAAAAATAAAAATATTATCAATATTATAAATATTATCAAAAATCTGCCTTAAAATAATAAATTGCATAAAAACAGGAAAAGAAAAAGAAAGTTCGCATGTATCTTGCCGCTGCCCATATAAAATAAGATAGCGAAATATGGAAAAAGAAAGTGGAAGATTTCATGAAGAGACCTTCATATCCTTTTACCACTATTGCTCAAGTTAGATTATACTCGTTAAATGGAATTAAACAGAAATTTCATATTATTGAGTCCTCCTTCATGCTAACCGCAATCATAAATGATATATCACCGATTTCCATGCCGGTTAGACTGCGTTCTCCATCGCTCAATATGTCATGCATATCACATGCCTTTCCGAATAGCGCCAAAAGGAAAATTCTAAGCAAGACTGAAACGATTAGACAAGATTTTGAAAACATAGGCAGCACAGCGATATATGTGATAAAGTGGGAAAAAACGATGGTTTCTATAAGAAATTCGGATGTGGTATGGGAGGCTTAGAAACGCCTCGCTCTTTTAGGCAATATTGTAGGCGCTTAATCAGTAACTATCCGTACTGTTAGAAGAAAGAAATCAAAATGACCTATAAAAATACTATTGGTATATTTATAAAAATATTATATTTACCAAATATTTTAAACAATAACTTTTAGGTTTATTTGTCTGAAATAAATTCGGTAAAATTCGATGAGTTTTAAATCGAAAAATATTAATCAAAATATGCTATTGAAAAACAATAAAAATAATAATTGTTTGGTGAAATAAAAATAATTTCAAAATAGTGACAAAAATTAAAAATGAATTCTAAAAATACTTACTAATATTTATCATTTACAATATTTATAATAAATAATTTTGCAAACGATATTTAAAAATATTTATTAGTTCAAAGAATTATGGAAAAGCAACAAACAAACCAATAATGCTATTAGAACTCGACGAATTTAAATCGGATAAATTTAATGATTCAGTAGTCTTTTTTGCCATTTTGTTATTATACAAAGTTCCACATAATGGTTTACCTGCAATTCAAATTTATGAATCGTTTCCCCTACTTTTAAATTAATGAAAAAAACTTTATTTATTAAATAATTAGAGAAAAAGAAAAATGAAGACATTGGTGCCTCAAAAATTATTTTTATTTTCTTTTTCTCACTATTTTTTATAATAATTGCTTATAATAATTATAATAATAATAATTATAATCCTAAAGACTTAATAATAAACAAGGATATAATAAATAATAAACAAGGATTTTTTAAAATAAAACTGGTGCAAACAAGGAATAAACAAGGATTTTTAAATAATAAACAAGGATTTTTTAAAATAAAACTGGTGCAAAAACGAAAAATCAAAGTGGCAAAATTAAAATGAAAATCATCGTAATCATCGTATTATTACTATTATGATTACTATTATTATTATTATTGTTATTTAAAATATAAATCCTCGACCCATTTTAGTCAATTTTTTTACTTTTTTTACTTTTTATTAATTATAATGTTTATAATATTTATTATCATTTCAAATAAATACGAATGAATTTAATGAACACTTCGATAAAACCATTTACTCACAAATTACACCAATAACAAACGAGAGAAAATAGCACGAAAAATAAAAAAAATAATAAACGACATGTATTCTGAGTTTTTGTTTTTTGGAAAAATCGGCTTAAGAAATCCGCAAGATATTGCTGCGAGAGGGGAATAGAAAAAAAAGGGAGGTAGGGGAGGAAAGCGAGTAACGAGGGGTATTCTTTGGGATTTCGTTGGTGCACTAAACCAACAGCTTTATGGAATTGTTTACTTAAAGAAAGCAAATAAATAAAAGGAAGCAAATGAAAAAATGAACAAACCATTCGAAGCACTAAAAATAGGAAATTTAACTGTTTTTATTGGTTTATGTATCGCATCCGTTTTTAGCATTTTCTGGAATTTTTAGTTATTCCTTTAAATCATAAAAAATGTATTTATTTGTCGAATCAATAAGAAAAGTACTGATCGCCGCTCATTTCATACTTTTAAGGACAAACACTACCGCTTTTCAAGTTGAGAGCCACATCGATGCGAAACATGAAGTATTGTGGAAATATCTATCCTGGCTAAGGAATTCTCCTCTCCACTGCTTGCAGTCATCTGAAGTGGTTATGCAGCTCATGAATAATGACTCAAAAACTTATCTCGGATAGTGGAGCTGTCAAACTTTTCTTCCCAGACCCGTCGCTGATGCTATGAAAATCTGTGAATTCCCGTGCCAGCTCTTCAAGTTTCAAGATTTTGAAAAATTTGTTAAAATAAATTTTTCCACTAAAGAGATTTCGAATAAATATAATAAACTACGTAGAATATTCATTAACAATGTCATTCAAATGAAATAAAAATAGGTGTTGGAATTAAACTCCTAAGCAGCCCTTTGGAGTCACCACAGACCGGAGGTGACCCGATTTTGGGGGCCAACTTGAGGGCCATCGACCTAGGTCAATAAACAATTAAATCTCTTAAAAAAACAAAAGTATTTTTTGGAAATAGAAAATTTTAAAATATTCAAATACAAAAGAAAGGTTAACAAACTTTTTGTGGCGAACGGGAAAAGATGAATGAGTGTTTTCGAACAAAATAATTTTTGGTAAATTCAACGGCAGAGCAGTTAATAATGAAAAATTTTTTTATTTTCAATGTGTAAAAATTTGGAAAACAATTTATTAAAATTAAAATTTTGGAATTAAAGTGAAATTAAAAAATGAAATTATGTAATAAAGTAAAATTAAAAAAGGAAAGAAATTATAAAATAAAATGAAATGAAAAATGAAACTAAATTTTATCGAAATTAACAAAGCTCGAAAAAAATTTTTTAAAATTTGTTTGAATTTAAATAATATAAAATTTAAAAGAATTAATTTTTAAAAAACATGTTTTTGTATTATTTAAAAGAGTTTATTTATACCATTTTTTCGCTGTTAAAAAATATCTCAATTAAAAAAAGATTAAATAAAAAATAAAATTTCTGCAAATTATGAAATATAAATAAGAAAATTCTATTCATAATATAGACAATGAAAATATTATTTGTAATGCATGAAAAAAAATACGTATATATAAAAATATATAAATATATAAAAGTAGAAAATAAAAAAAATTAGGAATAAATGTACATAACTAGATATTTGTCAGAGGCTCTCACCTGGACTGGGTAACACAAGTCTTCCATAAGCAAACTGTACTGTGATGTGAACTGGAGAAGTGTGGCAAGTCGTAAAGAAAGGAAAAGCAGTTAAGAGGTGTGGGACTATCAGAGGTGCATATAGCAGATTAGTTACAAATATCTCAATATTCCAAAGTCATCATGTAAGGAGGAAAACAACAATATAAAATACCAGCAAAAAATAAGATGAATCCAGTAGAGATGGCTAAATGGGAAAAACAAGACCCACACCACAAAGATATTTCCGTGCCAGTAATCAGATAGCCGGTGCAGTGAAATCCAAAGGAAGACACGGAAATCGCCGATGTGAAGACTTGGAAATTCCGCACGCAATGAGATTTCCAAAGGAAGACACGAAGACCACTGATGTGAAGACTAGGAAATTCCGCATGGAAGTTTTCATTCCAAGTCTAACAAATAAAGGAACATGTGAGGCTTGGTAAGTATCAAAATCACTTCTTGAAAAAACGCGAATAGATAGTAAAAGTGGTTGATATTGGTCATTAAAAGCTGAGCTAAAAGACAGCACGAAGTAGGTAGTAAGAGCAATGATCTACCACATCGAACACGACTCAAGATATGACTGATGCAGAAAAGCCTCAGAGACTGTCCAGTACATAGCGGCAAGATGTAGATAGGAACGTAGACTGAAAGCACAGCCGAATAGCTGGCATTGTGCACAAGAATAATTGAAGAAAAACCCTCCTAAGACTAGATTTCCTCGAAATTTTTGGAGAATAGTAAAGCGAAGACCCTGTGGGACTTCTCCATCCAGATAGACAAATAAACATTGACCAATAAACCAGATACCGTGGTAATAGACAGGAACCAAGAATCAGTACTGGTAATAGACATAGCAATTCCAAGTGGCGCGAACAGCAAGAAGAAGAAATATGAGAAGATAGGGGCTGAAAGAGGGACTAGAGAGGTTGTGAAATCGAAGAGCGAAGTCGCCGACTCCAGTCGCAGTGATGTGATGGTAGAGCAGTAAGAGCTGTGAAACTGGAACATCCTCTTTCCAGACGAACAGCTAAGGTATAGCGCCAAACGCTCAAATTCCCAGTCTCTCGCTAAGTTGCACGATGAGACCGCATTCGGACAGCCAAATGGCTCTCGCCTAGACTAGTTTGAATTCCAAGTACCACAGTTCAGTTCCCGCTTCCCACCATCGAATTATTAAAATCGCTTCTTGCAGTTCAGCCGAATCGTTGAATGGCTTCTTACTAATTGTACGGATAAATCGCTTAATCACATGCGTTTTCATTCTGCAAACTTTCATAGGAACTTTTCTTCGTTCGCTTTGAAAACTCCCCACAGCCACGCCGCTTTCGTTATCATTTCTAAATTTGTTATCGCTTCTGAAAAAAATAAACAAGTTTTGGCGCGCCATTTAAAATTTGCGTTGGTCTCGAAGCGATAATTTTCTTTCGGTACTTTTAATTTATCTTTTCGCTACACTTTATAAAATTTCGCTTGATTCGTATTTATTTTGGCGTCTCATGTGCGCATTCCTTGCTTTTTGTCGTTTGTTGCTCCGCGAATCGCCAAAAGTTTTTGTGATTTTTCTACTTCCGTTTCGTATATTTTCTTATTTTCGTAATCAAATATAATCATTTAAATTCTGCGAAGATCAGAAAGAAAGGTTTTCATTAAGAAAAACTGTGGGTTATTTGTTTAATCGAAATGCAAAACTGAATGTTTAGTTGCGCCATTCGTGATTTGCGATTGCCTTCACTAGCGGTTAGGGCCGTGCGGAAGTGCCGTTTGCGCAGCGTCGGCGGGGGTGTCGACATTGTGCGTGCGTGCGTGCGCGTAGCTCGAACGTAACTCGCGATTCGCTGAGATATTGGGTTAAGCGGATATTAAATCCGCTGCTTTAGACTGCCAGCGGTGAAAGCAGCGTTAATATATGAGATTCAATGGTAATTATTTATTTTAACGCGGAAGAGAAGATCAATTCATAATCATTGCTTCTATTTCAAATTAAGAAACAAACCTGTTGGCTTTTCAAGTGTCGATTTCCCAGCGAATGCCACGGACTAATTAAAGCCACTTGTGGACCCATTAAATTCAACTATCGGTCAATATTCAATAATTTAATTCGTTTTGACCAAATAAAAATTCAATTTTTAGTCAGAAAATAGAATCTAACTTTAAATTTAGTTTTTTTTTATTAGTGTTTCAATAAATTCATCAAATTTTTTGAGCTTTTTCGAGATACTTTTGCAATTTCATATAAATAAATAATTGCTGCTGTGGTGACCTCGATAATTGGTAAATATCGGAGACCGATGCATCAATGGGGAATGCTTTCTTCGCTATGTCGAAGAACGTGAACTTTTTGTTACTAATACTTGCTTCTGGCGTCGTAGAAGACTTCTCGTCACGAGGAATAACCAACATTTCAACCAGATTAATTATAGCACATTCAGTGCCCTTGGAAGTTCCGTTTTAAATAGTTATTTCTATAGCGGCAGTGAAACGCACAATCTTCATGGACCATCTTGTGGTTGAGTCAAGATCCGCATAAAACTGATGATTCGCAAGAAATAACATTCTCTAAAACCTGTTAACTATCTCAAACTAAAAAATTCGAGGACAGTGAGCGCATTTCAGACCGAATTGTTGAAACACCTCAATGGTATAAATATCGATGATTTTTCTGGAACGGCAAACGAATACTGATTTAAACTAAAGGAATGTCTCCGAAAGCTGCTGCTTCTTTGTTATTGCATTAGTAACATATCGGAAGCAACTATACAACTGTCAAGGAATGACTATCTGCAGATCTTGATATTCGGACGCTTCTGAAGATTACAACGACAGCACCAAGGCGGGAATATTGCAGCGACATGGCCTTGAGAATGCAGATGACGGCTCGATTAGGTGATAATAGAAAACTATTTCACCTTCTTCGTAAAGCAACTTTAACTTGGAGAAGGACTGAGAGTTTTTAGAAGAAATTAAATAAATATGAACGTTGGTTATGTGTTGAAATGCATGAAACAAAATTTTTGGGATAGTTTTCATAGCTTTTAAAAAGTTTGTTGGTGATAATGTGTAGGAGGAGTTCGAATTTTATCGGCGTCACTGCTTCAGTTTTCATCTTTTGCTTTTTTCGATTAGATTTATTAACAAAATTTGTAACATTTTAGCAAAATTATTGATATTAATATTGAAATTTTTTTTCAAGGAATTTAGTCCTATAATTTAAGAAATAATTTTTCATTTATGCACCATTTATATATTTTTTTTTATCTTGCTGATTTTCATTTCAGTTGAATGTGGGTCACTAATAGTTTTACTAACTGAAAATTAACAATTAACAATGTATATTAAAGAGGTAAATTTTTTAAGATGTTTTTTCTTATTTATTACCTTATTTAATAAAGAAATAATTTTTTTAATTCGTTTCTCAATAGACAATAGCAAAAAAATATTTTTTTCCATTTTTTTTGATTAAATTATCTTTATAACTTTTCTTTTATCTCCTTTTTCTTTCTTTTCGGAGAATTTTTTTTGGAAAAAAATTGTGAAGAATTGAAAAAATGAAAAAATTAATCGTTATGAATAATTGAAGGAGCATAATTAATAGAAAACAGGAATTGCAATTTTTGTAATTATAATTATATAATATAATATAATAGAAATTTTAGTTGTATAATTAATAATAATAATAATTGTTAATGTTAAATGTTGTTTATAGGTAAACATTAGTGGTTTTCGAAGTTATCGTGAAACCACTGTTAATGATTTCTCACCCAGGCATAATGTTGTTGTTGGTCGAAATGGTAGTGGAAAAAGCAACTTCTTTTTTGGTGAATTTTTTTCTGTTTTTTTGTTTTTCTTGCATTCAATGTTTCTTTTTTTAAAATTTGTGGTTTAATAACGTAGAACTTATTTGATATTTTGAGCTTTTTCCATCAGTCTGTACTATTTCTAGCTTAGCTCTGCACTGACGATGAGGATAAGACGTTTCCAAACCTCCCGATCCAATGCCAATCCTGAAAGTAATATTCCTTTTTTCACCGTCTAATCCTATATATTGCTGGGCAGCACATTCAAATTCCTCTGATATATCTCGTTCCAGGTCTTGATTGGTCCTCCATGTTTCACAGGGCTTATGCTTATTGTGCCAAAATTTGCAAATTCAATAAGATTATTTTTTTCCAGCTATACAATTTGTTCTTTCGGATGAATTCAGTCACTTAAGAATGGAACAGCGTCAAGGGCTTATACATGAAGGCACAGGCGAACGTGTTACCACTGCTAGTGTTGAGATCGTTTTTGATAATTCGGATCATCGCATTGTTGCTGTATTTATTTGTTTTCTTTTCATCCATTCATTATTCGATGTTTATTGAAATAAAAAGAGAAATTTATCAACTCGTTTTTTGTTAGTTGTATGATGGAGACTTTTTTATATTAATTTCCAGGTTGAAGGGAATGAAGTGCGTGTATTGCGTCGTGTTAGTTTAAAAAAGGATCAGTATTTTATCGATTCAAAAATGGTCACCCGAAGTGATGTCAGTTTTTATTTGTAACTCATGCGATTTAAAACATTTCTTTTATTTGATTAACAAAATTTAGGTAGCAAATTTAATGGAATCAGCAGGTTTTTCACGTTCAAACCCGTATCATATTGTGAAACAGGGGAAAATTAATGAGCTCGCTACTTCTCCAGATTCTCATCGTCTTAAGTTGCTTAGAGAGGTATCTTTGACTTGTTTTTTTTCTAAAGTTATTATTCTCTTAAACTTTTTTTTGTTACATTGTTTCTTATGTTTTTTATGTTGAATTTTAGGTCGCTGGGACAAGAGTTTATGACGAGAGAAAAGAAGAAAGTATGAAAATTTTGCGTGAAACAAGTAAGTTGTCTTAATTTTGTGTTATATTATCCTTATCCTTTGGTTTTAATGATATTTTGTTTTTTAATTTCCTCCTTTTTATGCGTTGTTTTTTGTTTATGTCGACTAGTTTTATGGAATATGGAAGATTTTCGTATGTTGGAAAATTTTGTTTTCCAATTTTTAATTGCCAGATTGATAAAATATGAAAATCGTCGCGAAAAAATATTTATTGAAATAATTTGCTGGAAGGATGTCTTATAAATTCTTTCGAAATTCTTTTCTGTTGTTTTTCAATATATTACTAGTCGCCACCAAGATAAGGTATATTGGTCGATCGTGTGATAAAACTAAATTCTTTTATTATACAACTAAACCATGAGATATTAAGGAAAACAAAGATAAATGTCATTTGAAGCCCAAGTTTATCCAAAAAACCAAATTTTTTAACGATAATCAAAATTATTTTCATAAAGATATAATCATTTACGTTTATCATTCTGTTGAATAGTTAAAAATAGGTTAAAATAAATGGAAGATAGAATGTCAACTAACCAATTCGTCTGAATAGATTTTTAAAACTGAAACTTCTGAACCAAAATGAACTGTAGATGCAAAAAGCGAAAAGATAGAAGCCTTACTGACTTACATAGAAGAACGTTTAAAGACTTTGGAAGAAGAGAAGGAAGATCTAAAAGAATATCAAAAGTGGGACAAAGTGAAAAGGTAATCAAGTTTTTTCATCCAGAATTTTCTTTTCAAAGTTTTTTTCTAATTTAAAAATCTAAAATATTTATTTAAGATCGATTGAATATATGATTTATGATAATGAACTCAAAGAAGCCAGGAAAAAATTGGATAAACTGGCTGAGCAGAGGGAAGAATTAAACACACGACAAGGCAAGGTGTGTGCTTTTTCTTTGTAGTTTTCATTTATTTGATTCAAGATATCTCATTCTATTATTTTATTCATTTTTAGGTCACAAATGATTTATTAACTGCTCAGAATCGATCTCTTAAAGCATCAGCTGATCAAAGAAGACTTGAAGCTCGTTTTAAAGGCATGAGAGAAGAAAAAGAAGCATTATTATCTGAACAGACTGAACGATTTCAGAAAAAGACCGAACTTGAATTATTAATTAAGGATCTTCGCGAAGATGTGGAAAAAGAACGTTCAGGAAGAGTAAGTTGCAATTTTAATACGTGCCATTAAATTTTTTTTAATATGATGTTTGTATTTGACTTCGCATACTTCTTCGCATATTTTTTTTTATTCTTCGCATATTTCAACAACTTTAATGACTTGTTCATAACTTGATTTGTAACATATTTTATACGACAATTTACTCTTACCATATTAAGATTCATGAAATTTTGTTAAGAATATGGCGGAAGATGTGCTTAATAAACTAAAGGCAGATATTGCTGCTAAAGAAGAAGAATTTAAAGAAATCGTACCGAAGTATGAATCATTAACAGAAGACGCTGCGAAATTGAACACAGAGTATAATAAATTTTGGAATTTATTTTTTTCGTTTTATTTAAATTTTAACTTAAGTATTTTTCGTAAGATCCTTCATATATTTTCAATTTTTCATTTCTACTTTCTTCTACTTTCTTATTTTCTACATATCTAAAATTGAAAGAGTCGATTACCATATATTTTTATAATTTAAGTCAGAAATGTAAGTCTAGATAAAAATCTAGATTAAAATGCGTTTCATTCATTCATTTGTAGCATTCGAATTTTGGATCAGAGATGTAAAGAATTTTATGCAAAACAAGGTTATCGAGATCAATATAAAACAATTGAAGAGCGAGATAAGGTTTGCTTCACTTACTTTATCAGATTTAATATATTTTGTGCTACATATTTTGTCAAATTTTAGGCATTAACAAAAGAAATTCGTTTCTATGACAGACAACTAACCGGAATACGGGATCAGATCGCTGAAATAAAGCAAAATTTGGAAGAAGAAGAACAAGAGGAGCAACAACTTCATATCAAAATTATGGTTACTTTTACGCTGTTTGTTAATTGATTTTTACGTGATGTAGACTCAGTAGTGATTAGCCAATTTTAGGAACTTGATATTCACGCAGAAGAATGTGTTGACCGGATGTCGAAGTTAAATCAAGAAATGGCTGAGCTGCGTCGACGTCTTGATCAAGCCATTATTCTCCAACAGTATATTTTTTATTTAATTTATGGATTTAAGATTTTTTTGCTAAGTATGTATTGAAATTTCTAGGGAAGCATCGAGAGATGAAAAAAATGTTCGAGATAATTTGGAAGCAATAAAAATCGATGTTTTACAAGCCGAGCAGGATTTGAGACGGCTCATTCCTCGAGTAATTTTTTAATTTTTATCTCTTTCATTAGAATTGTTTTTTTTTTGAATTTCCTTAAATATATTTTCTATCAAAATTTATCGAAATTATTAATTTAGGAAAATAAAAGCTTTGGCAAAATAAATTAAAAACTTTTAGCTTTTCTATTCCGCTTTGATTTATTTTCTTAAAACAAATGATACAAACTATACAAATGTTCCATTATTTATTTCTTTTTTTTTGCTTTCTATAAATAAAATTTAAATTTATTTCATGGAAAATGAAAATTTTAGTTTGTAATGAGTGGTGTGGATAGTGTTCGGAAGGTTTTACAACATTTTCGAGATAATAACCATAACGGCCAATATAATTCAATTCTAAACGGATATCGAGGTAAGCGAATGCTTTTTTTGTGCTTTTTGAGATTTTTATTTTAATGTAGATTTTTATTTATTTGATTATTTATTTTGAGATTTTTATATATGAGATATTAATATTTTTATTTCATTTCTAATTTCTCTTGGGTTTTAACAAATAATTTGAATTATATGGTTTTCATTAATTAGCTTGTTTTTCAAACATTTTTCAGGCATCGTGATTGATTTATTCGGTTGTGATTCTATATATTATCAAGCTGTTGAAGTAACGACTGGTAATCGATTATTTTATCACGTTGTGGATGATGATCGCATTGCCATGAAAATTATAAAAGAAGTATGCCTTTTTGGTTTTTTGCATTTTTTTATTTCATATCTCTGTTATATTTCATATACTAACTGTTTATAATTGCTCTCCACTTTAACTGTTATTTTATAGGTTAATGCCCAAAAATTGATGGGTGAAGTAAACTTTTTCCCTCTAAATCGCATAATTGCTTCTCAAAAGCGAAAAACGAGTGATCCAGTTTGTTACCAAATTTTTTCTTACTGTGCAATAATTTTGTTTTTTTTATGGTGATTTTATTTTAGTGGAGAAAAAGTAAATGAATGGAACAGAAAAGGGATTTTTTTCGTCAAATTTTTGTCGATACTGGCATTATTTAAATTAACTTCTTATATATTATGTAGTGCAATGTTATTTTTGTTGTAGGATGCTCGTCCTATCTTGGATAGTTTAGTGTATGATGAAGCATATGATGTAGTTTTTACGCATATTTTTGGTGGTACGGCCATCGTTCGTAATATGTTGGCTGGAACTCGATTGGCGAAAAAAGAAGGATTTGATTGCGTAACATTTGAAGGTTAGTATGAGTGTTATGAGCATAAGAATCAGATTCTAAAATGAGTTATCTCATAACACATATCACTAGGTTCACTAGATAAAAAAATAATCTGATTAAACTCGCATATCGCTATTATGCCATCTTCAAAATCTAAAATCTGCTTTGCCCTTATTTACATTTTGTTTTGGGCCAATTTTCTCGCTATAATTCACAAGGCTTGCAAAGATACATGCGTCAGTTCGTGCGATTGATAATAAATGACATGATCTAGTCATAATAGCACTCTTTTACGATACTATTAATGTAGATGGCATTATGCTATAATCGACGTATTCGTATGAGACTCGCCGCATTCATAAAATGTACCGTAGGAAAAAGAATCGCAGCTCTACAGTTAAATTGTCTATGATGCTGCGAAACAAATATGTATTTACGTTTTGATGTTGATGTTTCACAGATCTTCCACAAAGAAGAAAATATTTCTAATTGCAATTGCAATTAGCTGGAATTTTTTCTTACTCTCTGGAAATTGATTTTTTGCTGCATTTATATACTACCATCTTTTTTAATCATCTGTTGGCGGCAGTAATATCAGCGTTTTTTAGATTCTTAATGCTATTTTTCTTTTTAATATGACTAATATGCATACCGTTTGAATATCATTATACAGTTATTTACATGTGAATCTAAAATATATAATAATATATAATAAATATATAAATATATATAATCTAAAATATATATATTATTGTTCATTTATTATTGTTATATTATTAATATATATATTAATATATATATTATTGTTCAATAAATATATTATTGTTCATTTATTCATTTTCTTCTCCCATTACTGCTTAGGATGGCTATGCTGACTAACAAAGGTCAGGGTCTCCAAGATCAAAGGTCCATCGCTAATAGTAATAGAAGCCATTCCTTTTTCCATCGTCTAAGTCCATATATCGCTGGTCCCTCCATACTTTCGAAATCTTTCCTAATTGTATCAGTCCAAGTCTTGATTGGCCCCCTCGCTGACGCCAACCATTACAAGGTTCGGCAAATAACGAACTGTGTTAATTCTTGTGGTGGACGGAAAATGTCCTAACCAACGAAGGCGACGCTCTAATGTATACCATCATGTGCAGTTTTATCCGCTCGACTGATTCGTAAAGTATATCTTAGACATGTGTGGTCAAAAACTGGTAGCTTCTTAATGTCTTCCACTCTTATTGGCCATGTAGCAAGATCGAACGAATTGCAGCCATATGGACGCGGGTTTTCATCTTTATGGTGACAGTTCCATAAAGAAAAAAATATTTCTAGCTATCGTCATCCGGGTTACTATTTCATCCTTTGCCTGACCATTTGGAATTAAGGTGGATCCAAGATATTTAAAATCCAGCATTTCCTCAACCGGCTATGATTTGATGAAAATATCAGCATTTTGTATGTAAGTCGAAAACATTCGTTTTTATTTATATTGATTTTGATTCCAATCCTCGCAGTTGTTGGCACATTGTTTAACATTATTTGCATTTCATTATAACTATCAGCAAAACGGACTACATCATCAGCGTATTCAAGATCTGTGATGCTATGTTTCTAGACTGATTTCTAGACTCATTTGTACCTCTGATTTCTAGACTGATTTGTACCTCCGGATTTTTTATCCTTTCTATTGTATACTGAATATTATAAGAGAAAATATGCAGCCTTGACCAGTTCTTATTTCGAAGGAGTCTAACAGATCCTCATATACAGACCTTGCCAGGGTATGCTGATAAAATGCCTTTATGAGCCAAATGATCTCCTCCGGGACGCCGTCGCATTCCATCACTTTCCAGAGCGCTGCTCTATCAATCGGATCGAAGGAAGAATTAGCGAATTGAAAATAGAAAGCACACAGTCTGCAAAATCAATAAAGGAAATGACGGTGGGTTGCTGTCAGCTTAGGACACATTCTGCTATCTCGTGTTGCCATAAGTCTATTTAGCAGGAGGAAAGCGAAAAATTTACCGGAGGTATCCAGTAGACTGATTCCTCTGTGCACCCCATTAATATTCTGTATCATTTTACTGACTCTTTCTCGAGTTATTCATTTATTAGTTTTAGGAGATCAAATAAGTAGACGTGGAGAAATGACTGGAGGTTACTTGGATGCCAAAAAGTCACGTATGGAATTGCATTCAACAGTATGTCAACTGATGGAACAAAAGGCAATTATCGAAGTATTTATCATTATACTTGTTAAAATATTGATATTGAATTTAAAAATTTGCATTTTTATCTCATTTACCTTAATTTTATTTATTTAAACTTTAAATAGCTCTATAGCTCTCATTCGAAAGATGAAGTTCTTTGTTTTTTCTAATTTATTTAATCGATCTTTAATAATTCATCTGTTTTCCTTGCAGCAAGCGTTGAGAGAAGCAACATCTAAAAATAATGAAAGGACTACAACAGTTGAAAAAATTCGTATGGAAGGAGAAAGCTTGGAGCAAGCAGTTGCCGCATTGAAGTAAATTTTTTGTTTATTTTTTCAAATCACCTTTTAAATCACTTATAAGAACTTATTCTTCTGATATAATTCTATCAATTTAGAGACGAACATAGGACCGCCTCTGAAAAAAAGCGTTATCTGTCCCAACAATTACAGCAAATTATGAAGAATAAGGAACCAAAAGTTCGTTTAAAATCGATCTCATTAGGAAAATTTCGTTTTTTAATTTCTAAGCTTTTTTTTAAAAAAAATTGAGTTATTAAAAATATTAAATGGCAGTTAATATAACATTTAATTCATCCAAAAACTTTTGCATACATTTACTTGTCTTTTTTTATAGATGGGTCAATGCGTAATTTTAAAAAATCGAATTCGTGAGATGGAAGCAAACAAAGAAGGATTACAACGGCAGCTAGAAACACCGCTTCATTCACAGTTAAGCGAAGAAGAGCAGGCAGTGCTCAACAATTTGCAGGTTTGTTTTTAAGAATTTATAAGTTTTTTAGAAATGGTATTTATAAATGGAATAGTGAGATAAATATTTTTGAATGCAACGAGAAAAATGAATGCGAAGATCGGTGGTAATATAGGTTAAATGATAGATTATTTTTCTCGAAAAAATTGATCTGATGAAAGAATTCATCTTTGATTTTGTTTATTTCTTTTGAGAAATTTATTAAGAAGAAAAATAAAAGTTAGCAATATATATCGATCGTTCAGATTTTAGCTGATTTTAATCCTCTTTCAGGAAGAAATTAAACAGAAAAAAGTTCGGTTGGAAATTGTGAATCGAGAGAGAACTGATATAGAATTGGTTAAACATCGTCTTGAGAATCAACTGACGACAAATTTGTTTCGTAAACGCGAAAATTTACAAGCGGTTTCTTTTTATTCTTTTGTTATCCTTTTCTTTTTCCTTTATTATAATGCTTGTTGTATTAGCCTTTATATTGAAAAAATATTTTCTTTCTTAAAATCAAACTTTTAAAAATTCAAATGATTCCAACTTTAATCAAATTTTTTTTAGAAAATTCATGACATTTCAGTCGATGAAAAAAGAAATAATCTCCAAGCTGAAATGGCTGAAATGCAATTAGTGAATAATCGTCTTACAGAAATTATGACTCGTCTAGCAGGTTTGTCAAGAATTCGAATTTCTTCATGATTTCCACAGTTTACTTATTTTCCACAGTTTACTTATTTACATATAATTTTTAATATTTTACAAAATTTCGAATATATAGATTTTTTGATTTAGATTTTTTGCTTTTTTAAATAGCATGTTGGATTTTTTCACAAAAGATGATTTAGAACTGGATAGGCATTTGGATGAATATGAACGTACTCAGAGCGAATTGTCGAGAGAACTTGAAGATTGTCAGGAGCAACAAAAAGATTTGGAAGCTCAAGTTACTGAATTTTCAAAACAGGTTGATCTAATTTGTACCAAACAATCTGCTATGCAAGCCAAACGAGAAGATATCATGAAAAAGGTCAGAAGGAATTGTTCTCTTATTTTCTGACAATAATTAGTGGTTTATTTAGCCACTTATTTATTACTACCTCAACAGAAAATTATAAGGAAAATTTTTAGATAAAGGAGTTAGGATCATTACCAATGGATGCAAAACAATACGAAAGTTTACCGATGAAACAGCTCGACAGAAAATTAAATGAAGCTTTGGAAAAGTTGAAAAAGTATGAAAATGTGAATAAGAAAGCGCTTGATCAATATGTGCAAGCTAGTAGTCAAAAGGAGGATTTAACTAAACGAATGGAAGAACACCGAGCCAATGAAAAAGTATGATTATTTTTTTGCAGATTCCTTTACCCACTCTTATTTTATCTTTTTCGATAAAGATATGCAATTTTTTTTTTCAGTCGATCAACGATTTGCTCGCAGTTCTTGAACTACGTAAATATGAAGCAATCCAATTGACATTTAAACAAGTTTCTAAAAATTTTCAAGTTGTTTTTCAAAAATTGGTTCCTGGCGGAGAAGGAAGACTTATAATGCGCATAAGTGATGTTGGTTTCTTGATTTTTCTTCAGCTGAAAAGTTTCTTCAGCTAGTTTATTTTTTTAAATAGATTTTTAATGTACTTATTTATATTCTGTATTCTTATAATTTTTCGACTTTAAAATTTGAAATTATTAAGAGAAACATTGAATTTCACTGGGATATATCCAATAATTTTTAGGAGGATTCTGAAGCAGCAAAAGATCGTACAAATCTTCAGCAAGTTGAAGCTTTTACGGGAGTAGGTATTAAAGTAAGTTTTTAAAAATAGTTTTTGCGCTTTATTTTCTATTTTATATTTTCATGCATTTTTTGTGTATTTTATACATTTTTAAATGCTCTTTTAAGCTTTTCTATGCTTATAAAACATAAAACATAAAATTGAAAGGTATCTTTCTCTGGGTCTGATGAGACACGAGAGATGCAACAGTTGTCAGGAGGTCAGAAAAGTCTTGTCGCTCTTGCTCTAATATTTGCTATTCAAAAATGTGATCCAGCACCATTTTATTTATTTGATGAAATCGATGCTGCTCTTGATGCTCAACATCGTAAAGCAGTAGCAGGTCTCAGCATTTTTAAATTATACATTTTTTGCAGTTTTTTTAAGTTTTTAATATGGTTTTTTTAAAAATTAGTCGATCTATTTAGTTTCTGCGACTGGTAAAATATTATATACAAATTTATATTGGTAAAAAAAAATCAAATTTATTGAACGTGCCATTATCTTGATGTATAAATCGATTAGTTTCTCAACAAAACTTTTCACAAAAAGCGAAACTACATCTATTTATCCGTGGATATCCATCTATTTATCCGTCTAGAATATTTATATTTATGGTTAATATAAAGATAATGGTGATAATGGTGTTATTGCAATCAATTTGATCTTTTTTAACCATACAATATTCAGATATGATTCACGAATTGTCAGAAAATGCACAATTTATTACAACAACTTTCCGTGCTGAATTACTGGATTGTGCAGAAAAATATTTTGGCGTTCATTTTAGGAACAAGGTAAATGATTCATTTTTTGGTAGATATCCAAAAAAAAAGCAAAATAAAACGAAGAATAAAATGCCTTTAAATGAAAAATAGCTATTTAGCATTTATTGTCCATATAATTAGATGATTTTCATTTATTTAATGAATTACAGGTATCTCATATTGACGTCGTAACCAAAGAACAAGCTTATGATTTCGTAGAAGATGACCAAACGCATGGCTAATGCTTTATTTTATTTGATCTATCTATAATTTTATTGGTAAATATTTGATTTCAATATGATGGGCATATATTCCATATTAAATTTATGATCGTTTTCTTTGTTTCGAAATCTTTATAAGTTTGCATCATCAGTTCAAAATTTTAGCTCATCGTCCCAAAATCAGTCGTAAATATTTGATTTGCATTTGGTCTTCTCATTTTCTTTTTTTTTTCATCACAATATTTGTAATGGAGAATATTCAAATTCCTCTGCATTTTTCTTTAATGTCTCATTTGAATCACTTGATTGGTTTTTTTTGAATTTTTTTATTGTTGATTCGCCTGGTGCACTGATTTTATAGTTTAAAAGAGAATAATCGTTTCTTTTACGATATTTGTTTGAGTTTCTTATGAAACAAATTATGTAAATGGTTAAAAAATTATTGCATCGTTATTCCATTAATAATAATCCTATTTTTATGTGAATAATGCGTCTATACCAACTACATGTGAACTTTCCAACTATATTTTTCCTTTTCTTGCTTTCCTGGGCATTTACATTTCGTTCCCTCATATCATCATTTCATGGAAGCGATATCATGGAAGACGAGTCTTCTTATGGTTTGTATGAAAATTTTCTATTTGATAGAAAGTAGTAAAAATTCTCAGGAGAAGAAAGAAAGATTTATAACATTATAAGATTTTTCCATAAGAAGCCGCTTCTTAAATGGGTATTTCGAAAGCGAAAACTGGTCACATGAGATTCTAAAATGGAATAAAATATAAAACGAATTTTGCCGGTTATAGGAAATGGATTCATGATGATACAACAATATGTTGATAATAACGTTTTTATTTCTTTCGGGAAAATTTTATATTGAATATAAAATTTTATAACATTAAGAAAAGTGTCTTCCATTTCCAAGTGCCTTAATGCAATTCGCTTATTTTCTTTAATAAAGTTAAAAAAAGGATGTTTAGTGGTCCGCTGAGTTTGAGACATCTTTTCAGCAAATTTTCAGTTAGGTCATAACCATTAGCTTTGTAGGAAATGTGCTGGTCGATTAGCTGCAGAACATGATAAATTTAGTTTGAGTGCAGGAGAGTGGATGTTCATGGCTGATGGCAAAAGGACCATGCTTCTCGAACTATTAACGTATGACTCGCAGTTCCTTATATTTGACGCTTAAATCTATGAAAATAAATCTGCAAATTTGTCAGATCGAAGAAATCGAGATATCCCTTATTCTTTGTTTGGCCATTTCTGTCTGCGATGGCTGAGACTCATAAAAGTGGTCATTTTATTGAATTTGAATTTATTGAATCGAATTTATTGAATTTTAATTGTCATAACACTTAACCATTTTTACGACAAAATTTTTGTTTCTAGATGCTAAATTTTTTAATTTCCAAATTTGTCGTCAACGACTGACAAAAAAATATCTTACAGTTCTTTTGTGGTCAATAATTTTTTGGTAAGAATGCTTCAAATCTTAATTTTCACAATCTTTTTCGTTTGTCCATTTGCTAAATTTTGTCTTCCAAATGCTAAACTTCCTTGTAAGTTTTGTAAATTTCTTCGATTTTAATTAACCTTTCAACATTATTTATTATTCTATTTTTTAAAAATCAGAAAATTATTATTGAAAGTATTTTGTATCGAATGAAATTCGTTTTCAAGTTTAAAATCAAATTTCTTGGTTTACTATTGAACAATTTGAAAAATTGTTGGAAATTTAAATTAAACAATTTGTTAGAAATTTCATAAATCCGTAATTGAAATCCGTAATTGACTTCTAAAATGAAGCACTTGGACAACATTTTCGCCAAGCAAGTTCGCAATTTTGCATAATAATTGCTTTTTTAGCATCGAACTTTGAAAAAACCTGTAGAATGTTGCCATATCGTTCATATTACGTAGCGGGAAGATGTTATTATGGTGTAACAAGGAGTTCGGATGATGAAAATGCGTGTGAAGCAGTTAAACTGAATCCAAAAATATCGACAATGCCACAAATGGCATCTATTGAAAATAGAAATTTGCTCGAAGTGTTGAAACAAAGCTCAGTTTTCAACGTAAATTTCTTTATCGATAGATAGAATTGAAGATCCAATACGAATTTTTTGATAAGTTTATTTGATCTATTCACATTTGCTATCAGCAACTGATAATAAAAGATAATTGGTACAAGTACAAATAAGTAAGTGACTAATTGGCAGTTATCATTTCTGGTTAATCTCTATTGGTTATTGATAAGGCGAGTTAAATTTGCTATTATCTTGGTTTTTTAACGTCAAGTTTATTCTTGCCAGGTGCAAGGGTCGAATGATGCTTGAAATGTATGAAAATCTATACATTACGTATTCGAATATCTGGCCATTGGCTAGATGACCATAGTAAAAAAATGTTCAAAATATTTAAATGTGCAAAATGTTCATTTATCCAATGCGAAAAATTTAAAAAAAAAAATTTTCACTATTATATGATTCTCTGGTCAAAATTTTGAACTATATTAGGAGGAACGAGCCTAACCGGAAGTGATAAGCGCTGACCATTTGCTTATAATGGAAAGTTGAAAATCATTGAGTAAGCAGTGGTTAGATAAGAAAGTTCACGGCACTTACAAGCAGTGGTTAGATAAGAAAGTTCACGGCACTTTTACATTTTTATTTGGTTCATATATTTTTATACAATTTCAATTTGCATTATGAAATTTACACGATTTAAAAATAGATAACAAAAGAATTTTGTAATTTGATGGCTATCAGATTCACTGAAGAAACAAAATAAAAAACCCAGAATTATAATTAATAATTTTAGCCAAATGTGGCTTACAAGGTGAAGTTTAGCTTCGATGGTTCGAAAACATTCATGAAGGGCAGTGAAGAAGGATATTTATGCGAAATAAGTTAGCGCATTCTCCGAAATAAAATTGCTAAAAATCTATTTATTATTAACTCGGATTGATCCGAAGAAATCTCCCATTTTTGTTTTCGCCTTTTTTTTAAATTCGAGTTTTTTTTGCGGAATTCAGCAGAAACCCCTTCGTTGGAAAGTCATCTGAGGATATAGACGAGCCACTAGGATTTTTAATATCATATTTGCTCGCATTAAAGAATAGAACTTGTGAGATAATTTAATCCTAGCCGAGGTGAAATAGCATTCAAACATTTTGCCTCTAATCAAAACCTAGTAAGAGTCCAGTAGGTTGTGGCAGCAAAATCTCTACACGATATATTTTCACTTATTATTTTTTTGAACTGCATTATCATGTTTCGACCAAACCGGAGAATTTCTTCAGGAGATCCTTCATTATGTCCAAAAGGTTTTAAGAAGATGAATGACAAATGCTTTAAGCTTAATACATATGCAGAAAATATGGAAAAGGCTGCTGATAACTGTCGCGAACAAAATACCAAATCATCGCTCGCAGTAATTGATAACGATGAAACAAATCGCTACTTGGCTTGTATATTTTTTAGTTTTACTTAAATTTTATGGATTTGATGAAGATTGACACAAAATTCTTTCGACAAATCAAGAATTATTAGAATGATTAAAAAAATCATCACATGCGACAAATAGTCTTCGATAATTTGCTCTAGACAAAATTAATAGAAATTTGAAGCAGTAATTCTGGCAAAAGAACAATTTTATTGCATCGAGCCCACGATATTTTGCCTAGATAACGTTGCAGTACCATGAAAGTTTTTAAATTCACAGGTGTTCGTTCTGTCGTCTTCTCAAAATCGTATCTTATCGGATCACATAGCATGGACAAAATGCTGCCTTCTAATTAAAGTTCTAAGTGATGCAGTAATATTTACTGCGAAAAAAATGAGACGATGAGCGAATAATTTTTAAACACTTCTGCATTTGATAAAAAGAGTATAAAAATTCAAAGGCATACTTTGATTTTTCTCCTGTAAAGAAGCAGTCATTTTTATTTAATCTAATTCATATATTTGCATCCAGTCGAAATAATATATGGCTCAAACACTGCCCACCGCAATATCTTATCCTACAATAATTTCTAAAAAATTATTCATATTAATCTCTTTTAGGTAGATTTTTACTAATGTATTAGTTATTAAGCCTATGCACGAAACTTTGGTGGGCAGGCGACGAGTGGAATATGGGTTGGAATCGTTTTCGCGGATTATTATTGGGCCGATATTAGGGACTACGAAAAAAGCGACTCGGTTTCATATTACAGATGGTATTTTACTAAAAGGGGTCAATTTTTCTGATCGTCAATTTCACTTATACAAATACGGTTATCAAAATTCAAACGAGAACCAATAATTTTTACTTTGGCTGACAATATTTATAGCTAAAATGAGCCTATTCACCAGAGATATTCGGAGTTGAGTTTGGTAATATTTTTGAGTTGTCAGCTAATAGCTAAACAGCGATAGCTTTTTCGACATTCAGTAGAGATAAAAAATATTGCATGATTTCAGGTATGTATACTCAGAAATCAGTGAAATCTGCAAAATCGAACACGGCAGTAATTTTACATTCAACAACAAATGATAAGCAGGGCAAAACACATTTCGGCTACTGGAGTAATACATTTGAGTCTGAAAAGTAATTTAATCGTCTTACAATAGTGTGAAAAATAGAAGAAAAAATTGAATAAAAGGAAATTTTTTAGGCACTTATACTTCTGCCAAACTGACCCTCTGTCAGAGTTCACTAGTGATACTACAGGGCTCAGTGAACAAGAAGAGGTAATTTTTCGTAACTTCACTTTATACACCAAAAATTAACACTAGAAATCATTTTCCAAGCGAAATTTGTTTTTATCACTTAATTACTTTCCGATTCCTTTTTTTGCAGATTATTCCTTTAAAGCCATCATCACCAACTGATGAAGGTATGAAATTATAAATATAAAATATTCAAGTAAAGAGCATGGATTTTAAGATTTTATTTCATTGTCCTACGAAATTACGAAGGAAATTATTGTAATACGAATGCAAACAATAGAAATATAAAAAGCAAAAAAAAGATTCTTATATTTACATTTTCTCTCTCTGTACATGGTTACCATTCATTATTTCTGGACAGGTCTGCACCATTGGATAATAAATTAGAAATTTTTGTTACTTGGCCATAAAGCGCAATGATCTTGAATACAGTACCACACTGAATTCTTAACTGTCGAAAGCCATTCATCAAAAAAAACCTCAGAAAAACCTTCCTTCATTAAAAAGTTCTCCACTATTATAGTTAAATTTTTTTTTGAATTTTCAGAATTCTGTCGTAAAATACAAGAACCAGTAAAAAAACTGAAAAATATGGTGGAGAAACTTGACAGGATGGGTGACGAATTGGAGAGAACTATTGACAATGGCAAATGTAACGAAAATGTGCAAAAAATTTTTGCATTAAATTCAAAATGTGAACAAATGGAAGCGGAAATGGAAGCAAAAAGTTGTTAATTCCTTTTTTTTATAAAAATATCGTTCAGAAAATTTTTTAATAAATAATGGAATTTTTTTCAAAGTTCTCTCACCATTAGTAGTTAGACGCGCTCCGCTGGCTTGTCAAGACAAATATGCCAGTATAGAGAGTTCCTTGCTGATAGTACAGGTGAACAGCCAACAATACCCGAAATAATGAAATATATTTATTAATATTTATACTTCAACAAAATATTTTATGCGACGTTTCGGATGAAACTTGAAAATTCGAGTTCATCCTAGTAATCGGTGGAGCTTATCAAACTGGTGCATACTGTTAGAAAATGCAAAAGAAAACTCATGTAATTCATATCTCTAAATGACATTACGAATAATTACTAGCAAACAAAAAAAAAGTGCCAAAAAGTGAATTGCAGTTTTTTGCTCAAAAATGGCGATAAACTATTAAAATAATAATGAAATATATTAGAAATTCCCAAAAAAGTCCACTTTTCCAGGCGAAATCTTTTTTTTTAATTTCATGAAAAATCCACTGAAAATTTTCAATTGTAATATGACTGATGACAAATAATTTCACAAATCGATGAATCGTAAAATTTTGATCCAAACAATACAAGGCAAGGCCAAATTTTCTTCTTCCGATTGTATTATAAACATCACAAAACCGGAAATAAAAGTCTGCCAACGAAAAACATTTTTAATATTTCACAATTTTTTTCTAAAGTAATTTCCAGGATCCTGTAGGGTATTCATTAATACATTCATATCCACTGTTATTTTGGTAAAATCGGGCAAAAAATCTACTGAAATGGAAATTTTGAAGTTATTCGATTTCTTTTAGTACTAATATTTATTAGGGATTGGAGTGATAAGTGACTTGGATATTTACTTTGAATTTATAAATTTCTGAAAGATTTATAAAATTTTGTGTTTTTGGAAAATCTGACAAAAAAAAAATTCGAAGGAATTATTTATTTATATTCACTTATATGTAACAACGAAAAAATAAAAGCGCAAACAAATAGTTTCAAAATGATTTAAAAAGGAAGCAATTTTGGACTTAAAAAATGAAACATAATTATATTCTACTATAAGTGGAAAATTTTGATCATTGTAAACGGGTTCTTGCTGATAATTCGAAGCGCAAGTGCTCTATTGTCTGCGGCTAGCGCTGACGAAAAATTTTAGCTTGGAATCGCTTATACGAAGTTTGTAACTTTTCCATGAAATCTGGAAAAATTCCATAAATTTTCCATGCAAACCTTTTGATTATCGATTTCTAATGTTAAAAATTTTATGAGTTCAAATCCAATAATAAAAAGCGTTGTTTATAAATGGAAAAAAAATTTTATATGCATTTAATTCAACGCCACTCGAAATTGGCGTGGAATACATTTGTAATTTTACCTAAAATGACCCTCTGGCAAAAAGGGTTCGCTCATGCTACCAGCTATTACGTGCTTCTAAAGAGTGTCAACAACTATTCACCCATAAGCAAGTTGAATTAATTGCTATTTGAAATAGATGAAAATTTCCAAATAAAATTTAATCATATATAAATGCAAAAATTTGGAATTTGGAATTGTATATTTAAAAAATTATATTTTTTCAAGAAAAAAATAATTTTAAGGTAAATAGGAAAAAATAGCTGAGATAATAAATAATCACAATTTAGAAAATAAATCATAAAAAAATTAAATAAATAAATAAATTATATAAATTCAATTATTGCATAAACTGCAAAAAAATTTATGATAAAAAAATTTTTTATTTTCGAATTTTTCTTTAAATAGCACTTTTATTAGAGTTTTATATAGGTTTTCAGTAATAATCCATATTGTTTGATTTTTTTTTGGATTTTTTTCCGATTATTTGTTCATTTATTTAATAAATAGAAATCGATTTTCAGAACGAGAATTTTAGTGGCAATATTATTAATTATTAGCATTTTGATATAATTATAATGAAGATAAAGATAATCTAGCTAATATAAATATCAAATATAAATAGATAAACTGATTATTAGTGATCACAAAACCCTAAAATAATTACCGTTCAGTGGGCATAAATGGGTATCAGAGATATCGTTGTCTTCTTTTTATAATATTTTATTACAATATCCACAATATTTTATAAAAATTATGTATAAATTATAAAAAATAAATATATAAATTGGCACGATTCGTTATTCTTGTTAAGTTTCTAAGGATTCATTTTTTTTGATTCGCGAAAGTTAACAATATGGAATACGGTAAGCATTTAACAATGGTATTTATGATTTTCCTGGCTTTTCACGACGGTTAATTCGAAATTATGTAAGTTTTTGGCAAATTTAAACAAATAAACCATTCTGATTTTTTTAAAATGCTTATTCGTGTAAGAGAGGGTACTCGCTAGAAAGAAAATGATGATCTAAGCAATGTATATCCAACTGCGTTATAATAATTTTAGTCTTAAACTGTTTATTGTTTGTTTTGAAATTCGAGTGCGACAGGAGAAGAGTGGAAGAATGCAAAGAAAGAAAGGAATGCTCCATTCAGCAAACAATCCTGCTTGATTATTTCACCATCCGACTAATCCTGAACGATTTTCAAAAATATTTATTTTTACTTTTTTATTAATTCATTCCAAAAAGTCCAACGAAATCCAAAACTTGTCAACATTTTATAAATTTCTGTAGATTTAAAGTGGTCGATCTTTTCGCATATTTTCAAAATTCATAGAAATTAATTTTAAATCGCCGATATCTGATAAAATTGATAAGTGATAAATTAGGCAGCCAAATATGGAAGAAACTGTAAACAAGTATCTGTTATATTAACTGCTTAGCGAATAGATTCATCGAATGACTGACTGACTGAATGGTTATGTTGACTGATATATTTATAAAAGGGGGCTATGCTGTGCTGCTAAATAGCAATCTCAGAAAAAATCCATCATCACTAAATCGCCAAAGCTTATATTCTGAATGAAATTCATTTAATCGAAAACATTTTTAAATTTGTTTTTTTGAAGTATACTTTTTAAAACTTTTGATTTTTGCAGAGAATTGAATATATATATTTTTTCGAAACTTTTTCATTATGAAAGTTCGAAAAATTTTTTTCGCTGATTGTTTTTCTTTTTTATGTAACATTTTAATCACAAAATTATCAATTTGATTTTATTGCAATAATAAATCGATTTCCTCTTCTTTAACAATTCGCTTCATTATTGGTTCGATGGGTTCCATTGGCCACAAGGTTGAGGCGTTTTCATACCCTTCAATGCGCTGATTTAGTTTAGTCGGATCGAATAAATCGATCGAAATAAATATTTGAAAAATTTTTAGAAAAGTGATTACTTATTGCTTTCTGTTAAATTCTTCCAGAATTCATCGAATTTTTATTTATTTATATTCATTTTAAATTTCAAAATAAAATAAAACAAATATAAACAAATAAGAATTTATTTCCATTAATTAATATCGCTGTTACATATTATTCTAAGGGAAAAATTTATAAAAGCAAATATAACCTTAAAAGTGTAATACGAGATGGCTTTTGGCGACGCTCGTTCCAAATTTCAAATAATCAGTAAAGCTAGCCAAGCCAAAAATGGTACTTATTGTTCGAAGAAGAAGAATTATGGAACGAATTTATAAAATGGGACCATATCTGCTAATTATTATATTATTAGCTTTTATTGGCTTTTAATGGAGTTTTATAAGAGATTTGCATTCAACCAAATTAAATCTACCTTTCGCTATCATACACTGCCATTTTGCTGTTGCTTATTTTTCAACTTGGCGACTTGCAATATCCGACTTGTTTTTGATTTGCACTGCTTATTGTTCGTCTCTTTTTATATTCTGCGAAAATGATCAAAATGATCACATATGGCACAACTGTTTTAAAATGAATTCCCTACCTCTTCCAACGAACTTATTTTCTTGAATATTTTTATAATTTTCCATTAAATTTCTTAATCGTCAAATATTTAAGCGTATAAAAATGGATATTTAAACAACTTTTCTTTCTTTTTAAAAGAATGAAACGGATTTAACTAATTTTCTGCTAAAAAAACAGTATTTGCTGCATTATTTTTATATTTGCATTACAGTTGAACAACGTTTAGTTATAGTTTTTTTGTGTTATTGTGTGTTATTATTGCGTTACTTGCGATGATTTTAGATAAGCGAGTTAAGCATGGATTTGAAGATATTTGAAGAATAACAGTGATGATCTATAACTTTTTTGTGAAATGATTAATGTGTTATGTGCTGATAATGATAACTCCAATATGTTGGCAATAGTGATAATAATGCCAATACATATTTTTTGTCTCTTTGAATTTTTTATTGAATCATTTTGCCGCTAATTCTTTCCTGAAGTATTTGTTGGAAAATTTTTTCGTTCCATAATTATTATGATTATTTAATGTATACATATATTTAATTGATTTAAATTAATATTGTTTAGCATT